TCGTCTCACAGCCTAAACACCACCTAAACACAACATCCCCATAATCTAAAATGTCTAGAATTTAAAAACGTTTAAACGTTCTTCTCTATATTCTTTACATGATGAAACCCTTTTTAGCCCGGACCTTGATAATCCGGATACCTCGCCTTATGGACGAATACTGCCGGTAACGTCTTTATATATGCAAAGGCATGTTATTCAATAGCTCTGATTTGTTACTCGGTACCGTCGGTTAAACGGGGTGTGAGTGAGTGAATATGGTTTTACGCCGCTTTTAGCAATATTCCAGCAATATCACGGCGGGGGACACCAGAAATGGGCTTCACACATTGTACCCATGTCGGGAATCGAACCCGGGTCTTCGGCGTGACGAGCCAATGCTTTAACCACTAGGCTACCCGGCCGCCCCAAACGGGGTTTGACTATATTTGTAGACAAAACTCATTGAAAAGATGGACACACACGTAGCAAATAACAGGATTAAAATTAGTTCTAAACCTTTGCGATACCCCTGACCAAACAATGATTGCAATTTGACCACAATCAAAACGTTCACGTCTACACATATAGGTGCCATTCTTTATTTAGGGGATGCCAGCTTTTATTAAGAGGGTGTCAGAATATTCAATGTATCAATTATTGTGACGGTGTCAGAGACCTGTCATATCTGTCCCAATTGCCAACGTTGAACGAGTCACCGGTCTACCACAATAAACAACAGAACGAGATGGTTCACACTTTCTATAAAATATACGTCGCAATAAAAATTATATCCTGTCAAAATAACTTCTACTGGTATGGTCTAGAATGTCGAATGAGAATAAACATATGGGTTTATCAATGCCACGTCATGCCGTGGCAGTTACCGACAAATGAAACGCATTCCATGTTCCACAACATTTGAGTGTGTGTGCAAACGTTTGCCTCGTTAACAGGCACAAAGTTTGAGAGAACAGAGAGCCAGCTTGATAATGTAAGAAAATATTATTTGGGCGGTCACATCTCTTCCTAGGAGCTCTGAAAATGACGGAGAGATGAATTGAATTGAATAAAAGGAGAGGCAATAAAGGCTTCAAATAGAGGAAAAAAGAGGGAACGAAAAGACGAATGAATGATGAACGATTTATATTTACATAGGTTTACTGAATGAGGAACGAACGAATCAAGGATTCAATATTTGTAGGTTCAAAGTTAACAACAGATATCTTGTTAAAAGCGAAAACAATACTTGGTGTTTATCGTATGCAAGAAAACCACGGGAATGTAAGAACAAAATAGAAGAACCTGAATGACAGTAAAAAATGGTGTCATTTGAGAATTGCAACTTATGTTGAAATAAAAAGTTTACATTTGCTTATTGTTTAAGGCGTATATTATGTACCAACGCATGGAGCTTCATAACCAAAGACTCGGTTTTACAACGCTTACGTCAGCTGTGACGTCATGCCATTCACGCGACCAATTCAATCGATGATTCTTTTTCCACATGGGCAATTTACAAACAATCAAATCTGAAGCCTGGGTTGTTTCATCAATATGGGATTAGTTGCAAACAACATTTAAAGCCTTCGCTGGTAGAGTCACGTGTTATTGTGACTAGTTACCCGTCTAGTGTTTTCGATAGCCTAAGATCTGCTGTGGCAACATGACATCCCCGACACACTGGCGCAGAACCAGTCAAGCCTGGCTTCAAGGGCAGGTGTCGTGTTGTTGTAAAGCGAGACAGGGGCGTAAACATACAAACAAACATAGAAACAGCCGTAGTGACTATTACGTCAGTGAAGCCGGATGTAGCGGTGGCATAGTCCCTCTTGCTACTCTCATACCATTCTCAACCCTACTAGCCATACGCACCAAGGATCAGAGTGAGTGAGTGAGTGAGTGAGTGAGTGAGTGAGTGAGTGAGTGAGTGAGTGAGTGAGCCTCATACAGGTGCCGATCTAACATATGGTTATAGCTTAAAGCTTAAAACAATTGCCTGATCTAATAGTTGCATGACAACGAGCCTCATACAGGTGCCCGATCTAACATGTGTCAAAATGCCTGATGTCGGCAAGCTTAAAACAGTTGCCCAATCCAACATGTGGTAATATGCCTGATGTCGGCAAGCTTAAAACAGTTGCCCGAACTTACATTTGGCAATATGCGAACGTCAACCCGATCTAACAGGTGGCAACATGCGAATGTCATTTAAGCCTCACACAGGTGCCCGATCCAACATGTGGCAATATGCCCGATTTCGGCAAGCTTAAAACAATTGCCAGATCTAATAGTTTCATGTCAACGAGCCTCATACAGGTGCCCGATTTAACATGTGGTAATATGCCTGATGTCGGCAAGCTTAAAACAGTTGCCCGAACTTACATGTGGCAATATGCGAATGTCAACCCGATCTAAAATGTGGCAACATGCGAATGTCAACACGATCTAACATGTGGCAACATGCGAATGTCAACCCGATCTAAAATGTGGCAACATGCGAATGTCAACCCGATCTAACATTTGGCATCATGCGAATGTCAACCCGATCTAACATGTGGCAACATGCGAATGTCAACACGATCTAAAATGTGGCAACATGCGAATTTCAACACGACCTAAAATGTGGCAACATGCGAATGTCAACCCGATCTAACATGTGGCAACATGCGAATGTCAACCCGATCTAACATGTGGCAATATGCGAATGCCAAGGAGCCCTCATGCAGGTGCCCGGTCTAACGTGAGTGCAATATGCTTGATGGGGTCAAGCTCTACTGCATGTGCCCTGCCTGCAAACTATTTGTGACAAACTCGTTCAACCAGAGGCACGTCGAGTCATGTTACAAGTATGCAGACAAAACTTGATTCACTGTCTGTTGACCTGCTCAGCTTGTTGACAGCGACAGGGTATGAATGAGCAGCGACCGAGGACGTCACACACCGGCGCCCCAGGCGGTCGCCCGTCAGCCATTACCCCCGACTGCACTCACCCGCCCTAGAGGCGCCTGGGAGTGAGTGTGGATGGGTGGAGACAATCGGGTGGGGTGAGGTGAAATGTGATACGGGTGGAGGCGGGGACAGGTAGTCTGACCCACAAACACTCCCGTTCAAGCTACCCAGGGGTGGGTGGAAGAAGGGGTTACTGATTAAATTTAATAAGAAGGTGGATGGTATTGATTAACCAGCATGGATCCATAGTTTTAGTGACCCCTTTTAATGTACCCGAATTACGAATTATGAATACTTAATTTTTGTTTGCTATTTACGTAGCATTTTTTACATTATTTATTATTCCGACGATAAACCGGTTAGGACTCCGGGTAAGAATGTAGGTTCCACAGAAAGATGTGCTGGTTGTAAGAGGCGACCTTGAGACTTGGTTGATGCATGTCATCGGTTTTGTTTGTTTGTTTGTTTGTTTGTTGTTTAACGCAACACTCAGCAATATTCCAACTTAGCGCGGCGTTAAACTACAAACAAATATAACTACGATATGAGAAACGTGTGATGAACGAATTTAAGACCACACGAGTTATCTCCCTGCAAATGCGTGTGCTTGTTTTTACATAGTCACTATCCAGTCATTCTGAGAACGTATTTAATGTTTTATGTTTTTTAACTTATAAAACAATGTTTTTCAACAAGTACTAAAGTATGTCTTCTCTGCCTGTAACAAGTAACTCTCACCAGTACTGCTAGCTCATACGTTCAGATTCTGAAGGCACGCGGGTATAGCAAATGAAGCGTCCCTAAAATATTGACTCTTGACGTTAGCGTGGACAAGTGTTTTCTTTGACACACCAACGTCATTACTCGTTGTTGGACAAACTCTGTGGATATTTAGACACGACATTGTGCAGTGAAACTTGATGCAGATGTTGAAGCGCCTTTGCAGTTTAGAAACAACCTGTGTACAGCACTTGATCGCCCGAGAGGAATACAACCGAGGTTTATTGGAATTGCACTGTCCAGTACAGTGTCCATGCCATGTCCGACACGTTGCGCCCAAGGATCAGTAGCCGCAGGTACTGAGACTAGTCTGTCTTACTGACCCAGATACAAATATATATCAAACACAGCCCATGCAAGTCTATAATGTTTGGCAAGTCTAGATTACTGCAGTATCTGAAAATGAAGAGAGTCACTGGGCTCCCTTTTCCTATATTTTTATTAAGATAACTGAACAACTGTTTTTTTTCTATACGATATGTTCATTTCAGAGACTAGATGTTAGTCTAGTACTGAGAAGTGTAGGTTTTAACACGACTCCCAGGTTTTGGTGGAAAATGTAAAAACGCGAGCCCAGGAAATGCTAGAGCTAGAGGTTTTACACTTTCAACCATAGCCGAGAAGTGTTCCAACTAACAAATAAAACCGTCTAAAAGCAACAAATACCAGAAAGAAAACAAACGAAAACATCGGGATACCATGCGGTGAAACAATACAATAGTTGCGGTATGAAAAAAACCATTAGTTCCACAGTAATTACCGGAGTATTATGCTGAAAGCCTCTACAAAATCCAAAGGCATTCTGTGATAGTTGATCTGAGGAATCATCTTTGTGTTTTTATTATGGTGCTGTTTGTAACATAATGCCCTATGTGTTTTGTGTGTTTGCTGTTTAACGCCGCAGCAAGCAATATTCCAGCTTATGACGACGGTCAGGACCAGAGAATCCACTAATTGATAACATAAAAAAAGATCCACGCCATCGGATTACGATGACACCGCCAGGTCGGCTTGGTACCCTCTTGCGACACGAATATGTTGCCGTAGACCTTTTCTTACCCTGAATCTCAACGGGGTGTACAGCTTTAGGTGCTACACATACCCATGTACATTAACATGTATTGGACATAAGAAAATTATATGAACATTGAACAGAAGGCGTTATTTTAATATGATAGTTATGGTGGTCGGGTTGAAATAAGTTTGAATTAATTTCACGTGAAAATAATTTAAGACTTCTATTGCCGCACAGTTATTTCGCTTATGTACAGATAACCAAGAACAACCTAGCATAATAATGTAATTTAATCCGTAATTATATACACAATAAATTAATATCCACAATAAGGTGTTCTCAGGACAATGCCTTTCGACACTGGCACTGGACTTGGTTCCTGGACCGTGAAGGGAGCCCCTCCGTTGTTCTCTTGTAACACCTTCTGTAGCAGCTTCAAGTCCCTGAAAGACAGCAAATTCAAAACGTTAACCCCTGAGAATGATTATCATCTACCGAAAAAGATCAAATTGGGCGTAACATGCCTGTACATTCTGTATACAGTAAACTACGGTTATACCGAACACGTTTATAACAAACTGACGGATATAACGCACTTACTTTTTAGTCCCGACTATTTGCTGTAGTTCTGCTGTATATATGCTTATAACGAACTACGGTTATAACGAACTAAAAATAGTAGTCCCTTTGAGTTCGTTATAACCGTAGTTTACTGTGCTTAGATATTTGTACACTCTCGTCTATTTTTGAACATTCTTGTTCGCTCTTATAAACTCTCGTACATTCCTGGACATTCTTGTGCATTAATATGCAAATTATTACACGGGTTTCAAGTCTCAGTAGCTCTTAAAATCCAACACATAAACTGTTATCCTTATTCTAATGACATTTAATCCAGAATTATACTTTGCTACATGTTGTAGATGCTATATATTCTGTAAACCATATGTTTCAGTTGTGGTTTGGGTATAATTGAAATATGGATGTGTTTGAGGCGGCCTTGTTTTCAAAATATGATATTCGAAAACTCAGAATAACAATGGTTTCAGAACGCCATTGATACTCCTAGGCACTGGCAAGTCGAGTTCTGTATCTGTTTTGTCTTTGATCTGTTTGGTCATATTCATTAAGGCGGGAACTCCTAAAGTGGTATTTAGCAGTTTGAATGTTTTCAAACTTTAATAATTCTGCATTAAATGTTTTTTTACGGAGGTTGTAAAGCCCTAGTTACATATTTCCCCACTGTCAATTTAGTTTAATAATGTGCTACAATGTTCAAGCAGTACACCATTATTAGCCCTGTCCATGCATCAGTGTGCTCTCGAATGTCAATTTCAACCCTCTGACTGGTATATAACCAAAGCTGCCACAATATCATCTCTTCCTACCGGGTACCCATTCGCTGCATGGTGAACAGAGGCAGAGTCACCTGACTGAGGAGACCCCACGTGTAACATCTATTTCAGTGTGGGGCGGGACCAAAGTCTTAAAACTCACATGCACCCGGTCACCCATGCGCCTGCTCTCCGCAACCTACGATGCTTAACTTCGGCTGATTGGTGACCTATGTACTGTAGACAGGACCACGTTTTACTAAGTGAGACCAATTTAATATGTAATACATACGACCGTCCTTCACAAAATAGTTTACAGTCTCAAATAAAGATGCATGATGTTGCCTGTCAGTTATATAAGGGACGCCTAGTAATATGAATGTGGCTACTGTGTCTTTGTGCCCTCACTATATTTTGTGGATGAAGTCTCCACACATCTCTATCATTGGTTTGGAATGACAAAGGCTGTTCCCATCAAAGTTGTGAAACATCGCGTATATTCTCCTCCGCTCCCCGAACTGTTCGTTTTGCACAACGACGTTGTTGGCTGCGAGTGTAACATATCATGGCAACGCTCTGCTTCCTGGAACTAGAAAATGTTTTATCTGAATGTGATATATAATATGGAATATGAGATTTCCACATATACATAAACACACATATAAACAATGGCCTATGCACAGCCAGTGAAACAGACAGTGATATATCATAGGGCATGCATGATGGGGTGATGGAATTCTGATGGGCAAATGCCAATATGAAACTTAAAATGAACCTGGATATATTTGAAAAGAGAAAAATCAAAGACAAGTGGCATGATTATATATTAAGATTCACATATATAAAATAAGTGATGAAAATAAAATATATTCAAAATCAAAGTTCAAATCCACACAATGTCTCCACGAAACAAAGTTGAATCATGAAACTTTGAATGGATAGCAACTTCTTATGTTCTTTGTCACGACGTTTCAGAGCTACCACCTGATGAAGGAGCAAGAAGTAGTTCTGAAACATCGTGACAAGGAATAAAAGAAGGTGATATCCACAAAAGTGTCATGTATTCCTGTTCTTCCAGGCTCTAAATGCCTATCAAAGAATCCGAAACAAAGTTATTCAATGATGTATATCCACAAGAGCTGTCGTTTGTCGTTGTCCAACACACTACGTCACACTATGTCATCTTGTTTGTGTCGTTATAGAATGAGGAAAAGCAAAATGTATCGATCGATCAGTGATAACAGTGAAACCCCAACCACTACAATTGACATCATCTGAGACATATTGACGTTTTTGCATTTGCAGCATACAATGATGGGACAAAATATGCATTGATTAAAGTGCCAGATAAACTATATCAGTGATGCCTAAATTGAAAGGATACATGTGAAGCGTTACATTCAAATACGAACAAAGTAACATTCAAAAATGATATGTACATGTTTCCTGAAACCCGAGTGTCACACTAACATTCAGAAAGTGAAACCAAACTAGCTAACTAATACACACATGTGTGTTGCTATGAACGTACCGCCTTCAACACAGTTCTTCCTATCTGAGGACAAGATGAATCCCTTGGGACAGTCACATACATAGAATTCAGTGTTCCTTGCATCATAAGCTTTAGGCAGGCAGAAGTGGGAACAGCCGCCATTGTTACTGCCACACAACCCTATCAAGAAAACAAAATTAACTTGTTTGACAACAAAGAAAGTTTACACACAAAGAACTTAATATTCTTCTTATGCTTTTCAGTTATATTTTTTGAGTGACGACCTTGATGGTGCATGTCGATTGTTACAAATAGCCATAACAGCTGTGAACTTCTTACTTCTCAGTATTTGTTGTCTGCAGGGATGGAATACACGCACATCCATGGGTGTATCCAGATTCACGACAACTGTCTCAACTTTCATTACTTTTGCATCACGTCTACCGAACTTGCTGTATTTGCTGACCGAGCTAGTGGTCCAGTCAGTCCAGTAAAGGTAATCCTCAAATAGAAACATATAATAGGAGTAGATGTGAGGCCAAAGATTTAAACGCAACAACACACATGGGCAAAGTTTTCCTTGTCAAAAAAAGGTTGTTCATATGATTATTTGTATGATATATATTTATCATGATAAAAGATGTTGTGCGAGACTAACCTGGAATACAGTGATGGCGAAAGGGTGTCTGAGATGCAGCTGACTCTGAAGAACAGACACACGCTCCAATCCCAACGTGTTGGAACTCTCGATGCTGTGCAGCTTGGAATCAACCCAATACAGTCTGTCAGCAACATAATCTGAAAGGCCAGCAAACCAGTCAGAAACCTGCATCAATCATACGATTAATGGAACTGCTCATGTATTTCTTTTATTAATAGAGAAATTCATCCTCATAATATCAACAAGAAACAGCGTTTTCACTACCCCCGCCATGGGGCACATCGGTATTTTGTTTGTTCATATAGAGGTAAAAACCAAGGAAGTTGATGTTAACTATGAAAAAAGAACCCTATCTGTCCTTGTGGAGAGAGAGGCACAAGCGTGGCTTTATGTCATGAGAAATCTGATTCTCGAGCTCTCAGATGTAACCGTCCCCATTGCAGATACTGTGCACTAAATAAAAAAAATTAATATGGCTCAGTGGTCATACTCGTGTAAGCACAACATCGAAAAACATGTAACTTTGGGAAAACATTTATGGCACAAATTTTCGAACTCAGTCTTAGATAAGCATGCAAAAAACGGACGGACAGACGAGCGGACGGATGAACTCGTTTCTTATATCCCCCGCCCCACTTCTAGACAGGGGATAACAAGTGAGTCTTAGATAAGCATGCAAACTTTCATTCATTGAGTAGTTTCTGTGCAAATGTGTCCCCATTTCATGCAGTGTGCACGAAGTAAGAACGGAGCAAGGGCAAGGACTCTGTAACAAATGAAATGAAATTACGACACCAATTTTCGAATTCATTAAAGATCATGACCAGTAACATCAGTGTGTAAAATGTCATTTCTAAACTAAAATAGATTTTGAGAAAATGTGTCCCCATTGAGAAGTGGATGAACGGACGGACGTTCCTAACTTGGGCTTGGTATCTACCTATTGTGAGTCCATTGGGCCAGGCGATGGTTGTGTTGATAATAACCTTCCTGTCATTGCCATCCATTCCACATCGCTCAATCTTAGGCTGTTTACCCCAGTCAGTCCAATACATAAGTCCGCAAGGAAACACAAACAAACTGAAAATTTCTCCCGAAATGTTCAGGTAATGTGACAATGACATCCTCTCACTGCAATAAAATGGAACTTGTCTAATGGGTTTGTCAGATTCCTTGTTGCAAGACTCGTTGAATTTATTTTAATTAAATCTAGAAGTCATTATTTGCCTGATTTAAGGAGGAAACAACTGGTTACTTACCCATAATTGGGATCCAGTACTATGGCTCTTGGCTCATCTAATCCAGTGTTAATGAGGGTTTTCCTCATTTTGCCATCCAAGGAGGACACTTCAATCCTGTCAAAGCCAGTGTCAGTCCAGTAGAGGTGCTTGTTGATCCAGTCTACAGCAAGGCCATCTGGGGTGCTGACATCTGTGGATGCTACCTCTTCAACTGATGACTTGTTACCGAAGTCAGCCCTGGACACAATTTAATTTCATAGTAAAGCATTCTACAAATGTTAATTTAACTTTGCTTATTATGTAGCATATCCATATACCTGATTTCTATGTCATTTTACACTGCATGTGTTATCCTGAGTAGTATTTGATAAAATCGTTACCATATTAAATAGAGTTATCTCCCTCTACGTATTCACCGCACAGATCCTGTGTTTTTAAGACAAGCACTTCACACACTATGAATGAGTTATTATTACAAACTCACCTAAATATACCTTCTTTTACTACATCTGTCCAGTAAAATCTATTTCCAAGAAAATCAAAGTCCATAGCAACAGCAGATGATATATAACCATCACCAAGGAGGAGGTTATACGCAAAGGTTTCAAGGTTGATTCTCCTTAGATCTCTTTTTTGCGAGAGCAGTAGCTGCACGTTGCCTCCTGTAGAAAGATCAGATGAAGACAGTTATTAGGCTTGAAGTGTGTTTGTGTCCTAAAAGTCATATGAACGAAGAACAATCAGATCAGCTGACGTCCCAAAAAACGAAATGTTATATTATCGGTAAGTTTTGATTTTGATGTTGTTATCCATAATTTGTCTTTCTAACAAAAGTAAATGTCTGAACAGACAGTGCAAGAGGATTACAAAACTTGCTCGTCAAACACAAATACAATATATTTTCAGTTGTTGCTTTTCATATCTACTTAAATCAATTCAAATGTACTAAAATAACTGCTTCAATGATTAATTGCTTTGATTATTTTTTCACGTGTACATTTGGAAATAAGTTATGTCAAGTGATGTCGGCGGCAGTAAATGGTATTTAGTGTCATCAGCCCCCGGTTGTTTACAAATATGACAAACTTCGGGATTGGACAGTTTCAAGTAGGATGGCTGTACCAACAGTAGAGCGACGAGCGGGCAACTTAATTATCTCATTGTAAACACCAACTGCCCGCCCGCCAGAGAGGTCTTTTTCATTCGTGAACATACGTTAATTTATTCCAGGGACTGTTACTAATTGCTACTGCCACTTATTTGATGCCTTGTTTTAAGCTTAATCTAAAACTGTGTGTTTGTATATAACTTGATAATTCATTGATCTTGTTTGATCATTTATTGATTTCACAATTTTGTTTGTACGAACAAGTTCAAATTGGTAATCGTATCGCAACAATACACAGTGTGCTGCGTCTCTGAATATGATGAATACCACTTTCTAAAATGTCAATTTTGTTGTTCTTATATATCGAGAAAGAATCCTGTGTTTCTATGCCAGCGCACAGGTTTTAACACCTTATGGACAAAATAGCAGGGTTCTCATAACCCTTTTTCCAGGTTATATATTCCTAAATGACTTGCATCAAGCATTTACCTCCAGCCTTGCAGTATCTCTTGTTGACCAGGGAGTAATTATTAACACATTCACACTTGTAGCCTCCCTTGGTGTTCTTACAGATCTGTGAGCAAGTGCCATGAATGAGATTGTCCTTGCACTCATCGATGTCAGTACACACAGTCTGGGAATCATTCATCAGTATGTAGCCTGGATTACAGTCACACTTGCGCTTGTTTCCGGACAGACTGACACAGATGTGGTCACATCCACCATTATTGAAGCTGCATTGATTATCTGCAAGAGCAACAAGGACATACTTAAATGCTGGTGCACCAAACCAAACAATAACAGGACACGTGGGCATTTGATCTTGAATCTTCAGGTAAACAATAACAGGACACGTGGGCATTTGATCTTGAATCTTCAGGTAAACAACAACAGGGCACGTGGGCATCTGATCTTGAATCTTCAGGTAAACAATAATAGGGCACGTGGGCATGTGATCTTGAATCTTCAGGTAAACGATAACAGGGCACGTGGGCATTTGATCTTGAATCTTCAGGTAAACAATAATAGGGCACGTGGGCATGTGATCTTGAATCTTCATGTAAACAATAATAGGGCACGTGGGCATGTGATCTTGAATCTTCAGGTAAACGATAATAGGGCACGTTGGCATCTGATCTTGAATCTTCAGGTAAACAATAACAGGGCACGTGGGCATGTGATCTTGAATCTTCGGGTAAACAATAACAGGGCACGTGGGCATCTGATCTTGAATCTTCAGGTAAACAATAACAGGGCACTTGGGCATGTGATCTTGAATCTTCAGGTAAACAATAACAGGGCGCTTGGGCATTTGATCTTGAATCTTCAGGTAAACAATAACAGGGCACTTGGGCATTTGATCTTGAATCTTCAGGTAATGAAGACTTTGTACTTTGACGCGTGCTTCCGGTAGAGCAGGGCATGTTTACTTTTTCCGCGATCACCTGGTATCAGCACATATTTTGAGTGATCCATTCATATGATTTTCATCGCACTTTGCCTTAAGGCCCTAATTGAGACTGATTATTCGCTGGTGCTGAGGTTTAAAACGAAATGACATGTAGTATGTTCCAAAGGTGACTGTACAAGACCAAACTTTGCGTTTAGCATAATTTTCAGAATGTTTTTGCATTACTATAAGGGCAATTATTACCGGAGCTTACTGAACCGAACAGAGTGTTAACAAGACGCAGATTGTATACTGGGATTCTGTCTACTTGAACACAACTGAAACAGTCTTATTTATGATGATTCTCCAGTTTTCGTATTAAACATCCACAGAAATAACACCAGACAAAACAAACTACAAATAACTGCAGAATAATGCTCAGATAAATATTGTTTGATTTTGTCTGAATATAAGAATATCTAGTAGAGGTCAAAGCACAAATTATTCACAAATGGAATTTCAAATACAATGGTTAAGGATGTTTTGTTTGATGATGTTGCAGTTGTTGTTATTAGCCATGGTAAAGTGAAGTAAGAATTGAATGATGATTTAAAGTATAAAACAAACGACACATATAACCACTCATCTACAAGTGGAAATGGAGAAAAAAAACAAGTATTTTAAAGGTGCAGAAAATGCCAAAGAAAAAATACCTATATTTTAGCTTTAAATACAAGTGTGTTCGTTCCCTCCTTAAAATGCCAAATACATAAAATTCGCCAGATATTTCCACCATAGAATATGTCTGGGATGAGTTAAACAATATTTGGCTGACATTTGAAAAAACAAAAACAAGGCTACTTTCAATCATCTGCCTCGCAATGTTTAAAAATCTGTAAGTTATGGTAGTTTTTATTTAGATGATATTTATCAAGATAATATGCGTTCAGTTGTCTGATCAATGTTCGTCATAACACATTCATTGATAACACCCATACCTTGAAGAGGGAGGTGTAACAACTCAATAAGCAATGTCAATATCGGGTGTGACCACCATTTGCGTTTGTAAAGGCGAGGCAGATGATTGAAAGTAGCCTTGTTTTTGTTTTTTCAAATGTCAACCAAATATTGTTTAACTCATCCCAGACATATTCTATGGTGGAAATATCTGGCAAAACAGCTATGGCAATACATCAAAATTATGCCGCCCATACCTTACACTTCCATCCCCAAACAGAGGACGTTAACCAACGCAAGCATGGCTAAAACGTTCTCCTAGATGTCTGTAGCGCCTTGCACGACCATCAGAGCTTACCAGATAAAACCTGGGCTCAACTGTGAACTGTGTACCGCCCCAGTCTGCATCAAGCTAGACGTGCCTGACGGTGAGGTGTCAGCAGAACTGGGCGTAGAGATGGGCGTGGGGGCCGGATGTTGTGCTCCCTCAACCAGTTGCGTACGGTTCTGCTACTAATTGGTCTCAACACAGAAATTAGGCGAGCTCTTAATGTGGCACTTGGTATCAATTCCGTAGATGCAACAACCAAATATGGATGTCTTGTTTACATGAAGTAACACGTGGATGTCCTGCCCCTGGCAAGTCATACGTATTGCTCTGCTGTCGATAATATCTCCAAAGAAATCATCCTGTGTTTCGACCCGTTAGTCTTACAAAGGCAGGTTTGATATGTGAATCTAGAGAAATATATTCAAGTTTAAACTCTTTGAACATTATGTATTTGGCATTTTAAGGAGGGAACGAACACTTCTACTACTGCGTTATGAAAGAAAACCTCATAAGTCATACACAAATCTACAAAGACATTGTCAAACAGTAAAATAGGAAGAAACTCATATCACAGCATTGAACTGCAGTAACGACAGAAGAAAATACAAAAAAATACAAGTATTTTGGTCTCATCTTTAAAAAGCCTAACAAATAATGCTATATATATATATATGCTTGAGAAAATATTAGTTTATTTTTTTGTATGCATATAAATCAAACCTTTGTAAGATTATGAAACACGATATGAATGACACTATCTTGCAGAGAGTTCGAGACGGATATGAAAAGACACAACAGCCTTATATATGTGTTATGATAAACTTCTTAAAATCTGTAACTGCATGACTGAAAAATCTTAAAGTTACAAACAAATCGGTAAAATGCTCCAACATTGTTTTCATCTTCCATGCCCTTGCAGTTCGAGGTTCCATCACACACAAGTGACTTGTCAATACAAACTCCATCTCCACAGTGAAAATCAGTTCCATTACATCGATATGAGGCTGAATTAAAAAAAGTAAAATATGCAGAACAATTGAATTCTTACAGCAAGTATTCCCTTAGACGTTGATCTTCCGTCAAAAGACCCCCACTCTTAATGCTGAGTCTTCAGATGCTCTTTGAAATTTTCATAGAAATTGAAACAGAAATTGTATAATTTTTGCTATTCTTCCAAAGGACGTAAATAATCTATAAGGACTAATATGAAACTCTATGTAGTGTTAATATATTTACAGAAAATGCTTAATTAGAAAGACCTTACATCTATAGAAGTGAAAATAGATAGCCCAGGAGTCCATCACTGATATTTATTAGTGATAGAAAACAGTTCATACCAATCCATGTAATCTATGCTGCAGGTATATATATACTATATGCACCTACCGCTACAGTTAAGTTCATCGGAACCATCTTTACAATCCTTGGAACCGTCACACTGCACAGAGTTCGACAAACAGACACGTTCCTCTAAACACATGATCTGATCTCTGACACATGTAGTATTGCCTGAAATATATTACTACATATTACAAGTAAAAGCTAATGTGAACTTTATAATACACAATTTCAGTTTGATAAATTTTTATAATAAAGAAGAAGCAAGTTTGTAAAACCAACCAAACAGCAAGTAATATCTTCCTGAGACAAGAAACTAACTTTATAAACGGCAAACGTGAAAAAGATTCAGACTAGCAGAGAGACAACTTATTTCAGTAACACGCCATCGGCCCGTAATACATTTATACAGCATGAGAAATCACGCATGCTGGAGTAAAGTACATGTATAAAAAGAAATGAATGACTCGTGGTCGTTGTTTATCATACAATAAAACACTGCTTGAGAATAAACAACTTGGGGCGCAGCTACATCATGTAACAATTTTCCTAATGAAAAATGTATGCAGGATCTGGGACTTCTGAATTACAGTCTACTACCGATTTTCGAAAGGAAACCTCATAAGTCATACACAAATCTACAAAGTCACTGACAGACATGGTCAAATAGAAAAATGGGAAGAAAATCACACCACAGAATTGAGCTGCAGTTACGGCAGAAGAAAAAATACCAAAGCTAAATACAAGTGTTATGGTCTCATCTTTAACATGCCTGTATGCATGAGTAATAAGGAGTCTATTTTGTGGATGCATATAAATCAAATCTGTTTTTGTAAGATGATGCCACACGATATGAATGACACCATCTAGCAGAGAGCTCTAGACAATGCTGGTCTTCTGCTGGGAGAATAAAGAACTAGGGGCGCAGCTATATAATATGACAATTTCCTCTAGCAGAGAGCTCTAGACAATGCTGGTCTTCTGCTGAGAGAATAAAGAACTAGGGGCGCAGCTATATAATATGACAATTTCCTCTAGCAGAGAGCTCTAGACAATGCTGGTCTTCTGCTGGGAGAATAAAGAACTAGGGGCGCAGCTATATAATATGACAATTTCCTCTAGCAGAGAGCTCTAGACAATGCTGGTCTTCTGCTGGGAGAATAAAGAACTAGGGGCGCAGCTATATAATATGACAATTTTCTCAAGCAGAGAGTTCTAGACAGTGCTGGCCTACTGCTGGGAGAATAAAGAACTAGGGGCGCAGCTATATAATATGTCAATTTCCTCTAGCAGAGAGCTCTAGACAGTGCTGGTCTTCTGCTGGGAGAATAAAGAACTAGGGGCGCAGCTATATGATATGACAATTTCCACTAGCAGAGAGTTCTAGACAGTGCTGGTCTGCTGGGAGAATAAACAACTAGGGGCGCAGCTATATGATATGACAATTTCTTCTAGCAGAGAGCTCTAGACAGTGCTGGTCTTCTGCTGGGAGAATAAACAACTAGGGGCGCAGCTATATAATATGACAATTTCCACTAGCAGAGAGTTCTAGACAGTGCTGGTCTTCTGCTGGGAGAATAAACAACTAGGGGCGCAGCTATATGATATGACAATTTCCTCTAGCAGAGAGCTCTAGACAGTGCTGGTCTTCTGCTGGGAGAATAAACAACTAGGGGCGCAGCTATATGATATGACAATTTCCTCTAGCAGAGAGTTCGAGATGGAGATGGAAAGACACATGTCTGTATGCAATAGAAATTAAGAGTTTAATTTTCTTGGATGCATATAAATCAAACCTGTCTTTTGAAGAGAAGGAAACACGATATGAATGTCACTATCTTGCAGATAACTTGCAGTCAGGATCATTGTCACAGACCCAGGAGCTGTGGATGCATTCGCAAGACGTTTTACATTTAAATTCTGAATTGGAACATTTAGTAGTCTTACCAATGCAATTGGTTTCATCACTCCCGTCATGGCAGTCAACGTCTCCATCGCAGTACCAGGCTCTATTGATACACGTGCCTTTATCACAGAGAAATTTATCTGGCGCACACGAATGTGGGGACTCTGGAAAGTAAAGGCTGTTCAATTTCATATTTGGCATTATTAAAACATAAAAAAATCTTCCTTAATTCATTTCCAAAAATCTAAAATTTCAATAATCTGGAGTAACTCACAAAAAACATTTTAAATAACAAAAAAAGGATTCACAACAACAAGTATTTATTCCACGATACAAGAAGTGCTTTCATGGGTCATTTCCAATCTTTAGGAACGAACAAAATACAGTAGTCAAAGTGCTGAAGAAGGTATGCGAATGTTTAGCAACGTACCACACTTGTCCTCATCAGAGCCATCTTTACAGTCCCTGTCTCCATCACACTTCCATCGCTGTGATATACACATTCCATCACCACAGCGGAATGTGCCTCCCTCGCAGGTGACAGCTAAAAAGTAATTTCAGTTATTTAATATCCTCCCAATATAAAATGAACCGCAAAAGAAACGTCACCCCAAGTAACATTGCATGAAAACAAAGTTTCTAAAATTTAACATTACCTTGTGCGGAAAAATGAAATTTGATGAAAAAAAACCAAAGCAGATGACAATAAAACCGATCGCCCAAACGCATCACGCAACGGCCATGGTAACCCGATGCACGTGAGTTCCGTGCAAATTGAAATGCACAAGCGTTCCCCTATTGCTTGCCCTATAAAAATCCACCCAGATCGGATAACATTCATTCGTTATTGAATTGCTACCACAAGACAAGATTGAAAAGAAATCAGCGACACCAAGCCCTTGGACGATTTCAAGCTGGACAAACCGCCCGGCAAGTAGCCAATGCATTTCAAGTCCACGTAAGGACCATATACATACATATAACTCATAGATATGTATGATGATCTCTGTGAACAGGGTGTTACTTTTATCCTTGGTGATCTTAATGCAGATATTTGTAAGCACAATCTCTCTGCCCGGGATAAGCTAGTTAGCACTGCTATCTCTGATAGACACCTCCTACACACCATTAGTGAGTTCGCAACCCATTCCCCACGTTATACATGTAGATCCAAGGATAACACCTTAAAGAGTATGATTGACTATATCCTGGTACCCTCGTGGATAAAAGACCATGTTACCGATCTCCATGTTATAGATACATGCCCTTATACGGTGTCAGATCATCTCCCATGTTTATTATCTATGTCATTGAGAGCCTTTGGTCGAAATAATCTCAATATTAACCCCCCTGTTCCAAAATGGAACAAAGCAAGTCAAGATGATATACTCATGTACCAGTGTGAATTTGGTACATATCTTAACTCCTTTCACGACTGTAATCTGTCTTGTCAGGCTGAAAATGTTGACACATATAGCGACCATATAAGTAAATGCCTTTTACTTGCAAGTTCCAAATATATCCCTAAATGTGAATATAAACCTTATCTTAAACCATTCTGGAAACCTGATGGACTAAATGATGCACATTACCGTATGAGGGCTGCTCGACGTGCATGGCTAAATAACGGTAAACGCAGGGACGAAAACTCGGATTCGCGCATCTCTTATAAAACTGAAAAGAGACACTTCAGGCGCCTCTATCGAAAATCGAAAAGGTCCAACAAAAAGAATACCCTAAGGGAAATTGAGAGGTCAGCTGAACTTGATATAAATTCTTTTTATAAAACTGTTAGAAAACAACGAGGGAGGGTGGCCGAGATACCTATACTTAACTATAAGGATGAATGTGGTTCTACACCCTCAGCTATTTGCAGATTATGGGGTAAATATTTTTCAGATTTAGCCAAACCCTACCATTCCGAAGGATTTGATGATGTATTTAAAGAAGATATAACTAGTAAGGTACAGATATTCTATGCAGGAGAACATTTTATTTATTCCTTACGTATACTTTTTAATCATATGATGAAACTACAATATGTACCTTATGATTATAGACTTGGTATGGTCATACCAATATATAAGGGGAAGAATGAAAAATCTGACCCTCGAAATTATAGAGGTATTACTCTCACATCATGTCTCTGTAAACTCTTTGAAAAAATACTGCTCAAACGTATAGAAGACAAACTATGTAGACTTAACCCAGACTTTCCTGATATGCTACAGTTTGGTTTTAGAAAAGAACATGGAGCTATTATGTCAGTATTTACTTTGATCGAAGGCATTCAGTATTACATACAAAGGGACTCTGCAGTCTATGCAGCTTTCTTAGATAATGAAAAAGCATTCGATAGGATATGGCACGATGGATTATTTTACAAACTACATAAACTGGGCATTAGAGGTAATACATGGAAATTACTACATCATTGTTATACAAATAGTTATGCTTATATTTCCTACCAAGGTGAACAATCAGACAGATATATGGTTCAACAAGGTGTTGGCCAAGGCAGAGTAATCTCTGCTTGGTTTTTTCTTGTTTTTATAAATGACCTCATTACAGCCCTTAGACAAGCACAATGTGGCATCCGTGCATATGGTATGGATATTCCTGCAGTCTTGCTTGCCGACGATACTACACTTATTAGCGCATCACCGAGAGGCTTACAAACATCCCTTGATATTGTACATACATATGCCTCAAGGTGGCGCCTAACATATAATCCATCAAAAAGTGCAATAATTGTGTTCACCAAAGCAAAACGCAAGGGATATAACTGTCATTGTAAACTTGGTAATACACACACTACTACAACTGACTCTACGGTGTATGGTGGAATACTTCTAACATACAATCTGTCCTGTAAAACAAGAATTGAAAAGTACTGTCAGAAAGCAAGACAAAATATTAACTCCCAAAGATCTTTAGGATTAAATAGTTATGATCTTCATCCAATTTCAAGCGTGAAAATATGGCTCAGAATGATACTCACAACCAGCCTTTATGGATGTGAATTACTCTATGACATCAAGGGTCAACATGCCGCTCTGTTGGAAGGCACGCAAAGATATTTTGCACGCATTGTACAGGGTCTTGATAAAAGATCTCCCTCAGAATCTACTATTTCGAACCTTGGACTTTGGACAATTACTGCATATATTGATAAATGCAAACTTTTATTTCTTGGTCGTTTATGCAATCTGAGCTGTAATAACTTTGCAAAAGATATTTTTGCGCGTCCATTGCAAGCCCTGTCAATTCAAAGACAATCTGTGGAGATCTTAAATCAACACTTGATAAATACAATCTGAGTCCCTACCTTCGTGCATATACTCAGTACGGTACTTTCCCTCCAAAATTGAAATGGAGAAATCGTGTTAACGAAACTATATGCAAATACGATGAACAATCATGGCTCACAAATGTATCAAATAACGCAAGCATGTCCCGTTATAAGAGAATTCATACGAAATTAACATACCATGTACTTTGGCAATTAGCTTTTCTGTACCCGGAATATCGACCTGCTTTACAACTCTGTGTGAAAGTCTCATCACGTAGTAAACTTTCGAAAGAGTGCATGCTCTGTAATAGGCATGCTTTTGACTATGACAGCCACGTTATTTTACATTGTGAAGCGCTGATATCAGAAAGAAATGCGTTTTTCTCTTCTCTCATTGACGTACTTGACGTTCAAAAATATGTTGATTTTGAAATGCAAGATGAAACAGATATGTTATCAGTCTTATTTGGGGCTGAAACAAAATTTCCTCACAATCTGGATCAACACACCTGGGAAACTATTATACTTCAGTTCTCCTCGTATCTGTACAAACTAAGGCATCTTTTGATATATATCTTCTAGTGAAAATCTGTCATCATTTAGGTATCTGAATTTGATAAACTGTGTGTAATTGTAAATATGTTGTGCCTTTTTTTATTGTGTTAACTGCGTGTAATTGAATATATATTCATTGTAATCTTCGGAATCGCATCTGGAGGAAATAAAGAATCTCTCTCTCTCTCTCGCAAGTAATATCTTCCTGAGACAAGAAACTAACTTTATAAACGGCAAACGTGAAAAAGATTCAGACTAGCAGAGAGACAACTTATTTCAGTAACACGCCATCGGCCCATAATGCATTTATACAGCATGAGAAATCACGCATGCTGGAGTAAAGTACATGTATAAAAAGAAATGAATGACTCGTGGTCGTTGTTTATCATACAATAAAACACTGCTTGAGAATAAACAACTTGGGGCGCAGCTACATCATGTAACAATTTTCCTAATGAAAAATGTATGCAGGATCTGGGACTTCTGAATTACAGTCTACTACCGATTTTCGAAAGGAAACCTCATAAGTCATACACAAATCTACAAAGTCACTGACAGACATGGTCAAATAGAAAAATGGGAAGAAAATTACACCACAGAATTGAGCTGCAGTTACGGCAGAAGAAAAAATACCAAAGCTAAATACAAGTGTTATGGTCTCATCTTTAACATGCCTGTATGCATGAGTAATAAGGAGTCTATTTTGTGGATGCATATAAATCAAATCTGTTTTTGTAAGATGATGCCACACGACATGAATGACAACACCATCTAGCAGAGAGCTCTAGACAATGCTGGTCTTCTGCTGGGAGAATAAAGAACTAGGGGCGCAGCTATATAATATGACAATTTCCTCTAGCAGAGAGCTCTAGACAATGCTGGTCTTCTGCTGGGAGAATAAAGAACTAGGGGCGCAGCTATATAATATGACAATTTTCTCAAGCAGGGAGTTCTAGACAGTGCTGGCCTACTGCTGGGAGAATAAAGAACTAGGGGCGCAGCTATATAATATGACAATTTTCTCTAGCAGTGAGCTCTAGACAATGCTGGTTTTCTGCTGGGAGAATAAAGAACTAGGGGCGCAGGTATATAATATGACAATTTTCTCAAGCAGAGAGTTCTAGACAGTGCTGGCCTACTGCTGGGAGAATAAAGAACTAGGGGCGCAGCTATATAATATGACAATTTTCTCAAGCAGAGAGTTCTAGACAGTGCTGGCCTACTGCTGGGAGAATAAAGAACTAGGGGCGCAGCTATATAATATGACAATTTTCTCTAGCAGAGAGCTCTAGACAGTGCTGGTCTTCTGCTGGGAGAATAAAGAACTAGGGGCGCAGCTATATAATATGACAATTTTCTCAAGCAGAGAGTTCTAGACAGTGCTGGCCTACTGCTGGGAGAATAACAACCAGGGGCGCAGCTATATAATATGTCAATTTCCTCTAGCAGAGAGCTCTAGACAGTGCTGGTCTTCTGCTGGGAGAATAAACAACTAGGGGCGCAGCTATATGATATGACAATTTCCTCTAGCAGAGAGCTCTAGACAGTGCTGGTCTTCTGCTGGGAGAATAAACAACTAGGGGCGCAGCTATATAATATGACAATTTTCTCAAGCAGAGAGTTCTAGACAGTACTGGTCTGCTGCTGGGAGAATAACAACCAGGGGCGCAGCTATATAATATGTCAATTTCCTCTAGCAGAGAGCTCTAGACAGTAATGGCCTACTGCTGAGAGAATAAAGAACTAGGGGCGCAGCTATATAATATGTCAATTTCCTCTAGCAGAGAGATCTGGACAATGCTGGTCTACTGCTGGGAGAATAACAACCAGGGGCGCAGCTATATAATATGACAATTTCCTCTATCAGAGAGTTCTAGACAGTGATGCTCTTCTGCTGGGAGAATAAAGAACTAGGGGCGCAGCTATATGATATGACAATTTCCTCTAGCAGAGAGTTCTAGACAGTAATGGCCTACTGCTGAGAGAATAAAGAACTAGGGGCGCAGCTATATAATATGACAATTTTCTCTAGCAGTGAGCTCTAGACAGTGCTGGTCTTCTGCTGGGAGAATAAAGAACTAGGGGAGCAGCTATATGATATGACAATTTCCTCTAGCAGAGAGTTCTAGACAGTAATGGCCTACTGCTGAGAGAATAAAGAACTAGGGGCGCAGCTATATAATATGACAATTTTCTCTAGCAGTGAGCTCTAGACAGTGCTGGTCTTCTGCTGGGAGAATAAAGAACTAGGGGAGCAGCTATATGATATGACAGTTTCCACTAGCAGAGAGTTCTAGACAGTGCTGGTCTTCTACTGAGAGAATAAACAACTAGGGGCTCAGCTATATGATATGACAATTTCCTCTAGCAGAGAGCTCTAGACAGCGCTGGTCTTCTGCTGGGAGAATAAACAACTAGGGGCGCAGCTATATAATATAACAATTTCCACTAGCAGAGAGTTCTAGACAGTGCTGGTCTTCTGCTGGGAGAATAAGGAACTAGGGGCGCAGCTATATGATATGACAATTTCCTCTAGCAGAGAGTTCTAGACAGTGCTGGTCTTCTGCTGGGAGAATAAAGAACTAGGGGAGCAGCTATATGATATGACAATTTCCTCTAGCAGAGAGTTCTAGACAGTGCTGGTCTGCTAGGAGAATAAACAACTAGGGCCGCAGCTATATAATATGACAATTTCCTCTAGCAGAGAGTTCTAGACAGTGCTGGTCTTCTGCTGGGAGAATAAAGAACTAGGGGAGCAGCTATATAATATGACAATTTCCACTAGCAGAGAGTTCTGGACAGTGCTGGTCTTCTGCTGGGAGAATAAACAACTAGGGGCGCAGCTATATGATATGACAATTTCCTCTAGCAGAGAGCTCTAGACAGTGCTGGTCTACTGCTGGGAGAATAACAACCAGGGGCGCAGCTTTATAATATGACAATTTCCTCTGGCAGAGAGCTCTAGACAGTGCTGGTCTTCTGCTGGGAGAATAAACAACTAGGGGCGCAGCTATATAATATGACAATTTCCTCTAGCAGAGAGCTCTAGACAGTGCTGGTCCTCTGCTGGGAGAATAAAGAACTAGGGGCGCAGCTATATGATATGACAATTTCCACTAGCAGAGAGTTCTAGACAGTGCTGGTCTTCTGCTGGGAGAATAAAGAACTAGGGGCGCAGCTATATGATATGACAATTTCCTCTAGCAGAGAGTTCGAGGTGGAGATGGAAAGACACATGTCTGTATGCAATAGAAATTAAGAGTTTAATTTTCTTGGATGCATATAAATCAAACCTGTCTTTTGAAGAGAAGGAAACACGATATGAATGTCACTATCTTGCAGATAACTTGCAGTCAGGATCATTGTCACAGACCCAGGAGCTGTGGATGCATTCGCAAGACGTTTTACATTTAAATTCTGAATTGGAACATTTAGTAGTCTTACCAATGCAATTGGTTTCATCACTCCCGTCATGGCAGTCAACGTCTCCATCGCAGTACCAGGCTCTATTGATACACGTGCCTTTATCACAGAGAAATTTATCTGGCGCACACGAATGTGGGGACTCTGGAAAGTAAAGGCTGTTCAATTTCATATTTGGCATTATTAAAACATAAAAAAATCCTCCTTAATTCATTTCCAAAAATCTAAAATTTCAATAATCTGGAGTAACTCACAAAAAAACATTTTAAATAACAAAAAAAGGATTCACAACAACAAGTATTTATTCCACGATACAAGAAGTGCTTTCATGGGTCATTTCCAATCTTTAGGAACGAACAAAATACAGTAGTCAAAGTGCTGAAGAAGGTATGCGAATGTTTAGCAACGTACCACACTTGTCCTCATCAGAGCCATCTTTACAGTCCCTGTCTCCATCACACTTCCATCGCTGTGATATACACATTCCATCACCACAGCGGAATGTGCCTCCCTCGCAGGTGACAGCTAAAAAGTAATTTCAGTTATTTAATATCCTCCCAATATAAAATGAACCGCAAAAGAAACGTCACCCCAAGTAACATTGCATGAAAACAAAGTTTCTAAAATTTAACATTACCTTGTGCGGAAAAATGAAATTTGATAAAAAAAAAACAAAGCAGATGACAATAAAACCGATCGCCCAAACGCATCACGCAACGGCCATGGTAACCCGATGCAGGTGAGTTCCGTGCAAATTGAAATGCACAAGCGTTCCCCTATTGCTTGCCCTATAAAAATCCACCCAGATCGGATAACATTCATTCGTTATTGAATTGCTACCACATGACAAGATTGAAAAGAAATCAGCGACACCAAGCCCTTGGACGATTTCAAGCTGGACAAACCGCCCGGCAAGTAGCCAATGCATTTCAAGTCCACGTAAGGACCATATACAGGTTCCATCAATGGTACCAGACCAACAACACTACAGATGACCGACCACGTAGTGGAAGACCAAGGGTCACCGCCCGACGTCAGGATCGTCAGATTGTGCGACAGCATCTTCAAGATCGCTTTGTTATTGCTGCGGAAACTGCTGGACGGCCATGGGGACACACTAGTGCGGACACCTTGCGTCGACGATTGACGGGCAGACACCTTCACTGTCACAGGCCACACCGAGGACCCATTCTGACACCACGTCATCGCCGGGACCGTCTTCAGTGGGCAACACAGCACCAGCATTGGCGCCAACAGCACTAGAGAAGAGTCCTCTTCTCCGACGAGAGCCGTTACTGTATCTCAACAGCAGATGACACACAGAGAGAGTCTGGCGACGCAGTGGGGAACGTTTTTCAGATGCTTGTGTTGTTGAGAGAGACTCGTGGGGTGGTCCGAGCATCATGGTGTGGGGTGGAACTGGTCTTGCACAGAGGGTCGGCCCTGTAGTCTTCCGTAACATCGGTCGAGGGAGAGGCAATGGTGTCATAGCAGCTCGGTACATTGATCAAGTCTTGAGACCACAGGTCATACCTCATTTCGCACGTCGCCGCAAGCGCGAGTTTCAGCATGATAACGCCCGTGCCCACACAGCGAGAGCAACAAGTGACTTCCTCAGAATGGCATCAGAACCATGCAGTGGCCTGCCCTCAGTCCCGATTTAAATTCCACTGAGCACCTTTGGGACGAGATTCAAATACGGTTGAATGACGTCCGACCAAGGCTGACAACTGCAGCTGAACTGCATCAGGCGTTCCTCAGAGTATGGCCTTCATCAACCGCCTCATCCATTCCATCTATCGACGTTGCACGGCAGTCATCAATGCACATGGCGGATACTGACTTGTGATGCCATTTTCTCAGAGACTAGTGTTTAAGAACATTTGTCGGTTTAAGTTCAACCTTGATGATCAGTTTTGCCAAGTTTCATCTTTTTAATATGTCTCAAAGTATGTTTACAGTGTTTGGATAAATAAGGTTTCTCATATATCTATCCATGGTGACGTTTATTTTGTGGTTCAGTATATAACAGAAAGATACGAAACAGTTATATTGTCTGAATATCAAGGGATAAAAGCCATTACTCAGCAAAAGTATAATTTACATTAAACACGTTCAAAGTCGTTACTTTAACTGACTGATTACTCACTGCAATTCGTTTCATCTTCCCCGACGATTCCCCCGCAATCTTGCTGTCCATCACATACCCAGTTTGAAGGGATACATTGACCTGAATTGCAGCCAAACTTATCTGGACCGCACGTTTTAATGTCTTAAAATAAAAACAAATAATAATGTTATACTTTTCAATGCAATACAATATCACAGACTGCAGTATCCAAATTTCACAGTTGTCGCAGTTTATCTGTAAACAAAAGAAATGTGTAAGATATCTCTTTGAAAAGGTTATAAACAACTATTTTTCTGAATATAACCATCATAAACGTTAGGTATGTCAAATGATAACTCATCTACAAAACATACTGTTTAAAAGGTTTTCTTGGCTGCTTTCAAGATGAAAATAATTACAAAATAAACAAGGGGTATGTGTTGTCCATGCCAGCCTGGAAAATGGTACGTAGCAACTTCCTATTTCTCGCTGGACAATAAAAAACGGGATTTCATCCGAGCATGAAGCATGATTTCGGCAAGTTTTTCTCTCATTTAATTAATGTTTTGAAATAAATCTAACTTGTGCACCGATAATCAAGTGATCGGTGATCCAAATAGAGAATCTCAACCGAGTGTCTTTTGATATCAAATATATCAACACGAGTTGATAAAAGTGGGAAAGCTCCGAGGTTTGCCGAGGATTGTTTCCACTTTTGTCAACGAGTGTTGATATATTTGATATCAAAAGACACGAGGGTGAGATTTTATTTAGCATCCAACATCATTCTTCCAACTTTTTCAGTTTGTAGACAGTAATAACCAGTGTCTAAGTGTGAAAAATACTGCTGACAGCTTAAGCAGCAGATCCATTAGTGATGTCATTTGATTGTGACGTCCTGGTAACCAATGACGTCACATTGTTCTGCAACGCATTGTGATGCAATTTCATTGCAGCGATATCTACAGTGTAGGTATTGCTTAATCTCATCCAAGCGATATCTCCCATGGGAGCCAGTTTTGGATGATAAAATCCAGTTACAGGACAGTGCATTTTCTGATTTTTTTGTAACTAACAAAAACGATAGGTCAATTTCGAAATACGTAAAGCAAGGTCCATTGTACGATTCCGACTATTATAGATGAATCACTATCACAGAGTGATGACACCAGGTGTTCGCGAAAGGGTGAGCATATCCGGCCCCACCGGTGGCACCCGTCACAAACATCTGAAAGGCAAATCTGAAAATATTAGAACAACAAAAAAGACGACCGGCTCCGTGGTCTAGTGGTAGAGCGTCTGACCAGAGAGCGGAATGTGAGAAGGGGGCTCGGAATCAGAATACTGTGTCTGAGTGTGGTATTCATGTTAAACTGCGGCATGGTATCTCAGTGGAGAAGCACTATAAAATCGGCATTAGTACAAGCAGCCACACATTTTCAAATGTCCTCCATGTCTTAACCTTGATCGTACCGCCTCCGTGGTCTTGTGGTAGAGCGTCCGCCCGGAGAGCGGAAGGTCCGGGGCTCGATCCCCGGCCGCGTCATACCCAAAGAAGTTAAAAGATGGTACTTGTTGTTACCCTGTCTGGCGCTCGGCATTAAGGGGCTAAAACATGGACTGGTCGGCTCGGAGTCAGTTTACTGTGTCTGAGTGGGATATTCATGTTAAACTGCGGCATGGTATCTCAGTGAGCTAGCACTATAAATCGGCATCAGTCCGGACTAGTACAAGCAGCCACACAAACACACACACGTACATGCACGTCGCTATATAAGTGCAATAATCTTGGACGCGACGTTCAACCCCATTTCAACTCACCTCACCTCACCTTAACCTTGATCAAACAACTTTTGAGCAAGAGTTGCATGAAGCTCTTCTAAATCTTCGTCAAAAGAGCTTTCTCGATTGTTCCTCGAATGTTGTATAAAGGCTGGAGCTGCTGGAGTATTGAATGACGTTAAGGGAGAGTTGTTCCTCGAATGTTGTATAAAGGCTGGAGCTGCTGGAGTATAACATGACGTTAAGGGAGAGTTGTTCCTCGAATGTTGTATAAAGGCTGGAGCTGCATTACATGACGTAAAGGGAGAGTTGTTCCTCGAATGTTGTATAAAGGCTGGAGCTGCCGGAGTATTACATGGCGCAAAGGGAGAGTTGACTATTGGAAAGGCAAAGTCGTCCCCCTTGTCATACCGTCATGTTGATAGTTTTTGTCACTCTGAAAGTTTATACCCAGATCCAAATGTGAAACAGAAAGTCAGTTTTATGGTCGCCTTCATTTCTAGTTCAGGTGGATAAATCAGTGGCTGTTTAACTATTAATGAACGATATCAGACCAACGTTATATCTCAAGCTAAAAGTTAAACTTCTTACCTTGTTTAAATGTTTTACTAATCCAAGCTGAAATTCCATTTCAAATGTTTAAAAGAAACAGTTCAGCCAGAGGAGGAGATGAAGTGGTGCTCATGGGGGTGCATTATTCTTTCCTAATGCCTTATCCTGATATTTCACATTGAGGTTATCAATTAGGAAGCCCAGCATTTCCCATATTTCTTTCTCAGTAACTTCAGACGATATTTGTTTCATTTTGGACAATTTATCCTGAACCTCTGGGGAAAAATGTAGAGATGTAACTATGGTGACCAGGTTCAGTAACAGTTGTACCAGGGATCAAGGAATGCAGTTTTTTCTTGTCTGTCATCTGTGTGATAGGGTGTACAAATTTGAAAAATCAATTTTTTTTAAATGATAGAACTTATTTTCTTTTCTGAGTTTATAAGCAAATCCCTTGGGAATTTTTGGAAGCCACATGATATTAATTCCTCTTGTCTCAAATACTTTTTGTGAATATAAAGACAGAAGTCATTCCATGATTGTGGTTAATCTTTGAGACAGGGATTTGGTGGTACATTTGCTGGGCCCAGCAATATTTCTCTCTGCACGGATGTATATGGAGTTTTGAAATCCATTACAAAAGAGGGATGGACATGTCTTCAGGTTTCATGTCTTCAAAGGTTACTAATACTGGTGTGTGCCATGAGCATATTTTTCCTCAATAACATACTGGCCTTATACTAGTATGTGGTGTTATTTCATCTTTCGCATCGATTTGACCTTATTCTTTTTCTTTCAGAACCATGGACATCGAGGCAATTAGTTAGTCATGTGTGTCGTCATTTAATACCGATTCCTCAACCTAAAGCACCAACGTAAAAGGGAAAAATGATTTAATGTGTGAATTGATGTCTGAAGACGTACAAGTCTGATTATGGCGTATCACTGTATGTCAATTGTTTTACTGTAATCCCTAATTACAATAAAAATGGCTTCCATCATACCTAAGGTAGAAGCATAAATATCCTCAACATGGCCACATTTTTAGCTTGTAGGCAATTTGAAGTCAGGAACAAGATAAAAATCACATGTTGCCCAGCAACCACGACTGTCAGCTTATATAAAACACTAACAACCTGGACAGTGTGAAACCATCTACCATCCACTCGTACAGTTTTTGTTTTGTAAAATATTTCAGATTATATTCATCACGCAAAGGTTACACATTGATGCACATCGTAAAACAGCCTAATACTGCTAGAATTGGCACCCAAAAGTACGCTAGTATGAATTGATATTGTCGTTTTCACGCTGAAAGGCACCTAGTTTTGGCTATCACGCCAGATGACATGAAAACTTATTATTGAGTGTCCTATATAAATACCATAACGACTTTGGACTGGAAGCCCTTCGGTGCATGATATATAAGTTCGATTTAGTTCATAATATCAATTCAAAGGCATAAAATATTGCCTCATGTGCTCGGGTGAAATCAATTTTTGTACTGTCTAGCAAGAAATTGGTAGTTGATTCGTACCAACTTACGGTTTGGCGGGGCAGCGCTGACCCATGTTTAGTATACGCACTACAAAGGTCCTGGGCTTCGTCTGAACCGTCTTTACAATCATTGTCCTTGTCACAGGTCCATCTCTTTGGGATGCATTTACCGCCTACACAGTGAAACTCAGATCCACTGCAAGTTGCTCTTACTGAAAGAATACAAAATATCATTGTACTCGACAAAGGTGAGATAATCCTACTGGGGACCATGGCGACTTCTAGTATTCCTACCACCTGTACGATACACCAGCAGGAATTACACTGGAAGAAAACATCACCTGTACGATATACCGGCAGGATTACACTGGAAGAAAACATCACCTGCACGATATACCAGCAGGATTTGCACTGGAAGAAAACATCACCTGTACGATACACCAGCAGGATTTACACTGGAAGAAAACATCACCTGTACGATATACCGGCAGGATTCACACTGGAAGAAAACATCACCTGTACGATATACCGGCAGGATTCACACTGGAAGAAAACATCACCTGCACGATATACCGGCAGGATTTACACTGGAAGAAAACATCACCTGTACGATACACCAGCAGGATTTACACTGGAAGAAAACATCACCTGCACGATATACCGGCAGGATTTACACTGGAAGAAAACATCACCTGTACGATACACCAGCAGGATTTACACTGGAAGAAAACATCACCTGCACGCTGTTTACATTGCTTGAAATGTAGGTTCATCTTTATGCCAATAATTGTGATTTAGACGTAAACATACGTAACTGTATGGTCGTTCATACTTAAATTAATTGTATGTTAATTTGGACTAGACATTTAACTTAAATAAGAGCGACATCCATTTCCATAATCATAAGAAGTAGGTGTAAATCTTCCCGGCGAGCTCAAAAGTAAAATTTAAGGACGTGTTTGGCCAAGAAGTTTAACTTCTGTTATCGTTCAATAATCGTCAAATGGCCCGTTCCCTTCAACGCATTTATCCACCTGTTGCAATGGCAAATAACGAGACCTGTGAAGCCACTTCATTTGTTCTATGTTTGGGCTTAAAGCTATGACTTCAACATTCCAATAGTCAACTTTTCCTTTATGCTGAACAATATTCCAGTCTTTGGTGTCTACATTTCACAACGTTTGAGGAGCAACCGAGCATACTCCTTCTACGAAGAGCGTCATACGACTCTTGCTCAAGAGTTGTTGGTCAGGGTTACAACATTCAAAGCCTCAATAAAACTTTCAAAACGTTTTACTGTAGACAAAGGGACAGCATCTCCAAAGTTGATGTCTGATGGAATTCACTAATTTGACTGGTTCTATGTGTTTTTTACGTGTTTTTGCAGGTTATCACAAACGTGCCTTTGCAGGTGTTTGTGACGGTAGGGCAGGATACGGTCGCCTTTCCTCGAACACCTGGTTTTATCACTACTTGATAGTGATTCATAAACACCAGCTTAGGATCTTAAAGTCAACGTTATCGATCTATGTATGTATTTGACACTTTTATTTATTGTTAATGCCATATTTGCAACAAGGGATAAGCCTTGCAAAGATTTACTGTACAAGCATATCTAAGTTAGTGAAGGTAGGCATTTCTTCAAGTAATGTCCACTTAACGTCCTGAAAAGAAACGTTGAAAGGGTCGACATTTATTTTATCTCCTGCTTTCAGTAAACAACATTGAGTGTCTTGAAGCAGTGACAGATGCCATATGATGTGACTCCCTGGTATGGTTGTTCTACAATATCAAGTTTCTGTTGCAAATATAAAACGTCAACGACAGAGAAAAATAAGATGAATTTGAAGGTCTCTTTCATCTACGATCATCTTTGGGACTCTCTCCCCCCTTTTGAATTCCGCTGCCCACCTCTTACTAGTGGCAAAGAGAAGAGCATAAACCACCCTAAAATAAAACCATATCCACACTGATAGCTATTGGAGTTAACCCTTTCAACGGTGGATGCCTAGTCACTTCGATGCAGAAAAAAGGCTTCCTTGTTGTTTCCAGTGTAGCCTGTAAGCACGGAAAGTGTTACACACAACCGGTTACGGCTGCACATCCTTCGTAGTTCGGCTCAGAAGATTGCAGCCACCACTTGTAGTCATCGTGAGGCGTGTGCAAGTTCAATGTCTTTGAACCTTGGAATCTGACAACCTTATTCTTACAACGACACCTGGAATGCTGGAATACATATGAATCCAGCCAAGAAAGAATTCGAGAAACGAGTTAACCTCAAAAAGTAAAATGTTTATCTTTATGTGAATGAAAGAGGCAATGAAGATGTGAAATAGAATTCGCCCGTCACGGCGATGGCTGAGTTTCCATTTCCAATGTAGCTATAATATGTGAAGCCTATTTCTTGTGTCCCCATGTATAATTTCCAGTTGCTGGCATGCATAATCAACGAAAAACTGATTATGTCGATTTGTATAAACATTTATTATAATTGAAAAAAAATATTTTGTCGACTTTCAGTTGAGTTACATGAATAATGACATAACCCTTTTTCAAATATGTTTTGGTAAATAACTGGTACTTACCACAATCTTCCTCGTCAGAGTTGTCTCCACAATCGTCTTCCCGATCGCATCTCCAGCTGCTAGAGATGATTCTACCGCTTGTACATTGAAACTTGGTGGCTGGGAGAGGGGTGTTGGTTGGAGTGACTTCACCTTGATATAACAACCGTTGGTTGGAGGAGAGAACTGTCTGTCATACAACTCTTTTCTACATCCATTCTGATACCTCAGAACAAACTGTTATCCCACCATCGTAATGGCTCAGGACAAACTGTTAGCACGTGGTGTTATTATTATAAAATGCAGAAGACTACAAGAAATATCCGATGTCCCAAGGCAAACTGCTATCAAATATACCTGTGGTCCCAGGACAAATTAATATCACATATCTTCATATCTGTTGACAGTATTATCCATAGATCCTAATGCTCTCTCAGATCAAACTGAAACTGATATCCCTAAATAGTAGAGTGCCAGGACAAACTGATATCCTTTTATCAATAGTCCCAGAACAAACAGATATCTCAAAATCTCAACGTCTCACATCAAACCGATATCCCTAAATCGTAATGTCTTAGGTCAAACTATCCCTAAACTAAATCCTTATATCTCAGGGAAAATCTATATTCCCAATTCCCTAGGACCAACTGATATCCCTACATCAAAATGTCACAGAACAAACTGATATCGGTAAATCGTAATGATTCAGGCCAAATGAATATCCTTAAATCCAAAATCCCGACGTCAAACTGATATCACTCTACCAGTGGTCTCTGAATATATAGAGAATCTCACCCGAGTGTCTTTTGATATCAAATATATCAACACGAGTTGATAAAAGTGGAAAAATCCGAGGCTTGCCGAGGATTTTTGCCACTTTTATCAACGAGTGTTGATATATTTGATATCAAAAGACACGAGGGTGAGATTTTATTTATCATCCAACATCATTCTTTCAACTTTTTCAATTTGTAGACAGTAATTAGCAGTGTCTTCAGTGTAAAAAGTTCTGCAAACAGCTTCAGTAGCATAGCCATTAGTGATGTCATTTGATTGTGACGTCATGGTAACCAGTGATGTCACAATGGTCTGCAAAGCATTGTGATGTAATTTCATTGCAGCGATATCTACAGTGTAGATATCGCTTGATCTCATCCAAGCGATATCTCCTGTGGGAGCCAGTTTTGGATGATAAACCGATATCCCAAAGTCACACTGTTCCCTTCTTCCCGTGGCAAGGGAGTTAACTGAAATTAAAACTGACAAAACTGATATCCCAACATCATAATGTCCCAGAACAAACAGATATTCCTAAATCCTGAAAACCGATGACCAACTGATGTCCCAGTTACATCCATCACATTTCAGTTTCACTTTGCAATGATTACATCAACCTCTTGCAAACTTTCTATCTTGTTGTCAGCGGTCCATACTTTGCTGTCTTTAATGCAAGCTCTTATCAGCGGCCCATACTTTGTTTGTAATACAAGCTCTTATCAGCGGCCCATACTTTGCTGTCTTTAATGCAAGCTCTTATCTGCAGTCCATACTTTGTTTGTAATACAAGCTCTTTTCATCGGCCCATACTTTGCTGTTTGTAATACAAGCTCTTATCAGCGGCCCATACTTTGCTGTTTGTAATACAAGCTCTTATCAGCGGCCCATACTTTGCTGTTTGTAACACAAGCTCTTGGTTTAAACATATTTTTATTTCAAAAGAAATCTGGATCGGTAAACAAGCAAAACTTGCTTATGTAAATACCTCTCCAGGTAATAACTTAACATCAGCTGGTTATATATCAGATTATATGTAAGATAGTGCTAAACATAAACATACTAAATGCACAAATGAAATATATCAAGTCAATACAAGTGGTGTCTGTGAAATAAGATATAGCAGTTTTCCATTACTACATGCATAAAATTAAGCTACTCGAATCTTTTGCTTTTGACAATGAAATCGTGAACTTATTTAAGAATAGTCATGTTTGTAGAACTGCTAACTAAACTACTGCCATGTAATATCGTTTTTAAATCATACCCATGTGTGTAGAAATACATAGTGTTTCTGATATAATGGTATTTTTGACATGTATAGAAAAAGTGAATTGCGTCTTCACAGTGATACCCACAAGTGCAGTCTGATATGTCTGATACATGTCGTCTAAACTTATCAGCGTTTAGGTCACTGCAGCTCTTATTAGCGGCCCATACTTTGCTGTTTGTACTACAATACAAGCTCTTATCAGCGGTCCATACTTTGCTGTCTGTGCTACAATACAAGCTCTTTTCAGCGGCCCATACTTTGCTGTTTGTAATACAAGCTCTTATCATCGGCCCATACTTTGTTTGTAATACAAGCTCTTATCATCGGCCCATACATTGTTTGTAATACAAGCTCTTATCAGCGGCCTATACTTCGTTTGTAATACAAGCTCTTTTCAGCGGTCCATACTTTGCTGTTTGTAATACAAGCTCTAATCAACGGCCCGTACTTTGTTTGTACTACAAGCTCTTATCAGCGGCCCATACTTTGCTGTTTGTAATACAAGCTCTTATCAGCGGCCCATACTTTGCTGTTTGTAATACAAGCTCTTATCATCGGCCCATACTTTGCTGTTTGTACTACAATACAAGCTCTTATCAGCGGTCCATTCTTTGCTGTTTGTAATACAAGCTCTTATCATCGGTCCATACTTTGCTGTTTGTAATACAAGCTCTTATCATCGGTCCATACTTTGCTGTTTGTACTACAAGCTCTTATCAGCGGTCCATACTTTGCTGTTTGTAATACAAGCTCTTATCATCGGCCCATACTTTGCTGTTAGTACTACAATACAAGCTCTTATCAGCGGTCCATACTTTGCTGTCTGTGCTACAATACAAGCTCTTTCCAGCGGCTCATACTTTGCTGTTTGTAATACAAGCTCTTATCAGCGGCCCATACTTTGCTGTTTGTACTACAATACAAGCTCTTTTCAGCGGCCCATACTTTGCTGTTTGTAATACAAGCTCTTATCATCGGCCCATACTTTGTTTGTAATACAAGCTCTTATCATCGGCCCATACATTGTTTGTAATACAAGCTCTTATCAGCGGCCCATACTTCGTTTGTAATACAAGCTCTTTTCAGCGGTCCATACTTTGCTGTTTGTAATACAAGCTCTAATCAGCGGCCCGTACTTTGTTTGTACTACAAGCTCTTATCAGCGGCCCATACTTTGCTGTTTGTAATACAAGCTCTTATCAGCGGCCCATACTTTGCTGTTTGTAATACAAGCTCTTATCATCGGCCCATACTTTGCTGTTTGTACTACAATACAAGCTCTTATCAGCGGTCCATTCTTTGCTGTTTGTAATACAAGCTCTTATCATCGGTCCATACTTTGCTGTTTGTAATACAAGCTCTTATCATCGGTCCATACTTTGCTGTTTGTACTACAAGCTCTTATCAGCGGTCCATACTTTGCTGTTTGTAATACAAGCTCTTATCATCGGCCCATACTTTGCTGTTTGTACTACAATACAAGCTCTTATCAGCAGCCCATACTTTGCTGTTTGTACTACAATACAAGCTCTTATCATCGGCCCATACTTTGCTGTTTTTATTGCAAACTCATCGACCCTCCAACTGTTTGTAGAAGCTGACATTATTGACCGTTTTACAAATTGATATCACCTGCTCTTTTGAGTTACAAGTTAAAGTTATTGTTGATATCGACTCATGTCCACAGTTTAAATAGAAACTGTTGTACAAACAGTCTGTACAAGCTGCGATCATCGACTCTTTTCTACTGTTGAATACAAATTGATATCACCGGCTCCATCTTAGGAAGAGTTCATATAAGTAGGGTGGGTGGGTGGTTACTTTTTACCTATATTAGCCTTACTGAATAGGATATATGAAAATTGATATCACTTCTACAGTGGCAATGTCAATATCATTATATATAATATTACTGTTTTTAAATTGAAATGTATTGAAGGCATCAATGATCAAAATGGCACTAACCATGTGCAAGCATTGCAAGTATTCCTACTCTGACAATGGTAAGTGTGCCAGCACCCATCCTGCAGAGGTAGATCAGTGGTTTGTACGGGCAACCTAGAGGAAAGAAGGGGTACATTTGAGGCGTGTGCTGGCAGCATTTTGTTTGCCGATACCAACAAGAAGAGAGAAATATATTAAAAAAATAAAACATGTTCTACCAAGTATCGCAATGTAGTGTCGAGGAAGCAATCTCGTTTGATGTCTAGATGGAGATAAAAATCCATAGAAAAAATCAATGAGCGGAAAGATCAAGTTTGAAAAATCAATATTGTTTTGAAATGTGCATTTTAATACTTTAAAAGCTGATCTGTCAGTTAATAAAATGCATAGAAAATATATAATTGTTGTTCACAGATACGTTGTTAAAATTTAATGTTCATATGGAGGGGCTAATTCTATGCATTCAATAAGTAGAGAAAACAAACATTATATTTTGCGCATGTTTAGTTCTCAAACTAAGTACTCGAAACAAACGCCGCCGCCGTGGCCTTGTGGTAGAGTGTCTGCTCAGGGAACGGAAGGTCGGGGGTTCGATCCCCGCCCACGTCATACCAAAAGACGTACTTGTTGTTACCCTGCCTGGCGCTCGGCATTAAGGGGCTAAAACAAAGACTGGCCCTCTCGGCGGCAGTATACTGTGTCTGCGTGGGGTATTCGTGTTAAACTGCAGCATGGTATATCAATGGCCTAGCACTATAATATCGGCATTAGTGTAAGCAGTAACACACATTACCAAAATTATCATTTTCTTTGTGGTTCAAATCACCATTCGACTTGGATAACATCACCCCAACCCACCCCAACCCACCCCACCCCACACACATACCCCCTCCCACACCCCCACCCTTATTATCTTAGATATACACGGCATGATACATTTGTTACATTTAGCAGTTATGATCCGTTATCATCAACTTATGACAATATACAGTTAATAACACTTCCTTATGGGTGCCATTTTCTAATATCTGCATAGCTGACATGTAATGGAAAGACATGTACTTGTCTTTACTAACCTTTCAGACAAAGATGCTGTAGTTTCAAACGTTATGCTCGTCCTTAGATCATATGCACTTTCACTGTAAAAAATATATACATAACATTAATTCCTTATAACCATTTTCTTTGAGTACGTCACGTTTTAACATATGTTCATCACTACAGGATCGACCGTTTCTAAAACCTGACTGTATTCTTGAGACTATCACGGTGTATGCAAGATCCAAGTTTAGTCGTGTTACTGTTCTTCACATGACTCACAGAGTAAGCAGGTGGAGAGAAACCTTTGCCTGGTTTGGGGACGTTTCCATAATCATAAGAAATCTCTGCAAAAAGGTGAGTCCATTGTACGCTTCCAAATATACCACAAGCATATGTTTATGACTCCCTATAAAAAAGTGATGACATCTGGTGTTCCCGAAAAAGGGAGCTTATCCTGCCCCAGTTGTAGCACTCTTCACAAACACATGCAAAGGCAAGTCACTTATCACCTGAAAGCACACCGGAACATATGGAACAATTCAAAATACGAAATTGTATCGGACATAAAAAAGTATGTCCGATGCAATTTCGTATTTGGATATGTCAATTTGGAAGTGTCCTTCACATGTCTACCATAGAGCCTTTGGAAAGCTTTGCTGAGGCCTTGAAGGCTTTGGACACGATCAAGCAACCTTTAGCATCATTCGAAAGATAATCTTTGAAATCTTGGTGGAAAAGTTGTGATAGTCCCTCTTGTCATATACTTGTAGTTATTTTGTCATTCTGAATCTTGATGCATATGTCTAAATATGAAAGATGGCAAGATAAGGTACAGTCGGTGCCTTTGATTTTTTAGTGAGGTATCATAAAATGAACGACATCAGATCTTCTGTAAACATGAAGTATAAGTTAAACGTCTTGGCCATTTGTTTCCAATCCGTGCAGAAATTCCGAATCATGTGCATTAACAAAGAAGTCAGCAAGAAGGGGGGCACAGTTGGTGCCCATTTGGATGCCTACTTCTTGCCTAATTGTCTTATCCCCCCAAATCGCACATAGACTGTACCAATGAAGTATTTCACATATTGTTTTCTTAGAAAATTCAGATGACATTCGCTTTCCTTTTGGAAAAATTTACCTGATCCTCTAAAGAGATGTAGCTCTGTCTATGGTCACCACGTTCAGTGACAGAAACCCCCCGGTATCAAAGAACGAATCACGAGTAATCAGAAGTGTTTGAAGAAAGGTGAGCGTTTCCTGCCACACCGGAGGCACCCGTCATAAACACATGCAAAAGAACTTGTAGCAAAAGTCACCCCCCCCCCCCCCCCCCCCCACACACACACACACACACTCCCCCAAGGAGAGGTGTCATTGTTACTGATGTTGCCTGCTTTAATTCACCAGCTTTGATAAGAATAAAGGGGAATCGAGTAACAATCAGCCCTTGTCTAACCAACCCGATCAACATGGAATAGCTGCATTTCTGTGGAAACTGGGATATGATCACTGCCTCATGAATCTTCTTCATCAACCTCCCTTGCAGTTGCAAGGATGATGAAACTACTTACAGATCAATTGGACAAGAAGATCAAGAACAATTCAGGTTTCACAGTGTTTAGTGACGGGTGCTACTGGTAAGGACAAGACAAGCATACCCTATCGCTAACTCCTGGTGTCGTCACTAATTTTCAGTTATCCATTCATATAATAGAAGTTGTACTGCTATTTTGCCTTTCACACCCAATGGGCTCGTTTAATGGATTGTCGAGAATAGGTTTTTTTCCCTGGCGTTGACATTTTCTAGTGGAAAGAATAAATATTGCTGTCCCTAAAAACATATGATGGGGTCATTTTTCGAGGATTTCAAGATTTTGCAGTGTTGTATAGAGTAAAGACCGATTTGTTTTCTTTATAAACTATTCTAACAGCATTTTGTCAACGGTATTAGCTGGTAATTCATGATCCCCACATGATCACTCAAATTGGTGTAGTTTTCAAGAGAAGTAACAGCATTCAGAACACCATTAAAGCCACGGGTAGAGCAGCAGGAACCACCAGAACCAGTGTACCACCTTCGGTGTAATTCTGGACAAGCTTAAATTGACGAAAGATCATGGACCCTCAAAACCCGAATTAGAAAACATCAAAGCTCGGTTTCAAAAGTTGAGTCCAAATCAGCTCTACCAGACCATATCCATGACAATCTCACCCACAGCATCCAGTGAACAAAATCAAAGCCCTTTCAACCAGCCTCAAAGACTTCAAATTTAGAAAACTCAGAAGTCATATTTTGTTTGAATGATCAACTGGTTAACTAGTCTCGAAAACCTACTTCTCCTGCTTGTCAAGTGTGATCTCGTGAAGAGCAGGAAACGACAAAGGTCAAATCAACCGGAACACGGATGTGAATATCCAAGCGTTATGTCTCGAGTTTGTCACTGAATGTAAACATGCAATTTTATCTGATAACTTATATTGGCCACCACTTTTGTTACTGTATTTACTGTTACAATGTCATTGTTTGGTTTTATGAAATTAATAATAGATTAGAAAAAAACTGCTTTTCCAGTGTAACTCGGATATAAAACACCCCGGCATGTGCAATGTACGATATCTGCTGTGTGTTTTTCAAGTTGTGGGGTCGGCGTACCTTCAAGTCATCTCAAAAAGGTCATTTGAAGGCTGATTTGCAGCAATTCATTTGAAGTTTTGGTCTATTTCTGAAATTATTACAGCTTTGAACAGCTAGGAGGAAACAGATCTCAATGACAATGTTTAAAATGTGTTAATTCGTGCAAAATAGATGTGTATCCAAACAGTCGGTGAACATTCTTGGTGCATGATGGGAAATGGGGCCCTGAGGACAGTGTCCGCTAGCTCTCTGACGCAGTATAGAACCTGAGTCTTTAAGTGCCATGGGTGAACAAGGAACATCTATGCACAGATACAGATGCAAGATAAGAGGAAGCATGAGGATTATGTGCCTTCTTTTGTAATGATTTGATAATGAACATTGTTATTAATTGATTATCAGTGATCCTTTCATATAATTATTATTATTATTTTTCCTTTTACTCCCTATGGAATATGTTTCGGCAGATAATCGCAACAGATAATTCTCTAGCTAGCACCATAAAAACAGCGTAGGTCCGGACTAACACACACGCACGCACGCACGCACGCACGCACGCACGTAAACACACACACACACATATTCGCGGATCTGCATTGTATAAGTGCAAAAATCTTAAACACGATATTAAACAACCCCATTGGGTTATATATTCTATTCTATGGTCGACAAGGTATTCTTTGTCACGTTCATGCACATTGCTATATATTAAGTACAGTAATCTTCAAGACGGCGTTAAACCCTATTTAACTCCATCTCTTGATAAATGCATACAGCATGGTCACTTTCAATACTAAGGTTATCCAGAGTTGCATTGCGAAAGGTTTATGCATACAGACTAGGATATACAATGCTTCACACAAAATGTATTACCTTCAAGAAGAACGATTACAAGTCCATCAGTAGGGTTATGCACTGAACGCTGAGCGAGCGACAGAGAGAAAGCCGCGTACATGTAAGTGTATATCCAAGATGTGATCACGTGACTTGGTTTTCGGCCATTGGCTCCTTTAACAGCCATGTGGTTGATGGATTCAGTGAAATGTTCTCAAAGTCCGGAATTATCGTCTCCCTGTTTCACGAAGTGTAGCTGCTTTCAGGAATGCGGATATTATGATTGAGTGGTATGACACGTTTCGATATCTTGCACACGCTGGAATTACGTTCCGTGCCTCATTCCGCCTGTTGTAGTGTTCGGTGACGTGTAGTGGGGCTGTGGTTTGAATGAGTGAGTTTGGTTTTACGCCGCTTGTAGCATATTTCAGCAATATCACGGCGGGGGACACCAGAAAGGGGCTTCACACATTGTACCCATGTCGGGAATCGAACCCGGGTCTTCGGCGTGACGAGCAAACGATTTAACCTCTAGGCTACCCGACCGCCCGGGTTTGACTTGAACAAGCAACTAGCAAATAGTGGTATACAGCAACGGCCATCTCATCCGCAAAGTCAACTGTCTCCGGTCTTTCTCTTGTTTATTTGTTTTAACTTGTGTATCGCTTTGTCAGAAAACGTGTAACCAGTCGATTGAACTGGTTCTTATCACACTGACCACCGGAGATTCTGGTTTAGAATTTGTCCCCAGCAACCTATGCTCAGTGAACGAGGCGACAAAATGGATCGGGTTGTCAAGGACGCGATCTTTATTGCGTGTCATCCTTGTTGTTGTGCTAAAAGGGGTACCTTTTAAACTTGTAAACTGTGAAACCCCGTTAAACCGGAGATCCTGTATTCCTGGCGATTAGTGATGGGAACGTATAATCTTGTGTGTTATTAATGCGACATAAATTGTTGTCACTGGTTTGTGATTTGTTTTGTAATGTTTTACAAATTTGCTTTTAAATACGACTTTCCATGTATACTCTGCAATAAAAACCCAAAAGTGATTTTAGATGTATATCTTATATATCTAAAGATAATCAACAGATGGTAATCGATTGTTCAAAATTGGCACACATCATGGTCATTGACCGGCAAAACATAAAACGTGACTCGTCTCTGAACAATACTTGTCACCATCGCAGTAGTGACCATACTCTGTGATCTTCACACCATGACCCCGGTCGTCAAGTACGAATATCTTCAGCGTGTAAACGGTTCTTCAATGTCTGGGCTGAAATCCTACGCAATGCTGGTATTGCCGTAGTTGTAGAGGTGACCGTGGTGGTTCTAAATCTGTCCTGTGCTCTGGTAGTTTTTCGTGGTCGGCATGATCTGGGAAGGTCACGTGTTGTCCCGTGTGTCTGATAAGGGCTTCACAGTTTTGCAAAGGTGCCTGGTGTGGATTGGGAAAACCTGGCTGCAGCTGAAGATTGTTCTTTTGTTTACAGTCGACCGATGGCGTTGTTGCGTTGGGCTCCCGTCAGTCGTAACATCTTTTCCCTGTTCACTTGCTGCAAGATTGAGATGGCATGAAATGAAAACACAACATTATTATAGCCCAACAGGTAATGTTGCACGTGCATGTCATGTTGGTGTGTTTCGGCGCCAGGCTCTCACATGCTTGTGTTTTTGCGATTTTTCCATTTTTATCACTAGTTTCTGCAGTACCTTATTCTTTCCACACAAATCAATCTCATCCCAATACATGCAGAAATGACCAGTTCATTTTTGGTATTAACACTCAGTTCTGGTGACTCTATGGGGGGAATAATGCCAATGCGACGTTAAATTTTAAGTCACTCACACACTTGTACCCTGAGTGATGGGAAGATTGCGAATAATATCAATTTCTGAGCCTGACAACCCAATCCAGTTGGTCATTTCTGAGGACTCGCATATGTTTTTTGGGTACCGACACCCTAACCAGTTCATCTGGATCGCGATATGGCTGCAATATTGCCGATGCGATGTAATATTTTAACTCACTCACTCACTCATTCACTCACCAGTTCATCCCGTGAGATACATTGTTAGTGGCACCATTTCTTTTACAAACAATCCAACATTGCGTCAAACAGAAACTTAAAATGACAGAAAAATTAAGGGTAAGACAATGACATCACATATATGTTGCAGGATTGATATGTTTAATACGTGACAATTACATGTAGGGTAAATTTCAAACATCAACGCAAGAGATAAATCAGTCTCAAATATATGCCAAAAAAGAACACAGGGAGTAAAACACACAATATTGATCCAAGGTATAGGAATGGCTTACTAAAAATCAGTGAAAACACTGTTCTCGAAAAAGGTGAGCATTGTTGTCATGGTCTTTAGAGTGAATGTGCTGAGGTGAAATGGGGATTAAAATCTCGTTCAAGAGTATGGTACTTATAGAGCCTCACGCAGTGTAACAACAAGTACCATCGTTTAACGTCTTTGGTTTGACGAGGCCGGGAGGTTGACATACTATTCGTTCGGTTCCATACGCATAATCTGTTGGTCAGTCGAAGGCCATTGGGTAACAATGAACTGTACAAATACGGTTGACGTTTTGTTTTTTTCACCGGCTTCAACCAAACATTCCTCATTCAACGCTTTCCGTTACGATACTTTCGTCACGACATTGTTCCTAACAGTTTTCCATAGCTCGATTATTTTATCCGAAATACGTGTCTAAACATAGGGAATTGAACTATTTACATAAAATGATCCCTGTCTGTTTTAAGGGAAATGTGTTTTGGGTCTTATGATTTGGCAGTTAGATCCGTGTAGGGTTTGTCAAGCTTCTCGTCTGGGTCGCGTGATGCAACGTCAAGAACGTCATAATCACAACGTGACTCGCCTTCAGGTGGTGGCGGTGTGGCAGTTAGGGCCGTATACGGTTTATCGGGTGGCTCGTCTGGGTCGCGTGATGTGACGTCAAGGACGTCATACACCCCACGTGACGTGCTCTGATTTTCTTGACTTCCGGTGTTTTGCGTATTCACACCTTGATTACCTACACGTGACTCGCCTTCAGTTGATGTCGGTGCGGCAGTATGTTCCGTGTCAGGTTTATCGGGCGGTTCTTCTACGTCACGTGATGTGACGTCAGTAACGTCATAATCCCCACTTGACTCGCTCTGATTTAGTCGACTTCCGGTGTTTTGCGCATTCACACCCTGATAATCACCACGTGACTCTCCGTCACCTGATGTTGATGTGGCCGTTAGGTACGTGTCCAGTATATGGGGCGGCTCGTCAATAACGTCATAATCTCCACGTGACTCGCTCTGATTCTCTTTACTTTCGGTGTTTTGCGCATTCACGTCCGGATTTATATCATTAAAGATGTCATCATATAAAACCCGTTCCCGTGTTCTTTGTGTTTGTTGTCTGAAAATAAATTTTGATTAAAGACCATATTATATTTGCATTGAAGGCAAGACTTAGTATAGCCTTTGCGCAGGTGTTGTGTAATGTTTTACGACGCATGCCGTAGATTTATTAAGAACATGTTAAAACGAGGACTCAAACTGCCGATGTGAAAATTAATATCAGTTTTATTTTAAAAGTCCTCCTTTTTAAATGAAAGGAATTGCTTCAAACTGTATCTGAGAGTTTTAAAGAAACAGCTATGCTAATATAGACTTGATGCAAGTTAGTAATGCAGCATTCCCTAACCATGTCAGTGATACACTGAGTGTACAGACATATATAAAGAAGACATGTACACACACGTTTGGATAATCAATGTAAATACGTGTCTATTTTTCATTTTTTTCCTTCTCCTTAATTTACCGTATTAAATGTAATTTTGCTCAAACTTGGAATTTTATGGGACAGGGTCATGTTATTTGTGCTGCTTTTGTCTAATGCTCTGCATGTGAATACAATACGTGAAGATCCGGGTTAGAATTGGTTTTCAGCAACCCATGCTTGTCGGACGATACGACTAACGGGATCGGGTGGTCAGAATCACTGAACTGGTGGATGCAAATCCTCGTATCCCAATTACGTATATTGATGCTCATAATGTGAATCACTGGATTGTCTGGCCCAGACCTGATAATTTACAAACCGCCGTCACAGAGCTGGAATATTGCTGAGTGCGGCGTTAAACTCCAAATAGACACACAAATACAATCTGTTTGGACAAGGAACGTGGTGGACATGAGAACCCAGTAACAGTTTTGAACCCGAAATCACCCACTTACCGATGTCTCCGGGCGAGAAGGACACCTATTGCGACAAGCACTGCTACCACCGCAGTTATTCCCGTTCCAACAAGTCCAGCCAACAAGGGGTTTATGCTGGGCTGTAACGCGGCATCAACTGGAGACACAAAATGTATATTTGTCGTCTCTCATTTTTCCAAGTAAAAACAAATTCTGAAACAAAAATTAGGAGTTTGACTGCTTTATGTTGGAGGAAAGCCTGAAAGTGGCTCAGAGCTCTAACTTTTATCACTATGGTCAAACCCACGAGCACAGGTTTGAATCATCTTCAGAGAAAAACATAATAATTAATTGGTTATTATATGTAATTTTACAAAATTTTACAAAATTTTACAATTTTCTTCTTACCGTAAAGGTTGATGTGATGGAAATGTGTAATTGCAACAAATAAAGGAACTGAACTAATGACACTGAATATCTGAATATCTACCGTGGGTTGTGTTGTTTCTGTTGTACATATATCCATCGCAGTTATCTCCCTTCCATCCCAGCACGCACGTGCACATGTCGTTCACGTGATCACAAGCGCCCTCATCACAGGAGTTGCTGCAGAGATTCCGACAGTCCCCTCCATATTTGCCAAGTGGACATTCTACCGGGGAAATAAAAGTCATTCTTAGTATTTCAGACTTTTTAAGTGTACGAATATGCATCAAAATTGCAACAGATATATGGAAAAATACAAAATATTAGTTTTGACTGATTTGATTAGTGATCAATGACTTTCAAACAAGAATTGACTTCTAATTTATGTCAGTTTAATGGAGTACGCACTTTCAAAATGTGACATTTAGGTGTATAAAAAATAGTGAAGCCTCACCAAAATCCTTGATATCTTTTAATCCGATATGACACAGCTCTGCCTTAAGATCTAAGGATACCTTCATAGTTAGTGAGTGAGTTGGGTTTAACGCCGCTTTTAACAGTATTCCAGTTATATCGCGGTGTGTCAGCTTAATGTGGGAGGAAAGCCCGAAGTAATGCAGGTCTCAGACGTTTACCCCTTCGGTGAAACCCAAGATCACGGGTATGGTGCTGACAAACCTAGAAACGTAATCGGGGAGAACCGAGATTCGAACCCAGAACCATACGTTTCTCGCATGCCCAAGGGACGCAACTCTGCACAGCGAATCTCGGCGCCTTAGACGACTGGGCCCCCCGTGCCGCCTGGATACCTTCACAGGTAGGATTGAGCAAAACATTCAGACAATCATATCTGACTTCTGTAACTCCGAATGCATATTATATGGCGTGCTATTATATGGTTGTGGAATTGTATACACAGTGTCGTTTCTTAACCACTCATAGCTTGGTATGCCATCATTAACATTGTACTTACGAGATCAATCAAAGAAAAGCTACAATACAATTGTTCAGAGGACGTGATAGAGCACGGTTTATTTTACCATACAATTATAAAATTATATTTTAACATAGGAAGGTTTGATAATTCATAAATGACTTATACATTATTTGAACGCTAAAATAATGCCTCTCCATGGTCAACCTTTATCCCTATCGGGGGCACGGGTGGCCCAGTCATCTAAGCCGCCGCAATTCATGTGATGGGTTCGAATCCCAGTTCGCCCCGATTGTGTTCGCCCCGAGGTTAGTTAGCACAATACCCCCGCTCGCGGGTTTTCCTAGGTGATAAACGTCTGAAAACCGCGTCAATTCGGGCCTTCCACCCATATCAAGCTGACACGCAGTTACATAACTGGATAATAACTAAAAACAGCGTAAAACCCATCTCTTCAGCCTTCACTCCTACCATCACCCCGTCAACCTTCACTCCTACCATCACTCCGTCACCCTTCACTCCTATCATCACTCCGTCACCCTTCACTCCTACCATCAATCCGTCACCCTTCACTCCTACCATCACTCCGTCAACCTTCACTCCTACCATCACTCCGTCAACCTTCACTCCGTCACCCTTCACTCCTACCATCACTCCGTCAAACTTCACTCCGCCAACCTTCACTCCTACCATCACTCAGTCAACCTTCACTCCTACTATCACTCCGTCAACCTTCACTCCGTCACCCTTCAGTCCGACCATCACTCCGTCAACCTTCACTCCGCCAACCTTCACTCCTACCATCACTCAGTCAACCTTCACTCCAACAACCTTCACTCTTACCATCACTCCGCCAACCTTCACTCCGTCACCCTTCAGTCCGACCATCACTCTGTCACCCTTCACTCCTACCATCACTCCGTCACCCTTCACTCCTACCATCACTCCGTCAACCTTCACTCCGTCATCCTTCGGTCCGACCATCACTCCGTCACCCTTCACTCCTACCATCACTCCGTCACCCTTCACTCCTACCATCACTCCGTCAACCTTCACCCTTCACTCCTACCATCATTCCGTCACCTTTCACTCCTACCATCACTCCGTCACCCTTCACTCCTACCATCACTACGTCACTCTACACTCCTACCATCACTCTGTCACCCTTCACTCCTACCATCACTCCGTCACCATTCACTCCTAGAATCACTGCGTCACCATTCACTTCTACCATCACTCCGTAAACCTTCACTACTAGCATCACTCCGTCACCCTTTACTCCGTCACCCTTCACTCCTACCATCAATCGTCAACCTTCACTCCTATCATCACTCCGTCACCCTTCACCTACCATCACTCCGTAAACCTTCACTCCTACCATCACTCCGTCACCCTTCACCCCGACCATCACTCTGTCACTCTTCACTCCTACCATCACTCCTACCATCACTCCGTCACACTTCACTCCTACCATCACTCCGTCACCCTTTACTCCTACCTTCACTCCGTCACCCTTCACTCCTACCATCACTCCGCCACCCTTCACTACGACCATCACTCCGTCACCCTTCACTCCTACCATCACTCATCAACTTCACTCCTACCATCACTCCGTCACCCTTCACTCCTACCTTCACTCCTTCAACCTTCACAGCTACCATCACTCCGCCACCCTTCACTCCGACCATCACTCCGTCACCCTTCACTCCTACCTTCACTCCTTCAACCTTCACAGCTACCATCACTCCGTCAACCTTCACTCCTACCATCACTCCGTCAACCTTCACTCCGTCACCCTTCACTCCTACCATCACTCCGTCAAACTTCACTCCGCCAACCTTCACTCCTACCATCACTCAGTCAACCTTCACTCCTACCATCACTCCGTCAACCTTCACTCCGTCACCCTTCAGTCCGACCATCACTCCGTCAACCTTCACTCCGCCAACCTTCACTCTTACCATCACTCCGCCAACCTTCACTCCGTCACCCTTCAGTCCGACCATCACTCTGTCAAACTTCACTCCGCCAACCTTCACTCCTACCATCACTCAGTCAACCTTCACTCCTACCATCACTCCGTCAACCTTCACTCCGTCACCCTTCAGTCCGACCATCACTCCGTCAACCTTCACTCCGCCAACCTTCACTCTTACCATCACTCCGCCAACCTTCACTCCGTCACCCTTCAGTCCGACCATCACTCTGTCACCCTTCACTCCTACCATCACTCCGTCACCCTTCACTCCTACCATCACTCCGTCAACCTTCACTCCGTCACCCTTCGGTCCGACCATCACTCCGTCACCCTTCACTCCTACCATCACTCCGTCACCCTTCACTCCTACCATCACTCCGTCAACCTTCACCCTTCACTCCTACCATCATTCCGTCACCTTTCACTCCTACCATCACTCCGTCACCCTTCACTCCTACCATCACTACGTCACTCTACACTCCTACCATCACTCCGTCACCCTTCACTCCTACCATCACTCCGTCACCCTTCACTCCTACCATCACTCCGTCAACCTTCACTCCTCCCATCACTCCGTCAACCTTCACTCCGTCACCCTTCACTCCTACCATCACTCCGTCACCCTTCACTCCTATCATCACTCCGTCACCCTTCACTCCTACCATCAATCCGTCACCCTTCACTCCTACCATCACTCCGTCAACCTTCACTCCTACCATCACTCCGTCAACCTTCACTCCGTCACCCTTCACTCCTACCATCACTCCGTCAAACTTCACTCCGCCAACCTTCACTCCTACCATCACTCAGTCAACCTTCACTCCTACTATCACTCCGTCAACCTTCACTCCGTCACCCTTCAGTCCGACCATCACTCCGTCAACCTTCACTCCGCCAACCTTCACTCCTACCATCACTCAGTCAACCTTCACTCCAACAACCTTCACTCTTACCATCACTCCGCCAACCTTCACTCCGTCACCCTTCAGTCCGACCATCACTCTGTCACCCTTCACTCCTACCATCACTCCGTCACCCTTCACTCCTACCATCACTCCGTCAACCTTCACTCCGTCATCCTTCGGTCCGACCATCACTCCGTCACCCTTCACTCCTACCATCACTCCGTCACCCTTCACTCCTACCATCACTCCGTCAACCTTCACCCTTCACTCCTACCATCATTCCGTCACCTTTCACTCCTACCATCACTCCGTCACCCTTCACTCCTACCATCACTACGTCACTCTACACTCCTACCATCACTCTGTCACCCTTCACTCCTACCATCACTCCGTCACCATTCACTCCTAGAATCACTGCGTCACCATTCACTTCTACCATCACTCCGTAAACCTTCACTACTAGCATCACTCCGTCACCCTTCATTCCGTCACCCTTCACTCCTACCTTCACTCCGTCAACCTTCACTCCTACCATCAATCCGTCACCCTTCACTCCTACCTTCACCCCGTCACCCTTCACTCCTACCATCAAGCCGTCACCCTTCACTCCTACCTTCACCCCGTCACCCTTCACTCCGACCATCACTCCGTCACCCTTTACTCCTACCTTCACTCCGTCACCCTTCACTCCTATCATCACTCCGTCACCCTTCACTCCTACCATCAAGCCGTCAACCTTCACTCCTACCTTCACTCCGTCACCCTTCACTCCGACCATCACTCCGTCACCCTTCACTCCTACTATCACCCCGTCACCCTTCACTCCTACTATCACTCCGTCAACCTTCACTCCGACCATCACTCCGTCACCCTTCACTCCGACCATCACTCCGTCAACCTTCACTCCTACCTTCACTCCGTCAACCTTCACTCCTACCTTCACTCCGTCAACCTTCACTCCTACTATCACTCCGTCAACCTTCACTCCGACCATCACTCCGTCACCCTTCACTCCGACCATCACTCCGTCACCCTTCACTCCGACCATCACTCCGTCACCCTTCACTCCTACTATCACCCCGTCACCCTTCACTCCTACTATCACTCCGTCAACCTTCACTCCGACCATCACTACGTCACCCTTCACTCCGACCATCACTCCGTCAACCTTCACTCCTACCTTCACTCCGTCAACCTTCACTCCTACCTTCACTCCGTCAACCTTCACTCCTACCTTCACTCCGTCAACCTTCACTCCGACCATCACTCCGTCACCCTTCACTCCGACCATCACTCCGTCAACCTTCACTCCTACCTTCACTCCGTCAACCTTCACTCCTACCTTCACTCCGTCACCCTTCACTCCGACCATCACTCCGTCACCCTTCACTCCTACTATCACCCCGTCACCCTTCACTCCTACTATCACTCCGTCAACCTTCACTCCGACCATCACTCCGTCACCCTTCACTCCGACCATCACTCCGTCAACCTTCACTCCTACCTTCACTCCGTCAACCTTCACTCCTACCTTCACTCCGTCAACCTTCACTCCGACCATCACTCCGTCACCCTTCACTCCTACTATCACTCCGTCAACCTTCACTCCGACCATCACTCCGTCACCCTTCACTCCGACCATCACTCCGTCACCCTTCACTCCGACCATCACTCCGTCAACCTTCACTCCTACCATTACTCCGTCAGCCTTCTTCACTATCATCACTCCTATGTCAGTATTAGCTGAATTTGGGTCTAACATTAATGTCTCGTGATTTGGCTCTCAGATACACATATACCATTTTACCAGAAAAGTAGCATGTACGTCCAGTTTTAACAATACGATCAGCATTAGGACCAATATATTTATAGCATATTTGAAAGTCAACACATGACACCGACGTTTCAGTATTTTCACCTATGTTACTACATGAAACATGAGTACTAAACTTGTCTTTTTGTTGTTTCGTCAAACGGTTTTGAAAACAAATGTTATACAAAGAAATAAAAACGTTGGCCTTACCTCCGTAAACGTACACTTCAACCAACCCCAGTTCGGCCTCCGTCGAATCTGTGCTGATAAGTGTGATGGAGGTGGAGTTGACGACGTTCCTGCACGTGATCCTCAGCGTCGTAGATGTGATCCAAGTGTTCGTAGCGTCACACGGCATGTCCGTGTCTCTGTTTGTCGTTGTCATTGATATTGCCAGCGTTCCTGTAACCATGGAGATGTGCACGCTTGTTACAGGAATACATGGTCGCTGATTTTACTACTAAAGGTAACAGTTGTGTTACTGTCATGATGAAAAATACATTTGGCGTTGAAAACACATTGATTGTTCATTACAAAGATTCACTGGTTTGTGTACAATGTATATCACATGGGTCACGTGCTTCAATATTTAGGTATTAGGTGCTTACTTCGTAAGAATGTGCCTGAACAACTTCTTGATGTCATCACGTGGAAATCATATTTGGTTTTCGTTTTGCGCTAAGCATTGCAAATTGATATCAGTAATGCGTTACACTACCGTAATTCCCTGGCACGTTGACATCAACCCAGACTATCCAGGCAGGGTGTTGTAATTCCACTCTCCATGTGGAGTTCAGGGAAGATCCTGTTGATGAGACGGTCGACTGAGAACCGTCTACAGCAGAAGACGAACCCAAGAAACTACTTGATTTTGTTGTTGATTCGTCGTAGGCAATGTTGTCTGTGTCGTGTGAATCAAAGTGCAAGGTTTAGTTGAGGATTTAATATATTTTAATTATTTCTTTATAAAAACAAACATCGCACGTTTCGGAAAACGGGACACATCGCGTCTTCTGTCCATGACAAAGCTTTGAACCACACACACTGACGGAAACAGTTAGTAAAGTTTACTAAGTTAGTGAATGTCACGGTCCATTCAGACACTAACACATTAGTAGACATTACTAATCAGTTGGTATGTTTTTACCAGGTGGCCTATTGTCACTAACTAAAAAGGGTTGAGTATTGATCAGATATACTTTCATTGTCAGATTCCTGTATGAGAGGAATAATATTAGGCATACAGTAACAACACATTTAAGAACAAAAAGATGTTTAGGTGGGAATCGAACTTGCAACCTATCGATTTGTAGTCCGTCACCACCAGTGCTACCGAGACTGTCGTCACAAATGTCAATTTTCCTAGCCACCATTAGCTAAGTTTAGTGTTAGTATTGTACCAAGTTCGTTGTTAGTCTTGGTGGTATATGCAAGTGCCTGTGAATTTGATTTGACAATCTTATTTCAATATATAATATACATCCATATTTGACTTATATCATGCACTTCATTAAACATGTTTAAATTCTAAACAATTTGAAAGATATTTAAATTCTAAAAATGTTAAAAGGTGTTTAAATTCTAAACATGTTTAAAGGTGTTTAAATTCTAGACACGTTTAAAGGTGTCTAAATTCTAAACATGTTTAAAGGTGTTTGAATTCTAGACATGTTTAAAGGTGTTTAAATTCTTAACATGTTTAAAGGTGTTTAAATTCTAAACATGTTTAAAGGTGTTTAAATTCTAAACGTGTTTGGATTATGGGGATGTTGCGTTTAGGTGGTCTTGAGGCCAAGATGCGATATCTCATTTCATGTTTTAAGACCCTAAGCGTGTTGAGATAGAACACACCAAATGGACATACCGTTGAAGGTAGTCAATACGATGCTCACCAGCATTGTGGCCGCTGGCACTAATCAAGTTAGTAGAATTCACTAGACATATTTTAGTGCCGTATTAGGCCTACCACTAATGCCAACGCTGTAAATATGTGATATTGACACTGGAAAGTATCGAAGTGGGGATTTGTTTGACCTTCTGAAAATGACAAAGAGTTAAATTTCTATTTTATGACATGACACAATGTAATTTGTTTATCCTTAACTGACCGGCCTCGACTAAACAGTCTGACCTGTTTAAGCTTTTCTTGTAATACCTTCATTGAGTAACTGTGCTTCTCGTTTGTTTTAAGTGTTTTGGAAGCTCAGTAAAACTATTTGTGCAACCCTATTTTATACAATTTGTGACCGTTATTTTCCTTAACGCACAAAACATGAAACACAAGCCCTGAATATCTCAAGACTGAAGATACCAATGGCTTCCTACAAGTCTGATTAGTGGTTTGGATATGTGTACATGCAACCCGGGAGACTTACATTCTACATAGTTATTTGCATTGTATTATTGTATTTATGACGTTTTCTACTGTATTATCACTAATTTAGCGTGAACATTAACTTCGCATTTTATTATATCAACTAAGCCTCAAAGCTTGTCAGCCCGACTCCATTAAGTATGTACCTATATTCACCAGACAAACAGATGAAACGGTAACATTAAAGGGTTTACCTGTAGAACTCCCTGCCAGTATTCCTGCTGTCACAGTGATAAATATTACACCGACCATTGTGCCTCCCCGTAAGTGAAAGAAGCCCTCTCGAGATGGATAGGCGTATATGTCACATTGAAGAGGTCGGATGTTACTTTGACTCACCATGAGGCTTGTACATTGGTCGGCAATGGGGGTGGACATAAGTATGGGGGGGGGGGGGGGGGGGGGGGGTAGGTGGAGGGGAAACAGTTCATGTTCCAGGCGACCCATAACACGGAAACAACATGGTATTATGTACAAGTGATGACAATGCACTCATATTCTTGATTATTTCTAACACACAGTTCTGACGCTCTATGGCTATAACTCTTTTCAAGAGCCAACTGTATAGTGACTTCGGAGTTCAAACATCACTGTTATTTGGACAATGACCTGTGGAAGGTGTTATTTCTCGGTTCATTGGTCTGAGAAAGAATTCTTTATTCTCTTTAGGATTCATAGAAATACCATGTAAAGCATATTTTATTATATTATACTATATTATAACCGTTTATGACGAGGGGAATAGTATTTCATGTATCCTCAACCCCTCTTCCCGAGATGTCAGCAAATTACTTTCTTACCGCCATGTTTATCATTATCACAATTTTGTAAACAAATAATCGATACTAAGAACTTGTTTGTCAACATATTGCAGGGTGAGCTCCGGAAGACAATTTGATTATGTAGGGACTCTGTGCACCACGTACATCTAAAGTCAATGTTAATATGCATTAAGAGACGCCGTTTCAATAAAATGAGGTTGAAGACGGCGGTGGACTTTTTTCAGTTGCACAGCGCTGTATCAAAACATGATTCACCATTTCGTTCATGTATTTCACATTTAAGTCCAGATAAGAATTACTAATTTCTCCTATATATTGATAAGAAAGGACGGTCACTGGCGTTGTCAGACTGGGTCCTGTGAGACATCCCTGGCAAATCTAATAAACAGGAGGATGAACCAGGAAGCACGCCTTCATTTGTTAAATACTAATGTTCCCTCTGTGAAAGAAAATGTACAGTAAAAGAAATCTGAAAACAGGTTTATCTTTCATATCACTGATGTATTCATATCAATAAACTGAGCAATACGTTTTCATAAATCATAAATATCTAACTCAAGCGAGCATTATGTAATTTTTAATGTATTATGGGACCGATGGTATATTTATTGAATAAAATTATCTTTCTCAAAACGTTCGAATAGGAACACTTTGTATAGTATTTGTCTGTTATTTCTTGACAAGTCATTTTGTTTTGGATTTCTGCTGAACTTGATCTGTATAAAGATTTTAACTGTGAAAAGTAATGCAAGTGGTTTTCAGGAGTGCGTACACTTGCATGATTCTTAGTTGTACGACTTTTGAACTAGACAGGATTTAAAAGGTTTTAACCTAAACCCTATTCAGAAATATCCTAACGAATACTGGTTAAGCAATTATTACAATCGTATACCCTATTTAGGGCTTATTCCTTCTCTTGTTCGTGTGTTTCAAATTATTTGTATATTGCTCTGCTGAGTTATGCATTTTCAGAAAACGCGTAACCAGTCGGTTTGAACAGGTTTGTCTGTCGCGTTTTGGGCTCTTAACACACCGACTCCTTGAGATTCCGAGTTAGAATTGATCCCAAGCAACCTTTGCTGATTAGACGACAACATGGATCGAGTATAAGGCTTGGTGACCTTAAGTATATCATCGTACACCGACAGCGTGGAAAGTTGCGCACAATATCAATCACCGAGACTGACGACCCAATCAATTTAGTCGCGTTTTTGGATCAACATATGTTCTCGTGTCCTTATGCTCTAAACTGGAATCCCCAGTTTAACAGGTGAGTTTTTCGTGGCACTATTTCTTCCCCAAACAACCAATAATATAACACTGTATACATTAAAAACTTCAAAATCCTTACGTTAGAAATGAAATGTATTCAAGAAAGAAGTGAGTGAGTATGGTTTTACGCCGCTTTAGCAATATCCAACAATATCACGGGGAGGGGCAGCAGGAAAAGGATTCACACATTGTACCTATGTGGGGAATCGAACACAGGTCTTCGGGGTGACGAGCGGAGGCTTTCACCACAAGGCTACCCAACCGTCAAGTAAGAAGATGACATAATATATATGTTGCAATAGAGCCGTGAAGATCCGGGGTGGAATAGGTCTTCAGCAACCCATGCTTGCCGTAAAAGGCGACTTTGTTTGTCGTAACAGGCGACTAGCGGGATCGTGTGGTCAGGCTGAACTGACCACACTGAACTGGTTGATGCATGTCATCGTATCCCAATTGCGAAAGTCGATGCTCATGATGTCAATCACAGGATTGTCTGGTCCAGACTCGATTATTTACAGACCGCCGTCATAGAGCTGGGATATTGCTGAGTGCGGCGTTAAACAAGAAAGAAACAAAAAATATTGCAATGTACGATTAATCAAGACGTCCAATGCCAGCGAATAAGCCATCTCGATTACCTGCCGAAACATATTCCATTGGCAAACAGGGATGAAGACTACCTGGATGGATTATGGGATGACACCAGGTATTAACGACAAGCGTAAGCATGTCCTGCTTCAGCGGCAGTACCCGCAGTTCACTCGATTTTTAATCAAAACGTAAATGACAGCGTGTAAGGATGTGTGAAAACGCCGTGTAAAGGTCATAGAAGAGGTGAGGTGAAATGGGGATGAACGATTGAATACAGACCAATTCTTGCTTTAGCCCTTTAATGCCGAGCGCCAGGTTTGGTAAGAACAAGAACCATCTTAACATCTTTTGCTATCTTTGTTGGGATCGACCACCGGACCTTTCATGGCGGATGCTCTACCACTACGTCACGGAGGCGGTCGTGAGGGTCATAGCATATTATAGCATAGCGTATCATGTTGACAAGCGACGTAGTGTTTTAATCATTTCCTTTGCTACATTTGCTGGTCCCTGAAATATATTTGTCTTATATTGCGTCCCTTGGGCACGCCAGAAACCTATGATTGTGGGTTCGAATCACGGTACGCCCAAATTATGTTTCTAGGTTTGTCAGCACCATACCCGTACTCGTGGGTTTCACCGAAGTGATAAACGTCTGGGACCTGCATCACTTCGGGCTTTCCTACCACATTAAGCGGACTCGCCGCGATATAACTGGAATATTGTTAAAAGCGGCGTTAAAACCCAACACACTCACTTACTTATACGGATCCACTTGGATTTGAACCTTGAGATTCCAGAAAAAACAGTTTGAAAGGATTTTTTTCTCACATGTTACAGAAACTCCAAGACAACGTAAAATACATTAACGTCACACATTCTTTCCAGACAAAGGACTTTTAGGAAATCAAAGCAATATACTGACACATATACATGGCAACATCATTGTCATTTGCATACAAAAGAATCAATTTCAATCCGGAATTTCGTCCCATACATGTACAATTACAAAACATAAATGAAATGTATACAAATTCATTGCTTATTTCAACTTATATGACATGCATAACACGTTACCCATATCAAAGTACACCATTGAAAATGTGAGTTGGTTATTTTGTTAACTGTCCGATGTATCAGATCAAAGCTAACAGCTTAGCATAACAAGGGGGATAACTGTGTGTCTAGTAAAGCAAAGACTAAAACCACAATTACACTATATACAAGACTATTGGAATACTTCGGACGACAAAACTTATTATACATGATTTCCAATATGTTGCTATGAAGTTTAGTATACATAAGTTTATAACTCACTCAACACTGACGTTTTTAGACGAGAAATATTCAATGCAAGTGTTCAGAGGACGGGAAAAAGAATTTATTGTTGACCATAGAATAAAAAATATAACCCAATGGGGTTGTTTAATATCGTGTTCAAGATCATTGCACGTATACAATGCACATCCGAAAGAGAGAGAGAGAGAAAGAGAGAGAGAGAGAGAGAGAGAGGGACAGAGAGAGAGACAGAGAGAGACACACATAGAGAGAGAGAGAGAGAGAGAGAGAGAGAGAGAGAGAGAGAGAGAGAGAGAGAGAGAGTGTGTGTGTGGCTGCTTGTACCAGTCCGTACTGATGACGATTTAATGCACATCCGAGAGAGAGAGAGAGAGAGAGAGAGAGAGCGAGAGACAGAGAGAGAGAGAGAGAGAGAGAGAGAGACAGAGACAGAGACAGAGAGCGAGAGACAGAGAGAGAGATACACACACAGAGAGAGTGTGTATGTGTGGCTGCTTGTACCAGTCCGTACTGATGACGATTTATAGTGTTAGCCCACTGAGATGCCATGCCACAGTTTAACATTGATACCCCACTCAGTACACTGACTCCGAGCCGACCAATTCTTGTTTTAACCCTTTAATGCCGAGCGCCAGGCAGGGTAACAACAACATTAGTAATCCGTACGTTTGGCAAACATCACATGACCGTGGTATATACTGTGCTTCGTACGCATGAATACGTAAGTATACTTAGATGGTCTCTCGGAGGTCATTGAATTACATTTTATACATAGCGTGTTGATTAACTTTAACATTTTCTTTGCCATATTTCTTCCCCAACTTCAACAAAAACGGGCTGGTACTCATCCATGGAGCGCTTATACTCGAAATGGACCAACCAAATACTGCCTGAGGCACGTGTGTAGCCCAAGAAGTAAGGAAGTTGGTAGAAGAGGTCGCGACGTTGGTCCTTACAGTTTTCCATAGTTTGATAATATTTTCCAGAACATGTACACTAGCGGACTATTATCAAAATACACGCAACTGAACTTTGAAATAACATGATTCATGTCCTGTTTTGAGATATTTTACCATATTATATTAAAGTGGGTCTTCTCTTCCAGTTCTCGGAATGTTTTGATATAACATTTTGGTAGTTAGTTCCGTGTAGGGCTTATCAAGACTCTCGTCTTGATCACGTGTTGTGACGTCAAGAATGTCATAATGCCCACGTGACTCGCCTTCACGTGGTGGCCGTGTGGCAGTTAGTTCCGTGTAGGGTTTGTCAAGTCCTTCGTCTGGGTCACGTGATGTGACGTCAAGAACGTCATACACTCCACGTGGCTCGCTCTGACTCTCTAGTCTTCCGGTGTTTTGCGCATTCGCATCATCAACGATATCATGATATATAACCTGCTCCGGGGTTCTTTGTGTTTTCCGTCTGAAAATATAAATAGACTAAACATTGATACGATTATTGGCATAATAAAGGAAAAAGACTCGCCCTGATTCTCTTGACTTCCGGTGTTTTGTGCATTCACACCCGAATTAATATCATTAAAGATGTCATCATATAAAACCCGCTCCTGTGTTCTTTGGGTTTGTTGTCTGAAAATAAATTTAGTTTAAAGACCATATAATATTTGCTGTAAGACAAGCATAGCCTATGCGCAGGTGTTGTTATGTTACGACGCGTGTCGTAGTCAAATGTGTCGAGAAAATTCGTATCAGTTTTACTTTGAAAGTCATTCTTCAAAATTAGTCTGAAAGACGTTGATGTAAACTCTCTCGTTAATTTAACAGATAATAATATTTTAATATTAACTTGATGCGCATTGTTAAAGAGGCTTTCGGTAACCATGCCAGTGATACAATGTGTGTACACACATTACAAAGGCGAGGCAAACAGCATGAAGAAGACATAGACGTTTGACTTATTAATGTAAGTACGTGTCCCTATTTCGTTTTCCTTTCCTTAATTTAAAGCTGTTGTAAGGTACATACTTGTAATTTTATTCGAGAGAGATGCAATTTGTGCGACTCGTGTCCCATCATTTACATGGGAATGAAGATCCGGGGTAGAATTCTGAAACCCATGCTTGTCGTACAAGGCGACTATGTTTGTCGTAAGAGGCGACTAACGGGATCGGGTGGTCAGGCTCGTTGACTTGGTTGATGCATGTCATAGTATCCCAATTGCGTAGATAAAGTCATGATGCTCATGATATCCATCATTGGTTTGTCAGGTCCCGACTCGATTATTTACAGACCGGCTAATGTAGCTGCATATTGCTGAGTGCGACTTTAAAAAAACATATATTAAACAAACGAGTGAGTGAGTATGGTTTAACGCAATATCAGGGCGGGGGACACCAGAAATGAGCTTCACACATTGTACCCATGTGGGGAATTGAACCCGGGTCACGGCGGGGTACACCAGAAATGAGCTTCACACATTGTACCCATGTGGGGAATCGAAACAGGGTCTTCGGCGTGACGAGCAAACGCTTTAACCACCAGGCTACCCCACCGCCCCTATAAACAAACAAGGGGCGGTCGGGTAGCCTAGAGGTTAAAGCGTTCGCTCGTCACGCCGAAGACCCGGGTTCGATTCCCGACATGGGTACAATGTGTGAAGCCCATTTCTGGTGTCCCCCGCCGTGATGTTGCTTGAATATTGCTAAAAGCGGCGTAAAACCATACTCACTCACTATAAACAAACGAATGCAATTACATATTTAAACAAGAAATGGACACGGGAATCCAGTAACAGTTTAGAGCAACACATCTATCGGCTTACCGATGTCTCTGGGCGAGAAAGACCGCTACTACAACAAGCACTGCTATCACAGCGGTTATTCCCGATCCAACAAGTCCAGCCAAGACGGGGTTTATACTGGGCTGTAACGCGTCTGCATTGCTGTCGTCTAAAACAATGTATAAAAAACAATAACCTTAGGTATTACTGGGTGAGCTTGTCAGTTGGGTTTTAACGTCCCAATGCATACTGTTACTTTAATATCACCGCTGGACATCATCAGGAAAGTAGCGTGGGACTTAGACGTTCATCACTTAAGTACCATTTTTAATATTTCAGACTTTTTAACTTTACAAATAGAAAAAAAATATTTATGAATGGTTTATAGTGACAAATGACTTTTAAATTATACTAAGAGATTTGTTTGTAATTATGAGGCATCTCCAATACCCAGACTTTAATATCTCCTACTCCAATACGACACCTCTCTGGGTGAAGATCTAAGGACACATCCATACGGAGTGTGCAAAACATTCAGACACTCGTACATGTATCTGTAATTCGAAAAATAATATGATCGGGATGTTCCGAATGCAAAAACATATGGTTTGGGGCCCTTTACACATACTGCCGTTTCTGAGCACCATGCGTGTACTTTGCAAAAACGATGTAATGTGCCGTAGCACGAAATGCACGTGCAGATCTACTGACCCGACAAGTTAGGAACACAACACAAAAACACACACCAAAGAAATGGCACGTTTAACTGCGATAGAGAGGGAGCAGCATTTATGTACACATGATGTTAAAAGATTGTTCTAATGAAATACTAGTATACCAATATGCATTTTCTCTACTGTTTTGACATTCTTCCATAAGCTTTCAAACAATTGGCATCGTTTCTTATGGACGTTAGTATAGAACGTGTCCAGGTGGTAAGGAAATACAGCCGAATCGTTTTAGAAGCTGACATCTGATTTGCTCAAGACCCCGGAATCCTTTATTTAGATTCGCCCGTCGAGGCTCGCAATATGTCGTCAGACATTTACGTGGGGATGTTTGATATCAGAATAAAAGATAACATTTTAATGCTATTGCACCACAGTCAGGCATTTGTAACAGATTGCATACACATCGGTAACTTTCTAAATATAGCAACCGATTCTACTTTGTGCACTTCAACAACAATATCAATAGTATCATTTTGTTGTAATCGTCATACATGTGCCCATTGTTGATACGTTTAGAAATGGGCTTTACACATTGTACCCATGTGGGGAATCGAACCGGGGCTTTGGCGTCACGAGCGAACGCTTTAACAACGAAGCTACCCCACCGCCCCGGTGAAGAAGAGAGGAGATTGGTTACATCATTAGGGAATTAAGTTGTTGATTCATCATGACGGATGTCAGGTGTCATTAACGTCCGTGACGTCAGTTCCGGTACCACTAAATCATGGCTGATAATTTGGCTTGTGCTCGAACAAATATTAGTTCTCACAGATTAGGCTTCAGGACCCCGTTCATAGCTCTAGCTTATCCTTACCCTATATTTACAGACCAATGACAGTGCTAGTGTTGCGATCACTTCGTTGAACAAGGGAAAGACGAGGCCTTTCCAAGCTTATAGCACTCGCGATAAGGATGTTGATACTGTTGTTTATGATTATTACATGATCAATCAGGCAAACATTACATAGTTTGGAAAATATATTGACACTATACCACTGAATTCTACAAATCGTACCAAAATGATGAAACTCACCTTTAGTACATTTATCTCCCATCCATCCGGGTAAACACGTACACGTGCCGTCAACGTGAAAGCATCTACCGTTGACACAGTTGCTGCTGCAGCTATTGCTGCAGTTCATGCCGTAGCTTCCTACTGGACATTCTACAACACGGAGGACTCAAGTCTGGTCTTACCATATATACGAACAGGAACAGGGACCACCTGTAATATCAGCTGTGACATATGTAACAAATGGTCTACGATAGTCCACAATGAACATAATGTATAATACACTTGAACATTGGATTGGGTCAAAATATATACATGTTATTAAAACGTTACTGGGCTGAGAACAGTCGCCGAAACACTGCAAGCTGAAGGTTCAAAACACAGCTGTGACCCCCTATGAAAATATATTACCATCGAATAACCATTGCTTGCTTGTTTCATTTTTTTAGCAACAATCAAACACAGGTGTATACTTTCTTTTGTTTACTCTAGAGCTATAGTGCAATCGTATTCACCTTCTGATAGTGTTTAGTTTAACAAAACCCATCTGTCATGAACTGAAGTTAGTACAAACCTTGTTTACAGTCCACTCCAGTAAAACCATCTGCGCAGCCTGACAAGCAACTTCCGTCGACCTTGTTGCATACTTCCGCCCTATCACGACAACTGCAGGTAAAGTTGCATGCTGAGCCATATTTGTAGTCGGGGCAATCTGAAATAGGCAGAGACCATTTCATTGATTGGACCTCAAATGAGATAAACAGAAATAATCTGGGTCAAATACTACGTTTTTTATGAGGTTCTTTTCATGTGAGCAGACATTGGCATCAACGCGTCCGACATCATAATTGGACGCCAATATGTAGTTATGTATCATGAATGACTCTATGCCTACTTCTCCAATACGGCAACCTGGAAGAATGTTTCATCTTCTTAACTTCCTTCAAACCTGAACCTCGACGTCACTTGATCCCTACACACATGATACGCTTTCATCCAAATGTTTTAACATTGGAAACCAAATCCGATCGTTTTAACGTTTCTTAGAAATGTTTGATTCTTGTGGTAAAGGAGTGATAAAACTTACCCATTGTGCATCTATCTCCCATCCATCCGGGCACACACTTGCACGTGCCATCCACGTGGAGACAGTGACCATCGACACAGTTGCTGCTGCAGTTGTTGCTGCAGTTCAAGCCGTACCTTCCTCCTGGGCATTCTGCAACACAGAGGAGTGAAGGCTTATCATACCGTACACACCATCAGCAGCATTAGGATGAGGGACTACTTATTTTATCAGCTGTGATATAATTATGTGAGAAACAATAATAATAATAATAATAATAACGTGCATATTTATAATATGCCAAATCCACACCCTAAAGCATGCTCCAAGCTTTACATTTTGCCCCCGTCAATTAATCTGCGTGCACGAAATTTCTATTTATCTGTGGAGTATACAACCTAGGATGTCTTATGGGGCGCACAAAGGTTAACAGTCTCATCCTACAGGATATTCATTCACTGCTGGCATATTTCGAAGAGCGAGACACATATTGTAACATGTGTATCAGTGTGGGGCAGAATTGAAGTTGGTACAAACCTTGTTTACAGTCCACTCCAGTAAAACCATCTGCGCAGCCTGACAAGCAACTTCCGTCGACCTTGTTGCACACTTCCGCCCGATCACGACAACTACAGGTGAAGTTGCATGCTAAGCCATATTTGTAGTCGAGGCAGTCTAAAGTAGACAGACAGCACTAATGAGAACTCTACCGGTACAAGCAGACATTTGCATTTCTCTTGACCAAGTGTTACTTCTTCAAAATGATACATGGTTGCATTAACGGACACTGACACATTCTTGCAATCACGACCCGTGACGATCCGGGTTAGAATTGGCCTTCAACAGCCCATGCTTGTCGTAAGAGGCGACTAACGGGATCGGGTGGTCAGGCTCGTTGGATTGCATGTCGTAGATCCATGTTTATTATGTTCCTCTCTGGATAGTCTGGTCCAGACCTGATTACTTACAGACCGCCGTCACACAACTGGAATATTGCTGAGTGCGGCATTAAACATCAATTCTCGCAATTAAAATTTAAGGCAAATCTGTGAAGGCATACCATGAATTGATATAATTCAACCTCCAAATAAAGGCAGGCGTAAATAAAGCACGTTGGAACAGCGAACTTCGACTATTTTATACACAAGAACAGCCTGTACCCCAACCCCAGACTGGAAAGAAGTAACATTAAAAAACCCCTTTCTCCTTCATCAGGTCGACTGACATTTTTTTCGACGAATGAAAAACGTTTTGGCAGCAGATCAAACTCTCACCCCCGAACACCTGCACCTCGCATAGCGTCAATATCTTGGAGTCTCCTCTCAAGGTCACCTCAAGTCTGTCGGCCGTTCGACTGGCTGGCATCTGCACTGACGTCACTTCCGCCGCTGTGCCTGCCGTGTCTTGGTACACCTGTTTTAATCCACTTATGCCAGCTTTCCCCAAACGGATGCGAAAGTTATTGAGGCGCTCTCCACCTTTAGAAACACATAAATTACATATATATTTATGTGTGAATCAGGAGAAAAACATGGTGCGCTTTCAGTCTATTATCTAATCCCGATACAAAATCCCCACACCCCCACTCGCCCCAACCCCAAATAACCAATGGTCCGTCTCGAACACTTCTGTGGCAGAGTCAATGTCCTCAATTCTTTATCAAGTGTCTGAAGGATAATTATTTTTTCGAGCTTTTCTTGAACAATTTATTTTTTTCGATAAAATCGTGGTTAATGTTCAAGCTGTTACTGTTCATATTGTGCCCTGGAACAAAACCCAACAATAACATACATTGGCTTTTCGGGTTTCTACCGACCTAAAACATATCTCTGATCATAAGTATGCATAAGATAATTCATGAATAACCGAAAGAAAGTAATCATCTTGTGTGTTGAGCTACTGACAACGGGCGATGGGCTAGGCCGATGGTTAATATGTTGGCTAGTCGCTCTGAAAAACCCTTAGATGGTTACAATGTGCGAACCCTATTCTTGGTGTCGAGTCCATAACCACTTACTTGTTCCCCATTGTACAAACCTACTCTATGCAGCTGGTAACCTAAAGTACTACTTATATTCCATATCTATCCAGTCGTGTTGGTACCCTACAGTAATACATATAACTGTATCCATATCCCACATACTCGTTCCCTATTATACACGTTTATCCCGTCTTTTTGGTGGTTATCAGTAGAACGCATATCTCGATTTATATCCCACTTGCTCCTTCCCCTATCACACACACTAGTAATGTATAGCTGGTAACCTCCAGTACTCCGTACATATATGTATATCCCACTTGATTTGCCCATCCCTATTTACTGCTGTATTTAGCCGATAGTCTACAGTAATACATACACATATCTATGTGCCACTTACCTGTTCCCCTATTGTACACGTCTACTCTGTATATCTGGTAGTCCTGTCCAAGCCGCACCAGCCAGTTAGGGTCTGTTGTAATGGCCGTGTGGGTACACGATCTATCTTGGAATCTGGTAGACATGCCGGCGTCCACCGCAAGAGACGAATTATAAATATCATATACTGAAGATTGTGACGTGTCTCCCCGTAGTGCGATGTTTCTGCCTGAAAAGATTATATAGCAAGTGTTTTAGTGATAACAACCAACTTGGGATTCGCCCTGATTATGATTCATGTTTGAATTACTACTACTACTACTACTACTACTACTACTACTACTACTACTACTACTACTACTACTACTGCTACTATTGCTGCTGCTGCTACTACTGGTACTTCTGCTGCTACTGCTACTGCTATTTCTACTGCTCCTACTTCTGCTACTACTTCTTCTACTACTACTTCTACTACAACTTCTACTACTACTACTTCTACTACTACTTCTTCTTATGGGGGCACGGGAGGCCCAGTCGTCTAATGCGCCGCGATTCGCTGTGCAGAGTTGCATCCCTTAGGCACGCGAGAAACCTATGATTGTGGGTTCGAATCCCAGCTACTTCTACTGCTACTACTTCTGCTACTACTTCTTCTACTACTACTACTACTTCTACTTCTACTTCTACTTCTACTACTACTTCACTACTACATCTTCTACTACTACTTCTACTACTACTACTTCTACTACTACTACTTCTACTACTTGGGGCACGGGAGGCCCAGTCGTCTAAGGCGCCGCGATCCGCTGTGCAGAGTTGCGTCCCTTAGGCACGCGAGAAACCTATGACTGTGGGTTCGAAACCCGGTTCGCCCCGATTATGTTTCTAGGTTTGTAAGCACCATACCTGTGCTCGTGGGTTTCACCGAAGTGGTAAACGTCTGGGACCTGCATCACTTCGGGCTTTCCTCCCACCTTAAGCTGTCACGCCGTGTTATGACTGGAATACTGTTAAAAGCGGCGTTAAACCCAACTCACTCACTCATTACTACTCATACTAATAATAATAATACTTCTTCAAAGACAAAACAAGCAGTCACACACACACACGCGCGCGCGCGCGCGTGCATGCACGTCGCTATATAAGTGCAATAATATTGGACGCGACGTTAAACCCAATTTCACCTCATTTCACTTCTACTTCTACTTTTCCTTCTACTACGACAACTACGACTACTCCGACTACTCCTTCTACTACTTATACTTCTTCTACGTATACTACGACTTCATCCTCCTCCTACTACTACTAATAAAACAAAAAAACATGATACGAAGGTCACTGATAAGAAAGCAAACTATACAGTCTAAGGTTGCCTTAGATAAAAAGGTTGTACCTATATTGACTTAGGGATATGAATGTGGATAAGTATGAAGTACTGGTCACGTGTCACTTCAGTACCAACATGTCCACATCCGTGTTATTACGGTGAAGGAAACGCGTGGAAGATGTCAGCTCAACTGGGCAACACATATTGATTTTGTTTTCGTTTGGTGTTTGGAATAGTATAGTTTTCACAAGAGTTGGAGGTGTTCAGTTATTTTTCAGCTTTAATTCCTTGTTGGAATGTGAGATAAACTGCGTGGATCGGTGCTCATGATATCAATCAATGGATTGTCTGGTCCAGATTCGATTATTTACAGACCGCCGTCATATAGTGTGAATATTGCTGAGTACTACTACCACACCTACTACTACTACTACTACTACACCTACTACTACTACTGCTACTGCTATTGCTACTGCTACTACTACTACTACTACTACTACTACTGCTACTACTACTACTACTACTACCACACCTACTACTACTACTACCACACCTACTACTACTACTACTACTACTACTGCTGCTGCTGTTACTGCGTATACACACACATGGAACAGCTTAAATGTCAGTTGTATGTGAATTTGGGTCTAAAATAATGTCTCCAACTCTCAAAACTTAGACATGTATACACATATCAATTAAATAGAAGCCAATATAAGAATTAGAACAGACAAGATATGGTAAACACATCACGACATCGCTTTAATATCTTTGACCCAAGTTACTTTGATCAGCAGGTTTAAGAAGCATGATCAATACATTTTAGATTTCTGTGGACCATAAACATTTTATAAAGTGAAGTAATAATATCTCTAAAATGTTTCAGTTAGTCAAAGATTGTTATTATTCAAATGGATCGATCCCAACCCAAGCCTTACCCCCGTAAACGTACACTTCAGTCAACCCCAGTCTGGACTCCGTCGTGTTTGTGCCGACAAGTGTGATGGACGTGGCGTTAACGACGTTCCTACACGTCATCCTCAACGTCGTAGTCGTGATCCAAGCGTTCGTAGCGTCACACGGCATGGTCGTGTTTATGTTTGTTGTTGTCATTGCTATTGCCCGCGTTCCTGTAAGCATGGAGATATTCACTTACAGGAATGACGGACAAATACATGGTCGCTGACTTCACTGTTAAGGGGAATAATGTTGGCATTGTAATAATAACGATTTATTTGGGATACTGCGCAATACAACGAAACACGTGGCGTGGTGTGTTCAATATACGTCACATGGGTCATGTTCTCTAATGCTACGGTATCGGCAACTTCCTCCGCAAGTAAGTACCTGAATAAGTTCTCAACATTATCATGGTTACATCATATTTGGTTTTCTATTGGAGGTATTCACGGTATATTGATATAAAATACGATAAAATACCAAATTTCGCAGGCACAAGGACATCAACCCAGACTATCCAGGCAGGGTGTTGGAACTCCACGCTCCATGTGGGGTTCAGGGTAGATTGTGTAAACGAGTAGGTCGACGTATAACCGTCGACAGCTGTAGACGAAGTACTGGACTGTGTTTGTTGCTTGTAGGCAATTGAGACTGTAACATACGAACCGCATTTGAAGGTATGTTAAGGACGTGAGCATATACATGTGTACAATTACATAAAAGCTTCATTGGAACAAACATCACACACTCCCTGTCTTCTGACCATGACGTAGCCTCGAACCCAAGAGTTGTCTTGAATTAGTGTAACATGAGACTTCCCTGGCATAGCAAATTGAACACGGGATGAGTTTGGCCTTCTGAAAATGATAAAGTGCTTAATCGGTTATTCATCAGGTCTTCTGAACATGGCAACTAACTGATTATTTGTAAGGCCTTCTGAACATGGCAACTAACTGATTATTTGTAAGGCCTTCTGAACATGGTAAAGTGATGAATCAGCTACAACCCTCTAAACACTTTAACTGGCGCTTTTTCTTCTGCCAATACAACTTTCACTGACTACACCGGTGTCTCATTTGTTTGACGGAACATGTCAGCGTTATAAGATCTGTGAACTCTACATTGGCATAAACTTGCGACGAACAAAACTCCGACGAACGTAGGAAACATTCAACAAATCGATATTGTTTCATCAATCTATTTATCACCAAAGACGCCACAGCTTATGTTTAACCTTTATATATTTACTGAGACCCTTTTCTTGGTTTGCGAATCCACCGACCTTAAAACTGGAAAGTTGGGAACAAAGTAATATCATCATTACCACGTTATTTTATGCCCATGACAGTAAAAATATCTCTGCAAATAAAAATAATCTACCATACCTGCCAGTGACTTAGGAAAAACGCTCTCTTGATGCCATTTTGAAAACTTGAAAAACGAAACAATACTGATTAGCATTTACGTGAGGCTGCACTTTTTTGCATTAAAAAAAAATCAAAAATCAAATCACTTTCATTTAAAGTAGTTTCTTTGTTACCGCGGCATTCAGATCGGAATGTCAGATATCAAAATATGCTTCAGTCAGTGCCACTTGAATTAAAATCATGAAATGGATATACACGTTGGTATATGTATGAAATACTAGAAGGGACGCGTTGTCGGGCTTTGCAACAATGCTACAACGCGACATTTTTGCCATTTGTGGCATTGTCGCGCTTTGAATCATCCTTTTTTTTACCAAAGAGCCACAATGCGACAACGACTCTTTTCAAGGTCAAAATATGTCGCATCGTCGCAATGTCGCCCTATCAAAAATGTGTAAAAAAAGGCGTTAAAGTACGACATTCGATAATGTAACATTGACGCGTTGTCGCCCTTCGATTAATGGTGCGCATGCGTACTAAGTGAATTAATCTACGCATGCGCCGAAATGGTTATACTTCTTATCAAATTTCAGTGTTTTTTGTTTGTTCCAATGGTTCTAAAACCAAAGTAGCAGTGGCAATGTGGTTTGCTTTTCTCAAAATGAAAACAAATCTTTCATCGTTGCTTTAGAAACTAGTTCATATATCGTTATTGTCCGTGTCGGTTTTCATAAACTAAACGTTTTTTCACAGGAAGAAACAAACACTTTGAATTCTATTATATTTAATTCAGGTCTCCGACATCTTTTTTTCAAATGACACACGGTTGGCCCTTCACACGGTTAGATGGCGCAGTTGGCTGCGCGTCTCCTTGACGTACCAGAAAACTAGGATCGAGTGTTCGAATCCCAGCACCATACACATACATCATTTAGGGATTTCCTCCCTCAGCAAGCTGACACGCTGAGAAATACCTGAATTTTTATTCAAAGCGGTGTTAAACCACAGGTCACGTTAGTCACGGGGGGTACTTGGATCGGTGACCGCGTTCGACTGCTTGGCTCCTGAGAGTTTCAAAGGCCTCGGTCCTGTTCCCACACTCAAGCACACGTAACGCATGTGGTGTCTCTTTGGACAAGAAACTTTGTTCGAAATATGCCACTGTTCACCCAGCAGTGAATGGGTACCCGGTGAGATAATATGACGTGGCTGTTAACCTTCCTGCACATTACAGCTCAGGTCGTACATATACTCCCCAAGGAGATGAGCAGGACCGGGGTTATACTGTGATTTGAGCATGATAATAAGCATGGAAAAAGTGCCATACAAATGGATTATTATAATAATTATTATAAATAAACTATCCGGGGCCTTCATTAGGTATCAAGGTAGGAATTGAATGTTTCTTAGCGATGATTAATTAACGAAGGCTGCTGCATGCGTGTTAATACTTATAAAGCCATTCCGCCGATAAGATATATTACTTACAGTATTGACAAAGTGTGTATCAAGTGTTATATTTGGGATAACAATTTCTTAGTAAAGTACAGATTCTCGTACTTTTCAAGAAATATCCATTTTGCTTGCGATAAACATCATCATTGAGCTTTTATCATGTGGTTACAATGAAGGAACAATAAATTGGCTTCCACTCCTAGCATAATAAGTCTTACGTGATGTTTTTAAGTCCCTTTGAACTTCTAAAAAATCTTTAGTCATTCTGACGCATAAGTTATTGGAAAAATATTTTAGCGTTTTGTAAATTGCCAAAGTGAAAATTTCAGTCATTTTACACATTTACTGTAACACTTGAGAATTTTCAGCTTTTCAGACCGTAATGTGATAAGTTGATTAAATATTAAATGTTACTGAGACAAATTTAATATATTTAAGGGTACATTATTTCATTTAAACTCTGATGTTTAGTTGATCACAAATACACTATCAACATGCCTTTAAATGGCCGTCAAAGCGGATCACAAATGTTTCAGGTAAAAGGTCAATGTTTGGCTTCAAATTTATTTTTATAAATTTATATTAAATTTCGGAATGGTACATCCCACAATGAGCGTTGGCAGCAGAGATGTAAGGAAATATGTTATGAATTTATGGAAACTTTGTGAGAGTCAGATGGCATAGTGGGGTTTGAAACGTAAAGCTTAACAGTTATATATTATAATTGCTCTATAAACTTACTGCATACACACTGTCTAATTTATACAGGCTGTAGTAAATGGGTAGTCGGCCATGGTTGAAGTGAGGAACTGTAACCGTACATGATGTACGGACGACGGACGACGCGCCATGGCAAATACTTCTCATTCCGAGTGCCAAGTCACTTCACTGTCGAGTGTTATTCAAATTAGTCATGAAAAACAAGACCAACTCCAGTAATCAACTTACAGTACTGGCAGCCGGGACCAAAGTAACCCTCGTCACATCCGAACGAAAAACATCTCCCTGTTGTGATGTCACACTGTCTTCTGTCGAAGCAGTGACACTGGAATCTACAGGACGGTCCGAACCAGTAGTTGCCCAGTCTGTCTCGGGCACACGAGGTGTCTACAATAACATCAGAAGAACGTACAGACAGTTGCAGTCTGGCTGGGGCACACGGGATGTCTACAATACCACCAGAAGAACATATATACAGTTGCCCAGTCTGGCTGGGGCACAAGGGATGTCTACAATACCACCAGAAGAACATATATACAGTTGCCCAGTCTGGCTGGGGCACAAGGGATGTCTACAATACCACCAGAAGAACATATATACAGTTGGCCAGTCTGGCTGGGGCACAAGGGATGTCTACAATACCACCAGAAGAACATATATACAGTTGGCCAGTCTGGCTGGGGCACAAGGGATGTCTACAATACCACAAGAAGAACATATATACAGTTGCCCAGTCTGGCTGGGGCACAAGGGATGTCTACAATACCACCAGAAGAACATATATACAGTTGGCCAGTCTGGCTGGGGCACAAGGGATGTCCACAATACCACCAGAAGAACATATATACAGTTGCCCAGTCTGGCTGGGGCACAAGGGATGTCCACAATACCACCAGAAGAACATATATACAGTTGCCCAGTCTGGCTGGGGCACAAGGGATGTCCACAATACCACCAGAAGAACATATATACAGTTGCCCAGTCTGGCTGGGGCACAAGGGATGTCCACAATACCACCAGAAGAACATATATACAGTTGCCCAGTCTGGCTGGGGCACACGAGGTGCCTGCAATACCATCAAAAGGACATATACACAGTTGCCTAGTCTGTCTCGGGCACAAGGGGTGTCTACAATACCATCATGAGAACATATATATACGGTTGACAAAGTAGACACAATTTAATAATTACAACATCTTTATTTACTGTAAAGGCGGCGTGTCGTTGGAGATCCGTATACCGTTATCAAGCAAGACTGAATATTTAACATGGTAGAGAATATATATAGTAGTAGGAGGATTATCAGGAACAACACTTTCATACATGTTACACGTTAAATAATGACAACAGACACAGAACACGTGATGAGTGAGTGAGTGAGTGAGTATTGTTTAACGCCGCTTTTTGCAATATTCCAGCAATATCACGGCGGGGGACACCAGAAATGGGCTTCACACATTGTACCCATGTCGGGAATCGAACCCGGGTCTTCGGCGTGACGAGCGATCGCTTTAACCACTAGGCCCCACACGTGATGAGGAAGCCAATAAGACAGGAACATGATTAGTTAAGACTTGGTTGAGGTGTTCGATCTCGGTTTTTGGTTGAGCAGAAGAAAGGTTGATGTCTCGTTTAGTGGGGGTAGAGATGATACGAGTCTTAGTTGCAAGAGGATGGTTATGTTGTTTATATCTGAATTTATGGTATTTCGCGACGCCTATTTGACTTGTCGTGTCACTTTAACGTCACTGAAATCTTGTTTAGGAATACCCTTCCTGGTCTGGTAGTTGTATAACCTCGGAATTAGTGAATGGGTGTGGTTTTACACCGCTTTTAGCTATATTCCAGCAATATTACGGCGGGGACACCAGAAATGGGCTTCACACATATGTACCCATGTCGGGAATCGAACACGGGTCTTCGGCTTGACGAGAGAACACTTTAGCCACTAGGCTACCCCACAGCCTTATCTCAGAATGATGCCATGAATCATATGAGCATGGAGTCTTATCCAAGAGTAAACAAAGACAATCCATTTTATTACTCGCACTGTTTAATAACAATCAGTTGGTATGACACAGTGTTTAATACGACATCGCGTATTTTTATACGGCGGGAACTAGTGTCACTAACAAATATTGAAACTTATTTTGGCTAATTCCATGACTTTGCAATAGATCATTGAGAAGAGCTTAGGAACACATGATGACCCCCGGCAACCTAGCCTGTCTCACAGTCCCTGAACTATATTATTTTTCCTTCCCCCTAAGACACTTTCTGCATACAACAGCCCAAAATGAAGCAAGACTACATTTTCCTTAGAACCTCCCATCTCACTCGGGTTCCTTTTCAATTTTAATGGAGTAATTTGTTACATATGTTCAGAGACTAACCGTTAGTCTACAAGCAACCCTGTTACTAGACTGACGTCACATGGCACTAATTCGCCAGTGTATCTTGCAACAAAATTTCACAAATTACGTTATAGGGTATTGTGGCGTGTTTGTACATTTTACACTTCTACAAATCGATCGTAGCGCAACGACAGTCGTAAGTCGATGTAAAGTATGGGAGTTCGATCACCTCAGCGCTTCGATAGCTTTTAGGAAAGGACCTCTGAATTCTAAAGGTAGGTTGTTGTATGGTATTAAATAGATACGTGCCGAACGATCGCATCCAAGAGTGGGTGAGATATGACAATCGGTATTGGGAGAAAAGGTATAGGTAGTCGACGTGAGGATTGTGAGAATATGTGGGGAATACCAAATTTATTGTGGATTTGTCCGGCATAGGCGAGGTCGGATTCTATTCAGCGAGTCATCATTATTGAATTATGGGTAAATATATTTAAAGCTTGTACATTTTATTAACAACCTTAAAGGTCCTGTACAAAATGTTGATATATCATATATCGTACAATAAATGTTGATATCTCATACATCGTACAATAAAACACTCCAAGGAGAATAAACAACTTGGGGCCGCGCCCCCCTCATGGTTTATTCTCCCTGAAGTGTTTTATTGTACGACAATCAATTCTTATATTCTTAAATAAACGGCAAGTAATATAAAAAATACTCGCTTCTGTACAATACCAATTTGCTGACACTCGTGAGTAGCTCTGGATAGATACCACAACTATTCACTTGTTTCATAAAATTGGTATTACAGCGCAGCCCAGAGATATCAGGTTGTACTTAGTAACGAATTGGTGAGAGATATCAGGTTATACTTAGTAACGTATTGTTGGGAGATATCAGGTTGTACTTAGTAACGAATTGGTGGGAGATATCAGGTTATACTTAATAACGAATTGGTGGGAGATATCAGGTTATGCTTAGTAACGAATTGTTGGGAGATATCAGGTTATACTTAATAACGAATTGGTGGGAGATATCAGGTTATACTTAGTAATGTGTTGTTGGGAGATATCAGGTTATACTTAGTACGAATTGGTGGGAGATGTCAGGTTACACTTAATGATGTATTGTTGGGAGTTATCAGGTTATACTTAGTAACGAATTGTTGGGAGATATCAGGTTATTCTTAGTAACGTATTGGTGGGAGATATCAGGTTATTCTTAGTAACGTATTGATGGGAGATATCAGGTCTCATTGTGACAATCAAGATGAACCCCCCTCGTGCGTGTTACAAGTCGTTGAATGAAGCTCTTAGTTATTATTGGGACGGTAATTCAATCAGGACCATATATGCGAAATACTTCCGTGTCACATCATGAGTGTATAAGAGTTCAATGACATAAATCTGCTTTGTCTTTCTATCATATCCAGTTAAATTATTAGGATATCTTACTATTGAAGGTTACCACACTTTCCTGAAAGTCTGATCATCTAATCCGGGGGACCGTCTACCGGTACATCTTGATAATATATTCAATGAAGCTTTCTGTACTCTCACTAGTTCAGCCTTCGTATTTTATGATCAGTAACTAAGACTTGAAATTGATCAGCTCGTACCCATTACTTCTGTATGCTAAAACTTAAATATGTAATTTTCTTGGCCACAGCTTGTAGCGGAACGAAACAGACCATGCATGTATGTACATATATTCACCAATCAAACATATAGAACGGTAACAACAAAGGAATTACCTGCAGAACTCCAAGCCAATATCCCTGCCGTTACAGAGATGAAAATTATACCGGCCATTGTGTCAACCTCACCGTGCCGACCTCCAAGAAGGACAATGAAGCACATGCACACATGAGTGTGTTTTTCCTGTTCAGAGACAAGGGAGGAAATAATTTCGTGGGCTGTTCGTACATCATCCTTTCCGGAGTATATAATAATGCATATCATGTATGGTATAGTTAATGAATACCGTTTACGGTATAATAATGCATATCATGTATGGTATAGTTAATGAATACCGTTTAAGGTATAATAGTGCATATCATGTATGGTACAATTAATGAATACCGTTTAAGGTATACTAATGCATATCATGTATGGTATAATTAATGTATGCCGTTTAAGGTATAATAGTGCATATCATGTATAGTATAATTAATGAATACCGTTTACGGTATAATAATGCATATCAGGTATGGTATAGTTAATGAATACCGTTTACGGTATAATAATGCATATCATGTATGGTATAATCAACGTATACCGTTTAAGGTATACTAATGCATATCATGTATGGTATAGGTAATGAATACCGTTTACGGTATAATAATGCATAGCATGTATGGTATAATTAATGAATACCGTTTACGGTATAATAATGCATATCATGTATGGTATAATAAATGAATACCGTTTACGGTATAATAATGCATATCGTGTATGGTATAATTAATGTATATCGTTTAAGGTATAATTAATGCATATCATTTATGGTACAATTAATAAATACCGTTACGGTATAATAATGCATATCATGTATGGTATAATTAATGAATACTATTTACGGTATAATAATGCATATCATGTATGGTATGATTAATGAATACCGTTTACGGTATAATAATGCATATCAGTGAGTGAATGAGTGAGTGAGTTGGGTTTAACGCCGCTTTTAACAGTATTCCAGTTATATCACGGCGTGTCAGCTTAATGTGGGAGGAAAGCCTGAAGTGATGCAGTTCTCAGACTTTTACCACTTCGGTGAAACCCACGAGCACGGGCATGGTGTTGACAAACATAGAAACATAATCGGGTCGAACCGGGATTCGAACCCACGATCATAGGTCTCTGCCGTGGCCAAGGGACGCAACTTTGCACATCGAATCGCGGCTCCTTAGACGACTGGGCCATCCGTGCCCCCAATGCATATCATGTATGGTATAATTAATGTATACAGTTTAAGGTATAATAATGCATATCTTGTATGGTATAATTAAGGAATACTGTTTCAGGTATAATAATGCATATCATGTATTGTATAATTAATGAATAGCGTTAAGGTATAATAATGCATATCATGTATATTATAATAAATTTATACCGTTTAAGGTATAATAATGCATATCATGTATGGTATAATTAATGAATGTACTATTAATGCATGTCAAGTATGTGTGTGTGCTCACGCGCGTGCTCACGCGCGTGTGTGTGTATGTGTGTGTGTCTGTGTGCCTGTGTCTCTGTGTGTGTCTGTCTCTGTGTCATATTGGCAATTTGGCGCTAGACGACACAATTAATATACTAATTACCAAGAGCAGATTTGCATTTCAGAGCTTCTGTAACAAACATTTCTCAAGAATTGACACATGTGACTTCACACATGACATGGCTGTTATTTGACAGTGATCTACGAATGGTTTGCTTCATATGTTTTTAAAACATATTTCTTTTACATTTAACGGCCAAAATGTGTCAGTGACACACATCGCACATATTAATAATTAAAATAAACATCGTTCATACAAAGCGTGATACGCCGATGGAAATAGTAACACTAGTAGTAAAAACTATTGCTGTGAAGAACGATGTATACCAGTCATCTGGTTGAGAGGATTTTATGGTAAAACAACAAACGTAAAATAAGAGAAGGTATACGGTATAAGTTGTAGTAAGTAAAAATGTTAATTTAATATGTTTTGTACATTTTTGAATATACATATGTTATGTAAAAATGAGCATGAAATATGAACATAGAGAACTGTCAGGATCGAGAAAATGACCTCCAACTGATAAAATAGTGTTTTATAATGAAGTTCTAATGGCATCATGATTAGAACATTAGAACATCTAATGTGAAAGACGTTTTCACGTGAATTTCTTCACAGGCATGTTAAGATTCCTGACAAATTGACTTTAAATAAATCTGCACTAGCGGGACAACAGGAATGACTTAAACGAGTGAGAAGTATATTTTCTCTTCTATCCCCAGATAAGAAGTAACAAGAGGGTAAAATAGTTTCTGGTTTAACACTGCTTTTAAAACATGAAAGTGTAGCCGAAGGTCTAAATTCCTGAGAATTTAAGTGTCTGGTATAAAAGGGTGCTGGAAAGTAACAATCCGGGCGTGTGGAATACTAATACTGTTTTTATTTTGATGACTTATGGTGGCCTCTTGGTGGAAAAAGGTCATTATAGTAACGTGGGAATAAGTTTTTAACAATCTTGTATACAGCATATATTTGTTTTTAGTTTGACGTCTGCTTGATAGTGTCTCCCACCCTGTTTCATTATAAGAACTAATCCGAGATGCGTATTTACGAGGGCCAGTAACAGTTCTAGCTGCTTCCAGTTTCATCTTTTCATGTTTATCAGAGTTGACATCGTTAAACTTATCTCCGACTTCAGATACGCATTCGAGAATAGGCCGTATAATAACAATGTAGAGTTTACATAATTTGGTTCTATCGAGTACATATTTAAGTTTTCGTAAAGAAAAGATGATTTATGTTTTATGCAGAGTGGCGTTTACTGTCAGTATGGGCAGACCATTTCACATCTTGGCATAAAATAACACCGATGCGTTTGGGAGTATTCGATTGAGGAAGTGATATATTATTATGCACCAAATTAATTTTGGTAATATTGTCTGTGTCACTGAATAATATGTATGTTGTTTTGTCGGGATTAAATTTTAAAGCCTTTTATACGCCCATTTGTAAACGTAAGACAGATCGTGGTTCAAGTTGTTTCCCAAATGGTTAATTCTAACAGACGATGCACCAATTGACGAATCAACAGCAAATAAACGAGTTAAATTGTTAAGATTATCAGCTAAATCGTTTAAGTATACAAGGAATAGAAAGGGACCCAGTACAGAACCCCGGGGTACCCCGGCTGTGGTGTATATTAATTGCGGATAGGCTAGTTGATTTTAAAAAGATAGTTAATTTTATTAAAATCATATCTTTTATATTAATGTTTTGTGTTTTGAAAAATTAATAACACCTGTAAGTGTACAATTACAATCACTGGTAATTAAGACAGGATCGTGTTGGCTGTAATCCGTATAGGGTCCGTGATCATAATTCGTAAATGTTTGCTGGTGATGATATCACGCAAGTGGTGGACGGTGTTACTCAACGAGTCCTAATTAAGGTCACCAACAAGAACGATATCACGAGAAACATCAAGTGCCCTTTCTAGCATGTGTTCATGAACAGTCCACTATACAGTGGCGGTAAGGTTGGCGGTAGGTGACACCTAAAAGGAAATATCTCATTGGAGATTTATTTGAAACTGCATGTTTTCCAAATTAATAACTTCAAGGTCAGGTCTACATCTTGTACAAAGTGTATCGGAGAAGCATACTAATATACCACCCCGAAACAAGCCCTGTCCCTCTTGCGTAGGGGTGGTATAATAGCCCTGTCCCTCTTGTGTGAACCCGTGACGATACGGGGTAAAATAGGTCTTCAGCAACCCATGCTTGCCTAAAAAAGCGACTATGCTAATTGTAAGAGGCGACTAACGGGAAAGGGTGGTCAGGCTGGCTGATTTGGTTGATGCATGAAATCGATCCCAATTGTGTGGGTCGATGCTCATGATATTAACCACTGGATTGTCTGGTCCAGACTCGATTATTGACAGACCGCCGTCATATAGCTGGAATAATGCTGAGTGCGGCGTTCAACAACAAACAATAAAACAAACAAACAATTATAAATATGCCATGTAGCGTAGCCTTTTGTAGGCTGTAAGAGTATGTTTATTATGAGTGTAATACGGTTTGGAGCCGACAGGCGAGTGGTACACAATCACACAGAGGTACATGGAACCCTATTCCCCGAAGGATAGCCTACAAAGAATTATCTAACGGACATGTTGATCATTTTCACAAACAAATGGATGCGAAGCGTTTGTTTGGCAACATGGAGGTTGAACTCCGGGGAACACATTGTTTATATATAGACTCTCTGCATCTAAAGTCAGTGTTAATATTCATTACACGATACTGTTGCGTTGTTATATATTTTTCAGCTGTATGAAAACGTCATTCAGTCAGACAAGAATTCATAGTCTACTTTCCTATTTATGGACAAGGAAGGAAGGTCACTGATGTTGTCATGCAGGGTACCGTTACAAATACGTGGCAATCCCGTGTACAGTTATTGTTAAAAGTAATGCATGGCTTTAATGAATCACTTTGACGTTAAGATCTGTTGAAGTTAACAAGAAGGACTATAATCCTTTAAAGTCCATTACTAGTATACAGGATGTGCACAAAACGCGGCGTCATTTCCCCACACGAAGATGACTCGTTGTCTACAGTTAGAAGAACTTGTATTACCGTGGGTTTCTGACGGTAGGGGGCGGTCGGGTAGCCTAGTGGTTAAAGCGTTCGATCGTCCCGGGTACGAATCCCGACATGGGTACAATGTGTGAAGCCCATTTCTGGTGAACCCCGCTGTGATATTGCTGGCGTAAAACCAAACTCACTCACTCACTCACTCTGACGGTAGAGTTGGCTTATTTGGGACATACAATTAACATTGTACTTCCTCATTAAAGTGTATCAAGCAAACCATTGATTTTAAACCATGTCTTGTTTCGTAAGAGAGGTTCTGCTAAAATGTTGCATCAATTGCTGTCGTATCTTTACATTGTATTCTTCGTTATTTGACTGTAATTGAAGGTTCGCTTCCATGCTTTGTGTCTTAGATTTGGTTATAACTTGCCAGCACGTTAGTTCAATGGAGTTTATCACTACTGGGACACACTGTCATATCAACTATGTCATGATCTTGGACGGAAGTGATGATAGTCGACGGAAGTCAATTTCCGTTCCATATCGAGGCTGTAGGTCTGCCTCAATCCTCCATCAGGACATCATATAGATGTGTAGTGGTGGCCATGCTGTTTATTATCGTGCTACTTGGGATTGTCTCCGAGGCAGTGGCAGGTGATTACTTTAAATGCTTTGTTTCTCTATATATGAATGTAAGTGATATGCACGCTTCTCCAGATTCTCGTTGCTTTCCCATTGTTTGTTTCCCAAAGGAGGCTCGGGATAGATCCATAAGTGTATGTGTAACGACTTTTTTCGTCCAAGTCTTTTATTCATGGTGCATGACTTACTCGGAATGAAAGAGTTCCATCAGTAACTTTTGGAATGGTGGCACGAGTGCATGTAGCGAAGGGTGTTAAGTTATTGACAGAGAGGAAGTTTAATGTGTCATGCAGCATGGATCTGAAAGCGGACAAGGGATGGATGTGTGTGTGGGTAGGGGGGGGGGGGGGGGGGGGGGGAGAGAGAGAGAGATAGGGGTGATGTGCTGATCATGAGTCGTATTAGGGTGAGCTTTAGGGGTGAGGGTTTGGGGTGAGGGTTTGGGGTGAGGGTTGGGGGTGAGGGTTGGGGGTGAGGTTGGGGGATGTAGGTTGGAGGTGAGGGTTTGGGGTGAGGGTTGGGGTGACGTTGGGGGTGAAGGTTGGGGGTGTGAGTTGGGGATGAGGTTGAAGATATTGTATATAATGGTTTTGTGAGAAAAAATATACTTTTGTATTACTTTACGACTTACTTTACAAAGAGACCTAACACGACCTGAGCAAAGATTAATCAAACACAGGACTTTATTCGGGGACACTAACACAAAAGGTTCCTAAGATGACCCAGATACAATAATCACTCTCAACACAATATTTCACCACTCACTGACACAACAGGGTATACTATGATGTAATGCGACCGTAAAATAAAGGTTTCTCTTCTCATGTTTTCCGATTCTCCACTTTAGAATTAAAATGAAATAAAAAAGTGACACATCAAACCAAGATTGCTACATTGCAGTCATTAAAAATAAAAACTTCCACTCATGTGAAAGACAAAACTACGAAAGCCCAAGAGCGCGAGGATGGGAAAATATCCCCCCATAGAATACTATTGTTTAACACTTAACCCTGTTGATGCGAAACCTACTTGCATAAAACCAATTGGCCAGGACACTTTTCACTCGCTATCCTATTCCTATGTCGTATATATAATAAACAGAAGGAATGATATGAGAGAACGCCACTATAATGTGGTATGTGCTTGATTAGTCACAATGTATATCCCCAGATGACGTGGCGAGATTTTTTTTAAAGACATAAACACACATCCACAGCATTACATCCTTGTATTATCACATAACCTCATGGGGATTCCGGGTTGGACCAGGTTCCCAGCAACTTATGCCTATCTTTGAAGGCGACTAAATAGAGTGGTCAGACTCGGTGACGTTGCTCATAGTATCAATCACTGGTTAACAGACTATGATGGTTGAGGCATTGTCATGAACATTCACCCGATGTACTTACAGTGAAATGAGTGAGTGAGTGAGTATGGTTTTCTAGCAATATTCCAGCAAAATCACGGCGGTGGACACCAGAAATGGGCTTCACACATTGTACCCATATCGGGATTCGAACCCGGGTTTTCGGCATGACTAGCAAACGCTTTAACCACCAGGCTACCCGACCGCCCCTACAGTGAAATGAAGTTCAACGGTGCGTCCAAGATTATTGCACTATATAGCGTGGTGCATGTACGTACGTGTGTGTGTGTGTGTGTGTGTGTGTGTGTGTGTGTGTGTGTGTGTGTGTGTGTGTGTGTGTGTGGCTGCTTGTACTAGTCCGGACTGATGCCGATTTTATAGTACTAGCCCACTGAGAAACCATGCCGCAGTTAAACATGAATACCCCACTCAGACACAGTATACTGACTCCGAGCCGACCAGTCCTTGTTTCAGCCCCTTAATGCCGAGCGCCAGACAGGGTAACAACAAGTACCATCTTTAAACGTCTTTTGGTATGACGCGGCCGGGGATGGAACTCCGGGCCTTCCGCTCTTGGGGCGGACGCTCTACCACCAGATCACGCAGGCGGTTGTACTTAAAGAGCAGCAGACAATGAGTGACAGTCTTATTAGAAACGAAGTATATGTTTTGAACATAACACTAGTATTTATCATGCGTATTGTGTTCCTTATTCATTTCATCAGTATTGTAGTACCGTTAAAGTATCTGACGGAGATATCTGGCTTGAGACAATTTACACGAAGATGACGAAGTGACTCCCGGGAAATAGGGTATATCTCGTTGAAACGATATTCAGAAGTGGGCTACTCGGGTTAGAATACGTCCCCCACATTACAGGTCAGTGGCTAAAGTGACTAGGATGTACAGGCTTGGTGACTTGGTTGCTCGTCATCGTACCCCGACGGCGAGGGACGTTGTTCATAATATCAGCCACTGGTTGTCTTGTCCAGTTTCCAGTATTTACCAGTTGTCGTGATATGACTTGGGCATTGGTGAGTGTGATGTTAACCACACCCGTCCAGCCCCTCTATTGTGTTAAGGATAGTCCGATTGAACGGCAACGCGCCTGATTATCGGATCAGCTGTTAAGTAGGAACAGATAACTTACAAAACGGAAAAGGAGACACTTTCGTTTGGTTCCGACAGACCGCTATATTTATGGTCATGTGAAACCGGAAAAGGGTACGTGCATTCCTATCTAAACTTATTTCACAAGGAAAGTAATTTGTTTGTCTGGAAAGTAAACTTTTTATGCAGACACTGGTAATGGAGGCCTGCTTATAGCAACTGTATTCATGTTTTCTCGTGGTAGTATTGACATCCCGTGTGCCCCAGACAGACTATGCAACAGTATATTTGTTCTAATGATTGTATTGTAGACATCCCCTGTGACCCAGCCAGACTGGGCAACTGTATGTGTGTTCATCTGGTGGTATTGTAGACATCCCCTGTGACCCAGCCAGACTGCAACTGTATATATGTTCTTCTGATGGTAATATCGACATCATCTGTGACTCAGCCAGACTGGGCAACTGTATATATGTTCTTCTGGTGGTATTGTAGACATCCCCTGTGCCCCAGCCAGACTGCAACTGTATATATGTTCTTCTGATGGTAATATCGACATCATCTGTAACCCAGCCAGACTGGGCAACTGTATATATGTTCTTCTGGTGGTATTGTAGACTAGACATCCCGTGTGCCCCAGCCAGACTGCAACTGTTTATATGTTCTTCTGATGGTAATATCGACATCATCTGTGACCCAGCCAGACTAGGCAACTGTATATATGTTCTTCTGGTGGTATTGTAGAGTAGACATCCCCTGTGCCCCAGCCAGACTAGGCAACTGTATATATGTTCTTCTGATGGTAATATCGACATCATCTGTGACCCAGCCAGACTGCAACTGTATATATGTTCTTCTGATGGTAATATCGACATCATCTGTGACCCAGCCAGACTGGGCAACTGTATGTATGTTCTTCTGGTGGTATTGTAGACATCCCCTGTGCCCCAGCCAGACTGCAACTGTATATATGTTCTTCTGATGGTAATATCGACATCATCTGTGACCCAGCCAGACTGGGCAACTGTATATATGTTCTTCTGATGGTAATATCGACATCATCTGTGACCCAGCCAGACTGGGCAACTGTATATATGTTCTTCTGGTGGTATTGTAGACATCCCCTGTGCCCCAGCCAGACTGCAACTGTATATATGTTCTTCTGATGGTAATATCGACATCATCTGTGACCCAGCCAGACTGGGCAACTGTATATATGTTCTTCTGATGGTATTGTAGACATCCCCTGTGCCCCAGCCAGACTGCAACTGTTTATACGTTCTTCTGATGGTAATATCGACATCATCTGTGACCCAGCCAGACTAGGCAACTGTATATAATTATGTTCTTCTGGTGGTATTGTAGACTAGACATCCCCTGTGCCCCAGCCAGACTGCAACTGTTTATACGTTCTTCTGATGGTAATATCGACATCATCTGTGACCCAGCCAGACTGGGCAACTGTATATATGTTCTTCTGATGGTATTGCAGACACCTCGTGTGCCAGGGACAGACTGGGCAACTACTGGTTCGGACCGTCCTGTAGATTCCAGTGTCACTGCTTTGACAGAAGACAGTGTGACTTCACAACAGGAAGATGTTCTTCGTCCGGATGTGACATGGGCTACTTTGGTCCCGGCTGCCAGTACTGTAAGTTGATTACTGGAGTTGTTCTCTTTTCATGACGCCAATTTGAAAAGCGCTCCACAATGAAGTGACTTGGCACTCGGAATGAGAAGTATTTGCCATGGCGCGTTGTCCGTCGTCCGTACGTTATGTACGGTTACAGTTCCTTACCTCAACCATGGCCGACTACTCACTTAGCACAGCCTGTATAAATTCGACAGTGTGTATGCAGTAAGTAGTAAGAGCAATTATAAAATATAACTCTTAAGCTTTGCGTTTCAAACGCCACTATGCACCAAATTTCCATATATTCGTGACACATTTCCTTACATCTCCCCTGCCAACGCCCATTGTGGTATGTACCATTCCGAAATTGAAGATCTGGAAAGAAAGTTGAAGCGCTATAAGGTAGTGTGTAACTTTATGACTATTTTATGTTAATCCAACTGTTGACATTTGACCTGCAGCAGTCACGTTCCCCTTTCAGGCCATATTGAGCATGTTGACAGTCAATTAAACAGTAGAATATTAATGTAGCAACGTACGGTATATTTAATCACCTTGATCACATTACGATCTGAAAAGGTAAAAAACCATGTATACTCTATAGGATTCTGGCTGCTAATATTACAGAATAGCTCATCTGAGCTACGAAACCCGGTGGCGCTTAGTTTATTTCGTGTGTTTCATATTTTAGACTGGGCAGAATCTGGAAAAGTGAACATATTAAAAGTGATAGAGGCATTTCATAGTACATTACAACCATAATAGTATGATAAAGTTTTGTCAGGCATGTAAATAAGTCTCCCTTTGCATTGGACGCAGTTGGTGATCTGGTTACCCAAAACGGTGGCCATCTTGATTTCTTGACATATTAATGGTAATGTATGGTTTCAATAGATTCCGTGTACCTGAAAACATACAGAGAAATGTTTTATTTCTGGTCCCACTATGGTTAGAACCAAAGATGTGACAAAACTGGATTTTTCATGTTTAGGTGGCGGCCATTGTTGAATTTATCAAATATGTGGAAGTTAACTTTTGAAAATACAGCCGGGCAAACCACCTAAATTGAATTTAGAACATATCAATGCGCTTAGAAACGTTGTCTGCTCGCCGTAAACATAAAATACCTCTACCATTAACATTTACTGAAAGTTTACCTAGTTTATTTTGACAGTTTACCAAACATGCTGATCTCATAGATAGGTCTTTGAGATATGTACCAGTGGTGTCCTCGCCCAGAAACGATCCGGGGTCTTCATTTGTTAGGAATTTAATGTTTCTTAATTACCTCAGATTTGCTATCATTATAGATATATAGTTGTAACGAAATTGCAAAGGAAATGACACTTTACATCATTTGAGTGTGATAGCAATTTATGATGCATACTGAACTTCATAAGAATCGCAAATATAATACATTTATACCACTTTGTTTATTTGAGCACGATTTGTTATCCTTGCCACTTGAAATGTTTTAATTAACAAAGGCAGCTCAAGGGAAAACAAGCCATTCCGCCGATAAGGAATATTAACAGTAATGACAAATGTTGAAAAGTGGGCTTTTCAAGAAATATCCATTTTGCATGCGATAAACATCATCATTGAGTTTCGCTCACGTGGTTACAATTTGGGTAAGAATCGGCAGTGACTGCGAGCAGTTATATTTACTAGTGCACCTGGTCACCAGCGCTTTATATACAACTGCACGTTTCTTTCAGTTCGCTCTGGTAAAGAACGTACGCTGCAAACGCTGCTGAATAAAGTCACCTGACTGCCGAAGCCTACCCGGATAGCAATCACGTGATCCAAACTAAATGATGATGTTTCACGCCACTTATTTGATCCTCTATCTACATTATGCATTTTTCACGAGAAACTAAGGCCAGATTGTTTTGGGGTGTACAATGACATAACCATAAAAGTTCCCTCTAACGAGATTTTTCAGGGGCTTTTGAGATTTAATGGCGTCGGTAGGTGGATATAAGAAAACGTGCGGTCTCACGTAAATGCTAATTGACACCAGTGTTAAATTTCAGTATTGTTTCGTTTTTCAAGAGTTCAAAATGCACTCTAGACAGCGCTTTTTCCTCAGTCGATGACATGTATGGGGGATTTGTTTTTTTTATCAGAATTATTTTTACTGTCAGAAAATGATCAAGTAATGTTGATATTACTTTGTTGCCAACTTTCGATTTTTAACGTCGGCGGATTCGCAAACAGGAAAAAGGTGTTATGGTCAAACATAAATTGTGGCTTGTTTGGTGATACATAGACTGATGAAACAATATAGATTTGATCAAATAGGCCTGACAATTAACTGATTCAGCATTTTACCATAGTCAGAAGGCCTTACAAACAACTGATTCAATGCTTTGCCATGTTCAGAAGACCTAACAAATAAGGCCTGGCAAATAACTGATTCAATATTTTACCACAGTCAGAAGGCCTGGCAAATAACTGATTCAGTGCTTTGTCATGTTTGTTAAACCTTACTAAGAGCCATTTAGGCACTGCGTCATGTACAGAAGGTCTTAACAATAACCGATGCGGCATTATATGTTCGGAAGGCCTTACAAATCACTGATTCAGACGCATTCAACGCATTGTGTCCGTATTGAGGATTGTGTGATGCTGGTTCTAATGAAGCTATAGTGTATATGTACACATTTATGGTTCAATATCCTCAACAACCCTTCAGATTTGATTCACGTGTTGCAGTCTCCATTGCCTACCAACAACAAACAACACATTCCGGTAGTTCGAGGAGTTCGCCTTCTGCTGTCGACGGTTATATGTCGACCTACTCTTTGACAGGATCTACCCTGAACCCCACATGGAGCGTTGAGTTCCAACACCCTGCCTGGATAGTCTGGGTTGATGTCCTTGTGCCAGCGAATCACGGTAGTGTATCACATTTCTATGTCAATATACCGTGAATACCGCAAAGAGAAAACCAAATATGATGTAACCCTGATAATGTTAAGAACTTGTTCAGGTACACTCATTTGCGGAGTAAGCTTACAGTATCTTATCATTAGATGACGTGGCCCATATTCCGCTTAGTATCTAAAATAAACCTATATGTATGTTTTTTACTCGTCAAAGTGTTTTCTTATCATGATAATACCAAAACTATTACCTTTAACAGTAAAGTCAGCGACCATGTTTTTGTCCGCCATTCCTGTAATAAGAGAGCACATCTCCGTGGTTACAGGAACGCGGGCAATATCAATGAAAACAACAAACAAAGACACGGACATGCCGTGTGACGCTACGAACGCTTGGATCACATCTACGACGTTGAGGGTCACGTGCAGGAACGTCGTCAACGCCACCGTCATCACACTTGTCGGCACAAACACGACGGAGTCCAAACTGGCGTTGACAGAAGTGTACGTTTACGGAGGTAAGGTCATGGGATTTTTAACTTCGATACATTTAGAAAATAACGACGTTTGACTATAAGAGATATAACTTCAAAATGAGCTCTCAAAGTTTATTGGTCCACAGGATGAAATCTAAAAGTTTATTGATTATGTATGTTTGTTAAACCTGTTGAACTAAGTAATATGGGACAAAGATATTGAGGAGATGCCGTCATGCGTTTACCTAGTCTTGTCTGTTCTAATTCTTATATTTGGTGCTATTTAATAAGAATACACAATAAAATCAATGCATATGTTATAGAGTAATCCTTCAACCTCTGTTATGCCTTCAGAAATAACTGTACACCCTCACCTCATGCGAAAACTATACTACTCCAAATCCCAGTTGGGGTATTATCTTTCACACGTTTCTTTCAACGTAATAACACGGATGTGGATATCTGCATGTTAGTAATGAAGTGACATGCGACCAATACTTCATACTTATTGTATGTAAAATAATAGATGGAGGATGTCCACCTAATATTTCTCATCCCTAAGTCAATATATGTGCAACCTTTTTATCTAAGAAAACCTTAGATGGTATAGTTTGCTTTCTTACCAGTGGCCTTCGTGGGCTGAGTTGTTTACTATCCTGCTCGGATGGCTTTCTAAACACATATTTTAGTAGTCATACAGAAACATTAGTAGTAGTAGTTACAACATGACATGATACATAAATAGAGATAGATATTAAAGAGATGAACTTGTATTTATTTGGATGTACAAAGTATTTTTGTTCAAGACATTTTTTCCATAAAAATTATCATACTTCCACATACAAGTAAAAAGTGAAAATCATCTTCGACGTCATTTAAGGAACATTGTCAACATAAAGATTTTGATATTATTTTTTTGTGTGCCTGCCAACCCCAACCGTTAACCTGTGTGAGCTGCATCTACATTGTGGTAAACCTTCTTTTATACTCTTCAAAAAAGAAACGCAAAGCCAGATTTGTGTGAGGTAGGGAAATACATTTATACGAGCAACCGTACAGGGTATTAGGCAAAAATGTTGTTGAAAAAACACTTGGTGATTGTAGTCATCTCAGTAATCGGTACATAGGAAAAGTCCAAGGTTAAGGTCAGCTACCATCAATAACGCGTATGTCCACCGTTGGAATCGATAGCGGCCTGACATCTCTTGCCCATGAAAGAGACGAGTATGAGAATCACATCCTGGGGAATGGTAGCCCAATCGGCCTGCAACGCAAAAGCCAACTGGTGACGACGCCTGGGGTTGTGGTTGACGCCTGCGTAGCCGTCTATCCAATTCATCCAACAGGTGTTGTATCGGGTTTTAAATCCGGGAATATCTGTTGTTGTGTAAATAGGCTCTTGTGATCCGTGCTGTATGCGGTCGAGCGTTGTCCTGTTGGAATACACAGCTGTTGGCTGCAATTGAGAGGGCGTGTGGTAGGAGAATTTCATTGATGTATCGTTGAGCCGTAAGATTGCCCTGGATATGGACCAAACATGTCCTGCCATGATGAGAGAAAGGCGCCCACATCATAACGCTACCACCACCAAACCTGTCCACTTCCTGTACGCAGTTTCCGAAGTAACGTTCTCCCCGACATCTGTTGACCCGAGCTCTTCCATCCCCTCGGCGGAGGAGAAATCTTGATTCATCGCTGAACCAGACAACTCTCCATCGAAGTTGTGGCCATACCATGTTCAATCGTTGTTGATGATGTTGTCGACTCAATATGACGCGTCGAACAGGACTTCATACTCTTAGACCTGCTGCTCTTAAACGGTTTCGTAGGTCTGGTCAGAGATTCTGCGCAGTCCGGGTATTTGGGATGCGGTTGGGGTGACCGTGGTCGTCCTTTCACGTAGGTGGCGCAGTCGGATGACGCGATCTTTGGCGGGGGTGGTTACACTTGGTCGTCCCGACCCTGGCCGATCACGTGTTGACCCATGCTGTTGAAACCGATCTCATAGCCTTGTGATGGTGCTGGGCGCTACATTGAAAACCCTGGCTAAAGCTGATCGGGATTACCCTGCCTGCAAGCGGCCTATGACGTTGTTTCTTTGCACTTCTGTTAATCTTGGCATGTTGTTGAACTGTCACTGTTCGATTGACGCAGATGCCAGGCAATCAAACACCCTCCACATTAATACCGTTCATAGTGCTTGTTGCACGTGCAGTGCGTGCAGCTCCATGGCCCTTTTGTTAATATACTGGGTGCGTTTTTCCGGATCGAACGTGTTTCCTGACTAATGGTTTGAATGTCCTTGTTGTGATCATTTTGATCCGGGAAATTTGTCACTGACACTACATTAAACTCTTCATTTCGCACCTCTTGGTACGATAATTTTGCTTTTATATCCAAAAATATCCGTATTGCGTTTCTTGTTTTAAAGAGTATAGTTACATCAGTTGAATAATTTTCTGCGGATATTTGCCATTTAATATATCTATTATATTGGCTTTTGCTAGAAACATCTACAGTAGATCTCCATGTTTGAAAGTACATGTCAAAAAGCATGTCTTCTTTTCGATATGAATATAGAATGATTCTCTAAAAACATTGGTTGTCCCAAATGTAACCATACCCACATTTATGGAGTAGACATTTAACACTGTATGCCGAATTTGTATCTCCACTTTTTTCATACAATAACATCATATAACATTTTTTAGTTAATTTTCTTTCATTCATTTTTAATACTTTTAAAAGATATGTTATGATTTTTATATAGTGATATATATACAAGGGCATGCGACGACTCACCATAAACCATTGCGATAGAAGTATTACGTTTAACACCAAGACATCTTTAACAAGCATATAAATGTACGGATTCAATTGCTTTAGCCTCTGCAAGATATTTATATGAGGTTTATATTTGGAAGTAATTCCCTAAAAGTACCACTTTTGATTTTTTTGAAAGCGTATTTATCAAAGTTTGTAAACATTTTAAAGTACTTGAGAACGTGATGATATCATTTGCAAATAGTAACATCAATATCTTTATAAGTTCATGATGTATTTATATACCATAATCATAATTTCTTTTGATTTGGGCTGCAAGCTCATTCATTAAAAAAAACAGAACAAAAAAGGGCTTAATACACATCCTTTGCGCACACCAGATAAAAGAATCTGAATACATGTCGTTTTGTTAAACACATGATTTAATTTCCTTTGAACTTCCTTAGTAGTAGTAGTAGTAGTAGTAGTAGTAGAAGTAGTAGTAGTAGTAGTAGTAGTAGTAGTAGTAATAGTAGTAGTAGTAGTAGTAGTAGCCCCTAATCCCGTTAGGCGCCTATTACGACACGCATAGGCGTCTTTTACGGCAAGCATGGGTTGCTGAAGACCTATTCTAACCCGGATCTTCACCGGTCAGTAGCAGTAGCAGTAGCAGCAGTAGCAGTAGCAGTAGTAGTAGCAGCAGCAGGAGGAGGAGGAGCTGGGAGTGGTAGAAGTAGTATTGTTGGTGGTGGTAGTGGTTGTGTAAGTGGTAGCAGCAGTAGCAGTACATGTACTAGTATTCCAACCCCCAATACTAGTAGTATTAGTGCTGATGGTAGTGGTAGTAGAGGCAGTAGCAGCAGTTGCAGTAGCAGTAGTAGTAGAAGTAGTAGTAGTTGCAGTAGTAGTAGTAGAAGTAGTAGTAGTTGCAGTAGTAGTAGTAGTAGTAGTAGTAGTAGTAGTAGTAGTAGTAGTAGTAGTAGTAGTCGTAGTAGTAGTAGTAGTAGTCGTAGTAGTAGTAGTAGTAGCGGTATTTAAAACATGAATCATAATCAGGGCGAAGCCTACGTTTGTTGTTGTCAATAAAACACTTGCTATATAATCTTTTCAGGCAGAAACATCGCACTACGGGGAGACACGTCACAATCCTCAGTATATGGTATTTATAATTCGTCTCTTGCGGTGGACGCAGGCAAGTCTACCAGATTCGAAGATAGATCGTGTACCCACACGGCCACTACATCGTGTCCAGAGGCTGGGACAACAAACCCTAACTGGCTGGTGCGGCTTGGACAGGACTACCAGATATACAGAGTAGACGTGTACAATAGGGGAACAGGTAAGTGACTTGGACTGAAGTGAGTGGACTGAAGGTTTGGAGATTTTTAGGAAGTAATTATTTTAGGTACTTGAAAAGCCTTAGATCCAAATTTATTTCTTTAGAAGACGAAGACACAGTACACTTCAGACAGTGTAAAAACCTTCTTGGGTCACTGACTTGCTTATGGTTAGATTTTCTTGTCAAGTTTAGTCATTCTTATACATGTACTTGCACATGCCAGAAGCCAAACCTTGCAAGTGTCACAAAGGAAAAAGACTACTTGTTAGCATTTCAATATTTCTGATCATTTATCTGATAAACTGAAAACGCATCATGTTTTTCTCCTGATTCACACATGAATATGTATGTAAATTATGCGTTTCTGAAGTTGGAGAGCGCCTCAATGACTTTCGCATCCGTTTGGGGAAAGCTGGCATAAGTGGATTAAAACGGGTGTACCAAGACACGGCAGGCACAGCGGCGGAAGTGACGTCAGTGCAGATGCCAGCCAGTCGAACGGCCAACAGACTTGAGGTGACCTTGAGAGGAGAATGCAAGATATTGACGCTATGCGAGGTGCAGGTGTTCGGGGGTGAGAGTTTGATCATTTTCCCAGATCTCAATTTAGAACACAATCAGTCCATCAGATGAAAGTAGAAAAGGGCATTGATTTTCCTATATTTTACCACGTTTAACTCCCGGGCTGGGATACAGGGTATTTCTAATGACATAGACTTATTAGAATCGCCCCACTTTAGGAATACGTGACGTCGAGGTTCAGGTTCGAATGAAGTTAAGAAGATGAAAAACATCTTCCAGGTTGCCGTATTGGAGAAGTAGAAAAAGACTAATTCATGATACATAACTACATATTGGCTTCCAATTATGCCGTAGGTCGCGATATGAAAAAAGCGTAGTATTTGGCCAGAATAGATTGGGCCCAGAATATCCCGCTAATCTCAGCGGCGATCAATTAATGAAATGGTCTATTTCAGATTGCCTAGACTACATATATGGCTTAGCATGCAACTTCACCTGCAGTTGTCGTGATCGGGCGGAAGTGTGCAACAAGGTCGACGGAAGTTGCTTGTCAGGCTGCGCAGATGGTTTTACTGGAGTTGACTGTAAACAAGGTCTGTACTAGCTTCAGTTCATGACAGATGGGTTTTGTGAAACTAAACACTATCAGAAAGTGAATATGATGACAACTGAACTCTTGTAAGACTATTTAAATGACATAGCAGGAAAACAAACTTGACGAAGGGATTCTTTTCGAAATATGCCTCTGTTCACTCAGCAGTGAATGGGTACCCGGTAGGATTTAATGCTAATGTGTCTCTCCTCATAATGCAACTTGAGTTGTCTATTCCCCAGGGAGCTGAGAATTATATTCCACTGCACACTGATCTGTTGACCGGGGTAATAATGTTGCGCTGTGGCCATGCTAAGGTGTGAGTTTGGCGCAGGATTATTATGTGTACCGACTCAAATTCACCAGTGAGGATGTGGGGTAGAATAGGTCTTCAGCAACCCATGCTTGCCGTAAAAGGCGACTAACGGGATCGGATGGTCAGGCTCTTTGACTTGTTTGATGTCCTGTCATCGATCCCAATTGCGTGGGTCGATGCTCATGATATTAATCACTGGATTGTCTGGTCCAGACTCGATTATTTACAGACCGCCATCATATAGCTGGGCTATTGCTGAGTGCGGGGTTAAAACAACAAACCAACCCAACAAACTTTCATTCATTACAGATGGGTTTTGTTTGACTAAACATGATCAGATGACGCCATTCGATGGCATCACAACACTTGTATGACTATTCAAATAAGATAATAGGAAATAATAATGAAATAATAAGAAAATTACTATAACGGACTTGACGAAGGGATACAACATAGTATCGTAGAATATGTGTGTACACAGGCCAAAGTTGGTGGCGGAGAGTAAATGGATTGGTCTTGACTCCTGAGAGTTTCTGGGGCTTCGGTCCTGCCCCATGCTGAAACACATGTTACAATATGTGTCTCACTCTTCAAAATATGCCAGCAGTGAATGGGTACCCTGTTGGGTGAGATGGTAATGTGACTGTTAACCTTTTAGCGCCCCATAAGACACCCTAGGTTGTATACCCTACAGATAAATAGGAATTTCGTGCACGCAGATTAATTGACAGGGGTAATATGTAACGCTTGGAGCAAGCTTTAGGGTGTGGATTGGGCATATTATAAATATGCACGTTATTATTATCATTATTATTATTATCATTGTTTCTCACATAATTATATCACAGCTGATAAAATAAGTAGTCCCTCATCCTAATGCTGCTGATGGTTTGTGCGGTATGATAAGCCTTCACTCCTCTGTGTTGTAGAATGCCCTGGAGGAAGGTACGGCTTGAACTGCAGCAACAACTGCAGCAGCAACTGTGTCGATGGTCACTGTCTTCACGTGGATGGCACGTGCAAGTGTGTGCCCGGATGGATGGGAGATAGATGCACAATCGGTGAGTTTTAACACCACTATATTTTTACAAGAAGTATACCCTTCTAAGAAACGACCGGATAAGGCTTTCGATGTAAAAACATTTGGATCTAGTACCATATTAACGTACAGAGTTACTTGAACTTCTGATTGACGGTGTGACTTGGAAAGGTAGGTCTGAGACGGGATGAGGAGCAAGCAAATATATCTGAGATAGTATATTGATATTTTGGACCCCTCCCTTTAAAACATGCTTGTCGACGGGCTTCCCTCCCAAATTAAATGTTTCCACTGGGTTGGTTCAGGGGTAACATAAATGAACTTAATAGTCTATTAAATGGCGAAATAATGTCTCTTTCTGTGTCCACTTCTGTCAGGCTGTGAGCTTGGGACATATGGACATGAATGCAGCAACAGATGCTCCACGTGCAGAGACATCATGTGTCACCCTGGCAACGGCACGTGCATTATGGGATGTCAGCGGGGATGGACTGGAACTCAGTGTACAAAAGGTTGAAATTTCATCTGTCGTTAATAGACCTAGAATTGAAACACTATCATATAACAAGTTTACATCGTCATCCGGAGCCTCTTTGTTAAGCCAAGAAACATTAATATTATTTATTATATTGTTTAGACAATCTATCGATAAGATTTTGGTTGGATTTACTAAGTTAATGTATATTCTGCTAAAATTGAATTAATGAGCAAAACACATACTTTAGCTATGATAATAATTACATTATATATGATGTAAATATAGGACAAAATGTTATGTGGTGTTCTTTCAAGATATGAAGTCTAAGCTGGTAGTACATCATTATCTTATTATCTTATTAGCCTTTATCGGGCCTTAAGTAATATAGGGATTTACAAAATCGATAATATAAGTAGCATGAATATGCATGTCAACAATTTCAACAATGAATGTTATCTAGAATGTGACACCGGTACTTTTGGCTGGGGTTGTAACGAGACATGCGCAGTGAATTGTGCCGATCAACGTTGCCATGGAGACACGGGCGATTGTGCCAGCTGTATTGACGGATGGGAGGGAACGATGTGCGACAAAGTCAAACGTAATATGAGTTTGTATTGATATATAGTTATTTGTAATGTTATCTGTACTAAGTCACTTATTAATAGTCTGTACTACTACGAAACGTAAATGTTAAATGCAGTTGATATTGGTAGTAGTTATAGTGTAGTGGTCATAGAGTAGTAGTAGCATCTCAATAATGGTGCTGATGTAGAAGAGGCATGTCGATAGGGACGGAGACACCATCACCACCACCACCACCACCATCATCACCACCACCACCACCACCATCATCACCACCACCATCATCATCATCATCATCATCATCATCATCATCATCGTCGTCGTCGTCGTCGTCGTCGTCATTATCAGTGTCGTCGTCATCGTCTTAATCATCGTCGTCGTCATTCGTAGTAGTAGTAGTAGTAGTAGTTATAATGTCATACTCATAACAGTTCAAGTCTGAGCGTGCTGGTCATTGAGAGTTGGTCTAATTGGTATTAAAAGTCTAGTTCTCGAAGTAACACAGTAGCCATCGTGAACCCCTATCTATTTCAGAGACAAATATGACGACAGTGGCCGTAGCTGTTGTCATCGTTCTGCTGCTGTTGATTGCTGTTACCGTCGTCGCCGTTGTTGTGTATCGAAGGAAGTGAGTGTAGCGTAGATGGGCGTCCTTTATAACGAGTATCTTGTTACCATCATGAGTGAGTGAGTGAGTTGGGTATAACGCTGCCTTAAACAGCATTCCAGTTATATAACGGCGTGTTAACTTAATGTGGGAGGAAAGCCTGAAGTGATGCAGGTCTGAGACGTTTACCTTTGTTGAAACCCCACGAGCACAGGTATGGTGCTGACAATCCTAGAAACATGGTGAGAGGAGATCCGGCTCCGACATACATGAGGTGAGAGGAGATCCGGCTAGGACATACATGAGGTGAGCGGTGTTCCAGATCAGACATACATGAGGTGAGAGGAGATCCGGCTCAGACATACATGAGGTGAGAGGAGATCCGGCCCAGGCATACATGAGGTGAGAGGAGATCCAGCTCAGACATACATGAGGTGAGAGGAGACCCGGCTCAGACATACATGAGGTGAGAGGAGATCCGGCTCAGACATACATGAGGTGAGAGGAGACCCGGCTCAGACATACATGAGGTGAGAGGAGATCCGGCTCAGACATACATGAGGTGAGAGGATATCCGACTCAGACATACATGAGGTGAGAGGAGATCCGGCTCAGACATACATGAGGTGAGAGGAGATCCGGCTCAGACATACATGAGGTGAGAGGAGATCCGGCTCAGACATACATGAGGTGAGAGGATATCCGACTCAGACATACATGAGGTGAGAGCAGATCCGGCTCAGACATACATGAGGTGAGAGGAGACCCGGCTCAGACATACATGAGGTGAGAGGAGATCCGGCTCAGACATACATGAGGTGAGAGGTGATCCGGCTCAGACATACATGAGGTAAGAGGAGATCCGGCTCAGACATACATGAGGTGAGAGGAGACCCGGCTCAGACATACATGAGGTGAGAGGAGATCCGGCTCAGACATACATGAGGTGAGAGGAGATCCAGCTCAGACATACATGAGGTGAGAGGAGATCCGGCTCAGACATACATGAGGTGAGAGGAGATCCAGCTCAGACACACATGAGGTGAGAGGAGATCCGGCCCAGGCATACATGAGGTGAGAGGAGATCCGGCTCAGACATACATGAGGTGAGAGAAGATCCGGCTAGGACATACATGAGGTGAGAGGATTATCCAGCTCAGACACACATGAGGTGAGAGGAGATTCAGCTCAGACATACATGAGGAGAGAGGCGATCCGACTCAGACATACATGAGGTGAGAGGAGATCCGGCTCAGACATACATGAGGTGAGAGGAGATCCGGCTCAGACATACATGAGGTGAGAGGAGATCCGGCTCAGACATACATGAGGTGAGAGGATATCCGACTCAGACATACATGAGGTGAGAGGAGATCCGGCTCAGACATACATGAGGTGAGAGGAGACCCGGCTCAGACATACATGAGGTGAGAGGAGATCCGGCTCAGACATACATGAGGTGAGAGGTGATCCGGCTCAGACATACATGAGGTAAGAGGAGATCCGGCTCAGACATACATGAGGTGAGAGGAGACCCGGCTCAGACATACATGAGGTGAGAGGAGATCCGGCTCAGACATACATGAGGTGAGAGGAGATCCAGCTCAGACATACATGAGGTGAGAGGAGATCCGGCTCAGACATACATGAGGTGAGAGGAGATCCAGCTCAGACACACATGAGGTGAGAGGAGATCCGGCCCAGGCATACATGAGGTGAGAGGAGATCCGGCTCAGACATACATGAGGTGAGAGAAGATCCGGCTCAGACATACATGAGGTGAGAGGATTATCCAGCTCAGACACACATGAGGTGAGAGGAGATTCAGCTCAGACATACATGAGGAGAGAGGCGATCCGACTCAGACATACATGAGGTGAGAGGAGATCCGGCTCAGACATACATGAGGTGAGAGAAGATCCGGCTAGGACATACATGAGGTGAGAGGAGATCCGGCTCAGACATACATGAGGTGAGAGGAGATCCGGCTCAGACATATATGAGGTGAGAGAAGATCCGGCTAGGACATACATGAATAACACAAACTTAACAGTTGACAAAAATATTACAGTTGCTTTGTTAACGGGTGTTCCATTAAACTAAGCTATTGCATAATAAGGGATGCATAACAATTCATAGTCAAGAAAGCACAACATTAGCAAACACTGAAAATCAGGCGACTACTACAGTAAATTTCAGTACAGTCAAGTCCCGTTAATCCGACATCGTTGGTTGCATATGATTATGTCGGATTAACGAGTATGTCGGATAAACGAAATTTAGTAGTATCAACGTTCGTGATCGAAAATCGGACAACTACACGATAGGTTACGATACGATTGTCGGATTAACGAGACTTGACTGTATATAAATTAATAGCACGGAATAACTCCGTATCTAAGTAAATTTGGTTCAAGTCACTCCTATTCCTCTTTTTTGTCTGCCAACTTATATTCATGATATATACTACTCAAAAGAAGTTAAAGAGCACCCGATTATTTCATATTACAAAAGGTCATCTGTCATGCACTACAGTTAATCTGCCTTGACAGATTAACCATAGCCACATGAAAGAATCGGGTGTTCTTTAACTTCTTTTGAGTAATATATTATCAATCTAGCATTTAGAAAGTTACCTAAGTACACATAGACAGTGTACACGTTAACACAAGGCATCAAGTAAACATTCAGGGTCAACATTTGGGAACGATCTTAGGGCTGCTGTTACAGTATCTTCCGTACATTAACCCTGAAGATGGTCGTAGTGCTGAGATCGTCTCGAAAATATGGACTGAACCTGGATTTGGGCACAATCCTTGAATATATCCCCCTTTTCAACATATTTCCACTGCAAAAGCCCAATTTGTTCTTGCTTTTATATACATATTAAATTCCAATTTTTGAAAATATGTATATGCAGACCTTTTAATCACTGTCCCAAGTCATGATACCCATTGCCAATGTCATGGTAGCCATTGAAGTGATGTTGTTTATACGCTGCAGGCGACGCCAGAAGCCTCCTGATGTAGTGCCTTCAAACGATACGATGTTGTTTCTTCCTCAAAAAGAGAAGATCGTTTACGAGAATGCTGTGATATCACCGGTCAACGTTGACAAAGATTTGGACACCTCGGAAGAAACTCATGAAGATAACAACGTCACCATGGAAACTGGTAATTAAGTGTTATTGCTGGAATAATAATAATAATAATAATAATAATAATAATAATGTATGTATGTATTGGAAGAGTACTCAGGAATACAGCCCTTCTAACAATTTGCAATTGGGGAATGCAGAAGGCTGCAGTGATGGGGAGTCTTCACATTCTTCGATACGTTCTGTGTGGGTTCAACTGGGCAGCCCTTCTTATATAATGATAATCCTCAAATTGCAATACGTTATATTTACTCTTTCGGCGAAATATCCAACTTCTAGATGTGGAGACCCACGTCATCATAGACAAAGCAAAACTGATCATTGACGTCACTCCGCGTGCAGAAGATCACGTGACTGAGGAGGCAGACGACAGCCTGGTGTACTCAAATAAGAGCGTCACTGACGCCAGTCACGTGCTTGACGTCACAGATCTCCCTGATCACATGACCGCTTGGCGAGGAGACAGCAATTTCTTCCTGGAAGAATACAAGGTATATGAGCTGAGTATCTGCGCCGGGATACGCTGATTGTCGGTTACAAGCAGACGATCAGATTTTATTCTCCAAACGAGAACAATGTTTTATGAAGATTTTTGCTTGTTTGTTGTTTAACGCCTTACTCAGCAATATTCCAGCTATATGACGGCGGTCTGTAAATAATCGAGTGATTGACAATCCAGTGATTGATATCATGAGCATGCATCCACGCAATTGGGAAACGATCAACCAACTCAGTGAAAACTCGATCCAAGTAGTCGTCTTGTACGACCAGCGCTGGTTGCTGAGGACCTTTATTCCTACCCGGAACCCACGGCGTTGTGTATAATCAAATCAAATACGCCTCCATATCAGAGACCGCCTCCGTGGTCTAGTGGTAGAGCGTCCGCCCGGAGAGCGGAAGATCCGGCGTTCGATCCCTAGCCGCGTCATACCAAATGACGTTAAAAGAAGGTACTTGTTGTTACCCTGTCTCGCGCTCGGCATAAAGGGACTAAAACAGGAACGGGTCGGCTCGGAGTCAGAATACTGTGTCTGAGTGGGGTATTCATGTTAAACTGCGGCATGTTATCTCAGTGAGCTAGCACTTTAAATCGGCATCAGTCCGGACTAGTAGAAGCAGCCACACACACACACACACACACACGCACACAAGTGCAATAATCTTGGACGCGACGTGAAAACCCAATTTCACCTCACCTCACCTCACCTCCATATCAGAAGGTTTAGCTTATTGCTACATGTTGTACCGGACGTGGCGTAATGTTGATGGGATATCACTAACATATTATATTACATATCCCGATAGAACTTACCACAATTACGATTTGTTGATCTGTGGTGTAACTGAATTCTATCTGAATGTGTTCCAGTCTCTGCCTCGCGACCTTCGGACCGACATTCCCCACGCTGTAGGCATGAAGGAAGAAAACCGGAAGAAGAACAGATACAAGAACATCTGCGCATGTCAGTAACTGTCAAATATTCTAATGAAACAGGGATATGCTGTCCGACAATATATTCCTGTTTCATAAAACACCACTTAATGGCATGTTATCGTCCAGCAAACTGTTGCGATGTAGGCCCTTCTGTATAACAGTTGACACTAGCACTCAGATCACACTAAATTTAATATTCAGCGATATTTAGTGTGTGTATTAACGGTAGAAGACAAATAAACTTGTTTTTAATACAATTTTGTTTCAAAGCCGTAGAGTCGGTGCACGTGGTCAAAGTACTAATAAAACTGAAATTTGATTATATATTTTTTTAAAGACGGGTAATATAAAGAAAACCTGAAAACAGTTTAGGAATGACAATTTCAATGACGTAAGGTTACGTCGCACCAAATATTCCCGTACTTCGCAGTCTTGTAACCACATTTGACGGGGGACACGAATAACCCAGTCGTCAAAGGTACATCCGTCGCTGTGTATATATTCGTCTTTTGGGCGGGCGAGAAACCTATGATTGTGTGTTCGAATCCAGATCCAAAATTCTTGGTTTGTAAGTTGGCGACTTTGAAAGGTATTTCAGTGGTATCCCGTCGTGTCAACTTAATGTGAAGACTGTGTAGGAGATTTATACCTAACTGCAACATTCTCCCTTTCAGACGACCACAGTCGGGTAGAGCTACCGTTGATTGGCGGGGACCCTGACAGCGATTACATCAATGCTTGCTATGTCCAGGTAAACACAATCTTACGCTGTCCTAAATACCCTGGGTGCCGTTGTACATAGACGTAGGACATGTACATAGACTTAGGACAGTCGTAGCGCTCAGGTTGCTTTGTACAACGGCACCCATGACCAAAGCCTCCTGAAACAGTTACCACATTCCATTCTCATGATGAACCCTTCTCAGCTCTATCAGCTTAAACTCAGTTCATGGTCAGGTCTAGAAATATATAGACTTGATGGTTACATAATACTGAGGGATTCACGTATAGATTTATTATCTTTAACTTTAACTTTATATTTTAGTCCATGGCCATCGCTGCGTTGTATTGTTTCAGTTTCGGTTGGCAAGTGAGTGCATGTTGTTTGTTACGTTGAACATTGGGTTATCTCATAATGGTAATTGTTAACTTTATGGACAAAAATTGATCCTTTATAGGCATTTGACGACTTTATGTAATTTTCTGAAATTTCTGCGTTAATAATTGAGCATACTTGAGTCAAACTCGTTCAATGGTATTTCATTTATATTATGGCCTGTCAGCTTGAGGTGGGAGAAGCCCAAAGTGAAGCAGGTGTTAGATCTATACAACTTTTGTGAATCTTCATGATGCGCCCTAAAGTAGACATTTCGACTCTCAGCATGTTCGACTCTTAACATGTTCAACGGGGAAACAGTTGACTATTACCTTGTATCAGAAATCTACTAATCAATACATTACTTTAGTAGATCAACTTATTATTGTTGTTATCGTTGTTGTTGTTGTTATTGTTGTTGTTGTTGATATTATTATTATTATCATTATTATTATTATTATTTGATGTGTGATATAAGATAACAAACGTGTTCTTTCATCCTCTTTTAACAGGGTTATTCCAAAGATGAAAACTTTATTGCATCACAGGGTAAGTATGACTTTTTATAATAGCCCCATGCTGTATTAAGTCGTACCTGAACATAAGGTACCACAAGAAACTAACAATTTGAGTGAGTGACTATATATGTGAACGAGTATGTTGTGTGGGTGAGCGGGCGGTCTGGCGAGCGAGCGAGCGAGCGATGGAGTGAGTGAGTGAGTGAGTGAGTGAGTGAGCGAGCGAGCGAGCTGATCCCACCATTATAATGAAAGCTATTCGTTCCAGGTCCAACAAAGAAGACTATGGCGGACTTCCTCCGTATGCTGTTGGAGCTTAAAGTGCCAATAATCGCTATGCTGACGAATGTCATGGAAGAGGGCAAGGTTTGCGTCAGAGTAGTTTGTTTGTCATTGTCAGACAGCTGACCGTGCTGTGGAGACACTCTAATGGCGATAGAGCTCAGTGAATGCATGTCATTACATGTTGAGAAGTGTTAGGTGCAACTCATCTTCCCCACCTAAGGGAGTTAACTGACTGTAAAAGTCCAGTATCCACCCTTGCCGAACTACGCTGGAATTATGGAGTTATATTTTGGCTGGACTAAAGAGTCTATGCATAGTTTAATTCAAATCGCGTAACCAAACGACATCCGATTCGACAACTGCCGTTCAGATTTCTGTCGATTAAAGCATGTATACCACCGGCGTCCACAGATATTTTGTAACAAATATGTTCATGTTCTTTATCAAGGTGCTCACGTGTTTTGATGCACTCCACGAAGTAACACCAGTTTTATCACAATAGAGATCTTGATTATCAATCAGATCGTCTTGACTAGAAGCCAACATTTTGTTTGAAGCAAATGCAATCGATATGAGAGATGGATTCGTCAATACGAGTAACATAGAAGGGACATAACTCGTAACAGGCACTGAAATTCCAGCCTAATTGGCAAGGGTGGAAACTGGACTTTTACAGTTAAATTACGACACGTCATCTTAATGTGGGAGGAGGAGAAGGAGGATGGGGTTCTGAGTGGTGGCCTGACAGCAAGGTTGGCAGGGGGAATCCGATCGGGGGAGGGTTGGTGGAATTGAGGGGTGAGGAGTGGGAGGGCGTGATGGTTTAAGGAGACGGTGACGAGGATTCTCAGACATTTGAGGCGAGAGATCTTCAAACACGACAGAAATAGAAGACGTTAGATAGGAATTATAATAAAGATGTAGATTCAACTAGGGGTTTGGAGATGATGATGCTTTTGTTGTTTTAACTTCTTGATCTGACCATATCCAAAGCATAACTTCAAATGGTGCTACACAAGTGTTTAATGGCGAATCTTAGACGTTTACCACTCTGGTGAACCAGATAATCACGGACCTGGTCAAAGATCGAACCCAGGTATCTATTCAATTAGAAAAAATATATATAACCTTTACAGTCTCGCGAGTCTCACACATGAGCGTTTCTAGCTGTTTCCAACGTTTCCGACGTCAATGTATTTCAGCGCAAGTGTGAACAGTACTGGGACCCTGAAGATGACTTTAAGGTGCAGGACTTCAAGGTCGCCGTTGTAGACACTACATCGTACGCCCAGTACACAGTCAGAACTCTTCATATAACGAAGGTGGGAGTCAACCAGTCCCTCATCACAAACGTCAGTGTCGCTTTAGTAATAGTTATCCAATTATACTATATAATATTGGAAACATCACTTTCACTCCTCGTTAATACTTCGTGGGCTTTCAGCACGACGTTTCTCCATCACCCGTAAATACATACGGCCATCATTTGGTGAAGTAGGGGCAGGTGTTGAAATGAGACCGTATATTTAACGCCGAACTCGGCAATATTCCAACTATTTGGCGGCGTTCTGTAAATAATCTAGTCTTGACCAGTTATTGACATCACGAAGACCGCGTATAACTCATGGGCGACAAATCCGTCCTATTCCGTAGATGTGCGAACCCTACCACTGAGACAAGGCGTAGAGCACACGTTGTCAAGCGAGAAACATAACAGTACTTGCGATGAAAGCTGAGCGTATCCTGGTCGAAGACTCACTTGTCTGATCACTCACAGGTCTGAAAAATCACAGGTCTGAAAACACACTGGTCTGAAGACTCACATGTCTGATCACTCACAGGTCTGATCACTCACAGGTCTGATCACTCACCTGTCTGATCACTCACAGGTCTGATCACTCACAGGTCTGATCACACACTGGTCTGAAGACTCACCTGTCTGATCACTCAAAGGTCTGATCACTCACAGGTCTGATCACTCACAGGTCTGATCACTCACAGGTCTGAACACTCACAGGTCTGAAAACACACTGGTCTGAAGACTCACCTGTCTGATCACTCACAGGTCTGATCACTCACAGGTCTGATCACTCACAGGTCTGATCACTCACAGGTCTTATCACTCACAGGTCTGAACACTCACAGGTCTGATCACTCACAGGTCTGATCACTCACAGGTCTGATCACTCACAGGTCTGATCACTCACAGGTCTGAACACTCACAGGTCTGAACACTCACAGGTCTGAACACTCACTTGACTGTTTCCCCCTGGTTGGAACCAGGCATTTGCTTGATTCGTTGGGTAAATATACCGCAGTCATATGTACTCACGGTTGAAAGGGCAACGTCTACGAAGTATTGACGATGTCTATTGGTAGAAAATTACTTCTTCATAGTAGATTTTTACGTTATTCGAGGTACGGTTCATCATAGAAGACACATTAAGTCTTAGGCCTCTGGTCTCGTGTAGATAAAGGGAAATCCATTGTGGCATGGCTTTGGTCGCATGTCTTTATGTCTTCCAGCCTTTGTGTGTATTACTCCATAGTTTCCTTTACATAATGTTTCGTTAATTCGTATTTTATGTATACATGTTACCACCCTGCAGACAAGCAGCCCCGACCCCCCCAGGTCCGTGACACAGTACCACTTCACATCGTGGCCGGACAAGAGTGTCCCCACTTCACCATGGTCGCTCATTCACTTCCGGAACAAGGTCATGACCTCTGACAGAGAAAAGGGACCAATCGTCGTGCACTGCAGGTACTCATCTAACATTTGCTGATACTGGCTTACTTATCCTCGTGTTCGTGTACAAGGCTGTGTTTAGTAATTTAGGTTTTTCGTGATCGTGTTGTTACTTGCTATTAAACCATGTTAATCCAGAAACACCGTTATTTGGATTATTACTGGAATGAACGTGTACATGTATTAAAAAGGACATGACTCTTCGACAACGATCGTTAATCCGGACAATTTTTAATCTGGACTGTTATTCATTAAGTACGGTATCGTCCGGTTTAACAGGGTTTCGGTGTATAGGATATTGGCTGTATAGGATAGAGTATTTACGGTAAAGTAGACATTTCGTGCAGTCTCACTGCAGTAAAGCTCGGCGGTGCTTATGTTGTATGTGTGAGTGGTTTCTCGGCGGAACTTTCTTATTGGTCTTTATAATCCGGAAGTAGTGGGGGGTTGTAAGAGCCATCGTGTGATGTCATATCCGGTTAACGGTTTGTATGACTGTCGTTGTCAGCGCTGGAGTGGGCAGAACGGGAACCTTCATCGGTTTGGACTGGCTGATGCGAATGGCTGAAGAGGTTGGTCACGTCGACATCTACGACTGCGTGGAACGCATGAGGGAAGACAGAGTCAACATGGTCCAAACTTTGGTAATAAAGTTCACACACCTTTTAGACTACGCATATGGACGTGTGGTAGCCTAGTGGTTAAAACACGTACAAGCACTTCGCTTTATGAGTGAAATATTCTTGAACGCGACGTTATATTTAAAGCCTACTGGCTAAGCATTCGTTCATGAACGTATACTATCCATCATCGATCATGCTTTATATGAATAAGATCTGCTCGATACCAACGAACACTATCCGACTTTGGTGCTTCATATGAATAAGACCTGCTCGATACCAACGAATACCATCCAACTTTGGTGCTTCATATGAATAAAACCTGCTCGATACCAACGAACACTATCCAACTTTGGTGTTATAAATGAATAAGACCTGCTCGATACCAACGAACACTATCCAACTTTAGTGCTTTAAATGAATAAGATCTGCTCGATACCAACGAACACTATTCAACTTTGATGTTTTAAATGAATAAGGCCTGGTGATACCAACGAAAACTATCCAACTTTGGTGCTTTAAATGAATAAGATCTTCGTGATACCAACTAACACCCTTCAACCTTCTCTCTGGTAGGATCAGTACATCTTCCTGCACGAGGCGCTCGCCATGTCCGCGCTGCTACCTCCTCCACAGTCATGTGACGCGTTCCTCAATCAGCCAACCATAGACGACGCAGCTATGATGTCAGAGTTCATGGTCAGTATAAAGACATGCCCAGTCGCAGTAATTACCCCGTGTGCGAAATACGCATCAGTCGGAAAGCGCACGTTAAATCTCCAAAGTAAGTAAGTAAGTAAGTAATTGCCATAGGCGGATCCAGATGGGAGGGATCCAAGGGGTCCGCACCCCATCTAGTAAATGAAGGCAGGACAATTATCCGAGACTATTTTGATACTTTGGACCCCTCCCTTTTAAAAATGCTGGATCCGCTTTTGATCTCTCGTCTAACTGTTTCTAGAACTACACAATTCCGGTGATTAAACCTTGATGACGTCACAGTATTGTTCTTGTCGTTGATTCTGACCCGAAAATTCACTAGCCATTCTGAACGAGCATTTTATACAAGTGCTGACTTTGCAACTCGCAAATAATAGAGAAATCATACATCAACCATAACACATCTTGCCCTGTGTTCAAGTAGGCCGTCGTCACTGGCTAACGTTAACATACTTTATGTGTAAGGAACAGAGTTTATGGATGTCAACTTCTTTATCATGAGGTACATAAGGATTCGGAGTATACTTACTCCTTCATCCGGTGGATATATGCTATGAGGCAGAGAACATATATATATATGTGTGTGTGTGTGTGTGTGTGTGTGTGTGTGTGTGTGTGTGTGTGTGTGTGTGTGTGTGTGTGTGTGTGTGTGTGTGTGTGTGTGTGTGTGTAAGAACAACAAAAGTAATAAGATAACAAAGGTGGAAACTTGTCACGGGAAGCCAATAGTTAATTGGCGCTGATAGGTGATTAGCAATGGATATGTAACAGTATATGTGTCTTTCAGAAGCTGAATTCTTTCATTGGACTCGACTCCGTGAGGAACACCGATACCGGCGGGTTTACCCTGAAGTCCAGTGAGAGCATGACGAGTCTTGGTACGTAACGTCGGTCTACGCTTTTGGGATTACACTATGATAAGAATCGTTTGCGCTTGTGGAGCGATACAGGTAACACCAGTGTACATGTAAATCAGCGTGTGGAGTTGCGCAGTGCGCAAACCTGTTTTAAGTTAATTCTTCCATAAAAGCAAAATAACACTTTGTCCACAATAAGAACTTCGCAGATTGTTTCATAACCAATAATACACACAAGATTCTAGACAATGACACGACATTGTGACATCTTTCAGCGCAATAATGCGTCGCAAACCCCTACCACTATCATTAGCCAATCAGAAAACAGTAGTCCGCTAGTTCATTTTTACGGGTTTTTTGGAAACAGTAACGGGAAATGTATTGCTTGCTTAGCCAATCAAATGTCATGGAATCACTTGCAATTTATCACATGTCAATGACTCATTTCGCTACATCAGTAGCAGGCGACAAAATATGCGTTGGGTTTTTAACACGCAACCTGAGGATTAGACGCAGCATTATTCAGCACTTCTAGCATATGGGTGCAAGCAAGGCACAGTCCAGAAATTGCATTCCGAAAAAAATATGCGGCATATTACAGCCATGGTAGTGTGTGATATTGATGTCAGTGACGCATGCGGTTCACCTTCACTCAGTAATATATATACTTTTATACACTTCAAAAATTGGATTTGACCAAAGTTTATCAAATGTTACAATGCTGAAACATTCGCCGGAACACTGCAATCTTTAGGTCGAAAGCACAAATATGATAACCGTATCAAATACATCACCATCGAATTTCTTGTTTGTTTAATTTTTAACCACCACCAAACATGGGTGTATATTGTTTTTTGCTTGGCAGTTTGTATATGAAAGCTCTCTTCAGCAGCTGATGAAACTGGGTCCCAAGGTTCTAACGGAGATGACAATGACGGCATGGATTATGCTGGTGTCGTCTTTGTGCCGGTCAGTAGTAAGAATCACGCAAAGGCTATTATGGTCTGTTCTATTGCTCTATTTGTTTAGGGGCAAGAGAGTCGCCCTGTTGTCTGGGGTACCGCAATTCGTTGTTAAGAGCTGCGTCCCTTAACCAATGACCGTTAAATGGGCTTCACACATTGTACCCATGTCGGGAATCGAACCCGGGTCTTCGGCGTGACGAGCGAACGCTTTTACCACTAGGCTACCCGACCGCCCAAACAAATGATGATGTAACGCGGGTGCAGCAATGGAGGTGGTGGGTATTGACGCCGCTTTTAGCAATATCCCAGGAACACCACAGCGGTGATTCCAGAAACGGGCTTCCCACATTGTACCCATTTTGGGAATCGAACCTGTGACGAGCGGTCACTAGACTAACCCACCTATTGCCTTGAAACGGTTATACACACGCCATGAGATAATCGAGTCTTTTTCTTTCAGTCTCAGTTTGTCACAAAAACAAATGTGTTTTGTCAGAAGCTCAATACAGGCTACAACTTCCAAACTTGCTATTTTATATGAAATATATAGTAATTGTTGCGTAACATTTCACCAGGTGCACAGTACGCTCTCATCTGACATTTTGTGACATTCGTTGATCAGACCAATTTTGCCGACCTAAGAACATAAAATTGAATTTCTAATGGAATAACGTACAGTCGTGGCCATTTATCGATGCTGAGATTTCTGAGGCGGTTCTAGACCCTGGACAACTGTCTATTGATCTATTGGACAGAGCGTGGCCAACGAGATACCAAAATACGTTAAAATGGTAATTGTTGTTACCCTGCCTTGGATGCGACGTTTAACCTATCCCGCCTCACCTAGTCCCTGGAAACTCATGACGTTATTTGGAAGCAGGAAGCATGGTGAAAGGAGTAACCCTATATGTACATGCCATCAACAAGCTGTGTCTCTTTCTCAAGGGGTTCTGGCATCGCAAGCAGTACCTCCTGATGGACACACCTGATCTGACCTCTGCGGAGGAGTTCTTCAGATGGATGTATGACCTTGACATTCAAACTATTGTTACCTTGGATCACGTGAGTTTAGAGTTCATCTATGCTTTATGAAAGAAGCGAAATTTAGAGTACAGTACAATCCTACATGTATCAAAGAAGCTCCTGCGCATGCACTTCTTTAGACAATTATATGATAGGAAATAGTGTGGTATTACTATTAGTGTGGGATTGGCTCATTGGTACAAAATGTCTCTTTCGGGTTCTTATAATATCAGAGAGTATTAGGAAATAGTTGGTTATTAAATTGTTGGTTGATTAGAAGATGCGTTTGTTTGTTTGTTGAAAGACATAATGTATTAAAATGTCGCCATAGCAGCCATACATGTCAGTGAGAGATGGAGGGATTGCAGTAGCAGCTTTACAGGCCCCCGGCAGATTAAGGAGTAGTGGTCGTAACTATTTGTAGGGTAGTATCCTGTGTTTGTCTTTACCCAGGATAATCCAAAATTGTGGCCAGGACTCAATGAAGTTGCTGAATTCAACAGCTGTCGGGTGACGTGCACTAGCATGGAGACACAGGGCCATGCTATCATCAAAACACTTGTCTACCAGGAGGAGGTGAGGAAGTACTTTAAACATCCCCTTTTATAGTTAAGAGATGATATGATAGGTCAACGTACTGTAGGCTTGTGTCGCTTTCGTGTGTGTGTGCGTGCGTGCGTGCGTGCGTGCTTTGTCATATTTCCTGTATAATGCCCCGCTATGTCATATCTCCTGTATTATGCTCCGCTATGTCATATCACCTGCATAATGCCCCGCTATGTCATATCTCCTGTATACTGTCCCGCTATGTCATATCTCCTGTATAATGTCCCGCTATGTCATATCTCCTGCATAATGCCCCGCTTTGTCATATCTCCTGTATAATGCTCCGCTATGTCATATCTCCTGTATAATGTCCCGCTATGTCATATCTCCTGTATAATGCCCCGCTATGTCATATCTCCTGCATAATGTCCCGCTATGTCATATCTCCTGTATTATGCTCCGCTATGTCATATATCCTGTATAATGTCCCGCTATGTCATATCTCCTGCATAATGCTCCGCTATGTCATATCTCCTGTATTATGCCCTGCTATGTCATATCTCCTGTATAATGCTCCGCTATGTCATATCTCCTGTATAATGCCCTGCTATGTCATATCTCCTGTATAATGCTCCGCTATGTCATATCTCCTGTATAATGTCCCGCTATGTCATATCTCCTGTATAATGCCCCGCTATGTCATATCTCCTGTATTATGCCCTGCTATGTCATATCTCCTGTATAATGCTCCGCTATGTCATATCTCCTGTATAATGCCCTGCTATGTCATATCTCCTGTATAATGCTCCGCTATGTCATATCTCCTGTATAATGCCCTGCTATGTCATATCTCCTGTATAATGTCCCGCTATGTCATATCTCCTGATTATAAACCTATTCATTGGGGTCGCTATAGAGTCAGAGACTTCTTTTTATAGGCATTTAAACCTATTGTGAGGTTTTACTTTCCAGTCGGGTTAAATCTCATAAACAGGGACGTTGTAATGTCCCTGGGGTTTTATATAATATCCCCGGGATGTTAGAGATTATTCAAGTCATATTTGCTATAATATCCCAGGGATTTTATATAATGTACTGGGTATTTTATAAATGTAACTTCCGCTCAGATTGTAACAAGTAATGAAATGTAAAATCAAATGACAAATGTTTTCATTATATTCCCGAGGTCCGAACTGCGTCGCAAACTTCACATCTGTAGCCCAGTGAGTGTACCACGAGGCTACAGAGGTGTTGATAAGCCTCACTGGTTTTTAGAATGTCCTTTTCAAGATCCGTACGCCAGCAACAGATATTTTACGCGCGTTTCCTAAGGTTCATGGAAAGTATGTTCGAAACATAAAAATGTTAGTAAATGTTGTTTAAAGTTTCTTTTTTCGGTTTATAGGTTTGGAAAAGCACTTTCCTTCGGTTTTGGTAGACAGAGCATGCCCGGGGGGTCGGGAAAAACCGCGGGGGCTTCGTCTACCAAAACCTCGTAAGCGTGTTTTCTCCAATACATAATGCCCCGCTATGTCATATCTCCTGCATCATGTCCCGCTATGTCATATCCCCTGCATCATGTCCCGCTATGTCATATCTCCTGTATCATTCTCCCCTATGCCCTGCAGGACCTCGAGGCTAATTTGACCCACCTGACGTGCCCGGGGTGGGCGGACTCCACTAACCTGTCTGACTCTCCCTACATCGTGCTCGACTTCATCAAGACGGTGAAGCAAAGCGTCACTTCCGACAGGCCTGTCGTAGTTCAGAGCAGGTAACTCCGCGTTGTAGTAACGGCTTTCAGAGTAACGTTACGTGACCTTAACCTTGAGGGAGCCGGCGACGTTGTTTCAAAATATGTGTCAATATCGGGTAACATTGGATGTGGACAAGTTACCTCAAGATAATATCAATGTATAGATTTCCGGCAGCGTTTTATGACATTAACTCCATGAAATGTTCCACATCGTGTAGCTCACAGTAACGGCTCGACTCATTCTTAATAAACTGGATCGCTGCTCTACGTTTTCAGTTTATATATTCACAACCATGATGTTTCAGTTTATGTTAACACGGGGTTGTGCTATGTTTCAACTACCATTACGATTCCGTAACACTATATTTCACCGTTAACGTTACTGTAACACCTTGTTTCAGCTCTCGTTAACCTAACCGTAACATCATTTCCAGTAAATGTAACTAACGTTTTATCCTAATGCCGTAACGCCATTTTTAGCGTTACCGCTAACCTAACCATAGTTCATCTTAGGTTCACGTAACAGTAACGGCGTGTGTCGGATCCTGTCACTGTTACGGTAACATCCCTGACGACGTACGTTACGTTATAGTTCAAGCCTGATTAGCACCCCTGTTCTTCTGCGCACATTACCGTAACGTTGTTTTCCAGCCCGTCATACGGTAACGGGGGTATCCTCTGTTGTGTGTCGACTATGATGGATCAGGCGGAGGTGGACCAGACAGTCGCCATCCCACACGTCATCAGTCAAGTCAGAGCCTACAGACCCGAGGTCATCCGGAGTATGGTAGGTTCAGGATCAAAATAGTGAGGGAGTGAGTATGGTTTTACGCCGCTTTTAGCAATATTCCAGCAATATCACGGCGGGGGACACCAGAAATGGGCTTCACACATTGTACCCATGTCGGGAATCGAACTCGGGTCTTCGGCGTGACGAGCGAAGGCTTCAACCACAAGGCTACCCGACCGCCCTTGGATCAAAATAACAAACAATGTGGGAGTGGGTTGCGTTTGACAATGTACGTAAATCTCATGAGAGTCACAAAGCATGACCCGAAGATGCTCCACTTTACATTTCTTAACTATATAAGTCCACGTGAAAGATCCATAAAAAGATTTCAATGGTACATTTGACACCATTGTTGTGGTAGTGCACTTGTCATTGTTGGCGTGATATTCTGCGACGTCATAAGATGGTGACGTCAAATTTTATCATTGTCGTCAAGTCGATATTGTTAGTTTCTTCAAGTGGTTTCTCTTCACAGACGAAACGGCCTCTCCCAATATCCATGTATGATTCATGTGTGTATCAAATAGTAACTTTACGAGACACTGGCAATCGTTTCCTGAAATCAGTGATAGATACTCTGTGTAACATTTGGTTATCAGTAATGTTATGTGTTATTTCCTCAGGCGGAATACAGTCTGTGCTATGACTGTGTGAGGAACCACCTGAACGATACCCACGTTTACTCCAACTACAACCCCAACCCCTAGGTGCTGGTCCTGGGCTGGTGACCTGCTGAATTAGGGGGTAGTGACGTGCTGAATTAGGGACTGGTACTATTCTAAATGAGGGGGAAGGGTTAGGTTGAAGTGACATGCCGTATTAGGCGGTAGAGACATGCTGAAGTAGGGGTAGAGAAATGCTGAATTAGGGGGTAGTGACTTGCTGAATTGGGGGGTAGTGACATGCTGAATAAGGGGGTAGTGACATGCTGTATTAGGGGGTAGTGACATGCTGAATTAGGGGGTAGAGGCATGCTGAATTAGGGGGTAGAGGCATGCTGAATTAGGGGGTAGAGACATGCTGCATTAGGGGGGTAGAGGCATGCTGAATTAGGGGGTAGAGGCATGCTGAATTAAGGGTTAGAGGCATGCTGAATTAGGGGGTGGTGACATGCTGAATTAGGGAGTAGTGATCAGCTGAATTAGGAGGCAGTTACCTGCTGAATTAGGGGGTAGTGACATGCTGAATTAGGGGGTAGTGACCTGCTGAATAAGGGGGTAGTGATCTGCTGAATTAGTAGGCAGTGACCTGCTGAATTAGGGAGTAGTGATCTGCTGAATTAGGAGGCAGTGACATGCTGAATTAGGGGGTAGTGACCTGCTGAATTAGGGGGTAGTGACCTGCTGAATTAGGGAGTAGTGATCTGCTGAATTAGGAGGCAGTGACATGCTGAAGTAGGGGGTAGTGACATGTTGAATTAGGGAGTAGTGATCTGCTGAATTAGGAGGCAGTGACATGCTGAATTAGGGGGTAGTGACATGTTGAATTTAGGGGTAGTGACATGCTGAATTTAGGGGTAGTGACATGCTGAATTAGGGGGTAGTGACATGCTGAATTAGAGGGTAGTGACATGTTGAATTAGGGAGTAGTGATCTGCTGAATTAGGAGGCAGTGACATGCTGAATTAGGGGGTAGTGACATGTTGAATTTAGGGGTAGTGACATGCTGAATTTAGGGGTAGTGACATGTTGAATTAGGGGGTAGTGACATGCTGAATAACCATGCTCAACTAGGAGGTGGTGACATAGTTAATTGCGGTGTAGAGACATGCTGAATTAGGTGGTAGTGACATGCTGAATTAGGGGATAGTGGCATGCTGAATAAGGGGTTGGTGACATTCTGAATTAGGGAGTAGTGACATGCTGAATTAGGGGGTAGTGACATGCTGAATTAGGGGGAAGTGTCATTCTGATTGGGGGAGGGGGGAGTGACATGCTGAATTAAGGGGCAATGACATGCTGAATTATGGGGTAGTGTCAGATGCTGAATGAGGGGTTGGTGACATGCTGAATTAGGGGGAAGTGTCATTCTGAAATAGGGGGAAGTGACATGCTGAATTAGGGGGCAATGACATGCTGAATTAGGGGGTGGTGATATGTTGAGTTAGGGGGTAGAGACATGCTGAATTAGGGGGAAGTGTCATTCTGAAATAGGGGGAAGTGACATGCTGAATTAGGGGTCAATGACATGCTGAATTAGGGGGTGGTGATATGTTGAGTTAGGGGGTAGAGACATGCTGAATTAGGGGGAAGGGTCATTCTGAAATAGGGGGAAGTGACATGCTGAATTAGGGGTCAATGACATGCTGAATTAGGGGGTGGTGATATGTTGAGTTAGGGGGTAGAGACATGCTGAATTAGGGGGAAGTGTCATTCTGAAATAGGGGGAAGTGACATGCTGAATTAGGGGTCAATGACATGCTGAATTAGGGGGTAGTGTCAGATGCTGAATGAGGGGTAGAGACATGCTGAATTAGGGGGTAGTGACATGCTGAATTAGGTCGTGGTGAAACGCTGAATTAGTGGGTAGTGACATGCTGAATTAGTGGGTAGTGACATGCTGAATTAGGGGGTGGTGACGTGCTGAATTAGGGGATAGTGACATGCTGAATTAGGGGGTAGAGACATCCTGAAATTAGGGGGTAGACACATGCTGAATTAGGGGGTAGTGAAACGTTGAATTAGGGGGTAGTGACATGCTAAATTTGGGGGCGGTGACAGATGCTGGTCAAACAAGTAACAACTCCCACGAATGTCCAACAGCCCCTCGCCATGTTCCGGTTTCATCTCTGGACGTCGGCACGCCCGTAGATGAACCATCTGGCAGTTGTGAACAACCACAGTACACACGAGAGACATCTTCGACAGACATACGGAGTTCTTGTCACACTTGCCGCATCCACGCACTTGTCCATGACAAAGAACGCGAGCTGTAGTACTTGTCTTCGCTTTCATTTATCACTTTTGTCCATATTACAAGAGTCATCTAATGCAATGTTTGAACGTCGAACCAGGTTTCATTGAATTGATATAGTTACTATACGTTACCGACCTTCAACAAATGTAAAAAAAAAGTTGTGTGAAGAGGGTTTATTTACAGATTTTACACATGTCAAATATATACAATCAATAAATTACGTGTTCTATTGTCTGCCACATTCGTCTTTAAATGACCACATACAACAGATACGTTAATACAGGGGCCATGATTCATTGAGCGAGTGAGTGAGTGAATAGGGTTTACGCCACTTTTAGCCATATTCCAGCAACATCGAGACGGGGGACACTACAAAAGGGCTTCACACATTGTAATCACGAGGCGGATCGAACCCGGGCCTTCAGTGTGACTAGCGAACACTTTAACCACGGGACTGGGCGGTCGGGTAGCCTAGTGGTTAAAGCGTTCGCTCGTCACGCCGAAGACCCGGGTTCGATTCCCGACATGGATACAATGTGTGAAGCCCGTATCCGGTGTCCCCCGCCGTGATATTGCTGGAATATTGCTTAAGCGGCGTAAAACCATATTCACTCACTCACTCACTTTAACCACGGGACTAAATCGCCGCTTACCCTAACACCTGTGATTCTTTACGGATTTTGTTCCCTTTTCCAAACAAAAGCAAAGACGGTATATCGATGTATGTTTGTGATGAGATGGAACGATATCCCCTTGGAAGCCATAACGAGAAGGTCATTTTGAGTTGCATAAAAATGTATACCAACATGTTTTCTGATTTGACATAAAAAACATAAATATTATATCGACACAAACGTAAAATCATAAAATGGTGATTATGAATCGACTGCCTTTGATTATATTATGTATGAGTCACGTGTTTAAACATATTACGGGATTGTTTAAATAATATTATGAGACAAGGATGGATTGTTTTTATAATTCAATGAGCTTTTGTGATGTGTTTGTGATCCCTTAACGGTGAAAGTCTGTGGATACAGATTAACCTAAACACAGGTCACAGGTATGTAGCAGATTACTCTGACCACGGGTCACATGTGTGTAACAGACTCGTCTGAACACAAGCGTGTAACAATAATCTGAACACAGGTAACAGGTGTTGAACAGACTCGTCTGAACACAAGTGACAGGTGTGTAACACATTAATCTGAACACAGGTGACAGGTGTGTAACACATTAATCTGAACACAAGTGACAGGTGTGTAACACATTAATCTGAACACAGGTGACAGGTGTGTAACACATTAATCTGAACACAGGTGACAGGTGTGTAACACATTAATCTGAACACAGGTGACAGGTGTGTAACACATTAATCTGAACACAAGTGACAGGTGTGTAACACATTAATCTGAACACAGGTGACAGGTGTGTAACACATTAAAATGAACACAGGTGACATGTGTGTTACACATTAATATGAACACAAGTGACAGGTGTGCAACACATTAATCTGAACACAGGTGACAGGTGTGTAACACATTAATCTGAACACAGGTGACAGGTGTGTAACACATTAATCTGAACACAGGTGACAGGTGTGTAACACATTAATCTGAACACAGGTGACAGGTGTGTAACACATTAATCTGAACACAGGTGACAGGTGTGTAACACATTAATCTGAACACAGGTGACAGGTGTGTAACACATTAATCTGAACACAGGTGACAGGTGTGTAACACATTAATCTGAACACAAGTGACAGGTGTGTAACACATTAATCTGAACACAAGTGACAGGTGTGTAACACATTAATCTGAACACAAGTGACAGGTGTGTAACACATTAATCTGAACACAGGTGACAGGTGTGTAACACATTAATCTGAACACAGGTGACAGGTGTGTAACACATTAATCTGAACACAGGTGACAGGTGTGTAACACATTAATCTGAACACAGGTGACAGGTGTGTAACACATTAATCTGAACACAGGTGACAGGTGTGTAACACATTAATCTGAACACAGGTGACAGGTGTGTAACACATTAATCTGAACACAGGTGACAGGTGTGTAACACATTAATCTGAACACAGGTGACAGGTGTGTAACACATTAATCTGAACACAAGTGACAGGTGTGTAACACATTAATCTGAACACAGGTGACAGGTGTGCAACAGACTATTCTGAACACAGTCGTGCCACAGGTAACTTGAACACATTTAACTAGTGAGTCACAGATCACTATGTGTCACGCTCTATTCATTCTCTTTGTTCACAAAATGGACACTCATGTCATCCACCTTCTTTCCCCGGAGTCGCAGGACGAAAAAGAGGGCAGCGACCCCTAGTAGCACCCCGAGAATCAGCATCCCAACTGCGAGACCCGCCTTGGCCCCTGGAATAGACAACGCCACAAATTGGAAAAAGCTACAGTGAATTAATTACCTTTACAAGAAGTGGGTGACGGAAAATTAGTTAACGTTGCTGCGTCGAAAATTAGCAAGGTTAAGTAGTGGTTGATCGGGCCGTTTCACTCAAGTATTTTTTGTCATTTAGTAATATGAATGAGTGAGTGAGTGAGTTTGGTTTCACGCCGCTTTTAGCAATATTCCAGCAATATCACGGCGGGGTACACCAGAAATGGGCTTCACAAAATTGTACCCATGTCGGGAATCGAACCCGGGTCTTCGGCGTGTATACAGTAATATGAAAGAATAGTGTTTTAGTTAACCTCTTTTGAGTAGTATATATTCATATTAATGAGAGTGACTGCATCTGGCGCTGCTTACGACATTTCAACTTAAACATGTTTACTGTCAGTGTTTATTATAGTAAACAAAAATTTAGGGATCATGCATATTTTAGGGATATGTTTATGACATTGTGTGATCAATATTCCAGAATGTATGCTCAAGGAATCTTCAGTATCGGGGTTACCTGCACAGCCTCACACAATTGCATAGAAAGGTTACCACGAATTTCAATTTTAGGAACTTCTTTTGGCCTTCTCAATAAAGAACAAATCTGCCCGTACATATCAATGATTTTGGTTGATAAATAGAATCTCACCCTTGAGTCTTTTATTATTCAAATATATCAACACATGTCGTTAGAGGTTTCAACTCCTTGGCATGCGTCGCTATATTAAACCTTTTCCTAATGTATTTGCTGTCTATGTGTGTTCCATCTTTTTGAAAAGGTTTGAAACCGTAATGACCAGGGCCTTGATGGTATAGTCTGCAGTGGCAGAGAGATTAGGGATGTCATTGAATTGTGATGTCATGGTAACCAAACAAGTCAAAATTGTCTGCAAAGCATATTGACGGAATATTAAGTAGCTTAAGTAGCAACACCTGCATGGAGTAAAGCCTGATATCACCCAAGCGATATCTCCCGTGGAAGCCAGTTTTGGGTGATAACAGTTCCAACTTCTAAAGAACGCAAGTTCGTATGCACGTATTTCCCCACGATGCACGAAATTACGAAATGCGCGAAAACCTTCGGATTATGATTTGGCCAAATTGTGCATTGTCGTTCGGATGTAGTGATATAAAATGCAAACAAATTTAAAATAGTTCATCGCCTACAAGACAGATTGTTCTAGGGTCCATCTATCCTGAGCGTTCACCTGAATCATCCTGTGGCTTGGAGAGGTACTTGTAGTGGGTTGCAGCGTTTGGGTCGTATGGAGTAGTGCCCTTTATAAGCGTACCTGAAAAACGAAAAACAGGTTGAACCGCTGTATATATGTTGGCGTTGGAGCCGGAGTTATTGATAGAAATCCTCGTGACAGGCCGCAGTACTGGTGGTCGTCATGGAGACATAATTGGGGAGAGGACCACAGGTGGTCGTCATGGTGATACAGTATTGGAGGTAATAATACTGGTGACTTTGATTGTTAAACAATGTTAGGGTGAGTACCATTGCTGGTCGTCATGGTGATACAGTACTGGAGGTAACAATACTGGTAACTTTGATTGTTATATAATGTAGCGGACAGTACCACTGGTGGTCGTCATGGTGATGCAGTATTGGAGGTAACAATACTGGTAACTTTGATTGTTATATAATATAGGGGACAGTACCACTGGTGGTCGTCATGGTGATACAGTATTGGAGGTAACAATACTGGTAACTTTGATTGTTATATATGTAGCGGACAGTACCACTGGTTGTCGTCATGGTGATACAGTATTGGAGGTAACAATACTGGTAATTTTGATTGTTATATAATGTAGCGGACAGTACCACTGGTGGTCGTCATGGTGATACAGTATTGGAGGTAACAATACTGGTAACCTTGATTGTTATATAATGTAGCGGACAGTACCACTGGTGGTCGTCATGGTGATACAGTATTGGAGGTAATTATACTGGTAACTGTGATTGTTATATAATGTAGCGGACAGTACCACTGGTTGTCGACCTGGTGATACAATGGTTATGTAATGTCATGGTTTTGGAGCTCATTGTGATTCCACTCACGAGTGAACAAGTCACAGAACCTGTCCTGGACAACCGAGACGGGTTTACTCCTGGGTTGGACGGAGGACAATCTACAGTCTGTGGTGTTGCCACAGAACTCAAAACTCTGGCACTCGAAGCCACTCTGCTCCACACACAACTTTGCACAGTCGTCTCTTGTGACGTCGGCCACCACGAGGTCGTCATGGCTGCTGATGACGCTGTTGCTAGATTTGCTGAAGTCGTATACGTAGTTTCCTACAACAGGGGAACGAGGAGGAGTGAATGAGATTGTTTTACGCCGCCTTCAGCAAAATTCCAGCAATATCACGGTTTAGGAACAACTTAAATGTGATTTAGACATATACCCATGACAGGACTCGAATCCGGGATTTCGGCGTGAACGTTTTAACCACTAGTCCACCTAACCAACTGTCAAAATGACTGAAGATGTTTCATAACATCCTACAAACGAATCGTGTTAATACAATATATCCGAAGTGACCTCGTGAAAGCGTTCACACAGGTGACACAGGTTCTAATCTGTTTTGCTTTCCGTCTGTAATAACCGTCATATAGCTGAAGTATTTCTGAGTGCAGCTATAAAAAACAAACAAACAAACTTCATCGACATAATACGACATAAAACCCGTGAGGCTTTGACAACGGAGTTATCACTGTATATATGATAGCTTCGCGATAACTCGCAAAGAACAAAGAAGAACGAAGTGTGGCTTATTTCACGATAAAACATTGTCCTATTCTGACGTCATTTCTGGAGATTCGAACAAGTGCTCGCAACTTGATGACGTCGTATATTGGACGACGTTAATTTTGAGAGGGGAGTGTCTAGTGAGTTGTTTCCAAAAGATGTAGCTGGGCAACGCAGATATACGCTATGGCCGACCGATCCAAAAGTGGGCGAGATATGACAATCGGTTTGGGGAGAAAGGTTGCAGACGTGAAAATTCTGAGAATATCAAATTTAACCCCCTGTACATATAATGGACATTGCCGAGGTCGGATTGTATTCAGGAAGTTATCATTATTTACATACATGTAAAAGTTTTTAAAGCTTGTACATTTTATTGACATCCTTTAAAAGTCTGTGCAAAATGTTTTTATTATATACATATGAATGAAATACTGGAATTTATCAGTGCCGATAGATCAAGTTATCAGTCACTAGTGACTGATATAAAGAAAGTCACTAGTGACTGATATAAAGAAAGTCACTAGTGACTGATATAAACAAAGTGCCGGAACTACTTTCTCCTGAATCAAAACATTACAGAGTTATCCATTTTAAACAGGAATGTTTAATAATGACAAACACAAATGTCCACGGAACTTAATACTCGATATGAAATAATATATTTCGCATAACACATATTAAGAGGGCTAGTTTTATTCACGAACTATATTCTTTTCGCAAAACCCTTTATACGGCGGTAAAGGGGCGTCAGGGAGAACTTAGTAATTGCGCCACTCGTGGAAATATAAGACTCTCCCCGCTTCACTCGATGAGATAAAAGTGGTATTTGAGAAAACACATTAAATATCCTCTATATATCGCATATAAGAAATAAACAACGGCCACGAGGCGTGTGTTTCTTTAATACGCCAACTCACTGGAATAGTGGTCACACATGGGGGAAGCAACGACGGATGTGTCAGGCACCTCCAGTATGTGTTGTTTCCGAAGACGACAGGACTTGAGGTTGGGGCAGTAGTCGAAGCTCTTGCAGTCAAAGTCGGTGGTGGTAGAGCAGTTGTTGGCGCACATGTCGGGGGAGTTGACTGAATCCAGAGTCTTGTCGGCAGGGGTCAGCAGCACCTGCCCTGGGTACTTGTTGAAGTCGAACAAATAGCTCTCTGGAGAAGATATGTCTTTGTTTGATACACATGTATTTTACAGGACACCTATCCGCCATGTTTGTTTATGCTACTAAAATAGCCGCATGTGACAGCGTTAATGCTCGAAATAAACAGTCATCAGCGTCTATAAAGTAGTCGAAAGAGGAAGCTCCATAATGTCGTGCGTTAATATCATCAGTGACATTTCAACAAACAATTAAATTTTATTCTTAAACATTGGAACTAAGAAAATACATTTACGGAAATACTGCTCGTGTCTTTCGCTAGAGTGAAAATCAACCTGTTTCACTTTGGATGCAAGCTGCTGAGTACAACACAGACGAATCTCCGAGCTTTCTCGTCCTTTTCATAAGGACATTTCATAGTGTATCCAAATACCGATGCATTTAATAAACATAAACATTTACTGATATCATTAATTGTATACATAATGTCAGGATAGAATGAAAGATACATAAATCATTGATATTACGTAAAAACGGGTTTCCATACTACATGCTCCAAGGTATTCGGCTTCCTGGCATACAGGTCGCAGAAGGAATGGTCAGAGATGAGGTTCTGGTTGTTGTCAGGGTGGGGAAGGTGACCAACTTACTTGCATACAGGTCGCAGAAGGAATGGTTAGAGATGAGGTTCTGGTTGATATCAGGGTGGAGAAGGTGACCAACTTACTTGCATACAGGTCGCAGAAGGAATCGTTAGAGATGAGGTTGTGGTTGTTGTCAGGGTGGGTAAGGTGACCAACTTACTTGCATACAGGTCGCAGAAGGAATGGTTAGAGATGAGGTTGTGGTTGTTGTCAGGGTGGGGAAGGTGACCAACTTACTTGCATACAGGTCGCAGAAGGAATGGTTAGAGATGAGGTTCTGGTTGATATCAGGGTGGAGAAGGTGACCAACTTACTTGCATACAGGTCGCAGAAGGAATCGTTAGAGATGAGGTTGTGGTTGTTGTCAGGGTGGGTAAGGTGACCAACTTACTTGCATACAGGTCGCAGAAGGAATGGTTAGAGATGAGGTTGTGGTTGTTGTCAGGGTGGGGAAGGTGACCAACTTACTTGCATACAGGTCGCAGAAGGAATGGTTAGAGATGAGGTTCTGGTTGATATCAGGGTGGAGAAGGTGACCAACTTACTTGCATACAGGTCGCAGAAGGAATCGTTAGAGATGAGGTTGTGGTTGTTGTCAGGGTGGGTAAGGTGACCAACTTACTTGCATACAGGTCGCAGAAGGAATGGTTAGAGATGAGGTTGTGGTTGTTGTCAGGGTGGGGAAGGTGACCAACTTACTTGCATACAGGTCGCAGAAGGAATGGTTAGAGATGAGGTTCTGGTTGATATCAGGGTGGAGAAGGTGACCAACTTACTTGCATACAGGTCGCAGAAGGAATCGTTAGAGATGAGGTTGTGGTTGTTGTCAGGGTGGGTAAGGTGACCAACTTACTTGCATACAGGTCGCAGAAGGAATGGTTAGAGATGAGGTTGTGGTTGTTGTCAGGGTGGGGAAGGTGACCAACTTACTTGCATACAGGTCGCAGAAGGAATGGTTAGAGATGAGGTTCTGGTTGATATCAGGGTGGAGAAGGTGACCAACTTACTTGCATACAGGTCGCAGAAGGAATCGTTAGAGATGAGGTTGTGGTTGTTGTCAGGGTGGGTAAGGTGACCAACTTACTTGCATACAGGTCGCAGAAGGAATGGTTAGAGATGAGGTTGTGGTTGTTGTCAGGGTGGGGAAGGTGACCAACTTACTTGCATACAGGTCGCAGAAGGAATGGTTAGAGATGAGGTTCTGGTTGATATCAGGGTGGAGAAGGTGACCAACTTACTTGCATACAGGTCGCAGAAGGAATCGTTAGAGATGAGGTTGTGGTTGTTGTCAGGGTGGGTAAGGTGACCAACTTACTTGCATACAGGTCGCAGAAGGAATGGTTAGAGATGAGGTTGTGGTTGTTGTCAGGGTGGGGAAGGTGACCAACTTACTTGCATACAGGTCGCAGAAGGAATGGTTAGAGATGAGGTTGTGGTTGATATCAGGGTGGAGAAGGTGACCAACTTACTTGCATACAGGTCGCAGAAGGAATGGTTGGAGATGAGGTTGTGGTTGTTGTCAGGGTGGGTAAGGTGACCAACTTACTTGCATACAGGTCGCAGAAGGAATCGTTAGAGATGAGGTTGTGGTTGTTGTCAGGGTGGGGAAGATGACCAACTTACTTGCATACAGGTCGCAGAAGAAATGGTTAGAGATGAATTTGTCGTTGTTGTCAGGGTGGGGAAGATGACCAACTTACTTGCATACAGGTCGCAGAAGGAATCGTTAGAGATGAGGTTGTGGTTGTTGTCAGGGTGGGTAAGGTGACCAACTTACTTGCATACAGGTCGCAGAAGGAATGGTTAGAGATGAGGTTCTGGTTGTTGTCAGGGTGGAGCCTACTCATCATGCAGTCCCCCGTTGTGTAACAGTACTCAAACGACTCGCAGTCGAAGCGGCTTTCTCCGGAACACGCCGTCGCGCAGTCGTCAACGGCCATCTGGTGAAGGACGAAGTCGTTATGGGCGTAGATGACGTTGTTTCGGTAAATCTTGAAGTTCTTCAAGTACTCTCCTTCATGAAAGATGTTACGTCTTCAATTGATTGCCATTTAGTTTCATATAGGGGTACAAGGCCTGGTGTCCTTCGTACAGATATTGCTGGAATATTACTCAAGCACTGAAAGCATAATCACTCACACATCATTAATTACTGAGCCTCTGATTAGCGAGAGGGACCCAGTCGCCTAAGGCCCCGCAATTCGCTGTGCAGAGTTGCGTCCCTTGATCCTATGATTCGTGACTATTATAATGTTTAGTAGTGAGCACCACACGTCAAGTTAGGGTTTTACGCCAATGGTAGGGAGATACTCACTTTAGTAATTGAAGGAACACTTTGTCTCTGTAACCAAACGCATCCCATCGTACCTGAAGGTCGATTCTCGTTCTCCCGCCTATTGGTTTGCCTACTCCAGACTCAAATACACAGGTGTGAGTCGCCTACTGGTTGCCTACTCCAGACTCAAAAACACAGGTGTGAGTCGCCTATTGGTTGCCTGCTCCAGACTCAAATACACAGGTGTGAGTCGCCTATTGGTTGCCTACTCCAGACTCAAATACACAGGTGTGAGTCCCCTACTGGTTGCCTACTCCAGACTCAAATACACAGGTGTGAGTCGCCTACTGGTTGCCTACTCCAGACTCAAATACAAAGGTGTGAGTCGCCTACTGGTTGCCTACTCCAGACTCAAATACACAGGTGTGAGTCGTGTAGCTCATATGTCATGGACTTACCTTCAGTCACACCCGGGGGGTTCGTCCTCATGATGTCATCCCGGACTCCAGTGGCGATATACGTGATCGTCTGCGGTGAGACAACACGGACAATATTTTTTAAAGTATAAACGCGCAATCTTAGGACTCTGGCGCTCCTGAAGAACGTGACCCTTTATAGTCAAATGCGGCACCTAAGAAAACTCGTCACAATAAACGCTGACATGTCACTTTAGCTGAAAGTCAATTCTAGGTCTAAAAAGATAGTTTATATTGGTTTGAAATGGATACAGTTTGTGCAGTTGGTAATCGGAACAGCGGGTTATAGAGTTACCTGCCCTTGGTTAAAATATGGAAAATATAAAATCCCAACGGGAGGGGGTTGATTATGACGCGGGCGTGGACCTAAAACAAAATATTTTACTTTTTTTCCATATTCATAAAAACATCTCTGTCTGAAGCAGTGCCGAGTGTACAGTCACGACCATGTGATGAGCAAGTGTCTCTGAATTACGAAGAAACAGTGATGACACTAGGTGTTCGCGAAAAGGTGTGTCCTGCCTCACCGGTGGCACAAGTACTCACCTGACTACCGTATGTGATTGGGATCTGCAGCAGCTGCTTGTACACCAGATCCTTGATAGTGTCGTACACGTGCAGCATGGCGGGCTCCACCATGGAACCGTTCACAGACCCTGGGGGAGACATCACACAAGTAGGTCAGAGTATTTGCAGCTGTACTACTTGAATGCAACGTCATATGTAGTGGTAGTGAGTGTACCATCAGTAGTGGTAGTAGTATTAGTAGTAGTAGTCATCGTGGAAGTAGTAGCAGTAGGAGTAGCAATAGTAGTAATAGTAGAAGTTGTGGTAGTTGAAGCAATAGAAGTAGCTGTAGTAGTAGTAGTAGTAGTAGTAGTAGTAGTAGTAGTAGTAGTAGTAGTAGTAGCATTAAGTAGAAGTAGTAGGAGTAAAAGTCAAAGTAGAAGCGGTAGTAGTAGGAGAAGTCGTCGTTGTAGCAATAGAAGTAGCTGTAGCAGTAGTAGTAGTTGGAGTGGAAGTAGTAGTAGAAGTAGCAGTAGCATTAAGTAGCAGTAGTTGAAGTAGTAGTAGGAGTGAAAGTAATATAAGTAGCGGTAGTAGTGGGAGAAGTCGTCGTGGTAGCAATAGAAGTAGTTGCAGCAGTAGTAGTAGTAGTAGTAGTAGTAGCAGCGGAAGTAGTAGTAGCAGTAGCAGAGGTAGTAGTAGGAGTAGTAGTAGAGGTCGTCGTGGTAGCAATAGAATAAGCTGTAGTAGTAGTAGTAGTATTAGTAGTAGTAGTAGTAGTAGAAGTAGTAGGAGTAAAAGTAATAGCAGTCGCGGTAGTAGTAGTAGTAGTAGTAGTAGTAGCAGTCGCAGTCGCAGTAATAATAGTAAGGCCAATAGTAGTAGCAGTCGCAGTCGCAGTAATAATAGTAAGGCCAATAGTAGTAGCAGTCGCAGTCGCAGTAATAATAGTAAGGCCAATAGTAGTAGCAGTCGCAGTCGCAGTAATAATAGTAAGGCCAATAGTAGTAGCAGTCGCAGTCGCAGTAATAATAGTAAGGCCAATAGTAGTAGCAGTCGCAGTCGCAGTAATAATAGTAAGGCCAATAGTAGTAGCATAATAGATGCAGAGGATGGTGTATTTTTTTGTGGTAGAGTAGTAGTCAAAGTCGTATTGGTATAAGCATTATTAGCAGCAGTACTAGTAGTAGTAGTAGAAGTTGTTGTAGTTGCAGGAATAGAAGTAGCGGTAGTCAAAGTAGTAACAGTAGCAGAAAAAGTAATAGTAGCAGCAGCAGTAGTAGCAGAAGTAGTAGTAGTAGTAGTAGTAGCAGTAGTAGTAGTAGTAGCAGAAGCAGTAGTAGTAGTAGTAGTAGCAGCAGCAGTAGTAGCAGAAGTAGTAGTAGTAGTAGTAGTAGCAGAAGCAGTAGTAGTAGTAGTAGTAGTAGATGCACATGTAGCAACCACACTTATCTTTACCACCAGCAACTCACGTGAATAGTGTGTGCAGATCTGGTTGTCATTTCCAATTTCAGCCGGTTGCATGCTGTCGTCCACGTGCTCTCTGCTGAGTCGGCAAGTTCGGGAGGAGGGGCAGATGTCGAAGCTGTTGCAGATGAAGTGGCCCTCCATCATGCAGGCTTGAGCGCAGTCGTCGGGGGAGCTGATGTTGGTGATGGTCTTGGATGTAGAGTGGGCTGGGTGGGGGCCTTGTAGCTTCGTGAAGTGAACTGTCCACATACAACAGAAAGCTAGTGAGTGTGTTGGGTTTTACGCCGCTATGCAATGTATTCCAGTTATAGTAAGCGTGATGCGGGAGGAAAACCTGAAGTGATGCAGGTCTCAGACGTCATCACTTTGGTGAAACCCACGACCATTGATCAGATGTTAACAGATCTAGAACATCATCGGGATGAACTGGGAATTGACACCAGGAGAGACATTAATGTATTTAGGCTAATAACATCAGTCGGATCATCAAAATGGAATTTAGTTATTATAAATAGGTGATGAGCGAATGTTGTTTAAGGTCACAATGAGCAATAGTAATATCACGACGACCAGTAATAGTCGAGTCTTGAGTATCGTAATTCATATCTCTTCAGGATGAAATCCTGGAATATTGGGGACCAGCTCTGTATAAAGACTTAAACGTGATGTTAAACCCCATTTCACCTCACCTCACCTCAACTCTACACCTGAATAGTTGTTCCTAGTTTATTTGTTGAAGAGAAACAACATGTTCAAAGCCGTCGGCTCCGATCAACAATCAGGCAAGTCACCTTAGTAGGCCAACCATCTCATCAGTTCCTACTGCACAACACACTCTCTCTCACAACACTAATGCGGTACAGGGGACCTATTCCGACCCAGAATCCCTACAGGGCTTGTTCCTAGCTAGTTACAAGATGTGTGACTGACGTATGTAATCGGCCTGTCCCAGCAGTGTGACGGTGATGGAGACGCTGTCCAGGTTGTAGTTGAGTTGGGGCTCCTGGAAGCGGATGGGGGAGGCGAAGGTATCGTCGGACATCATGGCGAGAGTCTCCCGCTCGAACAGGGTCTGTACAGTGTCCAGGTAGGGATGAAAGGGTTCTGGAATAGGAATTATCAATAATAATAATGATAATAATAATAATAATCATCATCATCATAATCTATGTTTTAGTATAACAGCAGTAATAGAGTTTGAAAGATACTTAATTTTGAATAGCACAAAGCAACCTATTCACGATTTGGGGGGAATTCTCGGGAACGGTGACGTGTTGACAGGCCAGGGTTCATTATCAGGTCTACTCCAAGAATAGAACCCAGCCGAGCAGTTGTGGCGCCTCAGACGAACTGCATGTTCACCCATGAGTCCTAGTGAGGATTGCCAGTAGACAAAACCACGAGGTGATCGTTAACAGTTCAATGCAAGGGCGACACTGAGAGCGGACTCTCAGATACCACCGACAGAGATCACCCATGCTTTACCATCACCTTGCCATTGTACACACCTACAGCTTCAAATGTCGCCTAACTACAAAATGTCGCCTAACTACAAAATGGTTCAAGCGAAAATCTACTAACTGTTAAAGGTGACCATGAAACGGTGTCGCTGGTCGGCGCCGAAGCAGTTCTTGATGTCAAAGACGGACATACCAGGGTCCTCGTCGTCGAAGTCGTAGATGTTATACACCATGAACAGGTTAATCTGTGGACACATTCATTAGTTCCTCGAATTGCGGTTCGTCATGTTCATGTTTCTATGTTTGTCAGCACCATGCGTGTCCCACTAGCACGACAAAAACTGGTAAGCGTCTAAGACGCCTGATCCACTTCGAGCTTTCCTCCCACATTAAGCTGACACGCCTTGAACTGAAATACTATCCAAGGCGGTGTTAAAGCCACTCACTCACTCACTCACTCACTCATCAGTCGCTTGTTATAAGTGACGTGGTTTTAACGCCGATAAGCATTCAGCTGTATGTCAGCTTCTCCTGGGGTGAAAGCCGAAAGTATCGTAGATGTTTTATCTTTACCTCAAAGAACATGGTGATGATAAACCAAGAATTAGCATCATTTAATAAAACAATGTTGCAACATCATCTAAAAAATGTGTAGCATGCATCAGATGTGTGTCACAATTATGTCGGAAGAAGTATGAGGTTATCGATATTTTTTACCGAATGTACATTGTATATGTCAAGTCAGGCATTTAGAATTGACACACACAAGGAAGAGAATTTGTAGAACGACACAGTGTTTCTCATAATTAAGAAGTTGACATCCACAAATTCTCTTGTACCCCACACTTCACACACAAAAAAAACGCAAAGATGTTCACAATATTTTCAAAAGTAAATTTTTGTGGATTGAAATTGACCCATTCTGCACAAGTGCAGTGAAGACTATTGCTCCTTTATACTGATATAAATGTCATGAAATGATTTTGTCAACGACAGGTGTCGGGTAACCTTTTACATTTGCATGATTCGTTGTCTTTGGAAACTGAAAAGCAGATTTTACGTGCAAGTTATCTGTCATGGGGTTTTCGGGCACATTTATGACACTTGTTTTCACGATCTGTCAGTGAATGATATGAAGTTTGGAGTTCGTCACGCCGAGACTCAAAAATAATGTGAGACATAGCGCTATTGGTGGACTGGTGAATCACAAGCTTCAGTGACAATGTATTTTAGCGTTGCCCAGAGCACATTTTCCCGACTTTGGGCACGATTACATCATTAGTGACTTCCCCAACCTTGCCGTAGCGTGTGGTTTAGTGACGAAACACGTTTCACTCTTCAAAGAGGAAGTGGGAGCCATCTCTTATGGGCAAAGGACGGATTTAGTTCATATCCAGGGCAAATTAACAGGTGTGCGTTATCATGACGAGACCTGATGTCCAGGCGCCTTTTTTCAGCATCACAATGTTCGTCACCACACAGCACGACTCTGTACTGATTTCGTGTCATAAACGTACTGCCGTGGCCGTCAAGGTCAACCCAGTTGAGCATTTGTGAGATTAGCTATACAGACGTTTACGTCATCGTCAACCATGGCCAATAGAATGTCGGCAAATTACGCCAAGCTCTTCAAGAGAAACAGACTGTCATTCAACATGATATAGTGGCCATGTGGGTCTTTGCAGGAGGTGTCCTGCTTTCATTCAGGCCTATGGTACTAGGCTTTACGACTGCCGTGCTTGGGATAATGACGGAACCTTCACTTCAAGACTCATTTCTTAACGCTTGATGAAATATGTTTAGCTTTATAATCTCCCAAACGTACAAGTCACAGAATGGATATCTTGAGAACCACATAGGCATTTCTTTTGGGGATGAGTCAAGTATAGTAGGAAACATATTTTGGACATAGAATATGTTTGTTTCACCTTTTATTACACATGGGCTAGGAGAAATATGTTCACGAGTAGCACATCCTGCAAGCTAAGGGGCAAAACTCTACGCAGCGATTTGCGCCATCGTATGACTTTTGGCCTATCTTTATCTCTTTCGTTGTGTGGATGTATCACGTTAATAGTGACGTACTTACCTCAGGTGCCATGACGTGTGCCATGATGGGTTGTTCCCTCGTGACGTCATTGCTTCCGTCCGCCACCATGTTCCACGCACTCTGAACATTCCAGAAAACACAAGATCATCAACAAGAAGTATACTACTCTAAACATTCCAGAAAACACAAGGTCATCAACAAGAAGTATTCTACTCTGAACATTCCAGAAAACACAAGGTTATCAACAAGAAGTATTCTACTCAGAACATTCCAGAAAACACAAGGTCATCAACAAGAAGTATTCTACTCTGAACATTCCAGAAACACAAGGTCATCAACAAGAAGTATTCTACTCTGAACAATCCAGAAAACACAAGGTCATCAACAAGAAGTATTCTACTCTGAACATTCCAGAAAACACAAGGTCATCAACAAGAAGTATTCTACTCTGAACATTCCAGAAAACACAAGGTCATCAACAAGAAGTATTCTACTCAGAACATTCCAGAAAACACAAGGTCATCAACAAGAAGTATTCTACTCTAAACATTCCAGAAAAAACAAGGTCATCAACAAGAAGTATTCTTCTCTGAACATAAAGAACGTCTTCCAATGAAGACTTCATCGACGTGGTGAGAATATGTCTCCAGCAACCCATACTTGCTGTAAAAGGCGACTATGCCTGTCGTAAGAGGCGACTAACAGGATCGGTTGGTCAGGCTTGCTGGCTTGGTTGATGCATATCATCGTGTCTCAAATGTTTAGATTGATGCTTATGATATCATTCACTGGATTGTCTGGTCCAGATTCGATTATTTACAGACCGCCGTCATAGAGCTGGGATATTTTTGAGTGCGGCATTAAACAACAAACAAATAAAACAAACTTTATCGCCATAATAGGCTTTGTAATATCAGCACAATTAACATGTTACTTTGTCATCTGTGCATTCAATAACTTGCCTTATCAAATACAAAGCAGTTCATTATCATCCCTAATCAACATCCTCATCGTCAACAACAACAGGACCAACACGAACGTCATCCAGACATCCATTTGTTTCGTCATGACCGTTAACAAAATCGTCAACAAAAGTCAATGTCTTTAACAAAACGTTAAACATCGTCAACGTCATCAACAACACCTCAATAAAGTCAACCTCAGAACCTCAATAAACGTCAACCTCAGAACCTCAATAAACGTCTTCAACAAAACTGTCTCTAACCATCAACGTCTTCAACAAAACTGTCTCTAACCATCAACGTCTTCAACAAAACCGGGCGGTGGGGTAGCCTAGTGGTTTTATGTGTTCGCTCGTCACGCCGAAGCCCTGGGTTCGATTCTCGACATGGGTACAATGTGTGAAGCCCATTTCTGGTGTCCCCCGTCGTGATATTGCTGGAATAGTGCTAAAAGCAATATTCTTGTCCAGACGCAATTATTTACAGACCGCCGTCATACATCTGGAATATTGTTGAGTGCGGCGTTAAACAACAAACAAACAAACAAAACATTACTGCCGAGGATGTGTATATGTTCTGTGCGCCGCTACACTCACCGACTGGAAGTAGTACTGGTAGATAGCCTTCGTCGTCTTGTTCATGGTTGGCAACTTAAAGTCAGGTACCGCTGTCTCAAACACGTCACACAGAATACCCCTTGCTGTTTTCTGAAACCAACACCTGACAGTGGACTATCATGCTATTACTTGTAGGTTTGTAGACGATGGTCGATGCTATCCTTTGTATTCTACTCAACATTTGATAGGGATATTCTGAGTGTGGACCTGTATGTGTGTGGCTGTGACTTGGAAATGGCACCCTACGAAAAGTATTCATCATAGCCATGCAACTGGAGAGTGTTCAGATTCATTTATAGTTGATGAAGTAAACACTAAGACAAAACCCTTTCCATATCCAATAGAAATTTCTGCATAAAGCAGACTCTATTGTACGATTCCGACTGTATCATGAGCATGTGTTTATGTATCACTATCAAATACTAATGATACCAGGTGTTTGCGAAAGGGTGAGCGTATCCTGCCCCACCGGTGGCACCCATCACAAACACATGCAAAGGCATGTCAATTGTTCACCTAAAAAAAACGGGAACATGTGGTTCAAGTCAAACTAGGGAATTGAATCGGACATCATTTTTGTCACTGATGCGTCAAATTTGGAAACGTACACAATTCAAGGTCACCAGTTGTTACTCTTGTTACGGAATAGCCCAGTATCACCCTCAGGTGTTGAGTAGTATAACTTGGGTGTTTACATGTCCACGAATCCAAATTGCGTGGATTGATACGCATGTCAATCACTGGATTGTCTGGTCCGGAGGGTAAATATTTACTGACCGCCTTCATATTGTTGGGATATTGCTGAGTGCGGGGTTAAATAAAGCAAACAAACAAAGCACAACAAATACTGATGGGTGCCATAAAGCTCACACATAAATCTTAAATTCTTTGCGTGTGTGAGGGTTATCATGGGGATAATGTATATCACCTCTCTACTGAATGTGTGGCATTGCGGTTGTAAGGATTAAAGTATATCTTTCCCTCCTTGCATATGTACATTTATAGTTGCCATGGAGATAACGCACACTTAACGTTCACGCATTTGTCATGGCAGTTGCCATAGTGATAACGTGAATCTTACCTCCCAAAAAGTGTGTCATGACGGTTGCCATAGTGATAATGTATATCTTACCTCCCCTGAATATTCATCATGACGATTGCCATAGTGATAACGCATAAATTATCTTTCCTGCCCTGTATATTTATCATAACGGTTGTCATAGTGATAACGTATATCTTACCTCCCCTGATTATGTACCGTGACGGTTGCCATAGTGATAACCCATATCTTACCTCCCCGGCATACTTATATTGGTAGTTCAGTCCAAACACCTCCAGGGGTCCCTTCATCTGAACCACAAACGCTCCGTTGTTGGCGAACGCAGCCTTGTCCTTCTTAAAATCAGGCTGCATTGTCGCCGCGCTGATCGGGGTGATTGTGCAGTTTCCCTGTACCTGGTCTATGTTGTAGGCGATACCTGAACGGAAGTGACGTAATTCCTTAATCCTGATCCGAACACTGCATCAGTCTTCTATGATAAGCCGAGACATTTTCCAATATATGACATACCACGCTGTACTCCTACCCAGGGAAGTTCCTTTTGGCAGGCCTAGTACCTCTGCCACGGGCCATGGCCAGCGAGATAAGATGATTCGTCAAATCTTACACAGTCCATTCAACAAATAACACATGTTTTTCATCCGATTCACTTTTGATAAACCTACACACTTAAATAGAAATGTCCGGTTACGTGATATGCTGATTAACCCTTGGCAGTGGTGTAATGCTGGGTCATCACTGCGCCGGAACGACGAAACAATTTGCTCTCTCGGATTGTTCAAAGGCATGTTTTTTTTCAAATTAATGCTTGAAATCAACAGCACTTTCGCATGTTTAAGACCCAAGACAACTTGACTATTATTTGATTCAAGAAGACCCCAGCATTGCTAGGTTACGGACATAATATTACTTGTTTGATTTAGCGTTAATCCACATACCCGTGTTGAAGTCGTGTACATACGTCATCGTGTACGGTGAGTAGAAGGGAGGAGGACTGGTGACGTCGCGGGTGTCGTACCGAGCCAGTTTGTACTTGGAGTCATACCAAACCTAACGCCGAGATCAAGAAAACATTGATATTAATTCTGGCCGAAGATAACATATTGGCACTGCAAAAGTCAGCCAAAGTTTAACCTCGTTAATTAGAACGATACTGTGCGTATTAAACCTCTCCGTATTAACTAATTTCCAGATTAGTTACTAAGGACGGAGTAATAAATATTCTTGGAGTGGATAATCAATTTATAGGCGAGCGTTTCAAGTTTAAACGGGGGGCGATGGGTAGCCCAGTGGTTAAAACGTTCGCTCAACACGCCGAAGACCCGGGTTCGATTCCCTACATGGGTACAATGTGTGTAGCCCATTTCTGGTGCCCCCAACCGTGATATTGCTGGAATATTGCTAAAAGCGGCGTACTCACACACTACTCCTGCTCAAACGTGCCTCATGCATAACGGATAAGTCGTTGACGTGAGTGACTTAATACCTCTAATGGACAACGACGTCACATAATGTAAGTGGGTGAGTCAGTTGGGTTTAACGCTGCTTTTAACAGTATTCCAGTTATATCACGGCGTGTCAGCTTAATGGGGAGAAAATCCCGAATTGGGCCGGTCTCAGACGTTTGCCACTTTGGTTAAACCCATGAGCAGAGGTATGGTGCTGACAAACCCGGGAAATAACCGGAATTTGAATCCACAGTCATAGGTTTCTGGCATGCCCAAGGGACGCAACTCGTGAATTGCGGCGCCTCAGTCGAATCGGCCACCCGTGCACCCACGTCGCAGAACAAGCCAAAGGAATTATATGTATTGACCCTGAGTTCGTTTGAGAGCTTGTGCACAACGTACGTCATACATGCATTCAGCGAGATACAAATGCAGGTATTTTTAACCGTATTTGCAAGTCACCAGATGGCCACAATTTGCATTCACAACACCTCGTATATAAGCGGAGTGATTGCTTTAGCAACTATCGCCATTGTGGTAGTAGAGTATACTTAAATATCATGGACTCAACACTTAGATATGTTTTATATGAACATTATCATCCGGCCTCACTACTTACATCTACAGTGGTGGTGGTCTTCTTATTTGGTATGACGATCTCCATTCTGTAGGAAAACTGCTCAGGCATCGAGGGCAACGGCTTTGAATCCGTGTAGCCTGCACAGTGAGTGAGTGAGTGAGTGAGTGAGTGAGTGGCAGGGTGGGTGAGCAGGTTGTTTTGTGGGATTTGGGTGATCAAGTGAGTGTGTGGATGAGTGAGTGTGTGGATGAGTGAGTGAACAAATGAGTGAGTGAGTGAATGGGTGAGTGAGTGAGTGAGTGAGTGGGTGAGTGTGTATAATGAGACGGTTACGAGCTGGTAATAATTAAAAAGCCACTATCACTGGAAATCTTGGGTTCGAAACCACGTACAGTTTTCTGGCACGCCTAAGCGCCGTAAACCTGCATAGCGAAATTCAGTCTCCAAAAGTACATACACGTATATCATATCAGGTCTAGCTCATATAATTAATAAATAATATTCTATGATAATTATGTCAACATGTCCATATTGAACGATCAGCAGAGACAGAATTGGTAAAAACACCAAGTGTGTTATAAGCGTGAATATCGAATCTATGACAAATGTATGTAATATTCTCGCTTACAGCTGAAGGCATACTAACGAACGATGCACTACAGGATTATCATAAACTGCCGGGCAAAAGTATACATTTGTAAACAGGAGTTGACCAAACAATTACAAACTTGGCAGAAAACAGTCGCCTGTTGTGAGATACACATTAATATATGTCGCCTCAGATACTCGTATCAAATACAATACCTTCGAATAACCATTTCTCGTTTGTTTCATTTTTAGCCACTCAGCAATATTCCAGCTATATGACGGCGGTATGGACAAGGCAATCCAGTGACTGATATCATGAGCATCGATCAACGCAATAGGGATACGATGACATGCATCAGCCAAGACAGCGAGCCTGACCATCCGACCCGCTAGTCACCTCTTACGACAAACATAGTCGCCTTTGACGGCAAGTATGGGTTGCTGAAGACCTATTCTACCCCGGATTTACACGGGTCTACCCACATGTAATCATAGCAGATGAAGCATCATGGTGTGTAACTCACCGAAGTCAATGGATGTATATATGGCGCCGTATGTCCGGGTCTGGGCAGAGAAACCATTTAATCATTTAAATTGTGATATATACCGGTCGAAAAAGAAATATAATGATACATTAATATTGCCACGTGTGTACATACCCACATGTGTCACAAAATACATTCAGAAGATTAACCTTCTGCATTTTGAAATCTGATGTAGATTGTTATACCTGTTATTTCTATTTTGAGCCGAGCTTTTAGCCAAAAGTTTCAAATGTATAAATAAGAGGTATTAATCCACAGTGGGACTACATCAGATTTCAAAACACAGAAGGTTTATCTCCATTTTACAATGACCGCAAGAACGCTTTGAAAATGGCGCTCTCATGGAATGCGTAATCACACATGGGTCAAGGTACGTTATCTTAGAAAATTCGTCACAGGTTGTTCTAAATGTAACAAATATTACTACAGTTCAAGATTAAAATAATCATTGTCTTGACATGTTCAAAAGAACGGTTCAAAACACATAGCCTTTTAAAAAGTTGTCCAATGTCCAAAAATATAGGTCTTTTATTTCATCGCAACCTGCTGCATGTTACCACTCAATCAGGTCTTTTCCTGTAAATCGACGTCACATGCCCCATTGTAGGGGTGGCAGGTTGTAGAAAATATGGGGGAAAACATTCTGAACGAATATATGTCTCCAACAAACATTATTAAATAACCGAACTTTATAACCGATATTTAAAAGTTGTACTTATGCAGCAGCTGGTTTGAAATAGTTCCTCAACAGTAATACATGTTACGAATGACTTTCTCTGCACCCCTAAATTCGACCTGGCTAAACTTTAGTTGCAGACGACACAAAGGAGACCGCGTATTTTTGTGATTTGATGATTGTGTGGCCCCGGCGGTGGTCAGTGTGTTTTCTACTTCATTGTGTGGCCCTGGCGGTGGTCAGTGTGTGTTCTACTTCATTGTGTGGCCCTGGCGGTGGTCAGTGTGTGTTCTACTTCATTGCGTGGCCTTGCTGTTGTCAGTGTGTGTTCTACTTCATTGCGTGGCCTTGCGGTGGTCAGTGTGTGTTCTACTTCATTGTGTGGCCTTGCGGTCGTCAGTGTGTGTTCTACTTCATTGTGTGGCCTTGCGGTCGTCACTGTGTGTTCTACTTCATTGTGTCGCCCCGGCGGCGGTCAGTGTGTGTTCTACTTCATTGTGTGGCCCCGGCGGTGGTCACTGTGTGTTCTACTTCATTGTGTGGCCCTGGCGGTGGTCAGTGTGTGTTCTACTTCATTGTGTCGCCCCGGCGGCGGTCAGTGTGTGTTCTACTTCATTGTGTGGCCCCGGTGGTGGTCAGTGTGTGTTCTACTTCATTGCGTGGCCCTGGCGGTGGTCAGAGTGTGTTCTACTTCATTGTGTGGCCTTGCGGTGGTCAGTGTGTGTTCTACTTCATTGTGTGGCTCTGGCGGTGGTCAGTGTGTGTTCTACTTCATTGTGTCGCCCCGGCGGTGGTCAGTGTGTGTTCTACTTCATTGTGTGGCCCCGGCGGTGGTCAGTGTGTGTTCTACTTCATTGTGTGGCCCCGGCGGTGGTCAGTGTGTGTTCTACTTCATTGTGTGGCCTTGCGGTGGTCAGTGTGTGTTCTACTTCATTGTGTCGCCCTGGCGGTGGTCAGTGTGTGTTCTACTTCATTGTGTGGCCCCGGCGGTGGTCAGTGTGTGTTCTACTTCATTGTGTGGCCTTGCGGTGGTCACTGTGTGTTCTACTTCATTGTGTGGCCTTGCGGTGGTCACTGTGTGTTCTACTTCATTGTGTGGCCCTGGCGGTGGTCAGTGTGTGTTCTACTTCATTGTGTCGCTCCGGCGGTGGTCAGTGTGTGTTCTACTTCATTGTGTGGCCCCGGCGGTGGTCAGTGTGTGTTCTACTTCATTGTGTGGCCCTGGCGGTGGTCAGTGTGTGTTCTACTTCATTGTGTGGCCTTGCGGTGGTCAGTGTGTGTTCTACTTCATTGTGTGGCCTTGCGGTGGTCAGTGTGTGTTCTACTTCATTGTGTCGCCCTGGCGGTGGTCAGTGTGTGTTCTACTTCATTGTGTCGCCCTGGCGGTGGTCAGTGTGTGTTCTACTTCATTGTGTGGCCCTGGCGGTGGTCAGTGTGTGTTCTACTTCATGGTGTGGCCCTGGCGGTGGTCAGTGTGTGTTCTACTTCATTATGTGGCCTTGCGGTGGTCAGTGTGTATTCTACTTCATTGTGTGGCCCTGGCGGTGGTCAGTGTGTGTTCTACTTCATTGTGTCGCCCTGGCGGTGGTCAGTGTGTGTTCTACTTTATTGTGTGGCCCTGGCGGTGGTCAGTGTGTTCTACTTCATTGTGTGCCCCGGCGGTGGTCAGTGTGTGTTCTACTTCATTGTGTGGCCCTGGCGGTGGTCAGTGTGTGTTCTACTTCATTGTGTGGCCCTGGCGGTGGTCAGTGTGTGTTCTACTTCATCGTGGGGCCCTGGCGGTGGTCAGTGTGTGTTCTACTTCATTGTGTGGCCCCGGCGGCGGTCAGTGTGTGTTCTACTTCATTGTGTGGCCCCATTGTCACATGCGTAACAACGCGCACAATACATTGTAACATGCGTGACAACACGCACAATACATAGTCACATGCGTAAGAAAACGCACAATACATTGTCACATGCGTGACAATACGTACAATACATTGTCACATGCGTAACAACACGCACAATACATTGTAACATGCGTGACAACACGCACAATACATTGTCACATGCGTAACAACACGCACAATACATTGTAACATGCGTGACAACACGCACAATACATTGTCACATGCATAACAACACGCACAATACATTGTAACATGCGTGACAACACGCACAATACATTGTCACATGCGTAACAACACGCACAATACATTGTCACATGCGTGACAATACGTACAATACATTGTAACATGCATAACAACACGCACAATACATTGTAACATGCGTGACAATACGTACAATACATTGTAACATGCGTAACAAAACGTACAATACATTGTAACATGCGTGACAACACGTACAGTATGTTCTCCCGTGCGTAATAATACGTTGAATAAAATGTAACATTTGTGACAAGGAGTACAAAACATGTTCATGTGTGAAACACTACCTACAATACATTGTCATATGTGTAACACTACCTACAAAACATTGTCATGTGTGTAACACTACCTACAATACATTGTCATATGTTTAACACTACCTACAAAACATTGTCATGTGTGTAACACTACCTACAATACATTGTCATATGTGTAACACTACCTACAATACATTGTCACATGTGTTACACTACCTACAATACATTGTCATATCTGTAACACTACCTACAATACATTGTCATATGTGTAACACTACCTACAATACATCGTCACATGTGTAACACTACCTACAATACATTGTCACATGTGTAACACTACCTACAATACATTGTCACATGTGTAACACTACCTACAATACATTGTCACATGTGTAACACTACCTACAATACATTGTCACATGTGTTACACTACCTACAATACATTGTCACATGTGTAACACTACCTACAATACATTGTCATATGTGTAACACTACCTACAATACATCGTCACATGTGTAACACTACCTACAATAGATTGTCACATGTGTAACACTACCTACAATACATTGTCATATGTGTAACACTACCTACAATACATTGTCACATGTGTAACACTACCTACAATACATTGTCACATGTGTAACACTACCTACAATACATTGTCACATGTGTAACACTACCTACAATACATTGTCACATGTGTAACACTACCTACAATACATTGTCATATGTGTAACACTACCTACAATACAATGTCACATGTGTAACACTACCTACAATACAATGTCACATGTGTAACACTACCTACAATACATTGTCACATGTGTAACACTACCTACAATACATTGTCACATGTGTAACACTACCTACAATACATTGTCATATTGGATAATTAGTAACTTCACTGAGGGGGCTACCCAAAAATAACAAACTCTACATGTAACCATTCTTTTTTTCTTTAACCAAATCAACATGTTATCACGGTATGCATTATTTTAACAGATAACCTTTCTGCAACGAACTACATGCGGCGGGATGTGGCGTTACGCGGTTAAGGTGAATTCAGGCAATATCACTACTCCCATTGCTGACTGATGTACCGTGTTATGTAGATTTCGGAATACTGGGCCGGAGTGGCAATATGAAATGAGCTACGTACCGATCCATCGTCTTCGGGTATATCGATCTGAACCTGGTTTTGGTACACCAGATCTGCCATATCGCCGTAGGCTTCTGAGATCGTCTTCTCGTGTGCAGTCTCAGGGTTAACGGTGCCTGTGATAGCACACGGAACAAGGGATATAGAGGAAAGGCAGGAGAAGGCTTAGTCATATTACAGTTGGATACAGAAAGACGGATATGGTGTTGACAAGCAAACTATATTAATCGGCACTAGGCTAGGATTTGAAAAAACGATCAGCGGATCCTGGCAAGAACTAGGGAGGCAACTCTTTACAGCGATTAGCAACCCGCGTGTTGCCCCAGGGGATGAGTTAAAAAGTCACGTATTATGAGTCACGTATCCAGCTATATGACAGCGGTCTGTAATTTAATCGAGTCTGGACAAGACAGACCAGTAATTGACATCAAGAGCATCGATCCACGCAATTGGGATTCCATTGGCATCAACCAGGTCAGCGAGCCCGACTACCCGCTCCCATTAGTCGCCTCTTACGACAAGCATGGGTCGCTGGAGAACAAGTCTGACCCGGATCTGCGAGGGATGGTGGAAGAATGATGGAGTTCTCAGACGTTTACCACGGGCAAGAGCACGGGATTGGTGCTGAAACCTAGAAACAAAATCAGGACGAATCGGGGATCAGTTGTTACTGGCATAACTAAGGGACGCAACTCTGCTCAGCGTATTGCGGCGCCTTTGGCGACCGGGCCTTACGAGCCCCGCGCCCTCGGTGAACAGATAGCCTGCATAAGGAAGGAGTACTGGAACGAGGCGTTCAAGGACTGCAAAGATGACTACAACTTCCCCTTCCTGTAGAGCAGTACTCCAGCAGCTCCAGCCTTTGGTGTTGACATTTCACAACTTTTGAGATTACAATCGAGCATGCTCTTTCTACCACGATTTCAAAGAGCGACACACAACTATTGCTCAGTAGTTGTGTGATCAACAGTCAAGGCCTCAGTAAAGCTCTCAAATGATTTTATGGCAGACATGTGGAGGGCTTTTCTAAATGTTATGCATCAGTGACAAAAATGATGTCCGATGCAATTCCCTATTTTAACTTGTATCATATGTTCCCTTGTTTTTTTTCAGGTGAACAATTACCTTGCCTTTGCTTGTGTTTGTGACGGGTGCCACCTGTGAGGCAGGAGAATCTCACCTTTTCGCGAACACCTGGGCCCACTTGCACAAAGCGATCTTAGCGCTACAACTATTGTAAGCCTATGTTAAAGTATGGGAGTTACGATCTTAGCGCTAAGATCGCTTTGTGCAAGTGGGCCCTGGTATCATCACTATTTGATAATGATCAATAAACACATGATCATGATACAGTCGGAATCTTAGTATGGACTACAGAGATTCCTATTGTATATGGAAAGGGATTTATTTCGCTTATTTCCAACACTTACGTGAGAAATGGTCACATGCACTCTGCTTGAGAACAGAGGCCCCGTCTCCAATATGAGCCTTGCTTAGTTTACACTTGTACCCGTCTAGTGGGCAGAAGTCGAAACTGCGGCACACGATAGCTTCGTTAGAAACACACAGGCCGGCACATGTTATGGGATCCGAGATGTTGTTCCACACCATGTCGTCTGTCCTTTCGATCTCCGACTTTGGAACGTACGTGAATTGTGCTAAAAAGTACAAATTGAAATTAGAAAATTCTCAGCGATTGAAAACTCGGGTTTAACTATGTTTTAGCAGTATTTCCGTCACATCCCGGAGTGATACAGATCCTAGACATTTAACACTTTGATGAAAACAACGAGCATGTGTACGAATTGGCAAAATGAGATACATATTCAGAGTGGATCTGGGATTCGAACACGTGACTTCTGGATCGCCTAAAGGACGCAACCCTGCAAAAGCTTCAACAATAATTGGAGCAGTTGCCTATTCATGTAGTTAGATGTACCTACACGTAGAACACATAAATTTTAGATAGGAACAATTGAGGGACTGATAAACCCAAAGCTTGTCTATTTAGATACTGAGCTTACAAAGATACGACGAGTGCCTACTCTAAAATCTATCTTTTTTTCAATATTAAGATACACTTGCTACCTGCCCTCAAGTAGTCACTTGATTATTGACATGGAATAAATTCGGGTATTAGAATACAGTGTCCCTTTTACCCCGTCACGTTCTGTCTTCACCACCTCCCTTCACCTTCTTCCTCCACCATTTCACTCTCACACCCCCCCCCCCCCCCCCCACCCCCACCCCCCCCCCCCCCCCCCCCCCCCCAACAACACACACACTCACAATATAACCAACACCCGTACTCCAGTGTCTCACCCCTCTCAATCCCTTCACATTCACTCCCCACCGCCTTTCACCCCACTTCCACCACCCCTTTACCCCTGTGTATCGCTGTTGTGTCTCACCCCTCTCAACCGCGTCACATTCACTCCCCACCGCCTTTCACCCCACTTCCACCACCTCTTTACCCCTGTGTCTCGCTGTTGTGTCTCACCCCTCTCAACCCCGTCACATTCACTCCCCACCGCCTTTCAACCCACTTCCACCACCCCTTTACCCCTGTGTCTCGCTGTTGTGTCTCACCCCTCTCAACCCCGTCACATTCACTCCCCACCGCCTTTCACCCCACTTCCACCACCTCTTTACCCCTGTGTCTCGCTGTTGTGTCTCACCCCTCTCAACCCCGTCACATTCACTCCCCACCGCCTTTCAACCCACTTCCACCACCCCTTTACCCCTGTGTATCGCTGTTGTGTCTCACCCCTCTCAACCCCGTCACATTCACTCCCCACCGCCTTTCACCCCACTTCCACCACCCCTTTACTCCTGTGTATCGCTGTTGTGTCTAAAACCCCTCTCAACCCCGTCACATTCTCTCCCCGCCGCCTTTCACCCCACTTCCACCACCTCTTTACCCCTGTGTCCCGCTGTTGTGTCTAAAACCCCTCTCAACCCCGTCACATTCACACCCCGCCGACTTTCACCCCACTTCCACCTCCTCTTTACCCCTGTGTCCCGCTGTTGTGTCTCACCCCTCTCAACCCCGTCACATTCACTCCCCACCGCCTTTCACCCCACTTCCACCACCCCTTTACCCCTGTGTCTCGCTGTTGTGTCTCACCCCTCTCAACTCCGTCACATTCTCTCCCCGCCGCCTTTCAACCCACTTCCACCACCCCTTTACCCCTGTGTCTCGCTGTTGTGTCTCACCCCTCTCAACCCCGTCACATTCACTCCCCACCGCCTTTCACCCCACTTCCACCCCCCCTTTACCCCTGTGTATCGCTGTTGTGTCTAAAACCCCTCTCAACCCCGTCACATTCTCTCCCCGCCGCCTTTCACCCCACTTCCACCACCTCTTTACCCCTGTGTCCCGCTGTTGTGTCTAAAACCCCTCTCAACCCCGTCACATTCACTCCCCACCGCCTTTCACCCCACTTCCACCACCCCTTTACCCGTGTCCCGCTGTTGTGTCTAAAACCCCTCTCAACCCCGTCACATTCTCTCCCCGCCGCCTTTCACCCCACTTCCACCACCCCTTTACCCCTGTGTCTCGCTGTTGTGTCTCACCCCTCTCAACCCCGTCACATTCACTCCCCACCGCCTTTCACCCCATTCCACCCCACCCCACCCCCCACCCTTTACCCCTGTGTCTCGCTGTTGTGTCTCACCCCTCTCTCCACGTCATCACCCTCAATCCCAGCCCTCCCCGATACGTCTTCCTCGCCACCAAATCAACCAAATCAACCTTGACCTACCAGCTGGGGGTGTTCGGTCCACCAACGTCGCGCTGACGTACACGTTGGTGTTGTCGTACTCGACTCTCAAGCGCCCTATTCGGATGGGGTTGACGTCCATGGCCCCCATGAAAGTCAGGTGTGACTTCAGGATCAGAAAGTCCTCCTTGTCCCGGTTGAACTGTTTGGGTGCTGAGAAGGAAACATCTAGAATATAATGGCAACCGCTGGAACACGTGATCATCACACATATCTAGTACATCCCTACGTTCGTTCGATTATACGAAATTGAGGTTACCACGTTTCTGACGAGCAGGGCTGACTAGATTAACCAGTTAACCAGTGTTAATGATGGTTAAGTTTAGACACTTCCACTTCTATGAAAACAGCAGAGGAGGTTATTTTGAAAAAGATAAACGACAATTATTTTAAAGATATTTTTGAATAAACTACTAAGTGTTAGTCTAACCTTCGCCCAGGAGTTGGAACTGAACTGTGAAACCTAGTTTTTTCGTGTCAGGAAAACAGTCGGAAATATCGAACACGCTTAGAGATGGACTGTCTGCCACAAAATCCAAGAAGTTGTAAACCACGTGAAAGCCCACCTGTAAACAACGTGCAAACTCAATTCAATGAAACCTTATTTATCCGGATGATACGGCCGAAGAACTGAGTCAGGATGAAGAAATGAAACCTTGTTAATCGGGACGATTCCGTTCCATAGAAAGAGTACAGATTAACAACTTTCCTGATTAACGGATTGTGGGTACTAAATTTCGTTGCATATTGTCACCAAGGCATTGAGGTTTTAGGCTAACGGGGTCCGTAATAACGAGGTTTCACTGTATGGAGAAAGTCAACAACTTAAAACGCGAAGACACTAGCACAATAGAGGTCAAACATGTAACGACACGAATGGAGCATTCAAATCGTTTCATCTCTGTATTCTTAGACGGAGGAGTGAGTGAATATAGTTATACGGCGCAGTTTTTCAGTTCCACGGCGTGTCAACGTCATGTGGCGAAAAGCAGGCCTTAGACGTTTACCATTTTGGTGAAACCGATGCCGACAAACCTGGAGAAATAATCGGGGCGAATAAATTCAAACCCACAATAAGAGACGCAATTCTGCACAACGAATTGCGGTGCCTTAGACGACAGAGCAACCGATGCCCCTCCTTCCCGCTCTGATGGGAGGGACCGCCTCCGTGGTCTAGTGGTAGAGCGTCCGCCCGGAAAGCAGAAGGTCGGGGGTTCGATCCCCTGCCGCGTCATACCAAAAGACGTTAAAGATGGTATTTGTTGTTACCCTGCTCGGCATAAAGGGGCTAAAACAAGGACTGGTCGGCTCGGAGTCAGTATACTGTGTCTTGGTGGGGTATTTATTTTAAACTGCGGCATGCTAGCACTATCAAATCGGCATTGATCTGGACAAGTTCAAGCATCCACACACACATGCATGCACGTCGCTATATAAGTGCAATTAACCTGGACGCGACGTTAAACCCCATTTCACCTTACCTCACCTTTGACGAGAGAATGGGGGTCGCTAAGTTGAAATGGCGTTAACACACGACGACATTAATAAAACGTAATTCAAATTATCCTACATTTGGGTTGTTTCCTTCAAGAAAATAAATTTCATTCAACAGTTACATAGGTCACATACATCCAAAGCCGTTATTTCCAGACGAAAGGGAAAGCCGGTCTGGTATGTGCTGTATCCGACGTTGGGATCGTCCGACCATCCTTCCTGACGGAAATACGAGAAAAGAGACATTGAGACTGGTACACCAACAAACAGACAGACAGACAACAATAGAGAGATGGTAGCGGGACTAGACTGGACGCAGTCTCTATTTTCAATATGAAATTGTAAATAAAATACAAAATCCGAAATCCGTTTCACTGATACTGGTATATGATTTCTGGGGTGAATGCTCAAACACACTTTTTCTTCATAACTTTGTTTCAAATAATAATTTTGTTACTGCATTTATATATTTTTTGGTTGTGGGTGTAGTCAAGTTAAAATATGACAAAAAGGGGGTCAACCCTAAACAAATTGCAACAGAAAGCATTTTACCTGCATACGACTTGGAATTGCTCACTTAACATATTAAAAGTTTACCAAAATCGGAGGAGTGGAACAGTGCCTAATTTGCATATATTCAAAATGGCCGCCATTCAAACTTATTGTGCCGGGTTTGGGCTATATCTCGGGACCTAGGATAGGTCGAGACTTAATTCTGGTGTCTACACCAATGTTTGGGGGGTCAATGAATTTGATTATAACAGTATTTACAATATTGACTCATTTCATAGTGCCTCATTAGCATAAATTCAAAATGGCGGCCCTTTTTTACTATATCTCAGGATCTGAGTCTGGTAGAGGCCTAGTTCCGGTGTCTATACCAAGGTTATTTGGCCAAGGAATGTAATTAATTAAGTATTTCCATTATTGAATCATTTCTTCATGTCAAATTTGCATAAATTCAAAATGGCGGCCACAGTCGCAATCAATTTGTGATTGCGATTTGTGCCTGAATGTGATGGTCTGGAGTCACTATGACATGGAAAGTTACAAGATCTTCTTGCTGAGGTGCATGTGGAAATGTTGCTCTCTTGTGGAGTATAGCTTTGCCTCTCCTCTGCCTCTCATAAGTGTATGAACGACACAATTTGACGTTCATACGTTTTTCACGATATCGTGTTCTTGAAAAGGCGTAAAAACTGACGGACTACTTCCACATTCCTGGGGAAAGCCCTGGGAATTCCCTAGCACGAAAACATACATAAGCGTTCTTTCTGATCATTTAGAACCTTTATTCTTGGTCTCAGCGTTTCAGTATACGTTGAGAAATGTCAGAGAGCTGGACTGCATGATTGTTCACGAATATCCTCGCTGCGGCGTATCCTAATGAACAAACGAAGAAATACACATCTAAACTATCGTGGTATCGACTCAGCCCGTGCCTAGGCTGACATTGACCGTCTCCAGAAATCAAATTGTGTTTAAAATAAAATTGTGTTTAGATTTTGGCCTTCATCATTTGAGGTAAGAAATTGTGATAAAAAAATTATAAGAATTGACTTTCACTTTGTGTGAGGGCCAAACATTGTATGAACGTCGTCGCAAGCTCCGAAAGGAACCAATGATATAAGTACTGTTAAACTTGGAATCTTTGACAAAAAAAACGTGTAGAGACACCAGAATTAGGTCTCTGCCAGTATCAGATCCTAATATATAGTTAATGGGGTCAAAATGGCCACCATTTTGAATTTATGCAAATTAGGCATAAAGAAATGATCCAGCTATTACAATATTATTTATAATTGAAAACATGGTTGTAGACACCAGAATTACATCTCTGCCATCACCACATACGAAGATATACTAAAAAATGATGGTTTCAAAAAAGCCGCCATTTTGAATTTATGCAAATTAGGCACTTAGACATTACCCAGCCATTAAAATACTGTTATAAATGAAATGGGTATAGACACCAGAATTAAGTCTCTACCAGTCTTAGATCCCGAGATACAGGCAAACCCTTGCAAAATTAGTTTGAATGCGGGCATTTTGAAATTATGCAAATTAGACACTGTTCCACTACTCCGATTTGGGTAAACTTTTCATATGTTGTTTTGTGAGTTAATCCAAGTTATATGCAGGTAATTCTGTTGCAATTTGTTTTGGGTCAAATCATATTTTGACTGGATTAATAGAGGTAGATGTATGTAGATAGGTAGATATATAACAACACCGAGACGGATTAAAAGAGGTAGATAAAGTAGATAGGTAGATATATACCATCGCGACGGATTAACAGACGTAGATGTAAGTAGAAAGGTAGATATATACCATCGCGACGGATTAACAGACGTAGATGTAAGTAGAAAGGTAGATATATACCATCGAGACGGATTAATAGAGGTAGATGTAAGTAGATAGGTAGATATATAACAACACCGAGACGGATTAATAGAGGTAGATGTAAGTTGATAGGTAGATATATCGAGACGGATTAATAGAGGTAGATGTTTGTAGATAGGTAGATATATAACAACGCCGAGACGGATTAATAGAGGTAGATGTAAGTTGATAGGTAGATATATCGAGACGGATTAATAGAGGTAGATGTTTGTAGATAGGTAGATATAGAGCATCGAGACGAAATAATAGAGGTAGATGTTTGTAGATAGGTAGATATAGAGCATCGAGACGAAATAATAGAGGTAGATGTAAGTAGATAGGTAGATATATAACAACACCGAGACGGATTAATAGAGGTAGATGTAAGTTGATAGGTAGATATATCGAGACGGATTAATAGAGGTAGATGTTTGTAGATAGGTAGATATATAACAACGCCGAGACGGATTAATAGAGGTAGATGTAAGTTGATAGGTAGATATATCGAGACGGATTAATAGAGGTAGATGTTTGTAGATAGGTAGATATAGAGCATCGAGACGAAATAATAGAGGTAGATGTTTGTAGATAGGTAGATATAGAGCATCGAGACGAAATAATAGAGGTAGATGTTTGTAGATAGGTAGATATATAACAACACCGAGACGGATTAAAAGAGGTAGATAAAGTAGATAGGTAGATATATACCATCGCGACGGATTAACAGACGTAGATGTAAGTAGAAAGGTAGATATATACCATCGCGACGGATTAACAGACGTAGATGTAAGTAGAAAGGTAGATATATACCATCGCGACGGATTAACAGACGTAGATGTAAGTAGAAAGGTAGATATATACCATCGAGACGGATTAATAGAGGTAGATGTAAGTAGATAGGTAGATATATAACAACACCGAGACGGATTAATAGAGGTAGATGTAAGTTGATAGGTAGATATATCGAGACGGATTAATAGAGGTAGATGTTTGTAGATAGGTAGATATATAACAACGCCGAGACGGATTAATAGAGGTAGATGTAAGTTGATAGGTAGATATATCGAGACGGATTAATAGAGGTAGATGTTTGTAGATAGGTAGATATAGAGCATCGAGACGAAATAATAGAGGTAGATGTTTGTAGATGGGTAGATATAGAGCATCGAGACGAAATAATAGAGGTAGATGTTTGTAGATAGGTAGATATATAACAACACCGAGACGGATTAAAAGAGGTAGATAAAGTAGATAGGTAGATATATACCATCGCGACGGATTAACAGACGTAGATGTAAGTAGAAAGGTAGATATATACCATCGAGACGGATTAATAGAGGTAGATGTACGTAGAAAGGTAGATATATAGTTAGGAAATGAATCAGTTAGAGAAGATGCATGTATTTAGGCAGTTATCTCACAACGAGAACGATTACTGCGTGGAGAAACAGAGGCTTCTACATCTACGTTTACAAAGTTCAAAAAGTAGATTAAGTAGATAATTACGTGATAGGGCATTTTTATTAAAAAAAAGACTAAAAATATTTCATTTTAGTATTGACTTAGTTACGTTCATGAACATCATCCGCCGAAGGAAATGTTGCAGTCAAAACTCAACGTACAGACAGGAAGTAGTATTCGAAGGTCGCATTGACACCGGGACTGTTGGGCACTCTGAAATCTGACCTCACAGAAGTGTACACGTCACAGAGGGCATCACGTGCATACCGCTGAAAATATGAATTCAACATTAAAAATGTATGTCAGATAAGAGGTCGCAGCACTGAGGAAGGTCAAAGTTCATATAACAGCATTACGCGTATTAAAGGGAGTCATCAAGCGATACCCAAAAGCTGGAGGACCTAATGTAACATGTGACCTGTCTTAACAGGACACCAGTGTTATGTCATGTGAAGCTACAAATAGCACAATGGTGTAAACCTTGCTTGGGATTATAATTAGAGACTGAGATTAGCCTTGATGACTTTTAATGCCCAAAATCTTGTTGCCACCCTTGACTAATTTACAGAGATGGAAATGTGCGCCTCTCATCAATGGACAGTGAGTAAAGTCGCTATTGCATCATCAAATTATTTTACATGCCAGACTAGATACGATGAATGGCCAACACGTTTGACACAAAATTATCAGATATAGTGATCTAAAACAGACGGGAAGCTTCTTGTGAGGCGTCCACACATAGAAGGTGTGCATACAGACGTTGTGGAGTACTTCTGACCAGGACTAGTACACTAGCGAAGAGGACTAGTGAACTACGCACCTTGGCTCGTGGACTACTGATCAGGACTAGTGGTCAGATCACCAGAGCAAGCGGATTACTCAACGGAGCTAGTGGGCAGCACACCTGGACTAGTTGATTACTGATAGGTGTCCTATCCATAAAGTGTTCGTACCCTTACGACCTATCGTAACGCTATAGTTTAGCATAATCTTACGAACCTCGTAGCATTATGAACGCTTCGTGGATCGGGACCCGGGACTATTGAACTACTGATCAGGGCTAGTGGACGAGTGATCAGGGCTAGTGGACGACTGGTCAGGGCTAGTGGACGACTGATCAGGGCTAGTGGACGACTGATCAGGGCTAGTGGACGACTGATCAAGGCTAGTGGACGACTGATCAGGGCTAGTGGACGACTGATCAAGGCTAGTGGACGACTGATCAGGGTTTGTTGACGACTGATCAGGGCTAGTGGACGACTGATCAGGGCTAGTGGACGACTGATCAGGGCTGGTTGACGATTGATGAGGGCTAGTGGACGACTGATCAGGACTAGTGGACGACTGATCAGGGCTAGTGGACGACTGATCAGGGCTAGTGGACGACTGATCAGGACTAGTGGACGACTGGTCAGGGCTAGTGGACGACTGGTCAGGGCTAGTGGACGACTGATCAGGGCTAGTGGACGACTGGTCAGGGCTAGTGGACGATTGATGAGGGCTAGTGGACGACTGATCAGGGCTAGTGGACGACTGATCAGGGCTAGTGGACGACTGATCAGGGCTAGTGGACGACTGGTCAGGGCTAGTGGACGACTGGTCAGGGCTAGTGGACGACTGATCAGAGCTAGTGGACGACTGATCAGGGCTAGTGGACGACTGATCAGGACTAGTGGACGACTGGTCAGGGCTAGTGGACGACTGGTCAGGGCTAGTGGACGACTGATCAGGGCTAGTGGACGACTGGTCAGGGCTAGTGGACGACTGGTCAGGGCTAGTGGACGACTGATCAGGGCTAGTGGACGACTGATCAGGACTAGTGGACGACTGTTCAGGGCTAGTGGACGACTGATCAGGGCTAGTGGACGATTGATCAGGGCTAGTGGACGACTGATCAGGGCTAGTGGACGACTGATCAGGGCTAGTGGACGACTGATCAGGGCTACTGGACGACTGATCAGGGCTAGTGGACGACTGATCAGGGCTAGTGGACGACTCATCAGGGCTAGTGGACGACTGATCAGGGCTAGTGGACGACTGATCAGGACTAGTGGACGACTGATCAGGGCTAGTGGACGACTGGTCAGGGCTAGTGGACGACTGATCAGGGCTGGTTGACGATTGATGAGGGCTAGTGGAGTATTCACCTGGAGCGACAACGTCTACTGACCTGTCCTGAGAAGGTGTAGTTGCTGTTGAGAGAGAAGAACTGCAGAGGGTTCTTCATTTGTAGAGTGAAGGAGCCATTCTGTTTGTAAGCCGGGGTATTCATCATGTCGTCAAAAGAACCGTTGACCAATGGAAGCACTGAGCAGTTACCTGTCACCTGATCCCGGACATAACGGACACCTGGACATACACACATATAGGCATAACGGACACCTGAACATACACACATATAGACATAGTGGACTCCTGGACATACACACATATAGACATAGTGGACACCTGGACATACACACATATAGACATTCTGGACACCTGGACATACAAACATATATAGACATAACGGGCACCTGGACATGCACACACATAGACATAGCTGACACCTGGACACACATACATATAGACATAGTGGACACCTGGACATACACACATATAGACATAGTGGACACCTGGACATACACACATATAGACATAGTGGACGCCTGGACATACACACATATAGACATAGCGGACACCTGGACATACACACATATAGATATAGTGGACACCTGGACATACACACATATAGACATAGCGGACACCTGGACATACACACATATAGACATAGTGGACATCTGGACATACACACATATAGACATAGTGGACACCTGGACATACACACATATAGACATAGTGGACACCTGGACATACACACATATAGACATAGTTGACACCTGGACATACACACATATAGACATAGCGGACACCTGGACATACACACATATAGACATAGCGGACACCTGGACATACACACATATAGACATAGTGGACACCTGGACATACACACATATAGACATAGCGGACACCTGGACATACACACATATAGACATAGTGGACACCTGGACATACACACATATAGACATAGCGGACACCTGGACATACACACATATAGACATAGTGGACACCTGGACATACACACATATAGACATAGTGGACACCTGGACACACACATAAAGACATAGTGGACACCTGGACTTACACAAATATAGACATAGCTGACACCTGGACACACATACATATAGACATAGTGGACACCTGGACTTACACACATATAGACATAGTGGACACCTGGACACACACATAAAGACATAGTGGACACCTGGACTTACACACATATAGACATAGTGGACACCTGGACACACACATAAAGACAAAGTGGACACCTGGACACACATACATATTTACAAAGTGGACACCTGGACACACATACATATAGACATAGCGGACACCTGGACACACATATAGACATAGCGGACACCTGGACACACATATAGACATAGTGGACACCTGGACACACATACATATAGATATAGTGGACACCTGGACATACACACATATAGATATAGTGGACACCTGGACATACACACATATATACAAAGTGGACACCTGGACTTACATACATATCGACATAGTGGACACCTGGAAATACATACAAATAGATATAGTGGACACCTGGACATACACACATACAGACATAGCGGACACCTGGACACACATACATATAGATATAGTGGACACCTGGACATACACACATACAGACATAGCGGACACCTGGACATACACACATATAGACATAGTGGACACCTGGACATACACACATATAGACATAGTGGACACCTGGTCATATACACATATATACATAGTGGACACCTGGACATACACACATATAGACATAGTGGACACCTGGTCATATACACATATATACATAGTGGACACGAGGACATACAGATATATAGACATAGTTGACACCTGGTCATATACACATATAGGCATAACGGACACCTGGACATACACACATACAGACATAGTGGACACCTGGACATACATACATACAGACATAGTGGACACCTGGACATACACACATATAGACATAGCGGACACCTGGACACACACACATATATACATAGTGGACACCTGGACATACACACATATAGACATAGTGGACACCTGGACATACACACATAGACATACACACATATAGACATAGCGGACACCTGGACATACACACATATAGACATAGTGGACACCTGGACATACACACATATAGACATAGCGGACACCTGGACATACACACATATAGACATAGTGGACATCTGGACATACACACATATAGATATAGTGGACAACTGGACATACACACATATAGACATAGCGGACACCTGAACACACATACAGACATAGCGGACACCTGGACATACACACATACAGACATAGTGGACACCTGGATATACACACATATAGACATAGTGGACACCTGGACATACACACATATATAGACATAACGGGCACCTGGACACACATACATATAGATATAGTGGACACCTGGACATACACACATATAGACATAGCGGACACCTGGACACACATACATATAGACATAGTGGACACCTGGACATACACACATATAGACATAGTGGACACCTGGACATACACACATATAGACATAGTGGACACCTGGACATACACACATATAGACATAGTTGACACCTGGACATACACACATATAGACATAGCGGACACCTGGACATACACACATATAGACATAGCGGACACCTAGACATACACACATATAGACATAGTGGACACCTGGACATACACACATATAGACATAGCGGACACCTGGACATACACACATATAGACATAGTGGACACCTGGACATACACACATATAGACATAGCGGACACCTGGACATACACACATATAGACATAGTGGACACCTGGACATACACACATATAGACATAGTGGACACCTGGACACACACATAAAGACATAGTGGACACCTGGACTTACACAAATATAGACATAGCTGACACCTGGACACACATACATATAGACATAGTGGACACCTGGACTTACACACATATAGACATAGTGGACACCTGGACACACACATAAAGACATAGTGGACACCTGGACTTACACACATATAGACATAGTGGACACCTGGACACACACATAAAGACAAAGTGGACACCTGGACACACATACATATTTACAAAGTGGACACCTGGACACACATACATATAGACATAGCGGACACCTGGACACACATATAGACATAGCGGACACCTGGACACACATATAGACATAGTGGACACCTGGACACACATACATATAGATATAGTGGACACCTGGACATACACACATATAGATATAGTGGACATCTGGACATACACACATATATACAAAGTGGACACCTAGACTTACATACATATCGACATAGTGGACACCTGGAAATACATACAAATAGATATAGTGGACACCTGGACATACACACATACAGACATAGCGGACACCTGGACACACATACATATAGATATAGTGGACACCTGGACATACACACATACAGACATAGCGGACACCTGGACATACACACATATAGACATAGTGGACACCTGGACATACACACATATAGACATAGTGAACACCTGGTCATATACACATATATACATAGTGGACACCTGGACATACACACATATAGACATAGTGGACACCTGGTCATATACACATATATACATAGTGGACACGAGGACGTACAGACATATAGACATAGTTGACACCTGGTCATATACACATATAGGCATAACGGACACCTGGACATACACACATACAGACATAGTGGACACCTGGACATACACACATACAGACATAGTGGACACCTGGACATACACACATATAGACATAGCGGACACCTGGACACACACACATATATACATAGTGGACACCTGGACATACACACATATAGACATAGTGGACACCTGGACATACACACATAGACATACACACATATAGACATAGCGGACACCTGGACATACACACATATAGACATAGTGGACACCTGGACATACACACATATAGACATAGCGGACACCTGGACATACACACATATAGACATAGTGGACTCCTGGACATACACACATATAGACATAGTGGACACCTGGAAATACACACATATAGACATAGTGGACACCTGGCCATACACACATATAGGCTTAGCGGGCACCTGGACATACACACATATATAGACATAGCGGACACCTGGAATATTGCAAACAGTAGGGGACAGTGGGGATCTTCAGATCTATATGATATTGCTGGGGAGCAGGCGATCAGATCTAATGGGTTCTAATGGTTGGAGTTTGTGGTACACTAGGCCTTAAAGAAGTCTGTGGTCAAATTCGAAATATGCATTTTGTAGCCAACGTCACTGATATCGGGTAAAACTAGCTCTGTTGACACAGATGCACGAATTCTCCGATGTGTGCTTCTGATGAGTCGACCAATGTCGGCTTGACTCATGTTGTTCCACTCATCAGTGAGAGCAACCCACAGTTTATTGAGAGTGGTGTCGCGTGGGAAAGGTCAGGACTGAGTGCTGGCCATGGCATGACATGGAAGTTTTGCTGTTGGAGGAATCGCAATCCTAGCACGATAGGCACGTGCACTATCATCTTGAAAGCTGAAACGTTGGCCAAAGTTATGCCAATGGCCCACGAGTGATGCAATGATGTTGTCCCGATGGTAATGACCTGTGACTCTGTCACGGACAATGTGGGGCGCAGTTCGGCCAGTCAGTGTCATACCACCCCATACCATTATGGACCCACCCTCAAAACGAGCATGCTGTACAACGTTAAAGTGCATAAAACGCTCATTAGGACGTCTCCAATTCCGATTCCTTGAAAGTCGAGAGTGAACCTCGATTAGTCAGAAAAAATGACATAAGCCTAATGTCGATTATCCCAGTGCTCAGGTTCCCCACACAACTGATGCGTCCTCGGTTGTTTAAATGACATTATGTGTGATCAAGATAGATTAATACACCAGAAATTGTTAGGACATGCTTACCGTAGTTGAAGTCGTGTATCTCAGTTATAGGGTTGAGAGTGTTGATGGAATCTGACATTGACGTGGGCCTGTGGTCGACTCTAAGGTACTTGCTGTCAGAATTGTACCAAATCTATAAAATCAGGAAGTAGAGTTTTAATATGGTGTCGAACTAACTCACTCACTCACTCAATTATGTTTAACTGCCCCCGTAAAACATAAGACCCAGACCCTCATGAACCTACATCAGCATGCATTATGATTTTGTCCGCAACCTGCGGTACCCACCTACTTTTTAACCCTGAACCTACATCGAGGGCACAGGTGGCACAGTCGTCTAAGGCGCCGCGATTCGCTGTGCAGAGTTGCGTCCCTTGTAAACGCCAGAAACCTATGATTGTGGGTTCGAATCCCGGTTCGCCCCGATTATGTTTCTAGGTTTGTCAGCACCATACCCCTGCTCGTGGGTTTCATCGAAGTGCTAAACGTCTGAGACCTGCATCACTTCAGGCTTTCCTCCCACATTAAGCTGACACGTCGTGATAAAACTGGAATACTGCTAAAAGCGGCGTCACACCAAACTCACTCACTCGCTCACTGAACCTACATCAGCCTGCATTATCATCAGGTCTCGAGCAAGCGATACCCCCACCCTTTATCTTTCTCTTTAACCCTGAAACTACAACGGCCTTCATTATTACGTCATCCGTACCCGACGCTACCCCCACCCCTCATCTTACTCTCTGACCTTGAACCTGCATCAGCCTGCATTATAATTTGCCGCACCACACGATACCTCCACCCTAACATATTACTCTCTAACCCTGAACGTACATCAGCCTGCACTATAATTTCGTCCGCACCTCACGATACCTCCATCCTAACATATTACTCTCTAACCCTGAACGTACATCACCCTGCACTATAGTTTCGTCCGCACCTCACAATACCTCCATCCTAACATATTACTCTCTAACCCTGAACGTACATCACCCTGCACTATAATTTCGTCCGCACCTCACGATACCTCCATCCTAACATATTACTCTCTAACCCTGAACGTACATCAGCCTGCACTATAGTTTCGTCCGCACCTCACGATACCTCCACCCTAACATATTACTCTCTAACCCTGAACGTACATCAGCCTGCACTATAATTTCGTCCGCACCTCACGATACCTCCACCCTAAAATATTACTCTCTAACCCTGAACGTACATCAGCCTGCACTATAGTTTCGTCCGCATCCACGATACCTCCACCCTAACATATTACTCTCTAACCCTGAATGTACATCAGCCTGCATTATAATTTCGTCCGCACCTCACGATACCTCCACCCTAACATATTACTCTCTAACCCTGAACGTACATCACCCTGCACTATAGTTTCGTCCGCACCTCATGATACCTCCACCCTAACATATTACTCTCTAACCCTGAACGTACATCAGCCTGCACTATAGTTTCGTCCGCACCTCACGATACCTCCACCCTAACATATTACTCTCTAACCCTGAACGTACATCAGCCTGCACTATAGTTTCGTCCGCACCTAACGATACCTCCACCCTAACATATTACTCTCTAACCCTGAACGTACATCAGCCTGCACTATAATTTCGTCCGCGCCTAACGATACCTCCACCCTAACATATTACTCTCTAATCCTGAACGTACATAAGCCTGCACTATAATTTCTTCCGCACCTCACGATACCTCCACCCTAACATATTACTCTCTAACCCTGAACGTACATCAGCCTGCACTATAGTTTCGTCCGCACCTCACGATACCTCCACCCTAACATATTACTCTCTAACACTGAACGTACATCAGCCTGTATTATCATATCGTCCGCACCTCACAATACCCCCACCCCTCATCTTACTCTCTAACCCTGAACCTACAACGGCCTACATAATAATTTGCCGCATCTCACGATACCCCCACCCCTCATCTTACTCTCTAACCCTGAACCTACATCAGCCTGCATTATTAGATCGTCCGCAACGTCAATGATTTCCTGGCGGTAATAGTAGGTTGTGGGCATTATGGGTAAGTCCACTGTGTTCACTCTTCCCGGGCACTCCACATTGTTGGGCGTCTGAAAGAATCCGATACAATGACATATTAGCTGGAGAAAAGGTAAATCCTTTAGACTTAAATATGCGGAACATATACTCACCGCTAGACTAAAATCTAGTCTCTGAAATGAACATATCGTACATAAAAAAACAGTTGTTTAGTTATCTTAATAAAAAATATAATAAAAAGGAGCCCAGTGGCTCTCTTCATTTTCAGATACTGCAGTGATCTAGACTTGCCAAACATTATAGACTTGCATGGGCTGTATTTGATATATATTTGTATCAGGGTCCGTAAGACAGACTAACTCACCGCCAATAGAAACGCGACCATAGAAACATAGGGAGAAGTATATGCGTTAAGAAGAGGTGTTTCCAATGTGTTCCAATTAATGACAAAACTAATAATCAGTCAAGTGTTACCATGGTATCCTTAATCTTATCACGAAAAGCTGCCCGTGATTTCCAAACTTTACACGCTAATCCTGCACTAGACAAAAGATGCATCTCGAGTCATGGACCTATGACGTCATATGCGTTCATTAGCGTCGGTCCACACAAGATACCAGTATGTTCGTTTGTGCGTCGAAATCTAATATCTCTTGAATGCGAGCAGTTCTTCATATATTATTGTGTGGTATTCGTGTGGATAAAGGTGGGGTTGTGGATAAGGGTTGGTGGTTGATTGGAGCTGCATTGTGGATTAGGGGAGGATGGGTTGGGGTGTTAATCCTGTAATCTTCTTAATGGCTGTCCTTTTTTTCAGGGGCTCCGTGAACGTTCAGGCCATTTTTTTCAAAATACGTTGTATCAATACTTAAAAGGTAAAATGTATCTACTTTCATACCCTGACAATGTCTAAAGTTGTAAAGTTTTCGAGAAACAGATTCGATGTCAATGTCGTACCTGAAATACAGACGAATCAACGTCGGAGTCGGCCCTGAAGTCAAAGTAGTCGTAGACGTGGTGGAACGTCCTCGGGGTGGAGCCGTTAGTGAAGGTCTGTTCCCCTTGCATTTCGATCCTAACCGGAACCATCACGTGAGTTGATGACGTGGACCAGTTAGAGGCTGGTGAAACGTCAAAGGTAAGTACATGAAGTCACCAAGAATGGTTATTTTGACTAGTTATTTAGAAACAGTTATAATAACGTTACCCGCATTTTAAATAGCCATAAGAAGCAGCTATTACTCGACGAGGATAGGGTGGAGGGAGAAAAATAGCTTTGCTTAAGTTGGTTTTCATTTCTATTTTTCTAGCTATTGTTTCGCTTGCAATATACACAATGCTCTTATTTAGAATTCCTGGTAAACTAAGATGTGAGTTGTGTCACAAAATAGGCAGAATAAACCAATAACTGCAAGGTTATGCGTTCTGAACACCTTTAATAAGGCAAGACAACAGTTATCTACGCATGTGTATAGTTACAGAAATTAACAGTTATATGCGCGTGTGCAGTAACACAAAGTAATAGTTATCGGCACAAGTGTAGTAACACAAATTAACAGTTATCTGCACATGTGTAGTAACACAAATTAACAGTTATCTGCACATGTGTAGTAACACAAATTAACAGTTCTCTGCACATGTGTAGTAACACAAATTAACAGTTATCTGCACATGTGTAGTAACACAAATTAACAGTTATCTGCGCATGTGTAGTAACTTAATTAACAGTTATCTGCACGTGAGTAGTAACACATGTGAACATGTTATGTGACAAAGTTGCTTCACCTGTGAAGTAGTGGTCAAGGGTGAAGTTGGTGTTGGTTGTGGCCCAGAACATACACGTCTGCCAGTGTAGGGTGGGGAGACCACGGGTGGTGCTGTAGCCTTTGAACACCTGCAACATGACAATGTTTAAATATCCCAATAAATAACAGCAAAACCGTTTCCATATTCATAAGAAATCTCTGCTCTGATTCCGACTATATCATGGGCAGCTGTTTATGAATCACTATCAAATCGTGATGATACAACGTGTTCACGAAAAGGCGAGCGTTTGCTGTTCCATCATTGGCACCCTTCACAAACACATGCGAAGACAAGTAAATTATAAGTAAAATAGGGAATTGCATCATTAGGAAACACAGGGAACAATAGGATACACAATTATCTTCAAGCATGTACGGTCTTAAACATTTTTATCGTATCTTTGGCATGTTCTTGTTACATGATGATGACACAAATGCATTACCGGTCCTCTTTGAGACCCGAATCGAAGAGCTTCTGCAGCTGGTGGTATATGGCTCCGCCCATCCGCGAAGTCATCACCAAACAGATTCATTTCATATGACGTTGTGAGATTCACGACCTGACAATGTGACTCTGCAACATCATAAGTTGATTTGAAACTGATGCTTCCATTTATGATCATGTATCCATCAAATGTTATACAATTATGGTTATAAATTAAATTGGTCAATTAAAGAAGACACTCTCTGAGTTGATTGCTAACTGAGTGTTAAAATATAGAGTAATAGACCAACTATTGTACAACTTGAAGAAGTAAACATCCTTTATTCACTGACTATTTCAGTGTAATAATTATTTACACACGCACCTGAGTCAATTTTAAAAATCTCGCCGGTATTATAGCTGTAGATGGAACGGGACTCCATGCCGTTTGCAAAAAATTTTATTAAGCCGTTGTTGCCGTCGAAGTCGAGATATTGTTCGGCGTCCATTGTGTAGCCTTTGTCCATCAAGTTGACCTCCACGTGTGCCTGGAACGACTGGAACGACATGTCCGGCAGAGGAGGGTCTGCACGGTGGACAATGGGCAAAAATAACATGTGATACACGGAAGGATCGTAAACCCTAACGCAGTTAGTGAGTGTCTCGTGCCACGTGTCCAACAAGTTATAACGCAGTTAGTGAGTGTCTCGTGCCACGTGTCCGTCAAGTTCTAACATAGATTAGTGAGTGTCTCGTGCCACGTGTCCAACAAGTTATAACATAGATTAGTGAGTGTCTCGTGCCACGTGTCCAACAAGTTCTAACATAGATTAATGAGTGTCTCGTGCCACGTGTCCAACAAGTTATAACGTAGATTAGTGAGTGTCTCGTGCCATGGATCCAACACGTTGTAATGTAGATTCGTGAGTGTCTCGTACCAAAGGTCCAACAAGTTATAACGTAGATTAGTGAGCGTCTCGTACCATGGGTCCAACAAGTTATAACGTAGATTAGTGAGTGTCTCGTACCATGGATCCAACAAGTTATAACGTAGATTAGTGAGTGTCTCGTGCCACGTGTCCAACAAGTTCTAACATAGATTAGTGAGTATCTCGTACCACGGGTCCGTCAAGTTATAACGTAGATTAGTGAGTGTCTCGTGCCATGGATCCAACACGTTGTAATGTAGATTCGTGAGTGTCTCGTACCAAAGGTCCAACAAGTTATAACGTAGATTAGTGAGTGTCTCGTACCATGGGTCCAACAAGTTATAACGTAGATTAGTGAGTGTCTCGTACCATGGATCCAACAAGTTATAACGTAGATTAGTGAGTGTCTCGTACCATTGGTCCAACAAGTTATAACGTAGATTAGTGAGTGTCTCGTGCCATGGATCCAACAAGTTATAACGTAGATTAGTGAGTGTCTCGTACCTTGGGTCCAACAAGTTATAACGTAGATTAGTGAGTGTCTCGTGCCACGTGTCCAACAAGTTCTAACATAGATTAGTGAGTATCTCGTACCACGGGTCCGTCAAGTTATAACGTAGATTAGTGAGTGTCTCGTGCCATGGATCCAACACGTTGTAATGTAGATTCGTGAGTGTCTCGTACCAAAGGTCCAACAAGTTATAACGTAGATTAGTGAGTGTCTCGTACCATGGGTCCAACAAGTTATAACGTAGATTAGTGAGTGTCTCGTACCATGGCTCCAACAAGTTATAACGTAGATTAGTGAGTGTCTCGTACCATGGGTCAAACAAGTTATAACGTAGATTAGTGAGTGTCTCGTGCCATGGATCCAACAAGTTATAACGTAGATTAGTGAGTGTCTCGTACCTTGGGTCCAACAAGTTATAACGTAGATTAGTGAGTGTCTCGTGCCACGTGTCCAACAAGTTCTAACATAGATTAGTGAGTATCTCGTACCACGGGTCCGTCAAGTTATAACGTAGATTAGTGAGTGTCTCGTGCCATGGATCCAACAAGTTATAACATAGATTAGTGAGTGTCTCGTACCATGGGTCCAACAAGTTATAACGTAGATTAGTGAGTGTCTCGTGCCATGGATCCAACAAGTTATAACGTAGATTAGTGAGTGTCTCGTACCATGGGTCCAACAAGTTATAACGTAGATTAGTGAGTGTCTCGTGCCATGGATCCAACAAGTTATAACGTAGATTAGTGAGTGTCTCGTACCATGGGTCCAACAAGTTATAACGTAGATTAGTGAGTGTCTCGTGCCACGTGTCCAACAAGTTCTAACATAGATTAGTGAGTATCTCGTACCACGGGTCCGTCAAGTTATAACGTAGATTAGTGAGTGTCTCGTGCCATGGATCCAACACGTTGTAATGTAGATTCGTGAGTGTCTCGTACCAAAGGTCCAACAAGTTATAACGTAGATTAGTGAGTGTCTCGTACAATGGGTCAAACAAGTTATAACGTAGATTAGTGAGTGTCTCGTACCATGGATCCAACAAGTTATAACGTAGATTAGTGAGTGTCTCGTACCATGGGTCCAACAAGTTATAACGTAGATTAGTGAGTGTCTCGTGCCATGGATCCAACAAGTTATAACGTAGATTAGTGAGTGTCTCGTACCATGGGTCCAACAAGTTATAACGTAGATTAGTGAGTGTCTCGTGCCATGGGTCCAACAAGTTATAACGTAGATTAGTGAGTGTCTCGTACCATGGATCCAACAAGTTATAACGTAGATTAGTGAGTGTCTCGTACCTTGGGTCCAACAAGTTATAAAGTAGATTAGTGAGTGTCTCGTGCCAAAGGTCCAACAAGTTATAACGTAGATTAGTGAGTGTCTTGTACCACGGGTCCGTCAAGTTATAACGTAGATTAGTGAGTGTCTCGTACCATGGGTCCAACAAGTTATAAAGTAGATTAGTGAGTGTCTCGTACCATGGGTCAAACAAGTTATAACGTAGATTAGTGAGTGTCTCGTACCATGGGTCCAACAAGTTATAACGTAGATTAGTGAGTGTCTTGTACCATGTGAGACTCTCTCTCGGGTTTGGCCCAGCAAGTTATAAAGTTTGTGAGCATCTCGGCTGACGTACCCGATATGGTATGTAGTGTACGAATGTCTCACCTGACGGACCCGATATGGTATGTAGTGTACGAATGTCTCACCTGACGGACCCGATATGGTATGTAGTGTACGAATGTCTCACCTGACGGACCCGATATGGTATGTAGTGTACGAATGTCTCACCTGACGGACCCGATATGGTATGTAGTATACGAATGTCTGACCTGACGGACCCGATATGGCATGCAGTATACAAATGTCTCACCTGACGGACCCGATATGGTATGTAGTATATGGATGTCTCACCTGACGGACCCGATATGGTATGTAGTATACGAATGTCTCACCTGACGGACCCTATATGGCATGCAGTATACAAATGTCTCACCTGACGGACCCGATATAGTATGCAGTATACAAATGTCTCACCTGACGGACCCTATATGGCATGCAGTATACAAATGTCTCACCTGACGGACCCGATATAGTATGTAGTATACAAATGTCTCACCTGACGGACCCGATATGGTATGTAGTATACGAATGTCTCACCTGACGGACCCGACATGGTATGCAGTATACGAATATCTCACCTGACGGACCCGATATGGTATGTAGTATACGGATGTCTCACCTGACGGACCCGATATGGTATGTAGTATACGAATGTCTCACCTGACGGACCCGACATGGTATGCAGTATACGAATATCTCACCTGACGGGCCCGATATGGTATGTAGTATACGGATGTCTCACCTGACGGGCCCGATATGGTATGTAGTATACGGATGTCTCACCTGACGGGCTTGGCATGGTACCTGGACCCCCAGTACAGAAGGGCGTGAGGGAAGACACCCCGCTGCCACACAGCCACACCCAGGTCACCAGCACTGACACTCGCCGTGACATCTGTACACAAATAGTTTTGTGAAACGACAAAGTTGTTTATGTTTAGACAACAGTGTTTAAGACTTTGCTTGAAGAGCAAAGGTCACATGTCAACACGGAGTGTGAAGTTTGATGCGGACAGTTTTTGCTTGGCCAACGAACAGTTTTAAATGAATTATTTTTTTTACATCATTTAGGATTGCGTTTACAAGCCAATCGTTTTTAGGGTCTAAATGTGGGAAACACGAGCATTCCTACCCTCTTGACACTTGAAATGCATTGTAAGAAAATTTTGAAAAGAGGGGTTTCTAGATTTTTGTTTTTAGCGTTTAACGGGGGTATAGAAATTTAAGAGTAACTTTTTAGTTCTACAGTTCTATCGTATTACTCATACATACTTTCATTGTCAGCATGTGTGTCATACAGCAACAAGACATTTATGAGAACAACACTTGTATAACCTCGGCGGATGCCAACCTGTATATTCTTTTGAATTGCAGTCTTTCATGCAACCTGCAACTGTCATATTTTCAAGCCACCATTGTCCTAGCTTGGTCTATTTATACATTATTATGTTAATAACGTTGTAAGTCCTTGTGGTCATGTGGTAATGAAAGTGCCCGTGAAACTGGTTGCACATCTAATTTAATATATTGAAACGCAAAATGATATACATGTTTAGATTATTAGGATATTACACAATGATTAATAAACATGTTTAGGGTATGGGGGTACAAACAACTGTGAGACAGCGTTTCGTGTTGAGGCCCTAAACTTGTGTAGATAGCACACACCAATGTGTATCAGGTTTGGTGTTGAGGCCCTAAACTTGTGTCGATAGCACACACCAAACGTGTATCAGGTTTGGTGTTGAGGCCCTAAACTTGTGTCGATAGCACACACCAATGTGTATCAGGTTTGGTGTTGAGGCCCTAAACTTGTGTCGATAGCACACACCAATGTGTATCAGGTTTGGTGTTGAGGCCCTAAACTTGTGTCGATAGCACACACCAAACGTGTATCAGGTTTCGTGTTGAGGCCCTAGACTTGTGTAGATAGCACACACAAAACGTGTATCAGGTTTTGTGTTGACGCCCTAAACTTGTGTAGATATCACACACCAAACGTGTATCAGGTTTCGTGTTGAGGCCCTAAACGTGTGTAGATAGCACACACAAAACGTGTATCAGGTTTTGTGTTGACGCCCTAAACTTGTGTAGATAGCACACACCAAACGTGTATCAGGTTTCGTGTTGAGGCCCTAAACGTGTGTAGAGAGCACACACCAAACGTGTATCAGGTTTCGTGTTGTGGCCCTAAACTTGTGTAGATAGCACACACCAAACGTGTATCAGGTTTCGTGTTGTGGCCCTAAAGTTGTGTAGATAGCACACACAAAACGTGTATCAGGTTTCGTGTTGAGGCCCTAAACGTGTGTAGATAGCACACACAAAACGTGTATCAGGTTTCGTGTTGAGGCCCTAAACTTGTGTAGATAGCACACTCCAAACGTGTATCAGGTTTTGGATTTAATATCATATAATATTCAGCAAAAACAAATGATAGGGCTAATACTGATTAGACACTTTTGAACTTTGAAAAAACGGTTATGTAAACTTTGGGGTTTTCTTCATAAAAGGTAATAAGACTGTCAGATTAAAGATCTTTTTTCGGTCTTTCTTTATCCATTACATATATACAAACCAAACACTGCTTTTTGATGGGGTGTAGCGTTATATTAAAAGGTCAATGCTAATAGCAATTATGTCTTCCTGGGCTATTCACCCTAACAGTAAATGACTGCTCCCTTGACATAAGCTTGGAGTACGTGAGGAACAACGACAGTACCTATTTCTGGCACAGAAGAAATACATGTACATGTATATGATACAGAAACAATTATCTACGAGTGACGAGGAATGACGGATTATCTGCCCGAGTGGAATTAATGTTTGATAGTTGAAGGTGGAAAGTCCCGAGCCTTCACGAGGAACTTTCAAACATTAATTTTACGAGGGACAGATAATCCGTCATTCCTCGTCACGAAAGGTTTATTGTTTTTATAACCCATCGTCAAATTTTGAACAAAAGCTAATAAGATAAGAAACCGTTGACTCTTATAACAGAGGCGAAGCCGCATTTCATAATATTCATACACGTGTGAAACGAATTCGTGGAATGTTATTTGATCACACCCAGTGAAATAGTTCGTTTGAGTGGCATTATTTCTTCAACAATTTAAGCAATATAATGAAGTTGGGGGATAATAATACATTGATTCATGTATAATAGTACAACAATGGTTCAGTAATGACTTGGCATTATTGTAAATACAAAATTCAAACACATGTAGTTCAAACTGTTCGCCATTTTCTTTGGGTGGCATTGGCGCCAGCCGCCTCAAAGTCACTAGCTGCCATGACTACGAAAGGAAAACCAAAACTTTTGTCTGTCTGCACATTCTCAACAACAAACTATGTAAATTGAGTCTACAACAAGTAAAGTTTATTTAACAGCCTCTGTCAGGTGAACATTTATCTTACTTTTTAAGACAACAGTCAATGTTTCCAAATCGAACATTGGAATGTGGCTTGGCCTTGGCCTTAAACGGTAAGATCAAGGCCAGAGAGTCTATGCAGCATTTTCAAGAAAGTTAAACGTATATGTGGATTGAACATTGGAGCCAGTTGATTCGAACGTTGGATTGACTGCCCTAAACGTCTCCGCATCGTCGACAAATCTCCGGACTGAGTATGAACTCTTGCACCTATGCTCATGGTTAATGCTCGTGAAATAATGTTTGAAAGTTACTCGCCAAGGCTCGGGACTTACTACATTAATTTCACTCGGGACAGATAATTCGTCATTCTTCGTCACTCGTAAATTATTCTCTTTGAACACAACAGACAAGAAGCATCAACGAGATTGATCCTTTGAGTTTGTTAAATTAAAATGAGACAAAGCTACACATTTTGTTTCATTAGTCGTTTTTTTAAATAAAAGGATTATAAGATCATAATATGTTTTATGTAACACTAATTACGTGTCATTCTCAAATTGTTTGGATAGTTTGTTTTCAATACATCTTGACATCCGTGTATCATGTGGACTTATTTATCAATGTATATAATAGTAAACAACATAAGAACATTGTTGTTTTGAGTGATGTACACAGTTACTCACTGTCATTCTGCTAGGCCACCGACTGGTATCCACCATTGTCGCGTCCTTGCTCTTGATACACGGTGTAAAGTGCGATGTTATCTGGGGAAGAATGGCGGTGTTATCTCCTAGAGAATACTGTGTTATCATGTCACCTATCAGCACAGGTAGGACCACTGTTACTGACCGTACCTGGTGGCGCCACGTTCGCTTTTAACTCATTATCAAATGTTATTATTTATTTTTTTGCTGTAAAGTTATTAGTGGGTTACTACCATTGTATTAATAACCGCGTAGAGAGAGTTTGGTTGAACATTATTCTAGGTCTAAGCACGGGGTGTCAGCTTCGTGAGGCTGGAAAGTAAGAAATGATGCAGGTCTTAGACGTTTACCACTTAGGTAAAACCCACGAACACAGGTATGGTGCTAACAAACCTAGAAACATAATCAAGCCGAACCGGGATTCGAACCAACGATCAGATGCACAGTGAATTGTGGCGCCTCAGACGACTGGGCTACACATGTCCAAATTCAAAAGATGACAGTTCTTTGAAAAGCATTATGGCGGACGCCATGTTATTGTCGACTTTGGGAACGAACGTCTTTGTTGTGGCAACAGAATAAAGATGTATTGTCTTATAAATGTATACCAAAGCACTTCCGAGAGAAATTTCTTCATGAGAGGTGATTTTTATCACGCATCTCCTCTTCAACCAGAAGGGGCGGTGGGGTAGCCTATTGGTAACAATATTTTGTCTTCATTAATATATGGACAATCTCACTCTCGCGTGTTTTTTATATCCAATATATCAATATTAGTCGATAAAAATTTAAAACTGTGGAATTTGACGAGGAGTTAACTTGAGGAGTTGTCAAATGTCAAGGTCCATTCCCCGACAACAGCCAGTCGTTTTCAGCCTCTAGAAGCCGGTATAATCCAGTCCTTCAAAGCCCAATAGACCGCTTCCGTGGTCTTGTGGTAGAGCGTCCGCCCGGAGAGCGGAAGGTCCGGGGTTCGATCCCTAGCCGCGTCATACCAAATGACGTTAAACGATGGTACTTGTTGTTACCCTGTCTGGCGCTCGGCATTAAGGGGATAAAACAAGGACTGGTCGGCTCGGAGTCAGTATACTGTGTCTGAGTGGGGTATTCATGTTAAACTGCGGCATGGTATCTCAGTGAGCTAGCACTATAAATCGGCATCAGTCCGGACTAGTAAACCCAATTTCACCTCACCTCACCTCAAAGCCCAATACCGGAAGCTGCAGTTTAATCACCTAGCTGTCTAACCGTGCATGGGTGGTTTCTCTGTGGCTCAGTGTTATCCGTGTAGTCACAGTCCCGTATAATCTGTTAGGGGAAAACTTTAAATGGGCATAGAGGTGTTTGGGGGGGACAGCTTGAGATGGAGATTAATAAAGCAGTGTATTTATTCAAATTCTTAGTAATGGAATAAGATTAATTAAAGGGTGTTTTTCATTCAAGAAATGTAAGTAAAATAACACAGATTCATAGCAGATAATAGAAACAATGTCGTTAGAACTGATTGTAACTGAAATACTTCAAACCACAGGTAGGTAGATCGGTAGTTATACTTAAAATTTCAATAGCAATTGTCTGTGAAACATTTGATCTGGTTTTAACGGGCAAATAATTGTTGAATGTTATGCTTGTCGTGAACGGTGTAGTGTCTGTGTGGAATAATTGTTGACAACATTATGCTTGTGTCTTTTGTTAAAGTGATAAGAGAGATAAATCAATTTTGCAAGAAAATGTGTCTTCTTGTTATAATTTGTGCATCCCTGTTCACAGTAAAATGAATTGATCCACGCGCGTACTTTATCTAACTAGCAAAGTCACTCATCCCTGACTATACCTGGGTTGTCAAATAGCTACTGTTTACCTGTTTTAAACAGAACAAGAAGAAGAACAAGAAGAATGATATTTTATTAAAGTGTCACATGTTGTACATAAGCAGATAAATTACATTTTATTCATATTAAAAAACACAACATCCGGCCAAAGAGACCCATGGGACGCTCGTGCAACTAAGATAACAATAAAAATCAACAAAGTGCATGTAGGTAAATAATTGATAAAATATTTAACATTTCAAACCTCTTATTAAATATTGATGTTAACACAGAATTTACGACGCTGAAACATTTTATATCTTAACTTACAACTCTCTTAGTTAAGATTGCTGGGCCGCCTCCGTGGTCTTGTGGTAGAGCGTCCGCCCGGAGAGCGGAAGATCCGGGGTTCGATCCCTGGCCGCGTCATACCAAAAGACGTTAAAAGATGGTACTTGTTGTTACCCTGTCTGGCGCTCGACATTAAGGGGCTCAAACAAGGACTGGTCGGCTCGGAGTCAGTATACTGTGTCTGAGTGGGGTATTCATGTTAAACTGCGGCATGGTATCTCAGTGAGCTAGCACTATAAATCGGCATCAGTCCGGACTAGTACAAGCAGCCACAGACACACACGTGCATGCACGTCGCTATATAAGTGCAATAATCTTAACGCGACGTTAAACCCAATTTCACCTCACCTCACCTAAGATTGCATTGTGGAATGGGCGGCTGATCGTAACAAAAATTTAAGATCGCGTACTTAGTGAGTTACAATCAACTTAGCCCTTAGATCGCTTTGTGGAACGGGGCCCTGTACCAACTTAGGATCGCTAAAATCGATCTTAAATATTGTACCATAACAACAAAGATGGCGACTTTTATTATGATGTGCAAGGAAATGGACCGTGTCTTACACAAAGAAAGTTTTTTTTAGATATATTCATTATTTCAAAAGTATGGTGCATGTTTGGGTACGTATGTTGACTTACTATCATATCAGATAACATTCTGACAGTCCACAGCTCACTTACTTGTTAGCGATGTCCTCCCATATGCTGCCTTTCAGCTTATTGGTGACAGTAGAGCCGAATGAAGAATTCAGTGTCGTGTGGTGAACAGCCACCTCATCAACAAATACAGCGATCTCGCTTGTTGTAAAATTGCTGCGACGACCGCGTTTGACGCCGACAGAGGTCTGCGATTTGGCCATATTTCGACAATTTGTCGTCTGCTATACACGACCAAGGGAGGCCACTCTTAGGGAAACTTTCGTATCTTCATGGCTGAAGATTCCGATCTTTGTTAAGATCGGCTGCTTAAGAAACTTTCGTAACTTCATGGCTGATGATTCCTATCTTTGTTAAGATCGGCTGCTTAAGAACTTGTAAAGTTACAATCGCCCTAAGATCGCTTTGTGGAACGGGCGTAAACTTTAGCTAAGACGATTTTATAATCGACGTAAGTCTCTAAGATTGATTGTAGTTACGATCGCTTTGTGGACGGGACCCAGAATAGACCAATACTGGCGATTCGTTTTGTTCAGTGTGCCGTCTTTTGGCCGCCATTGTACCTGTAGTAAGATCCAAAGATTGATTTAGTCGTAAACTTAAGATAAATGAGCGCTGAAGCAGCTTCGAGAATATACTTTGCTAAGATGTTTTCGCTACGACACCCTTACGCCAATCTTAGCGCTAAAGCAGCTTCGTGAATAGGCCTTCAGAGTCTTTGGAGTACAGGCCCCAATTCCACAAAGCGATCTTAGCGCTATGATTGTCGTAAGTCAGTGGTAAAGAATGGGAGTTACGATTGACTTAGCGCTAAGATCGCTTTGGGGAACGGGGCCCAGAATATATACAGTAACCAGCTTCACTGTCAGAGTGAGTAGTGAGATCATTTGATTATGACGTCATGGTAAGCGATGAAGTCACAATCATCTGCAAAGCATTATGATGCAGTTTCATTGAAGCGGTATGTCCTTTGAGGTATAGAGGCTATCTAAAAGCGGTGAAAATCCACATTCGCTCATGCTAACAGATTACTCGTTCTTTTGAATTACTTTCTCTCATCGACGGCCAAAGGAAACCCTTATCAATGTTACCTGATCACAATGTAACATATCGTCACGATTATTTTACCATAGTATGAACGGTCATGGTTTTCAAAAACCTTCTCTCACTATGGCTGATATCGACAGGGCCGGACACCCGTTTCACCAACACCTGGTGTCATCTCAGTGTGTTTTAGGGTGTTCCGTGTGTAGTTTCTGCAGGTTTTTTAGACATGTGGAAAATAAAAGAAGCCATATATATATATATATATCACTGATTATTGTATTTCAGTTTCTACATAGCCAACAAAATCACCATGGGGTTACAATATGTTCCCAGTATCCCATGACGGTTTTAAGAGGAGATTTTACGGATTGGGTGGTCTGGCACGGTGACTTGGTTGATTGCGTGGCATTGTACCCCGACGCCTGTATTGCCTGGTCCAGATTCCATTATTAACATGTTCAAAATATAGCTGAAATATTGTTGAGAAAGACGTTATAACGGCCAATAAAATGCGAAGAAATGATAAAAACACGCATGTTTGATAATCATATTTATAATATTTCTGGTAAATACGTAAAATGCGTGTTACAAGATTTTAACAAGCTCCAAAATGTGTATTAAGTGAAATAGCTTATATTAAAAACAAAAGTATACCGAGTTTGCTTTTATGTAATTGATTATGAATTTTGTCTATTTAACCATCACTCATTCCTGCAACAGTAAAAAGTAATCTGTTCTGGGTAATTTTGTGTAAAGATAAATTAGTACAATGAAGACTTGGGTAAGAAATGAATTTGCAACCACATAACCCCAACCATGTTTGAAATGTAAATTTGAGCCGGAAAAAAAGCAAAGCTTCTAAATCAAATTATATCTTTAAAAAAAAAGCTTGTACAAATATCTTTTGAGTGCTGATTAAGTGCTAGTACAGTTCATTTTTCGGGTATGGTATCCCTAACTTAAGTAATTATTAACTCAAAAATATACATATAAGATCAACTTTGAGGTAAAGTATATTAGACTAATAGTAATAGACTGCTGGGTTCGTATACCCGACTGAGGACACTCTCGTTAGTAAGGAATCATAAGCTTGTAAATTCAATCACTTGTTAACAATCATTTCTTGATCCAGATCATATTATCTGGCCAGGCGGAATATTCTTCCACCTCGAGGAGGTTGTGAGCAGAGACGTCTGTGTAGGGCAGAAAGCCGTTCCTGGTGAGGAAGTTGGCGATCTCGCGCCCGTGAGGGGAGTGACGCTGAAACATCCACTCCATCATGATGTAACGGACGTCAAACGTTTGGAAGAACTGGGAGGCCCGACGAAACGCGTTCACCTCGTGACCTTCAATGTCCATCTTGATAAACACCTTCTTGAAGTCCACAACACGCACCAGATCATCCAACACTATCGAATCAACAATGGTGTCGTTGTCGTTACGTGTTGACTCAGATACGGGTTCTATCCTGGACCCGCCGACGTTGTACCGGTTGACGAGGACTTTGACAGGCGCCACGTGGTCGGAGACAGCGTTGAGAAGGAGCTGGACGTTGTTCCGGAGTCCGGCGTACGTGAGAGAGGAATGGAGCAAGAACAAGTTTGAACTGATTGGATCCACGGCAACAACCTTCCTCCCCATTAGAGCAGCGTACATCGTGTACATGCCGACATTACACCCGATATCAACTACGTGCATTCTGGGAACGGATGACAGAGCCGTTGCCATGGCAGCGAGAAGATCCGGTTCCCAGGATCCATTGTCCCGGATTTGAGATGAAATGAACTGATCTCGTTTGCTGTATACACAAAGACGAGTTCCATTCTTCATAGTCTTGAAAGGAACACAACTGCTCCTGCCAACGAGTCTGTGTGGATAATATACATATAGTTTACCCTTCTTATTTCTCTTTCCTATCTTCTCAGCGTATTTTTTTATCTTTCCCTTCTTTAAAGACGTGTTTGTTGAAATGCACAGGGTTGATGTAGTCATCAAATGGTTCTGTGGGTTGGCGAAGTCGTGAGTCGTGGTTGAAGTCTACGTAATCCTGTTCCTCCTTCAGGCGATGCTCCCAGTATCTCGCTCCCCCAGACCCTCCCCCAATAGATGAATATGTGTACCACGCCAGCAGGAACGCTAGTAGCGCCACGATCAGTATCGCCGCACAAGACGACTTCGTCATGGACCGCCGTATCATGCCCTTCACCCTTGCCACAAACACAGGAACACGGAGTGGAGTTGGACAAGTATCACGGTGCCATTGATCACCCACTTCCTCGTCCAACAGTTCTCAGAACGGGCGATCCTTGATAAAGTAGTAATGTAAAGTCCGCTCCTTGTTCGTGGTATTTTCCGTTCATTGTAGTTTTGACTTGGGAACGATGGTGTTCACACTGAATACATCCTTGTTTAGAACATCGTAGAAGCTGAAACGTTTGAACAGATTGTTTAGACATGACGGAAAACTAGGGGGTGAATTAACTTGTGGAACAACAAGAAACATTTTACAAGTCTAATACTTAAGCCTAACACATACATTTTCTGTGTTTTGCTTTATGTGTTTGTTGCTTAACGCCGAACTCAGCAATATTCCAGCTACATGACGGCGGACTGTAAATAATTGAGTCTGCACCAGTCAAGACAGTGATTGAAATCATGAGCATCGATCCACGCAATTGAGATACGATGACATTCATCAACCAAGTCAGCGACCAGATCAAGCATGGTTTCAAGTCCAGTGTATTCTAGGATGCCTTATCAACGCTGAAGTACATGATCAATACGGGTCTCCTTTAATGTCTAGTCGGATATTAAATATACCTCCTCCCTGTAAAATTTTGATCGGTATAGAATCAGGGCGACAACATATATTTTGGGCCTCTAGATGTTTTGTTTATTCAAACTGAATGAAGCGCCTTCAGAGTTACTTCCCTTCGCATAGCTGCGCGCTTCGCGTGCCTTGAGGAAATCTGTCAACTAGCTGGGACGGAATTGATGTGTTTTATCGCTGTGTTTTGTTTTTAACCCTGAGTTTAATGAATGCTAGCTTTGTCTACTATATTCCGAGGCTTCTACCCCAAAATTGCATCTGTTTTTATAGGTCTGGGGCAAATTATGGCCAGTGGACACAACACTTCCGCATTGTGAGAGGGAATCAGGCAGGGAGGCACATTTAGCCCCGGTAACTTCGATAAATGGACTATTATATACCCTGCAGCAATAGTTTAAAGCATGGTTATAATTATTTTCCTCATTTCTTTCAACAGTGAAAAATCCGAAATACACGTGTCATAATGTAAACAATTGAATAAACATACTACTGCCGACAGCTGTTCAACTGCTATGTGTGCAATACTACACTGCGGATACAAATGAATGTAATCTCTAGTCCTACCTTTGGGCTTAACGTTGAAGCCCCACCCCCTGCTAGACCCCCTCCTGATACCCAGGGACGGGGCTTGTCCCTCATCCTGTCTCCTGCATATGACAGTACATACGGTAGCCGAGTGACCTTGACATATGGCATTCAGTCAGATTACCGTCCACAGCCCAGGCGCGTCACCTGATAGCGACAGATAACACAGGTGGCTATTATGCAGTCCCTGGCTATATACAATTGAGGGATTGTTACTATTTACTGGAGTTTCTATAGGAAGGATGGGAATGAATGCTGACACTCGAAAATGTTCCCATCAATGATGATGCCTGAATTTGGCCAGAAGGTTCGAATCTGACACAACAGCCATATTCAAAACCCAATTGTGGCCATTATTCGTCCAGTTATTGTTTTATATGTACAGTAAACTACGGTTTAATACAACGAACTCAAAGGGGCCACTAATTTTAGTTCGTTATATCCGTAGTTCGTTATAGGCATATATACAGCATATGTATAGCAAACGGACGGGACCAAAAAGAGTTCGTTTTATCCGCCAGTTCGTTGTAAGCGCGTTCGTTATAAACGTAGTTTACTGTATTTAAATTTGATACGTGGGGAGTTTGTAGTTGGGGTTAATTTGTGTGTTCTTACTTTTGAGGGGGCGGTCGGGTAGCCTCGTGGTTAAAGCGTTCGCTCGTCACGCCGAAGACCCGGGTTCGATTCCCGACATGGGTACAATGTGTGAAGCCCATTTCTGGTGCAATATTGCTAAAAGCGGCGTAAAACCAAACTCATTCACTCACTCTTACTTTTGAGTTATTGTAAATGCTGATCTTGATTTTACCTTTGTATTTTGATCATATTCTTTAACGTCTTCTTCTACCCTGAAGCTGCTTGTCTACTACAAAAAGTGTAATCTTTACTAAGGTCGTACATGTCATTGAAAGGTCATGCTTAATTGTACCTCAAAAGTTGTGAGATGTACACACCAATGGCGGCAGCTGCTGGAATACTGTTCCACACGAAGGGGAAGTCGTTGAAGTCGGTGAAGTCTTAGCTCTTGGCATAAAATTTTGTGGATGATAAACTGACGTCCAAAAGAAACTTTTCCAACAGAAAATATAAATTTCAGACAAAGTATAATTTTTTTTCCGATGAAGTCTATCTAAAACACATAACCTAAATCAAAAATAATGTATGCAGAAAATGTTAATCGTCTGTTACATGTTTGCGAGATAACACGCGAAAAAGTGAAAAACACGTGCACAACGGACAACTGCAAATGCACGTGCGGGTAAGGGTATAAAACGATTGCAAAGGCAAGTTAGACATCCACAGTGATAAAAAAACACCAAAGAAAAGCCACGACTCACAGTCGAACAACGTGAACGAGCCTTGGGTATGGTACAGATGGGAGCCACCCACGCCCATATTGCACGAACCTTCGGTTGCTCCCGTGTTGCCGTTACCAACTTGATGCAACGTTACAATTAGCAGGGGGGACCGCTGACAGGCCAAGAACAGGCAGACCCAGGGTGACCACGCCCCATGATGACCGGTACTTGCGTACCTTGCACCTCCGAAATCGCTTCCTGACAGTGACGTCATCGGCGACAAATGCCTTAGGACACAGGGTTAGTCGACAGACAGTGGCCAGGAGACTCAGGGCTCATGGAATCAGGGCTTTTAGACCATACAGAGGACAGCTATTGACACCGCAACATCGTCGTCTGCGATTGAGATGGGCCCGGACTGTACGACGTTGGCAACGACGTGACTGGCAGAGGGTTGTCTTCACTGACGAAAGTCGATTCTGTATGTTTAGGGCTGGTGGAAGACAACGTGTTTACCGCCGAAGAGGTGAACGAACGGCGGCGTGTTGCGTGCAGGAGGTCGTACCATATGGTGTAGGTAGTGCCATGTTGTGGGGAGGGATCTGAGGGCAGGAGAGGACACCGCTGGTCATCGTTGACAGAAACTTGACAGCTCAGCGTTACATGGATAACATTCTTCGTCCAGTTGTCCTACCATTTCTCCAACAGCAGCCACGTGGCGTCATTTATCAGCATGACAACGCTAGAGCCCATACAGCCAGAATTGTCACTAACTTCCTCGCAGCCAACAACGTCAACGTCCTGCCGTGGCCTGCACGCTCACCCGACATGTCCCCCGTAGAACACCTCTGGGACTTGATGGATCGTCGCGTTCGACAACGACCACACTCTCCAGCCAACCGGCAAGAACTGATCTTGGCCCTCCAAGAAGAATGGCGTCAAATCCCACGTGACCTCATCAGACAACTGACTTTTTCTGTGCGTCGAAGAGTTTTTGCGTGTGTTGAGGCATTTGGTGGTCACACACGCTACTAATGACTTGTTATGGAACGTGAGCGATTGTTTATGTACTCTGCATATTGTCCATGATTCTGAAAGCTCGAGTTTTGTACCACAACCAACTTTGGGCGGCTCTGACGTCATTCTCGGTCGCGGTATGATTGTCATTTTCAGTGTTGATTATGTTGATATATTGATCTTCACAATACATTTTACTTCATGCATGTATGTTTTGTTGTTTTTGAGCAAGAGTGATTTCAAACTCTGGTAAAGTTTCTTTTGGACGTCAGTTTATATTGTCAGTCTTAATCTTAATGCATAGATCTGATAGGAGACAGATTCCACTGGTCTCTTATATTTATAGTTCTGGAGGGTACATCAATGAAACAGAAGTAGTTATTTGATCAGATGACCACAACATTGTAATAAAGTCATCCAAGTCATTAATTCACAATTTTAAGAAAATAGATTGATAAGAAATCAAGATTTTAAACGTTTAAAGAACTTTTCAGAAAAAACGTCAAGATTGTAAGAGAATTGCGAATAGTCAGTAGATCCAGCAACATGTGACGAAAAGGTCAATATCACAAGTAAAATGATCAATAAAGATTCATTTTCTCCACACCTACAAAGAAGAACGCCAGTTTTTAAGCGCCAAGCGTACGTAATAACATATCTATGCTGAAAACCGATGTTTAAATGTTTTAGCTCCTAAATACAAACATCAACTCGTTCCTTGTCCGATAACTTAAACGCGACTAAACATGTTTAGGATTGTGTTTAAAGCTAAATATGTTAATCTGTTTGGAAGATATTATTATAATATGATGCAGTGAGAGATCTTTTCAAGACGGTATTAGCTTCAGACTTCAGCCTCGCACAACGACCAAGATTTTTTTTTCTGACTTCTGCATGATCTAAGCGACCTTTTGATAAAACTTTTCCGAGGCTCCTCTTAAATGAAATACTGTTCAAATGGGCCTTAAACCCGACAAACGCACACGTACACACAAGGCTCACCAACGTCATATACCCATTGATACAACTGTAGATCTGCTGTAAACATTTCTCAGTATATTCCCACGTTTCCTTAAATGGATTACAGGAAGTCACGAAGTGATTTCATGTTTGTTTATTTGTTGTTTAAAGCCGCACTCGGCAATATTTTAGCTATATGACGATGGTCTGTGAGCAAACTAGTCTAGACCGGGCAATCCAGTGGTTGACGTCATGAGCATTGATCTACGCAGTTTGGATACGATGATATCCATAAGGTCAGTGAGTCGGACCACCCGATCCCGTTAGTCGCCTCTACGACAAGCATTGGTTGCTGAAGACTAATTCTAACCTGGATCTTCTCGGGACGGGGAAATTGATGTCAACAAGGTATTTATTTCTCTGAGCGTGTGCGTATTGCTGTGTGGGTCTGTGGTCTTATGAAATATGAAGGAGAGATCACAACTTATAACTGATTATTTTATTTCATTTTGTAAAAACCCAACATAGTATAGTTTTAATACAACGCTGAACAAATAGACATGTATTTTCACATTATATTATTTATAATAAATATTTAGGAAGCGATAACGTGTATTTTGTGCATTATTCAAAATATAAGAGTATAAAAATCATCATGTAAATGTATAATATATAGAGAAACATAAATATCGAAAATGCGTGTAACAACAAGATATAAAGGCGATAACACGAGGTCAAACGTATTATCGCTTAGACATGTCAACTCTTTGTATTATTTCAAATATATATACACAAAGATCAACACACAATCACCTTGTGTTGACGCAATACCAACACGTCTCGTGTATACGCAACTAAATCATAAAAATAAGGAAAAATCTTAAAAAGAATATTTATAAATAATGAAGGGCCTGAAATGTTTTACGGAATAACACAATGACTCGCTCCTAATATATTGTCATGGAGAAATATTTAAAAGTCTTTGTTGAAAGTCTACTTTTGTTTTAACATCACACACAGTTTAGATCGGAGTCACGGGTGGCCCAGTCGTCTAAGCGCCGCAATTCGCTGTGCAGAGTTGCGCCCCTTGGACACGCCAGTAACAAATGAACGTGGGTTCGAATCGCGGTTCGTAACGATTATGTTTCCAGGTTTGTCAGCACTATACCCGTGCTCGTGCGTTTCACTAAAGTGGTAAACTCTGAGATCTGCATAACTTCGGGCTTTCCTCCCACATTAAGCTGACACGCCGTGATATAACTGAAATACTGTTGAAATCGGTGTTAAATAATACTCACTTTCTCACACTTTAGATCACAATGTTTACACGGTTAACACCCATTGAGAACAGACCATTGCCATGGACAGTTAAAAAACCTGTTATTAAGGACACCGACGAATACTATTGAGATTACAACATTCGTACAGTTAACACCCAACATGTCACTGAGAATACTCTGTCTATTAACGACTAATACATACAAGCCCAATGGCTGATCCCACTTCACAATAGTCATCTCTTGATCCAGATCATATTATCTGGCCAAGCGAAATATTCTTCAACCTCGAGGAGGTCGTGAGCAGAGACGTCTGTGTAGGGCAGAAAGCCGTTCCTGGTGAGGAAGTTGGCGATCTCGCGCCCGTGAGGGGAGTGACGCTGAAACATCCACTCCATCATGATGTAACGGACGTCAAACGTTTGGAAGAACTGGGAGGCCCGACGAAACGCGTTCACCTCGTGACCTTCAATGTCCATCTTGATAAACACCTTCTTGAAGTCCACAACACGCACCAGATCATCCAACACTATCGAATCAACAATGGTGTCGTTGTCGTTACGTGTTGACTCAGATACGGGTTCTATCCTGGACCCGCCCACGTTGTCTTTGTTGACGAGGACTTTGACAGGCTCCACGTGGTCGGAGACAGCGTTGAGAAGGAGCTGGACGTTGTTCCGGAGTCCGGCGTACGTGAGAGAGGAATGGAGCAAGAACAAGTTTGAACTGATTGGATCCACGGCAACAACCTTCCTCCCCATTAGAGCAGCGTACATCGTGTACATGCCGACATTACACCCGATATCAACTACGTGCATTCTGGGAACGGATGACAGAGCCGTTGCCATGGCAGCGAGAAGATCCGGTTCCCAGGATCCAGTGTCCCGGATGTGAGATGAAATGAACTGATCTCGGCGTCTGCTGTATACACAAAGACGAGTTCCATTCTTCATAGTCTTGAATGGAACACAACTGCTCCTGCCAACGAGTCTGTGTGGATTATATACATATAGTTTACCCTTTTTGTTCCTCTTTGATATCTTCTCAGAGTAAATTTTATCCCTCCTTTTTATAAAGTTATGATAATTGAAATGCACAGGGTTGATATAGTCTTCAAATGATTCCGTGGGATGATGAAGTCGTGAGTCCTGGACGTAGTCTACGTAATCCTGTTCCTGCTTTAGACGATGCTCCCAGTATCTCGCTCCCCCAGACCCTCCCCCAATAGATAAATATGTGTACCACGCCAGCAGGAACGCTAGTAGCGCCACGATCAGTATCGCCGCACAAGACGACTTCGTCATGGACCGCCGTATCATGATCTTCACCCTTGCCACAAACACAGGAACATGGAGTTGGACAAGTATCACAGTGCCATTGATCACCCACTTCCTCGTCCAACAGTTCTCAGAACGGGCGATCCTTGATAACGTGAGGTGAATGTTTGTGTCTTGCACTGTTCGTGAAAATATCAGTTCTTTGATTCCTCAGTTGTATGTACGTCATGTACGTCATGACATGTCTCCGGAATTGACAGTGTTTGTTATCACAGGAAATGTCCTTGTTTAGATCAGTATAGAAGCTGAAACATAAAGAATATACAGTAAACTACGATTATAACGAACACGCTTATAACGAACTTACGGATATAACGAACTTACTTTTTGGTCCCGACTAGTTGCTGTAGTTATGCTGTATATATGCTTATAACGAACTACGGTTATAACGAACTAAAATTAGTAGTCCCTTTGAGTTCGTTATAACCGTACTTTACTGTATTGTATTTTTATTACCCTCCCCTAGAGCCTGTTATATGTTTTCGTGGCCCTCCGCTAATTCCCTCTGACCCACCCACCCCTATAATAAATGTCCGGTCAGTTTTACCACATGGGTCTGTCTTCGTTATAAAAGATTCTGCAAATCATGTGCGTGTCATGAAGAAACATGAGATTGTCGGATACAGAGCTCGGCATCACGCGTCCCAAAAGTGCACTCTCATGTGGTATTCCGGATACCCCCTCAACCCACACTAAAAACAGTTTCAGTTTCTAATGTCATAATAATGACGACACAAATTATTCCGTCTCTCATAAAAATCCCAGATACGGAAGGTCTTGCCGCGTTACGGGATTTTACGAGATGAACTTATCTGTGTACACCCCTTGTTCTGGTATTCGGTTTTAAATAGCCCCGCTCGTGAGACATATATAACGAATTTATCATTACGAGTTCACATAGTTATTTTCGATGAAATATTTAATGTGTCACAGCTCGATCTCTCATGTGACCGCTCTCAGTAGTACGATAACTCCCGGTGCCCACAGGGTCAGTTGTGACGTAACAAGCCAATGACGTTACATCATACATTATGACGTCATGCAATCCGTCTATGGGTATCCGGTAGCTAGATTATTTAACGAGTGATGATAATGTGTTTTATAGCTAAAATGGATAGAATTATCATTAAACCGCCCGCGTGTTATCAAAAAATCGGCGGGCCACTGTAACTTGATAATGCCCTCATATTGCTTGACGACGGGTCATTATCACGCCCGTTGTTAGGTGACGTCATAGGGTAGTGGTAGTGACGTCATATGGTTTGTTCTATGATGTTTTCATATTTATAAAAGTGGGTCAGTGACATTCGTGTCGATTGCAGTAAATGTTTCAAAACCGATATTGTTGTTTCTATTTATTTGATAACAAATTTAATCCACTTTAGCTATAATAGCGGTAACGCTCTTTTTCAGGGCATTATCATTTGCAGAAGCCCTCGGTCTTTTCAACTGCCCCCCTTCGTCAGGCAGTTAATGGAAGACCTCGGGCTTCTGCAAATGATAATGCCCTGAAAAATAGCGTTACCCTTATAGTAACAAGGAAAATATAGGGCGGTTTTATTGTCCCGATTTTTTGGCCGACAGTCATTGTATCAAAAAGGACTGGTGGTGTGAAATGAGGTACACTATGTAGTGACGTGCGTGCAGGTGTGGATGTATGTGTGTGTGTGTGTGTGTGGGGGGGGGGGGGGGGGGGGGGGGGGGGAGCTGCTTGTAGTCCGGACTCAAGCCCGTTTTATAGCCCAATGAGATACCATGCCGCAGTTTAACATGAATACCCCACTCAGACACATTAATACTGACTCCGAGAAGACAAGTTCCTGTTTTATCCCCTTTTGAGCCTTTACACAGGATGGCGACCTTTGTGCCTCCCGTGTGCGACCATAAAATTTGCCAGGTCGTCGTTGGAGACCAAAGTCGATCTGGCAAATTTTATGGTCGCACACGGGAGGCACAAACGTCGCCAACCTTAGTAAAGGCCCTATTAGCTCTATCCACTTGACCACGGAGGCGGTCTGTTCCAAGAGGCAGTGATGAGATGGCCAGAGGTTGACGTCACAAGTTTCCCTGATATATGACATATGCCTGATTGACCAATTACTGCTGAATGTTAGAGGTGTAACTTCTGTATTTAGTAAACCAACGAAAGGTAGATATGAATTTTAAGTACCAAATGTAATACATTCGAGCGACTATATTTACCAGCGTGTGCAGTGTACGTACATTACCAGAACTGGATGAAAAATACGTGTAGATGTAATATTTAAAGCGCTATTGACCAAGGGCACAGTTAAATATAGTCCCTCGCAGTCACCCGACTGTCGATTCCAATCCGGATATTAGCCACTTGATCAATTTTCAATGATGAGGTTTCTCCCTAAGAAAATGGACATTTCTTGAAAAGCGCACTTTGCAATTTTTCTCATTACTGTATGTAATATTCCTTATCGCAGGAATTTCTTGTTTTAACTTTATAAGTATTAGCCCACATGTTTCTATCTTCGTTAATTAATCATCGCGATATTTCGTGATTCTGGTGGCGGAGACTACAGAACATACTCATCTATACATGGTGCATGTATTCAATCCCTCAGACTATCCTCTGACAAATGGGAACATCCAATATGGCGGACACGGTTTCGCGAATAACGAAGGACGGAGGTAATGAACAAATGTCAGCACAACACCGTTGTTTACTAAACTATGTTTCCGTGTTTTAAAAGCATGTCCACTTTATTCACTTTCTAATACGGTACTCGAGTATCTCAACAATACCGGTCCCACTTCATATAGTCTAGTCGGATATAAAATACTGCCACCTGCAAACATTTGAGAGCAAAAGAATCCGACAACATTATTTTAGGCCTCGAGCCGTTTTGTGAAACTAATTGAAGCGCCTTCAGAGTTGCTTCCCTTTGTACAGCCGCTGGCTTTGTCTGCCTACGGCAAAATTGTAAACTGGAAGGAAATTGATCGGTTTTAACGTAATCTACTTCTTAATCCTGAGTTACCTGAATGCTGGCTTTGTCTACAATATACCCGGGCCTTCTACTGTAATACGTCACCTGTGTTTATCGGCCTGGGGCGAAATATCATTTTTAATGGTCGCAACACATTTTACTTCCGCATTGTATGATGGAATCAGGCAGGGAGACACATTTAGCCCCGATACGTTCGATACACGACTTTTATCCAACATGTAGCGATCATTTGAAGCATGGTTATATATTTTACATATTTCTTACCATAATGCAATATCTGAAATACACATGCATTATTATTATAATGTAGTAGTTTGCAAGATTGTAACGTGTGCAACACTCTACTGCGGATACAAATGAATGCAAATCTATCATGATCTCTGTACATACCTTGGCGGTTGACGTGGAGGCCCCACCCCCTGCTAGACCCCCTCCTGATCCCCTGGGACGAAGCTTGCCCCCCATTGTGTCTCCTGCATATAACAGTACATACGGTAGCCGAGTGACCTTGACATATGGCATTCAGTCCGATTAGCGTCCCCAGCCCAGGTGCGTCACCTGATAGCGACAGCTCACACAGATAGCTATTATGCACCTGTCTGTGTGCTATTTAAAACTGACATATTGTTTTAGGAACTGTTGACATTTGCTCTACTTTATTCATGTTGAAAAATGATTTCTGAAACACATCAATTAAAAATAATGTAATTAAAATGAAGACGAGGGTTGGGGGGGGGGGGGGTATATTTATTGTTTTAGGGGACTGGATGAAACTGATAATCTTTCTGGTCTAGTAAAGCGTCCGGAGAGCGGAAAGTTGGGTATTCATGTTAAACTGCAACATGGTATCTCAGTTGGCTAGCAATATAAAACCGGCATTAGTCCGGACTAGTACAAGTACTACACGTCGCTATAAAAGTGCAATAATCCTGGACGCGACGTTAAACCCGATTTCACCTCACCTCACCTGAAGTGTTATTCAGTCATAAACTCAGAATATCAATATATATCAGAATATCTTGTTGAATTTAGCTTTTATTGTTTTCCTTCTTGTCGAGTTTTTTTATGATAAATTAGTAAGATTGGTAAATAAGAACCTTGAAACCTCGGTAGACCAGACTCCGCTAATCCTGAAACCCGTGTACCGGGGATTACTGCTAGGAACACCCGCACGTCTATAAGTTGAACTAATCCGTACCCATAATTCGATAATCCAGTTGTTAATCCGTAAGATTTCAATTGCACTGCTACCGTCCGGGTTAACGAGGTTTCGTTATCCAACAAAAGAGTAACATTTTTATCATGTGAAAGTTATTACCATTTTTGGTTATTCGACTATTTATAAAAGGGTGCATTAAATACGAAGAATGCACAATGTTATTAGAGACCCTTTACCCTCTTCACTCGGCCTTGGGGGGGGGGGGGGGGGGGGGGGGTACCTTTGCCTGGCAGTTCAGGTGGGGAAATGATAATAATAGCACTCTCAACAGTACTTGCCAATTATTTAAATGGAAACAGTCCCCGTTTACAATATAAAATTGAAAAATGCAAATTGAAAAAATCCCAGATGTATGTTTTCCCAGTCTCTGGTGCATTCTGAATGCATTAAAACCTATTTTTGGAGCTCATTTCAAATAACAAGTTTGTCGTTAAATTTAGTTGTTTTGCTTGTATAAAGGTAATGTGAGATGTCATTATTTTATAATAAATTGGAGACCGCTGCAGTCAAGCAGCTTATATGAACAACGGATGCTAAAATATTGCAATAAAGCATGTCCCTTTGCCATCATTGATTTCAAGGACGATATTCTTAAGTAGCGGTGTCATCTGTCAGAGAGTCTCGGCTTTTGTATTGACTCTATTCATCCCCGCCATCTGTGGCTTTTCCAGTTACTTTTATTAACACAAGACATTCACTAGCTCGTGACACACAGTAATATTTCAACATTAATGGACTGTGGTGCACGAGTCGTTCGTAAAGTCAAAGGATATTTTTTTCTCTGGATATTTAGCGAGATCGTACTTATCATATTACCTGATGGCGCGATCAGTTAACCATGGAGAAGTTTAAAGATGTGTCTTATAAACGGCTAGAAGAAGGAAAAGGCAAAGACAACACCGATATGCGTCGCTTGAAAAGGGTGGTGGTGATACTGGTGATAGCGTGTGTAGCGTTGCTGTGTTTCGTCGCGTATTCGGTTGGAATAAAGAGTTCCCCGGACGTGGAACAGACAGAACAGTCTGGCCAGAACGTTGGGGCAGTTGGAGTGGTACAACAAGCGGGAGAGAGCATAGAAAAGGATGATCAACAGAAGGATGGGCTACAGAAGAATGTACAACAGAAGGAAGGGCTACAGAAGGATGTACAACAGAAGGATGGGCTACAGAAGGATGTACAACAGAAGGATGGGCTACAGAAGGATGCACAACAGAAGGATGGGCTACAGAAGGATGTCGAGGAACCCGGAGAGCTACACGAACCCCAACTCGTTCCTTCAGATTCAAACGGGTCAAATGAATGGCATGAGCATGATTCCTCGCGGAAAAATACCAATGCCCAAACTGCCACTCCTAACAAGTCTCAGAATCTGACAGCTGCTAACGCTCAGGCCGATCAGAATAAGACACGGGAACAGTATATTAAAGAAATTAGAGAAGATTTACTCAAACTTAAACATCAAATGAAGGCTAAGGGCAAACAAGCGGAAGTAACCTCACCGAAACCGAGACCTACACGTCCTTCTACGACTAGTTATCACATGCCTAAGAATGTTTCATTGCCAGCAGATCCGCATCCAGAGATAACTAAACAACAACTCCACGCTCGACTCAACATGGTCTTGTCTGACATCAGGAACGACATTGGCGATAGAAGGTCTTTGCAGGCGACACTGCAGTTCCTTCAGCGAGCTATCCAGGTCATTGAGCAGAAGGAGCTTGCTGCGGATCTTGCGGCGGAGGGACAGACCCTTCCCACACTACCCCCAGGCTGGAAGGAATTTACGACCCCCACCTTCAAGAACCCCCGTGTTAAAGACATGATGAAGACACTGAGGACGACACCGCATAAGCTCGACAAGTATGACCTTGCCAAACAATACGAATGGGACTTCCGGTGTGTGTTCCTCAAGGTGCCAATGAAGCATGAGCCAATGATTTGCATCAATGATCCCGAGTTTGATAAACCGATGTCCAGTTCCCTGGCCGAAACTGGACAATATGAAGCTAAAATGGTTGGGTTCTTCCTTGAGATTCTTCACTCGGATATTACGTTACAAGCAGTAGACTTAGGAGCCAACATTGGGTTGTATAGTTTAGCAGCGGCCGCCATCGCCAGACCCGTGTTGGCAGTAGAACCAAACGTACAAAATATTCGCCCTTTCCACAAATCAGTCAAAATGAACGGGTTCCAAAGGCTGGTGACGCTCGTCACAAACTGTCTGTCCGACCGATACAAACTCGTGCAGCTAGTCTACAACAAGATGGGTAACCTTGGTGATACGAAAACTGTCGAGGTTGTAGAATCGATGCTGAAGAATGATATCGTTTCCGCTGAGGATGTCGTGCGGACCGTCGAACTGGATGACCTTATTCCGGCCATGACCTTCAAGAGAGCAATTGTCAAGGTCGATGTCCAAGGTGACGAAGTCCGGATGTTCCGTGGTGCGCAGATGTTCTTCAAAAATATTCACGTGCGTTACGTACTAATGCATTGGTTTTACATGGACGATCCAGTTGGATATAACTATATTTACGGATTTCTGAAAGACAGAAACTATTTGCCTAACTACTCCCCACACGGGAGGGTCATCAGTGAGGAGGCCATGAAGGAAGACCAATCAATCGTTGTATGGATCAAATTCTGACCAGCCCTCTCGTTCAATGGATGTGTCACTGTGTGAAATGTTGAATAAATGTGTTCCTGTTGCAAGAATTCGTCAATTCATGGCATGAAGGATCCCAAGCTGGAGGGATATTGACAGACAGTTCACGGAATGGTGTATTTTGCAGAAGAATTCGTCACCACTCGGCCCTTTCAGTAACTGCAGGGAACATCGATCAATGTTATGATTGTTATGATTTTGCGAAAAAACGGCTATCTAATGTCATTTAGCGTATCGATAAAAGTCCTTTGGACAATTACCCACTCCTTAATATTTTGTGTTTATAAACGCAGATTGTATCTTTATAGCAAAGTGACAGTCACAAGGGTTTCACCACTTTACATACAGAGTGGTAAATGGAAATTGTGTTCTATTTAAAGAATACTCACGTAACTTATCTATAGGTTCATGTGGCACAACAATTTGACTATTGTTTTCGCTATGTTCGTTTGCGCTAGGGGCGGTCGGGTAGCCCAGTGGTTAAAGCGTTCGCTCGTCACGCCGAAGACCAGGGTGCGATTCCCGACATGGGTACATTGTGTGAATCCCATTTCTGGTGTCCCCCGCCGTGATATTGCTGGAATATTGCTAAAAGCGGCGTAAAACCATACTCACTCACTCACTCTCTCACTCGTTTGCGCGAAGACAGAACCAAGTTGACAAAATGGCCGCGAGAGGATATCGAGTCACCATTCGGCATTAACTAAACTGAAACAACTTTGGAATAAGTGAGTGAGTGAGTATGGTTTTTTTGCCACTTTTAGCGATATTCAATGTCACGGAGGGACACAAGACATTGTTTTCGCATGCTTGTACTCCTGGAAGGAATCATACCGAGGAAATCGGCTAGGTGAGCGAACGCTGACCACAAGGCCAGCCCACCACCGCTTGTAGAATACGTTTCTTAGTCTTAAGCTAATCCTCACCAAAACAATTCCACCTTTAGTGATTATCGGGGTTAGGTCTGTCAAGACAAGGTGAAGTGAGGTGAAATGGGGTTTAATGTTGCGTCCAAGATTACTGCACTTATATAGCGACGTGTGTGCACGTGTTTGTGTGGCTGCTTGTACTTATCCGGTCTGATGCCGATTTATAGTGCTAGCCCACTGACATACCATGCCGCTGTTTAACATGAAAACCCCACTCAGACACAGTATACTGATTTTGTAGCCCCTTTCCTTGTAGCCCCTTTATGAGAACGCCAAGCCGTATGGCGGTATTATAAGTTGGAGATATTGTATAACTCGGGTACCGAGTAAAATAGTAAAAGCTGTACGGTGGCATTATAAGTTGGAGGTAGTGTATAACTCCGGTACCGAGTAATATAGTAAAAGCTGTATGGCGGTATTATAAGTTGGAGGTTTGTATAACTCTGGTACCGAGTAATATAGTAAAAGCTGTATGTAGGAATTATAAGTTGGAGGTATTGTATAACTCCGGTACCGAGTAATATAGTAAAAGCTGTACGGTGGTATTATCAGTTGGAGGTATTGTATAACTCCGGTACCGAGTACTATAGTAAAAGCTTTACGGCGGTAATATCAGTTGGAGGTATTGTATAACTCCGGTACCGAGGAATATAGTAGTTGAGGTGAAATTGGGTTTAACGTCGCGTCCAAGATTATTGCACTTATATAGCGACGTGCATGCACGTGTATGTGTGTGTGTGTGTGTGTATGTGTGTGTGGCTGCTTGTACTAGTCCGGACTGATGCCGATTTATAGTGCTAGCACACTGAGATACCATGCCGCAGTTTAACATGAATACCCCCACTCAGACACAGTATACTGATTTAATAGCCCCTTTCCTTGTAGCCCCTTTATGAGAACGCCAGGCAGGGTAACAACAAGTACCACCTTTTAACCTCATTTGGTCTGACGCGTCAAGACAAGGATGTTTTTCTCATCCACCTCTTATCCTTCACTTGACCTGACAATGATTTTCTCCCATTATTGCAATAACCATATCATTTGCAAACTAGATTCGCGTATTGGGGGAGGAGGTGCTCTGTATTTTCTTTTTGTTGTTAAAAGGATTATTTAACTACGAAAGCGTAATGGTGGCACTTTAGTAGCATTTGTAAGTTTGTTTTTTTAATTGAAATTTTGAGTATTTATCTTGTTACTTCAATTATTTTCAAACAACAAAATTCCTGGAGGGTTTTATCAGAACTTCGATTATTTTCTCGTCACTTCTATTACTTACGAATTCGAAATTTCGAAAAATAAACCGAATTAAGAACATTAATCGAACTAAATAATTTGTCTAAATAAGTACAGCTGAAATTACTAGAATGTAATAAAAGACGAGAAAATAATTGAAATTACGGTGAAAATCGAAATTTCGATGGAATATTTTTTTTAAACATTCGAAATAACGAGAAATGAAGTATGTTGCTATCAATTAGTCTTTCCATTGGGCTTTCATACATATTGGTGTTCTATAGTATGTGCTCCTTGCAGAGTACTCGCCGTGAAACTGTGATAGATTCTTCGCTGAGACGAAAGTGGGCAGGACCACACCCCCTCATCTGTTCATCCATCATCATCAGCTGTTTTATAGTGGTATATATCCATATCTTCTTGATTTACTTCTCCCTTTATACGTATACTAGTACTTTAGTATGCTTTATACACCATCTATCGACTGTCATACAATTGTAATATTTATTCTTATAAATTGTTTAATGAGAGTATTTGTAAAGACTCCTGATCTAAAGTAAGACAAAAGAATGTTAAAATTTTGGTGAGGACGCATCTAGGATTCGAACCCTTCATCATAGGATCATCGAATCGTGACACGTCCAAATGACGCAACTCTGGGCCATCGTCAGAACAAATATCGCGGTATATTCGTACATCATCAAGTATCTCCTGGGATAGTCCAAGCCATCCGTTCATGGTACAGCATGAGTAAATATTATAATACATCTCATGACGATGACGTAATGAGGTTTGTTTACAGAAGTTTGTGTAATTCTTTGTAAAAACCATTCGCTTATCACACATGAACATTGGTCAGTAAATACAATATGTACTTCCTATATGGAAGTACTTACATATTTTATTAACTGACTAATAAAGCGTTTCCGTGGCGTATCATCTCACTCGCTTACTGTATTACGTACCAGTGGAGACCCGGGTTATAAAAGGTCTTCATCAACCCATGCTTACCGAAAAAAAGCGCCTGTGCTTGTCTTAAATGGCGACTGACGGGATCGGGTAGTCAGGTTCGCTGACTGTGTTGATATTGATATTGATATTGCTGTCTGTGGCGTTAAACAACAAACGAACAAAACTGAATTACTAAACCTGAAGTCAGTGCTTCATTGTCAACCTTCTGTTAACACCATGGATCACGGAACAAAGGACAGCATCCACCACTTCCGAGGGTATGCTGTAGTGTTTTTAAGAAGAAATGTAGGAATATTTCTTGTATATTGATTCAAAGACAATATTAGATTTAAACACACAAACAATCCTCTTTCTTTTCTGTATACGGAAGCTCTTGCATACATTGCCAGGAAACTTTCGCTACGAATTGATGCAACATCGCCATCACAGACTGCCTGGCCAGAGAAAGTAGGCACCCATGTTTGATGGTGGCTAAACAAGGAGCAAGGGAGAAATGGTTATTCGATGGTGATGTATTTGACGAGGTGTCATAGGCGACATGACAAGCATCTTTTCATTAATAATAATCATGATCATCATCATCTCATCAATGAGTATCTCACAACTGGTGACGTGCACATGACGTCTCAAGGAACATGGGGTCGCAATTTCACAGTACACGATGTTGAGCAGAGTGAAACAGGTATTGTCAAGTGTATACTTTATTTTGCCCAGCAGGTACGTTGTACGGCCCGCCTATATAACCAGAGAAGGATATAATGTTCGATATTTTGTCGATTTCCTTTTATATCTCCATAGTATTCGCCCAAGTCGGGTTATGTTACCAAAACATTATCCTTGACGTATGCTGCAAGTGTTTGAATAGCAAATGGGAAATTGTCAGCATCAGTCGATGCCATCCTGCCGCAGCTGTGCGCGACTCGCTTCAGCCTAAACAGCTGTGTGGAGATATAATTCCTTTCTCTTCTATAATAGTCATTCCAGAATAATTGACCCGTGTATGCCGACGTGACACGGACTTTGACAATTGACTTGCGATGCATTATCCGTATTTCATCCCATGAAGATGCAATTTAGCTGTATCTCTAGGCATCCGAGGATTGATCCGTACGTCTGTCACAGATGTTGTTTTAAGACACAATTTCACGATTTTAGAGATAACAGATATACAGTATTTCAAGTCATTAATATAATATTCGTTTTTCAAAACATCAAATATGCGAACACATGTTATATTTGGGATAACACTTTCTAGGTAAAGTACCAAGGGTTACACAAAGTACGTGATCTAGACTACCAGTTGTCGGACTTTCATTTTGTGGAAGCCTCGGTGGCTGAGTGGGTTAGATTGCTGACTTTGTGTGCTGGCGATTAGGTGCCTCACTCTGGCAGTGTGGGTTCGAATCCCGGACGGGACTCAACCCAAACAAGTACGGGAATCTGTACCTAACTCAGAAAGTGTTATCCCCAAAATAACATGTGTTACATTTGACCACTTTCTTAAGGCATTGTGTGTTCATCAAATATGCTATCTGCATTCAAGATATCGTATACACTTGCCGGAAGTCTGGACATCAGCTGTATATCCAGGTCTATGCTCAAACTTTCAACATGAACCACAAATACCTGGTAACACGGTGTAAGCTGTACGGAGGTATTATCAGTTGTATTATCAGTTGGAGGTAGTGTACCGAGTAATATAGTAAAAGCTGTACGGTGGTATTATAAGTTGGAGGTAGTGTAAAACTCCGGTACCGAGTAATATAGTAAAAGCTGTACGGTGGTATTATAAGTTGGAGGTAGTGTATAACTCCGGTACCGAGTAATGTAGTAAAAGCTGTATGGCAGTATTATAAGTTGGAGGTAGTGTATAACTCCGGTACCGAGTAATGTAGTAAAAGCTGTATGGCGGTATTATAAGTTGGAGGTATTGTATAACTCCGGTACCGAGTAATGTAGTAAAAGCTGTATGGCGGTATTATAAGTTGGAAGTAGTGTATAACTCCGGTACCGAGTAATATAGTAAAAGCTGTATGGCGGTATTATAAGTTGGAGGTAGTGTATAACTCCGGTACCAAGTAATATAGTAAAATCTGTATGGCGGTATTATAAGTTGGAGGTATTGTATAACTCTGGTACCGAGTAATATAGTTAAAGCAGTACGGCGGTATTATAAGGCCTCAAGCCGCTTGGTAATATACAAGACAAAATGGGCTAATAGAAAATGAATTATAATTTTATTATAAAAATGAAAAGGTTAAAGAGTAAATATTCCAGAAAAATAATTTCAAACTCTGGAAACTTTTCGATGGCAGAATGAACAAATGTTATTTTTAAATGTAACGTTAAACATACTGGCGCTTGAACTGAATAAACACAAGACTTACAACGATTATAGTTGGAACACACTGGCTACAATCACGGTGACCTAGTCGAAAATAAATGTCTGTTCAAGTTGTGGTGCCGTTGTCGAATCAAGGAAACTGTATAGTTGTTGATGATGATGGATGCAAACGATGCACTTTACAGTATTGCATCTGGCTGCTACACACAGTGTATGGTAGTCATCGCGATGCACGACGATGGTGAATACAGAGAAGTCTTCATGATAAGCATAAGAAATACAAATCGTCACAAGTCTTCATGATGACCATAAGAAACACGGATCGTCACAAGTCTTCATGATGACGATATGAAATACAGACTGTCACAAGTCTTCGTGATGACGATATGAAATACAGATTGTCGTCACCATGTCGATAATGAACACATCATGTTTCATGCCATTGTATTGACACAGTGTAAATGCTATGTCCATCACATTCAGAACCTTAAGTTTAGTGTGCGGTGCCTATGCCACTGAATATATGCAGCTGACAATGCCGTCATTCAATTCCTGTCCACAATTACACGTGTCGATCATTGAAGCTATGACCCTTCCTGGTAGTCTTATAGGCCGTTCCCGGAAACCAGTCGATGAGACAGTTATATACCTATACACTGGTGCATGTGAGGGTGGATGTCATGTTTGTGATTGAGGGTAGTCATGTCTATGAGGGTGGGTGTCACGTCCATGGCAAGTGGGTAGTCGCATCCGTGACTTTGGGTATCACGTCAATGGTCGGTGGGCAACCACGTCTGTGATGCTAGGTGTCTGTGATGGTGGCAGTCACGCTCGTGACAGGGTGTTCGGTAAGCAGGTGTGAACGCGTCACTTGCTGAAAGTTATGTTGGGTCTGTTGCACAGCAGATAGAGGCCTTGTTCCATCAGAAACGAAGCCCATGTTAGAACCCTGAAAACAGTTTTAAAATCTGTTACTATGGAGACATATCTGCACAAGCATTTATTTGCAATGGGTAAAAGGTAAGCGACACCGTACCCATGGAAAACTGACTGTTTAATTCTCCCCCACGCCAAAGAGAGTGTGCACACAGCACTGACCACTTCCGTGGTCTAGTAGAAGAGCGTCTGACCGCAGAGCGGAAGGTCGGTAGTTTGATCACCACCTGCGTCATACCAAAAGACGTTAACAGATGGTACTTGTTGTTACCCTGCCTGGCTCTCGGCTTTCAGGGATGTGACAAGGACTGGTCGGCTTGGTATCTCAGTGGGCTAGCACAATAAAATCGGCGGTAGTCAGTTCTAGTACAAGCAGCCCCACGCATAAACACACACATGCACATGCGTCGCTACATAAGTACAATAATATTCATAAACCCATTTCAGCTCACATCACACACGCACTGTCCACACACCATTGCCATTTTGCCCAAACGATCCACAAAACTACATCGCCTTCTACGACAAGCAGAGACAACGGAAACCATCGCGACAAGGTAGAACCTACATGGGGAAAGAACAATAAACGATATTACTAAATAGATCACTGGTAAATAAAATAAATAATAATGCCCTGAACACCTTCGGACGGAGCGACCGTGACCCACGACGGTAACGTTACCCTTACAACTAGCAACAACCAGGCGTTGTAATCGTCAAACCTCAGTCGTTCTCTGCTGAAGTTATTGTACCAGCATGCCGTACAATGTATAGTCTGAGCTTTGAGGATTAGCCGTCACTGGGGTCAGTTCGGTTGCCAGGGTAACGTCACCACAATAACGCGACTCACTCTCGGTCGCAGCTGTCCACATGCATGATAATCTTCGTGTTGAGGTTGACGTGCAACTCCAGACTCGAACTCTCACGTCCAAGACGGCGTCTGAAACAACGGAAGTTCCCGGTATAACCCTGACCTTGACCACAGAGAAAACATGTTGTATTAAACTGCCGGACAAAATAAACTAAACACTAAAAAAGATTTAACAAGAAAATTACAAACGTTACTACATTGCTAGAGAAAGAGTCCCTGTGAACTGGAACAACATCGCTATCATAAACTGCTTGTGATAAGAAAATACACACTTGAAAAATCGATTTGATAAAAAAATTACAAACTTTATCAAAACGTTACTAGGCTGAAAACACTGGAAATTTAAAGGTCCAAAATATAGTTATCATACACGTATCAAATACATCACCATCGAAAAAAACATTTCTTGTTTGTTTCATTTGAAGCCACCATCAAACATGGGTGTATACCTCTTTTGTTCGGCACTTTCGTCGGGCTTCAATACGCTGTAAACCATCCGAAACACAAAGCTAAACACGTCTTTTTTCATAACCTAAACGACTAGATTTTGGGGCTGCTGTTGGTATGAAGTGAGATCCTGTACCCTTTCGTTTGGTTTGATCCTAAACATCTTCAGATGAAACACGCATAGCGTTTGTTCCGTTTCGGGTATAAACACACTCATAAACACATTTAGGGCTTAACAGGATTTGTGGTAGTACATGATGACACTTTTTCTGTATATGTTTTATTCATATTTTTTATAATCGCTTCATCAGCGCCAAATCGTTTGGTGCGGTGGTGTAGTCCAACCGTTTAAGCGTTCTCTCGTCAAAAGTCTTGTTTGTCTGTTGTTCAGCAATATTCAAGCTATATGACGACGGTCTGAAAATAATTAAGTCCGGACCAGGCAATCCAGTGATTGACATCATGACCATCGATCTTCGCAACTGGGATACGATTACATGTATTAACCAAGTCAGGGAGCCTGACCACCCGATCCCGTCAGTCGCCTCTTACTCATTTTGTGAGAATAGATGGTATTGCCCTAACCACAACGTTAAACGTTCGTTCGTTCGATTGTTGTTTAACGCCGCACTCAGCAATATTCCAGCTATGTGACGGCGGTCTGTAAATAATAGAGTCTGGACCAGACAATTCTGTGATTGGCATCATGAGCATCGATCCGAGCAATTGGGATACGATGACATGCATCAACCAATTCAGGGAGCCTGACCTGCCGATCCCGTTAGTCGCCTCTTACGACAAGAAAAGTCGTCATTTACGACAAGCATGGGTTACTGAAGGCCTATTCTACCCCGGATTTATTCACGGGTCGTTAACACAAAGTACAAGGTTCGAATCCCTTCATGGGTACAATGTACGAAGCCAATAAAACCCCGTTTATGGTGTCCCTCGCTGTGATAGTGCGGGGATATTGCTGAAACGGTTACAACCACTCACTCACTCACTTACTCACTCTCATCATGGCCTGTTCTGTCATAACCATATCAACATATTTCTGACTGGCATTTTTAACGCGAGGCATGGACATTATCAACTTCTACGGCAGTATAGCAGTAAATCCTCACTCCATCTCCTCATCCTCGAAGTGTCTGTACCAGTGTCTGAAGGCTTCTCGCGCCTCCAACTCTGTGACGGTTCCATCTCCGTTCTTGTCCAGCGTCCGGAACAGCGCCTTGGCCACCAGCAGCTCCTTCTCTGTCAGCAACTCCACCAACTCCCTCTGTAAACCAGTTTTGATGCACCATCAATTTGAAATTACTCGATTTTGATTGGTGAATCAAAGGTTACATATTTCATGAAGCAGCTGTTTTGACGACCGCATAGCCACGGAAGCTAATATCTATAGAAAAGTACTTCTTTCTCGGCTACTGACGGATTACATTTTTAAATAATGATATGCACAATTATAGGTTCCACTTAGGACTTATGTGTAAAAAACAATGACCTAAAATAGTACGATACCGTAAGCGGCGTTTGAGTATTAGGCAGCAACTGGGCTGAATGCTCGATGACTACTTTTAAACAGAGATCTGTCCCCCAAGAAAACCTCAAATTTGGCTAAGCCCTTCAAAATAAATATATGCGTGAATCAAACCCTCATGTGTGTTATCTGATGGATATCATTTATGATGGCCATCGCACGTGTACGAAATGCCAAGACACCGTGTACGTCATTGCAGTGCATTGCGTCATACGGGTCAGCGACACTCACGCCAGTGACGTACCCTATCTCTCTTAGCCAGCAGTTTCTTGGCCTCGTGGTTGAGGAATTCCCACCAGTCCAGCTTGCCGTCACTGTCCACGTCAGCCACTTGGAAGTCCACCTTCATCAGCCGTTTGTCGAACTCCGTCACCTGACGTTCTTCACGCAGCTCCAGCAGGTGACCTTTACCTTCGCTGAACTCATCCCACGACACAGAGCCATCTGTCGGAGAAGTGAGACACGCAATGAGAGAGTTGGATTGTATCTGCGATTGGTGAGATGAAGGGATCGAACCACCGACCTTCGCTCTCCGGGCAGACGCTCTTACCGCTATACTACGGAGGCAGTGCGTTATGTTCATATCACGGCGTGACTGTTTAATTTTGGAGGAAAGCATTTAAATTATAAGTCACAGGTCGTAGACATTTACTTCTTTGGTTTAAGCAGCGAGGATAAATAAATACTGATAAACGTAGGATCAGGCCGAACAATCCTAAGATGAGCTGATCCATGATTAAGGGCGGCCCCTCAGACGATTGTTGGAGGGAGAGAGGGAGAGATAGAGAGGAACTGAGATTGTGTGTGTGTGCGCGCGTATGTGCGTGAGTTCGTGCGTGCGTGCGTGTGTGTGTGTGTGTGTGTGCGCGCGTGCGTGTGAATGAGTGTGTCACATAAAACAAGACACCCGTGCTCGTGGGTTTCACCAAAGTGATACACATGTGAGATGTGGATAATTTTATGCTTTCCTCCAACATCGAGCTGACACGCCGTCACTGGGGGTGCGTGGGTGGGTGCCACTGGGTGGATAGAACGACAGAAAGCTATTTCTCCACCGTCCCACTTTTAAAGGAGTTTGGCCTACAGCAGTCATGTCCCTTCACTTAGAACAGGTATATAGAGCTGAGAGACGAGGCCCTGGTCATGGGTTGCCTGTAGAAACCTGCTACATCAGCCAGTTATTACCCTTACCCTTACACGTGGCTATCCTTAACGCTTCGGCCGTCGTAAGTCTGTGCAGAGGCCACATTCGGCACATGGTTTCTGGTGAATGTCCGTTAAAAACCGTCGTCTTTGTGCTATGGTCGCTTTGTGGAACGGAGCTCTTTCCGCCGTCCTTAGCAATTTGTTGTACAGATCGAGCACCATGTCCGTTGAAGAGGGGTCTTTCGAAACATAGCAAAATCCATAGAATTGAAACTTGTCGACTTACCTTTGTCTTTGTCGTAGTTCTCAAAAGATTCTATCAACTCCTCCAGTTCGACATCATTCAGCAACAAACTGAGGTTACTCTGAAACAAAAACGATCAATATTGCACCACCGGCGTCTGTATTTGAAGCCTTACGTCAATTAACATTGCTTCTAAATACACTATAAGCGCAATAACACTTTCTCTACGACTAACCGCCTCCGAGGTCAAGTGGATAGAACGTCTGCCTGGAGAGCAGAAGGTCGGTGGTTCGATCCCAAAAAGACGTTATAAGAATGTATTTGTTGTTACCCTGCCTGGCGCTCGGCATTTATGGTATACAACAAGAGCTGGTCGGGTGGCTCGGAGTCTACTGTGTCAGTCGGGTATTCATGTTAAAAGTGCAGGGTAGTATCTCAGTGGGCTAGCACTATTAAACCGTTATTAGTCTAGACTGGTACAAGCAGTCACACACATACACACTCGTGCATGCCCGTTGCTTTATAACTGCAATGATTTTGAACGCGACGTCAAACCCCATTTCACCTCACCCCTCTACGACTATAACCAGTGAATATGCGACTGTTCCAATTGTGTCCCTTTAAATTTATAACCGCAGGTAAAGCTCGATTTCTACGTTTCTTTATAGGAGTGTATCGATTAGTTGGGCTATCGATGCATCGCAATTGTTAATCTCACGATGGCTAGCTATAGCATCGATTCCACGATACATAATCTATATATACAAAACGTACCATAACCGTTACATTTTCAATTCGTTTTTATCCAAAATACACCTCGCTTGAAGAGATATGGGTATCCGTTCAGAACGTGTTTGTAATTCCTCGAGGTACCTCCCTTACTCCCAAACAACTGATGCCAGGACGTTTTGATGTCAACCTGTCAGCACAGAACTCAACATCACTCAGAAACGCATCAAACTCAACCTGTATCGCAATGGGTTTTCAAAACTATGAGAATATTTTTGCAGCAGCGAATATGATAAATAATAGAGAGCGCGTCTTATCCACATAGTCCCTGCTCAAGGGCGCTCAGTCACGGGCTCTTTTGAGTGAGTGAGTGAGTTTGGTTTTACGCCGCTTTTAGCAATATTCCAGCAATATCACGGCGGGGGACACCAGAAAAGGGCTTCACACATTGTACCCATGTCGGGATTCGAACCCGGGTCTTCGGCGTGACGAGCGAACGCTTTAACCACTAGGCTACCCGACCGCCCCACATGCTCTTTTGAAGTGGATGGTCTTGAAGGTGGACAAAGAGCGGTAGACAACACCCTTGCATCTCCTGACATCCACTGGACGCTCATGTCTAACAACATCCCCAGCAAACCAGAGAATCTACGCAAACCCTATTACCTTAGGCTTTGACACGATTACCTTGAAGCACGAAATCTGCTTGTTGGAGGTTAAAGACACATCATGTTATCACAAAAGCAACTTAATTACAGTGATACTGTTTTAGTAATAGTATCACAATGGTGTTTTTAACAGTCACAGTAGTATTAAAACAAGTTAATTTGTCCCAAATAGTAATTCCCGGAGTGAGTGAGTGTGTATCACACCCAGACACCAAGAATGATCATTTGTGGAATCAAACCGGGTTTTATCGTGACGGCGAGCGCTTGAACTACTAGCCCATCCCATCGCGTTCCGTGAAGATTCCGGATTAGAATTGATCTTCAGCAACCCATGCTTTTCGTAATAGGCGACTAACGGGATCGGGTGGTCAGGCTCGCTGACTTGGTTAATGCATGTCATTATATCTCAATTGCGTAGATCGATGCTCATGATGTCAATCACTTGATTGTCTGGTCAAGGCTCGATTATTTACAGACCGCTGTCATATAGCTGGAACATTGCTGAGTGCAGCGTTAAACAAAGAACAAAACAAAAAGAGACTCACGCAGATGTAGCAGCTCCAGCCTATATTTGTCCTTGACCTCGCGCTGAGGAGGGCGTCCACCTTGCGGCACTCCCCACACTGTTCCAGACACTCCTGGTGGAAGATCCGCGTACATACTCGGCACGGGTGGGCGTCGTCATCGGCAGCTTTCCGGCACAGCCAACACTTGGGGTCAGAATGGTACTGAAGGGCAGTGAATCAGACTGAAAAAGTGCTTGAATCATATTGAAATACAGACTGAGTGTATAGCCGAAATTGGGCCAAAATAATGGTGACATACATCAGCGAGCCTGACAATCCGATCCTGTTAGACGCCTCTTACGACAAGCATGGGTAGCTGAAGGCCTATTCTTACCCGAATCATTAGAGGTTCTGAAAACAGTATAGGACACACAGATACTGCCTTGGAAAACTTAACTAGTAATGTGGAAGGTGGGCCGTTGGGGTTTGTCTTATGACTGTAACATACCCTGCAGACACCACCCTTCCCTCCACCCCCCAGCCCCCATTTCAGTCGGTTTTTTCACACACACACCCACACAATACCTGTAACACCTTCTTCGTTCTCATTCCCTACGATAAATTTATAATCCGTAAAAAAATGTTTAAGTGAATAAAACCCGTGAAGATCCTGGTAGAGAATAGGTCTTCTATGCTTGTCTATGCTTGTCGTAAAAGGCGACCAACGGGATCGGGTGGTTAGACTTGTTGACTTGTTTAATGCATGTCATCGTATCCCAACTACGTGGATCGATGCTCATGATGGCAATCACTGGATTGTCTGGTCCAGACTCGATTATTTACAGACCGCCGTCATATAGCTGGAATGTTGCTGAGTGTGGCGTTAACCAACAAACAAATCAAATGAATAATACATTATTAATTATTTTTTTAAATAGAACTGTGTCATTTCTTCACCCGTTCCTGACCGCCTCCGTGGTCTAGTGGTAGAGCGTCCGCCCGGAGAGCGGAAGGTCCGGGGTTCGATCCCTGGCCGCGTCATACCAAAAGATGTTGAAAGATGGTACTTGTTGTTACCCTGTCTGGCGCTCGGCATTAAGGGGCTAAAACAAGGACTGGTCGGCTCGGAGTCAGTATACTGTGTCTGAGTGGGGTATTCATGTTAAACTGCGGCATGGTATCTCAGTGAGCTAGCACTATAAATCGGCATCAGTCCGGACTAGTACAAGCAGCCACACAAACACACACACGTACATGCACGTCGCTATATAAGTGCAATAATCTTGGACGCGACGTTAAACCCCATTTCACCTCACCTCACCTTACCCCTTCCCACGTCTCGTCGTGAGTTTTGGAAACTATACACTCTGCAGTATGAAAGGCTAGGAAACATACTTCCGGTGGCATCACCGATGCTCATCACGTTCTGTTCAGGTTGTATAGAGGAATTAAGCAAGTCGTCCCAGCATTATGCAGAGGGACGTTTTCTGACCATTGATCGACATCGGTATTTTCAAGCGGCACTCAGTGGCAACAGATCTGGAGGCATGGTCTCATTATGCGTGGCCTCGGTCGTACTATTCGGCGTGGGCTTCCGTGACGAAAGCAATCCCAGTGCAGGTACAACTGGTGCGCTCCATGTATAGCTCAAGAACTAATCCGTTCTCAAGCCAAAACGTCATTGATTGCCCATAAGCGATATCGAATGTTATCAAAGCTATTTAAATGGATTTGGTTGAAGATGCCTGCACCTTCAATGTGATGATTGTTAACAGGTGACCAACAATATACGCATGAATGACTGGCAAGCTAAGCCAAAACAAATGAAAACACGGGAATCTGAAGTTGTGAATAAATATACAAGGTCAGCGCCAGATAATAATCATTCTAGATTATCTGCGAAACTTATTCTATGGGGCACAATATACAAGATAGCGGTGAAAGTTTATGAATGGATCATATAAAAAATACAGTAAATGATTTGGGGTGGGGAGTGGGATGGACACTCTCGCAGGAGGTCGCACATTAATCCCTTGCATTCAGTCATGACTTCATGGGAGGAAGAAAAACAGATGGGAACCATTTCGCAAAGTGGGAAGTTCAGGTGTTTATTTATCCGCTGTTGAAATCAGCTCTTTACGCACCTGCTGTACACGTCGGTGCGTTACAGATCAACTATTCATGTCAGTGCGTTACAGATCAACTAGTCATGTCAGTGCGTTACAGATCAACTATTCATGTCAGTGCGTTACAGATCAACTATTCATGTCAGTGCGTTACAGATCAACTATTCATGTCAGTGCTTTACAGATCAACCATACATGTCAGTGCGTTACAGATCAACTAGTCATGTCAGTGCGTTACAGATCAACTATTCATGTCAGTGCGTTACAGATCAACTATTCATGTCAGTGCGTTACAGATCAACTATTCATGTCAGTGCGTTACAGATCAACTATTCATGTCAGTGCATTACAGATCAACTATTCATGTCAGTGCGTTACAGATCAACTATTCATGTCAGTGCGTTACAGATCAACTATTCATGTCAGTGCTTTACAGATCAACTATTTATGTCAGTGCGTTACAGATCAACTATTCATGTCAGTGTGTTACAGATCAACTATTCATATGAACGCTTTACGTCATTGTTTTACATATCAATTATTCATGTTATTGTTGTACGTCTTTGCGTTACAGATCAACTATTCATGTCAGTGCTTTACAGATCAACTATTTATGTCAGTGCGTTACATTCATATGAACGCTTTACGTCACTGCTTTACATATCATGTCAGTGTTGTACGTCTTTGTGTTACAGATCAACTTTTCATTTCAGTGCTGTTCGTCTTTGCGTTACAGATCAACTATTCATGTCAGTGTTGTACGTCTTTGCGTTACAGATCAACTATTCATGTCAGTGTTGTACGTCTTTGCGTTACAGATCAACTATTCATGTCAGTGCGTTACAGATCAACTATTCATGTCAGTGTTGTACGTCTTTGCGTTACAGATCAACTATTCATGTCAGTGTTGTACGTCTTTGCGTTACAGATCAACTATTCGTGTCAGTGTTATACGTCTTTGCGTTACAGATCAACTATTCATGTCGGTGTTGTACGTCTTTGCGTTACAGATCAACTATTCATGTCAGTGTTGTACGTCTTTGCGTTACAGATCAACTATTCATGTCAGTGTTGTACGTCTTTGTGTTACAGATCAACTATTCATGTCAGTGTTGTACGTCTTTGCGTTACAGATCAACTATTCATGTCAGTGTTGTACGTCTTTGCGTTACAGATCAACTATTTATGTCAGTGTTGTACGTCTTTGCGTTACAGATCAACTATTCATGTCAGTGTTGTACGCCTTTGCGTTACAGATCAACTATTCATGTCAGTGTTGTACGTCTTTGCGTTACAGATCAACTATTCATGTCAGTGCTCATATATCCATGTCACGACAATAAGTATCCAAACTGATTCATGCAGCGGTGTTGCTTAACTTTTGATCAACAGTATAAGTTCTTTGATACACGTCAGAGGCACTACCCTCAACCCCCGCAACGGATCGATAAGAGGGACAAAGAGAGATATTAATGCCACAAATTGAGATATGATTGCCATATATAGAATCAATGACCATCCGGATAACGTGATGTGAGTTTTCAATTGCCAGTTTACCCCAGACCGACCCGCTAAGCTGAATCAATAGCCAAATTATGGACGTAAACTATAAGTGGCTGCCAATATAATAACATCGATGAAAAGCATTTAGATGAGGTTATTGCACGCCAACTGCGCAACAGCTGATAAATGTAGCATTTACTACTGTAAGTCAGTTTTGATCGGCAGCGACGTACTTAGAATATATCAAAATTGCATCGAGACGTAGTGGTTATGTGTATATTCACAGCTGTGGGTCACATCGATATCAGTTTATAAATTGTCAACTGTAAAGGACTGTACTGGATCAATGTGACGGACCACTGTACTAGACCACTGTACTGGATCACTGTACTAGACCACTGTACTGGATCACTGTACTGGACCACTGTACCGGATCACTGTACTAGACCACTGTACTGGATCACTGTCGTAGACCACTGTACTAGACCACTGTACTTGATCACTGTACTAGACCACTGTACTGGATCACTGTACTAGACCACTGTACTGGATCACCGCACTGGATTACTGTACTAGATCATTGTACTGGACCACTGTACTGGATCCCTGTACCGGATCACTGTACGGGACATCTGTACTGGATCACTGTACCGGATCACTGTACTAGACCACTGTACTGGATCACTGTACCGGATCACTGTACTAGACCACTGTACTGGATCACTGTGACGGACCACTGTACTAGACCACTGTACTGGATCACTGTACTAGACCACTGTACTGGATCAGTGTACTGGATCACCGCACTGGATTACTGTACTGGATCACTGTGACGGACCACTGTACTAGACCACTGTACTGGATCACTGTACTGGATCACTGTACTTGACCACTGTACTGGATCACTGTACTGGATCACTGTGACGAACCACTGTACTGGATCACCGCACTGGATTACTGTACTAGATTACTGTACAAGATCACTGTACTGGATCACTGTACGGGACTTCTGTACTGGACCACTGTACCGGATCTCTACGGGACCACTGTACTGGATCACTGTACCGGATCACTGTACTAGACCACTGTACTGGATCACTGTGACGGATCACTGGACTGGATCACTGTACTGGATTACTGTACTGGATTACTGTACCGGATCACTGTACTATACCACTGTACTGGATCACTGTCGTAGACCACTGTACCGGATCACTGTACTAGATCACTGTACCGGATCACTGTACTTGATCACTCTACCGGATCACTGCACTGGATCACTGTCGTAGACCTCTGTACATGATCACTGTACCGGATCACTGTACTGGATCAGTGTATTAGATTACTGTACCGGATTCTCTTTACTAAATCACTGTACGGGACCTCTGTACTGGATCACTGTACTGGATCACTGTACCGGATCACTGTACTAGATCACTGTATTGGATCACTGTACTGGATCACTGTGTTAGATCACTGTACCGGATCACTGTACTAGATCACTGTACCGGACTCTGTACTAGATCACTGTACTTGATCACTGAACTGGATCACTGTATTAGATCACTGTACCGGATCACTGTATTATATCACTGTACCGGACCACTGTACCGGACCACTGTATCGGATCACTGTACTGGATCACTGTACCGGATCACTGTATTAGATCACTGTACTGGATCACTGTCGTAGACCACTGTACTGGATCACTGTATTAGATCACAGTACGGGACCTCTGTACTGGATCACTGTACTAGATCACTGTACCGGATCACTGTACTAGATCACTGTATTGGATCACTGTACTGGATCACTGTATTAGATCACTGTACCGGATCACTGTACTAGATCACTGTACGGGACTCTGTACTAGATCACTGTACTTGATCACTGAACTGGATCACTGTATTAGATCACTGTACCGGATCACTGTATTATATCACTGTATTGGATCACTGTACTGGATCACTGTCGTAGACCACTGTACTGGATCACTGTATTTGATCACAGTACCGGATCACTGTACTAGATCACTGTACGGGACCACTGTACCGGATCACTGTACTGGATCACTGTACTGGATCACTGTACCGGATCACTGTACTAGATCACTGTATTGGATCACTGTACTGGATCACTGTCGTAGACCACTGTACTGGATCACTGTATTTGATCACAGTACCGGATCACTGTACTAGATCACTGTACGGGACCACTGTACTAGATCACTGAACTGGATCACTGTACTGGATCACTGTATTAGATCACTGTGCCGGATCACTGTATTAGATCACTGTACCAGATCACTGTACTAGACCACTGTACTGGATCCCTGTACTAGATCACTGTACCGTATGACTGTACCGGATCACTGTACTTGACCACTGTACCGGATCACTGTACTTGATCAATGTACAGGATCACTGTACTGGATCATTGTACCGGTTCACTGCACCGGATCACTGCACTGGATCACTGTACCGGATCACTGTACTGGATCACTGCACTGGATCACTGTACCGGTTCACTGTACCGGATCACTGTACTTGATCACTGTACTAGACCACTGCACTTGATCACTGTACCGGATCACTGTACTGGATCACTGTACCGGTTCACTGTACCGGATCACTGTACCGGATCACTGTACCGGTTCACTGTACCGGATCACTGTACTGGATCACTGTACTAGACCACTGTACTGGACCACTGCACTTGATCACTGTACCGGATCACTGTACTAGACCACTGTACCGGATCACTGTATTAGATCATTGAACTGGATAACTGTACTGGACCGATATCTTTCAAAACCAACGATAAAATGATGGAATACGACAGCAATGTCGACCTTTCAAATGTCTTTTTTCAACTATCGTGCTTCCTGGCAATAGTCTTGCCATATCACTACGGGGGAAAACCAGAAATTGGTTTTCACACTTTGCAACCGTGTTAATGAAACCCGGACCTTCGTCGTTAGAAACCAACGCATTAACAACCAGACTACCCAAACAGCACCTTCAAACGTACATATGAAAAAATATGAAATCTCAAACAATACATTATCGGACAACTTGCCTCACACTGGCGAGTCTACTCACCGCTGCCCACGTGGGCTTGTCCGTATCCGGTACGATGTCGTCTCCATCAATGTCTTTCCGCGAAGTAGCGGAACTCTGCCGGAACCTGTGGGGGTCTGCGTTCCCCCTGACAACCTCCTCATAGTCCGCGTTATTCTCCATCTTGATCCTCTCGATGTGCATTATCAGCTCCAGGCGCTTCTGCTGCTTCCGCGCCTGGTTCGTGTGCTTGGAGAATGTGCCGATCACCATCACGGCGTTCTTGTAGCGTCTCTTCTTCGCTTCCGGGCCCTTGCCCTCCGTCGATGCCCCGCTGCCCATTCCGACACTCTTCGGTTCTTTGTTAACGCGAAGACTCTTCCCAGGGCGTTCAGATCCTCAGGTTATGTACCTCCTGATGATGTTCATAAAGGATTTCTTACCCCGAATATTTATGTTCTTACTATTCAACCTCGGCAGATTTGACAATCAGAAGGTACAAAAGATGTCATCGGTCCTCTAACCGTTATTTCCGTGTCAGGGAAATAATGACAGCAATTTCTATACACCTGCAGCGTATAGTCTGACCCGCTGTCAATCGTCGCTCAGGTAGGTAGAAAGTCTCTGATCTCCTCACCTGAAAATACCCGCAATATATTCACCTTGATAATCTACTCCAACACAGGCCAATCACTCTTACTGCAAGACATTGTGTCGATTATTGTATTATCCCATTAACGTAAGCTGAAAGCTGTTAATGCAAAATTACTTTATTACAGCTTACAACTGTCCATATTTAGAGACACAATGTCTTAGAGTCTTAAAGCCCTGACCTCATAATCTGCAGTTGTTGACTGCGTCTCGCCAAGCTAACTAAGGTCACACTGTTTGTGTGTCTAACTTGGCGTTAACAGGTGAACTTAATCTATACTGACACATAAGGGCACATCAATGTCGTATGTGACATGTAGTAAACAGTAACATAACACACACAAACATTGGTAATAAACATGATTAGATATAATGTAGATACTTTGGTTTGAATGTCATTAGATTTTATTCAATAATTTCACGTTAATGGAAAAACTGTACACCTGCTGTGACTACCGTCGGGGAATTACGTAATCCCAGACGAGACGTTGTGATATTGTCGCGCATTACATAATATTTTTGGTTGTTACCAAAATGGCGACAATGCGACAACGCGATAATGTCCTTTCGTGGATACCACTCTTTCCCCGTAATACCTGTATGGATAACCAGTGCCCTTGGATGACCACATAATCGCCCACCTTCACCTCGACCTGGTTCAAAGCGTGTCATCGTATCGACGAAGACGAAGATGCTCACACTCTCAACCTCTGGTTTGCCTCTGCTCTACAGATAGCGCGTAACACTATAAATACCACACACTCATTTATCCCGCTTAGAACAGTATTTTAGATTCATCACTGCGTTCCAGCTTGATGTGGGCGGAAAGCCCGAAGTGATGTTGGTCGTTTATCACTTTGGTAAAACCCAAGAGCACGGGCATGGTGCTGACAAACCTAGAAACATAATCAGGGCTAATCTGGGATTCGAACCCACGATCTAAGGTTTCCGTCACGCAAAGTGTGGCACCTTTGACGACGTCGACACCTGTTCCCCCACTGAGGTCAAGAATGTTCGTGCGGCATTATTCTCGAACTCCAAAACTATTCAGGTACGCGTATACAGTTCGCATTATACTATTCTGGGCAATTAAAAGTCAATGACCAGCTTTCTACGCACGGTTCTATTCGGAGTGTGCCCTATTCACACTGGGTATATATCTGTTAGAAGGAACACCATTCCGTATTCAGTGAACACACGGACCAGTGCAAACACGGCTTGACGATAGACAAGCAAATTGCATTTCAATATTTGATAGGTAACTCGGTGTTGATACTATGCAAGGTGAACGATTCCAGAAATTAACACGCGATGAACACCTGTTAGAGATGAATCCAACCAATCAGCGACGGAGGTTGAAACTGAATAATGTGATTGATGTGCTATTGGCACCGTCAGCGTAGGCCCGTGCTGACATTCGGCAGAGATCATCTTGCAAGTTACACTGTAGATAATTAAATCAACTTGATGATAAGTACATAAAACAATAAACAGATGGGTGTTGCAAAATAGATAAGATAACGTTGTCTTTACAAGTTCAAAAGACAGTTCAAGATATTATATATAGGTCATCATGCGGCTTCTTAATAGATGCATATCTCTCCAAGTCAGAAACACATGGCTTCAAAACAGGGACATGTTCTCCAAGGCAGGAACATATGGCTATCAAACCAGGAACATATGGCTAACGTCTCCAAATCAGGAACATGTGGCTTCAAGACAGGAACATATATCTACAAGTCAGGAACGTGTGGCTAATAAGCTAGGAACATATGGCTTAAGGACAGGAACATGTTCTCAAAGCCAGAAACATACGTCTCCAAGTCAGGAACATACGGCTTCAAGACCGGAACATATGTCTTCAAGACAGAAACATATGACTTCAAGCCAAAAACATCTTGTTTCAAGTCAGGAACATACGTCTCAAAATCAGGAACATATGGCTTCCAGACAGAAACATGTGGCTTCAAGCCAAGACCATACGTCTCCAAATCAGGAACATATGGCTTCAAGACAGGAACATGTGGCTTCAAGCCAGGAACATATGGCTTCAAGACAGGAACATGTTCTCCGAGTCAGGACCATGTGGCTAACAAGCCTGGAACGTGTTGCTTCAAGACCGGAACATATGGCTTCAAGACAGGAACATGTTCTCCGAGTCAGGACCATGTGGCTAACAAGCCTGGAACGTGTTGCTTCAAGTCAGGAACATATTGCTCCAAGTCAGGAACATATGGCTTCAAGACCGGAACATATGGGTTCAAGACAGGAAAATATCATTTTAAACAGGAACATGGCTTCAAGACAAGGAACATGTGGGTGTAAACATCTTGGACAGCTGCTTTGTCAAAATTAACAACAGTTTGTCAAATGTCCCAACGGTTGCTGTTTAAAGCCGACATTTTCGCCACGGCTGTCCGACAGCTGTGTTACATGAAGCTTGTGTAATGACGAGTGACCTTCAGTGACGAGTGTGACCCCGTGAACAAGGACAACTGTCTCACATCGCCTGGGGATGCTCACAATGAGGAGGTCTGCGGATCCAGAGCCACTCATCTAGAAGCGCTGCAAAGAGTTTGCAGTTCATAGTGTAGGGAGTTCTGAGTAGTTGGCGCACACAACATTCAACTTCATCCCACAGATGTCCAATGGGGTCAAGGTCAGGAGAAATAGCTGACCAGGGCAGGACCCGGATGTTCACGGTCCTTAAATATCCTATAAATATTAATAAGCGGGTGTCCTCTTGTTCGAAATGGCGCCAGCCCTACACACTGATTACTGGTTCACTGATAGGAGAGACGGTTAACTTTACTTTACTGATTAAATTCACTGGAAGAAGAGATGGTTAATTTAGTGACAGGAGAGCGGATTAAATTCACTGGCAGGAGATTGGGTTAACCTCACTGTCATGATAGATGGTTAAATTCAATCACAGGAGAGAGGGTTCCACCGAATAAATATGAAGACATGCGACAGAAAGCTTCCCAGTTTCACACGGGAGACATACCAGTCTGGGCCTAGCACTATGTAACGTAACATAACGCTGCGCACAATAGTTGTGATACCACGTAAGAGAGAGTGAGAGGGTGTGGCTTAACGCCGCATTTAGTAATATTGATATCAGGGCGGGGGACAACAGACATTGGCTTTACACATTGTACCCAACCAGTTAAAGGATAAGCGGATTGCCTATGTTTACATTCGTTCAAGTACACCTGCTAACACAGCTCTCATATCCCCGTGTTATGGGTTTTCGGACGCTTAAGAAACATTCGTAGATTTCTCTCCAATCACATGAACAACTGCAAAACATCCCATTCACTTATAAAAGACAACTTTCTCTTAAAAACAAGCCATCACCTAAGTATATCAATTGTATGTGTGATGCTACACCCCCTGTTACAGCGAGACTGTCCGAAAGCCTATGATCCGACGACACTTAAGTGAGTGAGTGAGTGAGTTTGATTTAACGCCGCTTTTAACAATATTCCAGTTTCATCGCGGCGTGTCACCTCAATGTGTCAGGAAAGCCCGAAGTTACGCAGGTCTCAGACGTTTACAACTTCGTTGAAACTCGCGAGCACGTGTATGTTGCTGACAAACCTAGAAACATAACCGGGGCGAACCGGGATTCGAACCCACTATCATAGGTTTCTGACGTGCCCAAGGGACGCAACTCTGCACAGCGAATCGCGGCGCTTTAGACGACTGGGCCACCCGTGCCCCAAACGACATTAAAGCATAGCCGCAGTAAATCGCAGCTAAACAATAAGGTCACATTCGTTTTTCTGGCTTCATGAATGTGCTACAGGAAAGAAATATGGACAAAATAAAAGCAAGTAATCTTTTTTAGTTTTCTCCATCATATCATGTCGGCTAGTATAAAAAAATAACAGCTGTTGCTTTAACAAATGTGGACCTGGTGAATCACGTGGGACCACTGTTGTGCATCTATGCATCCTATGAGTTTCAGGAACAGCAACAAGCTTTATTTTGATTCCCATGTTTAATATATTTCAACTTCAGCGGGTCCTTGTCTAGAAAATAATTTTTGGTGCAAAAGATGAGAGCAAATGCTGAGTTTTTGTTTGTTTTTTTTCATTTCAACAATATTTACAGTAGGCGGATCTGTAACGTAAGTTACAAAGTGTGACCTAAAGATGATAATAATGAAATATTAGCTTAATCAATTTACTTTGTCTTTTACTTAAATATTTGAAATGACAACTTCTCGCACGTCGTTGATATAAGTGTAATATTGCCCACATTCAAACATTAGAAACACAGGCGTCGCACGCTACATACTGCCCTCGGTTATAAATAGTTACTAGGTTGACTTTCCTGTCAAATAACGTGAATCTCATCGAGTGACAGGACACAATTATGTTCATTTGTGAAAGTGTCAACCGTTTTAGGTCACTAGATGTTTGTTTGTTTCTTGTCTAACGCTGCACTCCAGCAGTATTCCAGCTATATGACGGTGGTCTGTAAACAACTCGAGTCTGGTCCAGACAATCCAGTGATTGACATCATAAGCATCGATCTTCGCAATTGGGATACGATGACATGCATCAACCAAGTCAGCGAGCCTGACCACCCGATCCCGTAAGTCGCCTTTTACGACAAGCATGGGTTGCTGAAGACCTATTCTAACCCGGATCGAGTGAGATCACGTGGTGAGATAAATATATTATTTGTGAAGATAAGATAAATGTTTCTTTATGATGGATTCTGAACAAAATAAGCTAAGTTTCATGAATATCATTTTGTAGTGAAGACTGAGCACATAATTTCATAAAAAT